ACTGTTATTATCGATTGAAGAAACATCATTACTTGTAGATGATGTAGTGGATGAAATTGAGGTTTTTCTCTTCTTTAATGGTTGAGTGTTCGATAGCCGTGATGTGTATGAACTATTGTATTGAAAACTTTCTATATTATTAGTTAATAGAGTTGAATTATATTGATTACTACCACTAGCTGCACTCTCCTCCATCTGGTTGATGCTCATCTCTTGATTAAATATATTATTAATATAATTCATTGTAATATCAGCAGTATTAGTAATTATCTTTAAACATTCCCAACTTTTCATAAAATCATTAACATCAAGTTGTAATTTAATAGTATTATCATCACACTGATTCATGGTTGATTGATTGTTTTTTTTATAAGTGAGATTTCGTATATTCTGTAACTTGATTGGAACTATTTGATACAACTCTGATACAGATTTGTCAAGTTTGGAATCAAATGTGGAATGAATATTAAGGAGTTGCGCTTATGAACACTACAGGAGTGCATTGTTATTGCTCATATCATTGTTATGAATATTTAGTGCGTGCTACAATTATTTATCTCTTCATTGTAAGATGGTGATTATATCACTTATCATTAATAATATTACGTTCACATTTTAAAAAGTAAATTGGTGATTCTCTAAAGGAAACTAATATATTATTCGATAAAAGAGTCACTGAAGAGAGAAAGGAGGTTTCACGGAATTATTGAATTACAGTAACTGTAGATTCTGAATACTTTTCCTTACTTACCATTAACTGTGATTAAGGATCTTTAAACCACTCTCTATATTATTTACAATCCCAAACTTTATAAAATAAATCACCAAAACATTAAAGATGAATTGTTCATAATGGTTCGAATAGGTTGAACAACACTCAATGTGCAGTTGTTCCTAGTAGTTCCGAAATCAATGCTCATCATCTCTTTGTTTTCTTTTATCATTATTAGTGAAACTAACTATTAATAATTGTTGTACAGTTTATTAAGGTTAATGTTAATCATCATAATTTAATAATTCTCTTATAGTAATTGATGTTCTTCGTTGTCTCTTTTTATCAATTGGTGATGATTGAATTGAAGTTGGTGTTGAAGGCTGTTGGTGCTGATCATTAGATTCTTCAATTCTATCTTGATGAAGGCTTGCCACCGAATCATCACCTCCGCCACTACTGACCATTGTATTATTATTACCATATTGATCATTTTGCTGATGCAGTGCCATTCTCTTATTCTTTCTAATTCTTGTTGAGTCATCTTTCTGAAGCGTTTTGAATTGTGTTGGTTTGCATGGAAATGAAATGACTTGGAAAGGCTTTGAATTATTTGAAAAGTATTCTGTATATTTACTTGTCATTACTTTACAATTATCATCAACAACATCAGCATGATCATTGTTAGATCTTCTTCTAGTTGATGATGTTGGATTGGAAGAACAAAAATCGACAACAGTTAATTTGAGTGCTTTTGCCTTTCTTCTATTCGATTGTTTGTTTGGATTCATTGGTTATAATATTCTAGTTGTGTGTTGTCTTTGGGTGATACGTGTTGTTTCGTTTCGTTTTGTGAAATTGTTACTGATAAAGATTGCAGATTTCATCGAAATATTTTGCTCTTTTTTCCCAAAACGGCAATTTTTCAAAAAAGAACCCTTGTTGATATATATAAATCTCCACTAAAAGTATAAGCAAAACAGCGTATGTGTTGATAATGTTGAATAGATAATTTATTCCCCTCATGGGGTAGTTTACTTCAATTTGATAAGAACTGCAATTATTATTCAGAATATTGTAAACTATTTGGAATCTTTATTTAAAATAAATGATAAATTCATTGGATATATTTCTTTAAATATTGGTAAATGTCTAATACTTTGATAATTTTGAGGCCATGCGTCCAAGCCTAATGAATGTTTCGTCTTGTTAAATCTTCTCTTTAATGTTGACAAGTGACAGTCCAATATTTTGGCAGCTTGTATTTGAGAGAGGTGTAAAACTCGAATCATTTCTTCATTGGAGATTGCTCTCTTGTATGAATTAACAGGAGCTGCACTGAAAAAAGTTCCATATTTAGTTTCACGTTTCTTCCAATTAAATAGAGAAACAGCTAATGGGCTATTATTATAATTTTCAATATTCGTATTGTTATTATTTTTATGGGTATTATTGGGAATGGATGTGGTGGTGGAAGATTTGGCAAAAGATATCAAAGTTATTGAAGATAGCGAGCTAGAGCTTCTATTCGAAAGTTTGTTGGAGTTTAGTTTAGTTGAAGGCTTGGAAATTTTAGATGGTTTTCTATTCATGTTGTTTAGCTATTTTTTTAAATTGTGTTCAGTACATTTGCAGCATCTCTTATAAATGTAATGAAAGTGGCTTTCAATAGTTCATCAAATCTCTTGTCATACATTGTCAAGTGACATTTGGAAATATGGTTAGCTATTTCAGAAACTCGTAGTACAACAAGATTGTAAGAGATCAATTTTTTGGTAATGCCAGATTTAACTGTTTGGTTCATTACAATTACTATTTTTGAAGCAGACAAGTTTATGGAAAGAAATCACATAATTGCCTTATTAATACTAAATGAAGAAGAATATCAATGCATGTTGAATGTGTCAACAATCATTTGTCCGCGTATATTCGAATCTTTAGGACCGTCATTAAGGATGATTGAATATTCAATGTATGCTGTTGCCAAAACTTAAAAATTTTACAAGTCGTCAACAACCTTACTCAGTAGAAACAAGTTCAAATCTGAAAGAAATCGATTGTCCAGGATACAATTTCAAATAGCTATCCTCTACAGAAATATTCAACAAACAAGCAAGAACTTCCTATATTTATTCGAAACTGAAAGTCTTCTAAGGAAGATTTCATTGTAAAGTTTTAAGAGAGAATGACTTTGAATCTTCAATAATCTAAAGAAAACTTTGAACAAAATGCCCAAACACAATCCACCTCTCTTCATTAAAGATAATTCTCAACTTGCCGCACACAAGTACATTGCCAAGGAACATGATCCGAACTATTCTTATGACAATTATTACGATTATTATGATTATTATGATTATTATGATGATGATTGGTATTATGATGATTATGAAGACGACAATGATGAAATTGTCAAAAATATTTATAATTGGCGATGTTTAAATAAGAAATGTAATGATTTTCAAGTGGAGGAAGAAAATTATCCATTTTATCATTCACAATTGAATAAGATGTATTCTCAAAATAGAAATATTTCAATGCTGAATACTCAATTGAGTGATACGAGAAGTTTGTTGGCTATTTTCCCAAAGAGAATTTGTTCAAAGGCTAAAACATTTCAATACTTGTTCATGTATGAGATTAAGTGGATGTTAATTGATTGGGAGAGGAAGAAAATGAGAATTATTTCACCATTGACTTATCCCATATATAGAGATGAATTGGAAGTTTCACTTTCATTCAAACTTTGTAGAAGAACGAGTTGGAATTCTCAATTAGTTTTCCCTTTTGAAATGAATGGAGGATTCAGTGATGGAGTTTTATTTAATTGTGGACAACAGACACAGCTTACTAATGAGGAAATTAATAATTATTCACCATCTGCAATTTATCTGGGTTCGATCAAATGGAGAAATTATTGTTTCAGAAACAGGTAGACACATGATTCGTGTTAGAATTGATAGAATTTCAAATATACTGGAATGATTGATTCAATTACTGGTAAAAATGGTAATGGCGGTGATGGTTTATTGGCTACAAACACACAATTATCAAACCCTTTTGCAGTTGCACTGGATTTAGAAGGTCAAGTTCTTGTTTCAGATTCTAGTAATGGAACGATGGTTATCATCGCAGGAATTGGTTTAGCAGGTTATTATGGAGATGGTATTGATGCTAGGAGTGCTAAATATAATTAAATAATCCAGCAGGCATTTTGGTTGATTCCAAAACTGGTGAACTATATATTGCTGACAATGGCAATTATAGAATTAGAAAGGTCTTAACCTTGGGAGTTAACGAATGGTACAATTATAACAGTTGTAGGAACTGGTTCAGAACCCTAAAGCAAGATATTTCAATGTTGTTCTACCATCATATGAAATTAATTTGTAAACATTTGAGTGATATGTGTGATATGAATGGTCAATATAATTTCAAATCTGGATATTGAGTGTAATTTTGATCTGAATTTATTGGTAAATTGAAACAATTAACAATTCTTAATAATACCTAAATTACCATTTCCTCCACCATTCTTGAAGTATGACATGATTACTTGTTGGACAATTACTTCCTTAACAAGCCACAATTACAAGTAATGAGATGCTTTATTATTTTATAATTGGTTTGTGATATTATTTGTTGAATTCAATTTGACAGAGGATTCAATTTTGTTGAGTTCTTTGATAAGTTCAGTTGCATCTTTGATTCTTTCTTTTGGATTGGTTTTCAACATTTTTTCAAGGAGTGATTTAACGACTTGATCTTCTAAATAATCAACCAATTTTGCAAGGTTGTTTCTTTTTACATTAATATCAATTTTTAGACTTGTTGCCGTGTTTTCAGAATCGTCCATCTCGGCATTCTTATCAATCTCAGCATCTTTGCTTTCCATATCAACTCGATCACTTTCAACTTGTTCTTTCTTCTCTTCAATAGTTGAATCAGAATTATCAGCTTTCTCATAGTCTTCTCTCCATGAAGAGTATAACAAATACAATCCTGATAATGCTACTGAATAAATTTCAGCAGAAGTTGATGCCGGAGGACGAGTGTTTGGGAAATCATCATATTCTGGAGGATGGAAACCTTTTGTGCATCCATTAATTGGGTCTTCCTTATTAACAGAGAACTCAAAATCAATTAAACAAATCCGGTCATCTTTCATCAAAATATGTTGTGGCTTAATATCACCATGAACACGATTGGCTTTGTGTATTGGTTCTAAAGCTAATGCTGTTGATTGTAACCAGGTTAATAGATCTGTTTTGTCTTTTATATTGCATGAATGAGCAATAGACATGACTAAAGTATGGGTATTGGTATAAAAGTCAATTGACCTGTTTTTGACAAGAGTGTTCCATTTTAGCTCCATTATGTAGGCATAATTTTCTCTGTATTGCTTAATAAATTCATGATTAATCCACCCTTCATCTGTTTTGATTTGAGCCAGGTAAACACTAGATCTTTCATTTTTTGACAGTTGTTTGAATCTATAATTGAACCAATTCATTTCTGGCAGTGAAACTTCTTGAAGCTCATCTATAGGACAAGAGAAAGAAAGTTGCAATTCTTCTTTCATCATTTCAACCATTTTCAAAATATATTTGCAAGTAACCAAACAATAATATATTAGTGTCTTCATACCACTTGAGGATTCCACTGGAAAGTACATTAAATTGTTTTCATGAACAAACTCGCCTTGTTCTCCCACACAAAAAGCTGAATTTTCTATTGAAACAGATTCATCTCTTAAGAATTGTGGAAAGAATGTTTCAAGGTAACTTATCTTGTTTGTAACAGTCTCTAAATCATTCTCATCTTTTGTTCTTTCTTCAATTCCTTTCAATTCTTTGTTTTCTTCATCTTGCAACTTGTCTATCAATTGTTTTTCTTCGGTATTTTTCAACTTCTTCTGTAAAATTGTCTTTCTATCATTCTTTGAAGAACAGAGATCTGAAATTTTGATACTGTTCAACTCCATGCATTCCAGATTCTCCTTATACTTCAAATAGTAAAGTAATGATGAAGGAAGGACACAGGTAAGGGATAATCTATATAAATTTCCTGCATTGGCTAAACTTGGTGCTCGGATTGGATAGATAAATCCTGTTTTTTCAAACAAGATTTGCATCATTTGAAAGCATTCTCTCATTGCAAGCATGATAATTTTAAGGCTAATGTAATTGTTGAATTAAAAACAATTTCATTACAACTTACAAATCTTTTGAAAAATCATCAGCTGATTCTTTAGCTTCAGTTCTAAACAGCTCAATGAAACCAAATCCAAACTGTTTCAAATCTTTAGTGGAAAATAAATTAGTAAGGTCTTGTTCTAAAAAGAGATCTGGTTTTAACTTGTTCCCTAAAATTTGTGAAATGTAGTACAAGACTAAATTGAAACTCTTTTCTTCATCCTCCAACACAAGTTCACTTTTTGAAACTTGCTTATCTTTTGAATGCAAAACATCACCCTTTTGAAATATTAATCGTTCGTTTGTGGAGGTTACAACTTGAGAAAAATAATCATTAAGGAATAGGAGATGATTAATTGGAGAACATGATATTCTTTCTTCAACTTTTACCCTTGATAGATCTTTAACAAAAAAGTGTTCTATTAGTTTCTGATTTCTAAAAACGCTTTTTGAAACAACTGACTCAATGATGTTCTCATCACAAACAATTTTGGTTTTAAATTTATCAAGATTAATTCCAAAAGCCTTAAGCATTTCTGAATTTACTTTACTAGTTAACAGTCCAGCATTAGATGATGAAGTTATTTTTCCAGTTGAATTACAAAGAGTGAGGAATCGCAATTTTGTTGATTCTTCAATCAAGAAATCAAAATTTAATAAGGCATCATCTACTTTTTTCTTCTTTGTGTTTTGTTGAATGGAGGAACGTGAAACCAACTCTTTTCGTTTCATTTTTTTGTTGTGTATTTGTTGAAAGGTATCTTCGACTTGAAAGGAGCTGGACTTTCCATGAGGAAAGGAAATTGTAAAATTAATAATATTTAATAAAATTGCAAAATATCCATATATTTAGTCAAGTGAAGCTGATGAAGAAATATCTTGTAAGCTAACGAATAAACGGAACTTTTTTGACACATCAGCTTGTTCAATGGGACTAAATCAAGTCCTAACCACAGAGATGAAGCATCTCTTTGTGAATTCCGTGTCAAAGGCACAATTGTAATATCTACTGTAGAACACAAACAAGAAAAAAATAAGGCCAAACCTACTTGCTTTGCTTGTTGGGTTTTGTAGGAGAATTCCAACTTCATAGATCATAATAAGAAGACGAATATGGCCTTGGACAACAATGCTTGGATAGAAGAACTTGTGAGTTTTTATTAAGAAAATCATTACAACACATGTCTTCAAATCACGCATGCTGTCAATCTTCTAACACTCACGAATGGGATCATTATCATCATCAACAATAGATATGGATTTAAAAGCAAGGCTTTGTTCAGTAACCTTAATGAAATCCCTTAGTAGTCTAAACACGTGCATTCCATGCATCTTGTTATCACATTCATACATGACCAAAATCGAACATGACCAATATATGGGTAGGTCTTTTTGAGTGGAGTTCTCCTCAAATATTGTTTTGACAATGGTTTAAGGAAAATTAGCGAGCAGTCCAAACCTTGTTGCACCACCACACATGAACATGTATGGGAATATTAATTTCAACACTCTTTTTAAGAAATCTACATCGAAACCAAAGACTCCACTACATCCATATCGCCACTCAACAAAGATACAGCTCTGAGAGGACAAAATGTTGTTTGGTGACAAATCATTGTTAACTTCCCTTTATTTCTGCCTCAAAATGCACAGCCTGGCACCAAGGTCTAACACTTGAACAGTGAGTAACTATTATTCTGGTATGATTGATGAGTGTACTCATGGCATCTTTGAAATCAATGAAAATGTTTTTGAAAGAATAACAATCTTTGGATCCATCACATGGACATCTGAATAATTCCCTAGAGCTGTAATCATCACGACATTGAAGACTAAAGATGAAATATGTGCATTCTCCTTCAAATTTTGGTAAATTATCAATTCTGACCGATAGCTTGTTGCCATATCTCAACAAATCATCAATATTCACGTCTGGTCCAATTTCTCTATCATTTGAAAAATCAACAAAATCATAATTGATGGAAATTCTCACTCTTGTTCTAGCATACAAATGAACCAACGAGCTCGTAGTTTGTTTGATAATTTGTTCATTTTCGTGCATGTCTACATCATCTTCAAAACATGCCACATCATCAAAAGGGTCATTGTTATTGAGCATTTCTGTAGAGTGATAGGAGGATTGCATTGTTTTGGTGAATTGATTGTTGTTTGTTTGTTTTTTGAGTTTTTACTTTCTTGGATCAACAAACCAACCACACAACAACGCGTACCTTAAGCACGCATACTACTAGTAATTTACTAGTAAACCACAGAACTTGCGTCCTAAAAGGGGTTAGACCCTCATCATCAAGAGGATTACTCCCAAGGATTACTATAATTGGGCATGTTATGTTTGCATGCTTAAGCATGTTGTGGACGCATGTGTGAAAAACTCTAAAGAGCATGCTGCCAAGATATTTCTTCACATACCACCATCAAAAAGTGGTACCCAACACTAACACTGATTACTTTACCTAGTTTGGTCTATGTTGTAAACCTTCCCTCCTCTCTTTGAAGTTATCAACGTTTGGTAAAAATGTTTCCTTTATTTATCAACTAGCCCACTTGTTATTTTGATTATTTTCCACTTACTTTAGCTTCAAATAGAACTGAGTGATACAGTGGTCTATGAATTGATCCATGTACCATGACAATTCTACTTTGTTTGATGAGTACATTCATAGCATCTGTGAAATCAATGAAAAATCTCTTGATTGTCATCTTACTCTTTGATCCGTCACCATTGCAATATCTGAATATTTCCCTGAATTGCCAATCTTCAAAGTTTTGAACGTAGAAAACGAAGAAAGTTTTCTCTCCTTTGAATATTGGCAAGTTTCTGATGGAGGCAGATGACTTATTGCCGTACTTTAACAAATCGTCAATGTTCACATCTGGTCCAATTTCATTCTCATTGCTCAAGCTTACTGGATCAAAATTAATTCCCAATTCAACCGTAGTTTGGTTGTACTTGTCAAGGAATGGACAGTGGGATGGCAAGATAATTTGGCTATTGATTGGAGTGCTTGGGTTCTCTTGTGTTCTATCATCAAACAACTCGCAATTTCCTTCACTTTCATGTTGATGATAGGGAATTAAGGGATGATTCAAATCCTCTTGTTCTTCTAATTCCATTAATGTTTTGTTTTTTTTCAAGTTCACTGTTTGATTGATGTAACTTAATTAAGGAAGGAAAATTGTTGGCTTTGGAGCCGTTGTTGAGAATCTAAACTATAAAAGGTCAATAAAATTTTGTTAAACTGTTTTAGGGATTGAATTTGAAGATGCATTTCTTATCTCTGTAAAGTAGAGACGAATTGTGAACATACATCACATGACCAATGTTCACAACGCTCCATTACCCTAGTACTTTATTGATCAGTTTGAATTACATAACAGATATACAATTTCTGTTTTTTTCATCACCATTTTAAAAATTACAAAAAGGTCCTCTCCTAGAATTTGCTTACATGGGTATCTTGTTTGCTGCAAGAAATTACATAATATTCAAGAAGAGTATTATCTTTCGCCATGAATTCAAGTCAATCAAACTCAATTGTTGCAATGTTGTAGGCAGAATTTGATGTATTGGCTCAAAATTGGTTGTGCGGTAATTACCAGATCAGTTCATTAATGATTACAAACTTTAAATAGATGTTTATCCATTTTGCAAGCTTTACTTTCTATTTCAATTTTGGAAGTTTCCAACTCTCTTTCAATCATTGTGTTGGGTAACTTCTTTGCGCTTGTTAAGAAATTCAACAAACCAATTTTAAAAAATAATCTTACAAGGGGATGCTGTTCATTAAATCATCATGAATTTATTATTTATTAATTGTTGTTAAATAGAGCCGATATTTCATGATTTATCATACCATAAGGATCATGATCAAAATGTCATGGTAATTTGCCCAACTGGATGACATACCAAACTGGAACCTCCAGTTCATCTGCTTACAGAATCAAGAAATTCAAACTGGAAACATCGATTAGATTACCAAACGGAAATCATGTTGATGATAACCAATTGATTTTAAAAACAAATTGTGATGAAATCAAGAAAGCAAAAGGAAGCTGAATTTTGTGATGATTATGACAAGGCTGCAAAATACATTGATAACAGTGTAAAGAACATCCGAAGCTATTGTCAGAAGGCTAATTTAACAACAGACTTGCAGAATGAATTTGGTGATTATTTGAAAGACTTAGGCTTGGAGAATGAAGATGAATGTAAGTAATATATCAACAATTATATTTACGTTTGATAGTAGGAGAAACTCTCATCAAATTAGGAGATTGTTTAAAGTCCATGGCTACATTGAATCATGTCATGCTGTGTAATATTGAAGACAATTATCTTCAACCAATTTCAGAGTTTAGGAAGGATCTTGTTGGAAACAATGACCTTTCATCTGCTGAACAATACGCCAAAAAGTGTCTAAAACAAGAAGAACACATGAAACAATTATTGCAATACTTTATGTGTTTCTACCACTATTATTCAGAGGGTTACACTCTCACATTTCACTTGAAAGAACCTTTAGAGAAGATCAAGGATCGTTCTGTGAAGAATGTCATTGCAATGAGAGATCAAGTGATGGAGGAATTAAAACCAAAGAAGAAGCCACTTCCATCACCACCTTCAGCAAGTAGTTCTACTTCACCAAACAGTTTCTCCTCATCCAGCACATCTCTTAAAAGACAGGATTCTACATTGAGTGGAACATCCCAATTTAAAAAAGCACCACCAATTCCAAAACATGCCTCTAGTTTGAGTTTAAATTCCACTTCATCAGATAATAATAAGGTTAACAATGGACATGTTCATCAATATAGTGATAGCACTGTTTCAACAATTTCAAACAGAAGTTCCTCCTCGTCATCATCCGAGGAATATGTTGAGCAAATGGTTACACCAAGAAGTGTCCCAGTTGTCACTCCTCGAGTCATTCCACCAAAACCAATATCAAAACCTCCTGTAAAGACTCAATCACCTCCATCTAATGACAACTCACCTGTTGTTGAGCCAAAAGTTATTGAAACGACAGCTTCAAATTCTATTAGTACTTGGAAGAAACCAGTTGCTCCAACCATCAAGAGAAATGATAGCTCTACCCTTTCTCAACCAGCTCAACCCGAATCTTCACCCTCAGTAGATGTGAGCAGTCCCACTACCAGTAACAACTCTTGGAAGAAACCAACAGCTCCAACTGTTAAAAAACAGGAAGAAACCACAAGTCCATCATTGGAATCTCAAAGAAAGCTCAACACCCAACAAACTAATTCGGATACCTCATCAACAAAACCACAAAACAAAGTGATTACAAATAGTAGTGAGGAATTATCTTCAAGTGTTTCATCATTTAAAAAGAATTTGGAACAAAGTATTCAATTTAGATTACCTGGTATGGCAAATGATAGTACTCACTCAGGAACTTCTCCATCTCATGAGACTGCAACTAGCCCAGCTAGCCCAGTAGTAAATAGACCTAACACAAAACCTCCTGTTCCACAATCCAGAAGACCTGTTCAACCATCTATTCCACCCCACGTTGCAAAATGTAAAGCCATCTATCCCTACAATGCACAGAGCTCGGAGGAGATTACTTTCAAACCAGGGGATATTATTCTTATTTTTGAAAAAGAACAAGACTATGGTTGGTGGAAAGGAACTGTTGAATCTGATTTGGAGAGAAAAGGAATGTTTCCCTCTAACTATGTTCAAATTATTTAATGTTTGTATAATTTCACAATAGCTCAATAGCTCGATAATAAATATTTGTATTATGTCTGAATGACCATTGTTGATTTATCTCAGAAACATGGCCATTAAAAAATCCCTGTTTGGAAAAATCGGGACCCAACAAACTTTCGAAAAAATTGCAACAATATTCGTCAAGTCAAGCCCTTTGGGTTACGTGATTTATCTTATTAGAGATAGATTCGGCAATTGTAGTTTCATTTAGTAGTATATTTTGTAGTTTTCATCAAGAAAAACAACAAGTCATCATTCATCAATTTTATTAACATGGAGGAATGCAACCAATCCATACTAGTTACTCAAGAAGACAACATACTAGTTTGTGGTTCAACAGGACATGGTCAGCTAGCCCTATTTCCTCATCAGATGACCCAAATCAAAGAGGAAGGAATTATTGACCAACAGACTGGAGGTTTATTTGATTACATTCCGATTAAATTAGAAAAACTTTTAATTTCCTACAATGAAGGAGAACAAATAGTAGATATTGTTGTGGGAGCAACATTTACTCTATATTTATCATGTAGGTTGTTGTTTGGTAAATAATTTATTCATCATCATGTGTGACATTTTCAAAGCCTTCTCCCGAGTTTATTACTGTGGGAAAGTTTTATTGTTTGATGATGATTGTTCTAAAATTGTAAATGGTGAAATGCCATGCTTTAGATGGGTATTCTTTTTCGATCCTGTTCGGATATCAGGGCTAGAAGGTGTGAATGGTTTAATATTTGTTAGACAGATAACTTGTGGAGCTAAACATTGTGCCTTTTTACTTTCTAATAACTGTGTTTATGTGGTAGGAAGTAATGAAATGGGTCAAATTGGCATGGGAACTAGCAACCCATTTATGTCATTTCCACAAAAACTTGAGATTGGAGGTTCTTCACAACCAGAAAAGCATCAATCATCATCCAGTGAAGAAGATAGTGAAGACGAGTTGGAGGTTCCTGAACCAATGCAAAAAAAGAGGAAATTTCAAGATATCTCAACTCAAATAACTAAAATCAAATGCTCCTATGACAATACTGTTCTTCAAACAGCAGATGGGTTTGTCTATGCTTCAGGAGATAATGAGTATCAACAGATATCCAATTCAAAAGAAGAAGGGAAGATATACGAATTTAGAAGATTATTTTTCAAAGAATTATCGTTGGATCAATATAAGAATATTGAGGAGATTATTGTAATGGATAGTTTTATGCTTGCCTTAACTAATGAAGGACGGTTATTCATAAGTGAAGGAAACAGAACTTTTGAAAAGATGGGATTGGATATTGATTATTTTAACACAACAGATTTTCCTCGAAACTCAATCATTCAAATATTCAAAACCTCCTATGCTTTCTTTGTTAGAACTAGGACTGGGGAAATATTTTATCTACAACAAGGTATAGCCAAGATGGTCAAGTCTGCTCTATTATCTTACAAAAGGTTTATAATAGGAAGTGGCAGGTATCATGTGGTATCTATCTCTACTGATTTAGTTGATGAGGGTTTATACGAGGCTATTGGTTACAACAAGTTTGGAAATTTAGGATTCAAATCTAATGAAGAAACAGTGAAAGCGCCTCAAGCAATACCAAAAGTAACTGATTGGATCAGGTCAAAGTGTTTGCATTCTTACCACTACAAGTTGGCTGCTGATTTTTTCAACACTGTTGTTTATAGAGTTAGAGATTTAAAAAGAGATGCTTCACAAAGAATAGCAGCCAACTTAATTTCAAAGGCTCGAATTAGAAATTATGTGGATGTAACAATTTCTTGCATTTTTGAGTCTTATTCTGAAATTGAGGATTTAGATATTGTAAAGAAAGAAAAAAGAGTATTAGCTATCGTAAGTACATTTCATTAATTGAAATTTTACAATTTGCTTAGGAAAAGAAAGGATCATTCGATGAAGGAACTTCAAATGAACAACTAAATCACATTATGAATTTGATGACACCTGGAGGAAATAACGACACAAAGAAGTAATTAAGAGCTATGTTCATAATATTGTTGTGGTAATCGTTATATTGGAGGAAATGATAAGTTTGTTTGGGTGGTCATCTTTGTATCAATTGACTTTGGTTTGTAAATCTTGTCTGCTAATAATTTGTTATTTTTATTTACAGAGTTAAGTTTGAGTAATGTTGCTTGGAATTTCTGGAACAGGAGAAGTGTATTCACCCACACACGGTTTGATATCTTTATACTCCATACAATTCCTGGATTCTTCCTTCATTCTAAACTTGTTTCCAACGTGCCATTGATGCTCCCCCAAATTTTCTTTGCACTTCACGTCTCTCCCTCCAAACACTTTCTTGTCATTTCTTTCCTTCCAATTACTTTCGTGGCCAATGTGCTGCAGATAACTTAATGATGTAGAATAGTGTGTTAATCCATCATCAACACAAGTTTTGTATCCTTCTCCTCTCTTGAATGAAATAAAGTGAATAAGAATATCGATTGGTTCTAATTCAATATTATTTTTTGCATAGTCAAGGAATAAGGTGGCATAATGTCTTGATACAATAAATCCTCCAAGACCTGTTGATATTCTCATCGAACAAAAACCCTTTTCAAATTGGAATCTTTTTTCTTTGTGATACTTTTCAATTCGATCTAAACTTTTTAATGTTCCCACAAGCATGTCCTCACAGGGAAGAAAATCATCCTCAGTATAAAGAAGGTACTTGAATTTAAAGTTGTCCATAATAAATTTGGTCATAGATAACATGTCACAACTTTGCTGTCTTGCCATCTTCCCAGGGTAAGCATTGGTTGGTGAAGAATATTTAACTCCTGGGATATCTGAGTAAGGATCTTTGAATCTAAAAGGAGGTATGAAGAAAACAAATTCTACCACATTTTCGAACTTTTTGGCTGCTTTCTGGAAAATAGTATGTGTCTTTTCATTGATAAATGCATGTATAATAAATAAAATAGATTTTCCAGTTAAATATTGCTTATTGGACGAGCTTGTTAACTGTTTCTTATATTCTTCTAAAACCTTAATTAAATAATCGGCATGCATTCCTGTGTCTGAATTAATTCTTGCCAGAGTTGGTATGAGAACTATCATATCAAATACTTTTGTTGGTGAGACCAGTCGGTTGTTGAGTGAAATACTAACATTAACACCATCTGTTATTTTTAAAGGACTAAATGTTGGCACATCCAAAATCAAAGGGTTTGAAGCAGCCCTAACTTTCCTCTCTCTACTTTGCTTTAAGATTTCGTCATTACCAACATTTCCAAACTTTGGTTTTGGTTTCCTTGAGATTTTAGAAAGTTGCATGGTGATATTTTGTTTGGGTTGTTGAGAAGGAGAAGGAAGGGGAGAAGGAGAAGAAAAGGGGATTATTGGTGAAGGAATTTCATCAGTCTTGTTGGAACAAAATACATTTTCTTGTTCAACAGTTGATTTTGTATTACTTTCATTCTGAGGTCCCACAAAATTATTTCGTAAAATTAAAAAGTTTAAGAACAAGGAAAGGCATAGAAGGAAAAGCAACACCTTAACAGCAAGGGTGTTAGTCATTTTTTAATCTTAATTAAAAATGTGATCGGATGTGATTCAGGGTGCAGCGCGCTAAGTTGAGACTTGATATAAGGAGATCTTTATTCTTAATGCACCCAATCATTGTTCTTCCAATTCAATAATGATAGGAGAGTCAGTTGGCTTGAACTTTTCAATATCTTCCAATTTGAAACAAGATTCACGAATATTCTTTTGAGCAATACATGTGGCATCAGCTTTGTACCAATTGGTAACTTTGAATTTTGTCTTAGTGTCAAAGACAATCTTTTGACCAACTCTAACTCCACTCTTTGATTTGATGAGGAAAAGTGTTCCTTGCTTTGGAATATTCCAATTCAAACCAGCAACTTGGAATTTGTTCCAACCAACAGTTGACCCAGGCACAAATTTGGATCTGTCTACCTTCTTGTCAACTTTTTGTTCAACAATGAAACATTCGCCATCAAACTTTGGAACATCACCCATTTGAATAGATTGAGGATGCTCGTTAAAAATTTGTCTAGCTGATGTTTCACCTGCAATCAAATAAAGAATGGCCCATGTTCTTGGTGAGAGATTTGATCCACTAGCTATCTTTCCAATGACTTGCCTCTTGACATTGAACATTTCCTTGAGGAAAACATTCTTTCCACCAATCCAATTTGGATGATCAGCAAGCTTCATTGGTTCTATGATTAATTCTTGTGTGACAGGTTCATCCAAATCATTAATGCTTGGTAAGTTAACGGTAACATTTCCTGCAGAAGGTGGTTTACCGACCATGGTAATTAATTGCTTATCCTTTCCAAGAATAGAGTTGAGCTTGTTGATTAATTCAGGATTTGGTGTTCCTGGAATATTTGTCTTCATCATTCCACCAACAATTTCAGCCCAATCTCTAGAATTCATTCCACATTGATCTTGAATGGAAGCATCAGCACCTAGTTCAATAAATGCCTTGGCAGCATTTAGATTTCCATAAACTACAGCCTCAATCAAAGCGCAGCCTGCTACAAGTCCACGGACATTGGTGATTTCTCTTGGATCTAAATAGCCAGCAAGATGAGAATTATTCTTCAAGACTTCAATAAACTTATTTTCAAGCAAACCATATTCTCCACGAGCAATTTTTACGAGGTATGGATACAAAGGATCAACAAGAAGATCTGGATTGATACCATGACAGTACGCTCCTGGCATATTTCCTGCTTTGTCAAGAGCAAACATGTTGGCATTTCTTGAAATGAGTACCTTAATTACATCAAAGTTTCCACGTAACATTGCAATATGCAATGGTGTCATTCCAGCAAGGTCTTCTGCATTAATATCAGCTCCCAAGTCAAGTAAAACTTTAGCAGCTGCTGCGCAATTGTAAAGAGCAGTCAAGTGAAGTGGTGTTGCATATTGAATTATTTGATTGTCTGGTCTAGTTCTACATTTGACAGAAGCTCCAAAACGATGTAATGTAAGGATACAATCAGCACGATCCTGTTCAGCAGCACTGAACACAGCATTGAAGCCATCAATCTTTGCACAGTATTGTAAATCTTCTTCAGTAGCTTTAGAAAGGAATATTTCAAGAATTTCAGCTTGACCTGTTCTACAGGCAATGATAAGAGGATTATCACCATTCTTATTTGGTGTATTTACCTCAGCTCCGTAGCTAATTAAAATTTCTGCAATTTCAACACTTCCTCTCTGAGCACATGAAATAAGTGGAACAACACCATCATCATTTCTAGTATTAGGATCAGATCCAGATTCAAGCAGAGTTTCAACAACATCAATACGAGCATTACAACAAGCAATCCACAAAGGTGTGTTTCCCTTATCATTTCTCCATTCCTTATCGGCTCCATTCTCCAACAATACCTTAACATAATCCAATTTACCAGTACCAGAAGCAACAAAAAGAAGGGATTCATATGCTCCTTCATATCCTACAATACTATTTACATCTATTGTTTTAGCAAGGGCCTTGAAGATTGGTAAACTTCCATAGTCCATAGCTAGATACAAGTGGTATTCGAATGGCTTGAAACCAGACTTGATACATTTTTCAAAAAGTTCGAGATTATTCTTCTTGATAGCCAAATCTAACATTTCTTCTGAGGCAGCACATGTTTCACGATCCTCAATCCACTTGTAACATGTTCCATCGACAAAGTTACGTACTTCATTACTGATGTGGCAAATCTTTCTCTCTAATAAAATAGAGGCAGTTCTAAAGAAGTGTCTATCAAAAATGTAATTCATCAAATAGTCATTATGAGAGGCAATTTTAGCACCATTGTCAAGAAGGAATGTAACTGTACGATCGAATCCAAAAAGAATGGCAAGATCGAGAGCTGACAAGCCGCTACTATTAATAATTGTCAAGGAGGCACCCAATTTAACCAATAACTTTACAGCAACCAAGTTACCTTTCATGCATGCAAGGTGTAGAGCAGTATTTCCATCTCTATCTGTGGAATCCAACAGATTCAAACACTTTTGATTAATGTGATCTTCCAATTCACTGTTCTTCAATTGAACAACTGCTGTGTGGAGATCTGTAAATTCTTTCTTTCCATGAGTGTAATGAACCTTTGTCATGTTGTATTTGCTTGTTCCACCACTACCTCCAGAGGTAAGACTCTTAAATTTAGGTGGTTGAATGTTTCTAGTACGAGTTTTCTTTGATTTGTTTTCGGTTTGTTCGGCCTCTTTCTTTGGAGCAAACATACTGGAGAATTTCAAATCATTGAGTACATTCTTATTTACACCTTCTCCATTCTTAAGCTTGGTAATCTCAGCTGAAATGACCATAATCTTGTCATTCAAATAGGATTCAACTCCATTGAATGCTTTACAACTTCTCAATAATAATTCGCAATGGAATACAAATAATTCTTCACCATATTGCTTTCGATCAATATTTGATAATTGCAATGTTTGAGAGGCCAATTGATCAACATGGTGAGAGGCCAATCTTTGGAGAGATTTGAGTCTAAGTCTTTGAGGGCAACGAGTTTGCTTGACTTCCAAAACCAATGGTTCCTTTCCTGTCATTCTCAATTCTGTCCTCAAACTCTTTTCAGATTCAGGCTCACATGATACATATCTTGTAATCAAACCCTTTCCTGAACTATTCACCGGCACATTGATACGGTAAATGTTTGAATCAACTGAAGGATTTGATCCACTAGCTGACAACATTTTCATACCTTCAGGCAGAACAATATCTGCAGAAACAGTACTGGAAGAACTAACAGAATCAAAAATAGAGGTCAACTTTCCACAAATTACATCATTATTGTCATCATAGTTGGCATATCTATAAGCTCCCTCAATAGTACCAACTTTTCTAATGTTATCTAATAATTCTAAATTGTGGTGAGACCCAAATCCAACTGTGTGAATAGTAATATCACCTCTGTAAACTCTATTAATTTCTTCTGATAAGTATTGTAAACCTCCTGGTTTTCCTACCTTTGAGAAATCTTCTCCATCAGTCAAGAAGGTAATAACAACATTTCCAAATGGCAAATTTTCTCTATCTTGACCACTTTCTCTGGTAATAATAGTGCAGGCCAGTTGGAAAGCAGATGCAAAATCAGTACCACCACCAGTAAATGCAGTTTCAATGTTTCTAATAATACTTTGCAGGGTTCCTTTCATATCAATTTCCTTAGCAGAACTTTCATAAGCAACCATTCTGCAAATGATTGCAGGATTATTGAAGGATTGCTGAGCGAAATGTTTCAAAGAAGTGCAAACTTGTTCCCATGGTCTTCCCTGCATAGATCCACTTACATCAGCTAGGGCAATAAATAATGTGGGTTTAGGATTCAAGGAGGGATCATTGACATGTATTGTCAGCTCAGCAACACCAATATCATGATCATCTAAATCAATTAAATGTTCAACTTCAATTCTGAAAAGGCTCTTTTCTTCAACTTGTTCAACTTTTTGATTAGAATTGTTTGGGTTTAAAACTTGATCTATCAAGGAGGCTAAATTAACATTCTTCGGAGCAGATTCAACATCAAATTCATCCAAATTTCCTCTACAACATGGACATGTACGGTATTCGATAGTAGAAAAATAATTAGCAAGTGATTGTCTGGAAAATGCTCTTCCACAACATGGGACTACAATAGGATCTTCGAGTAATTCTCTTGAAATTGGGCAGAGTAAATCGTCGTGTTCTTCAGTTAGCATTTTTATTTTAATAATTTAATCAATGTGAACTTTGGTGTAAAGTATTTAAAGATCGAGATTGAAGGTGGAATGCAAAAATGAAAATGAAAATACGGAACCTTCGGAAAGGTAGGTTGAATGTACAGAGTTCTAACTAAGGTTTTGTTAAATGTTGGAAATTATTGCCTCACTCTTCTGATTTTCCTCATTTACATCCTCAAGAGATTCGAATTCTATTATTGGATTTTCGTGGTGAATAGGTTGAATGAGATAGGTCTGACATTCTCCTTTTCCTTTCACCTGAACAATTCTCTCTTCGTAGGTGTACATATCATGTACTCTTTCATAGGTTGCTCTAGAAATTTGAATTCTTCCTGCTATTGAGGTTGATTCCATTCTTGAGGCAGTATTCACTGTATCACCCCACAAATCAAATGCAAACTTTCTCTTTCCAATAACACCAGATGTAGCTGGTCCAGTATTGATACCAACACGGATATTAATTTGATGAGGAGGTATTAATTGTTGTTGATTATTTTCAAATCTCTCTCTAATAAACTTCTCTATTGTTTTGGTATTGTAATTTTTGATAACTCCAAATGATTCACAAGCAAATTTACACATTCTTTCAGCATGATCTGAATCTGGAAGTTCGTTGAGACCGGAAACTGCAAAATAAGCATCTCCAATAGTCTTGATTTTTTCAATATTATATTTCAATGTCAAATCATCAAAACCATTAACAATTTCATTTAACAATCCTACCAATTCGTGGGAGGCCATGTTGGAAGACATTTGTGTGAATCCAACCATATCTGAGAAGAAACATGTAATGCAATTCAATTTCTCTGAAATAAAACTCTCTCCGGTAGAATTTTTCAACTTGTTAGCAACTGAGAAAGGTAGAATGTTTAGTAACAATTCTTCAGAGTGTTTCTTCTCATCCTGTAATAGGGCATTCTTTTTCTTCTCAGAGGTTTGATCAGCAATGAAACAAACAACCAACTCCTTTCCCTTATGCAGCACAACAAATATGCTAATCTTGCTTGGAAATTTCGTCTTGTTCTTTCTAATACATTCTCCTTCAAAAGTCTCTCCTGTGGAAACATCCTCGTTAGATTGATTGCTTCGTATAGATTGCACTATTGCCTCTACGGATTTTTTTACCTTATCCTTAATAGCGTCCTCAAACAAATCGAATATTGATGTTCCTATGATTTCAGTCTTGTTGTATCCAAACATGGTTTGGGCAACTGGATTAAAGGCATCAATATCACCTTTTGAATTCCAACACATAGCTACTCCATCTATTGAGGCATTCAAAACAGATTGAATGATAGAGGTATTGTTATCATTGAGAGCATATACCTTGTTAGATTTTGAGAAAGTCCTTTTTAAAGTAGCTGTGGCACCTGTGGATCTTGCCTTTGGATCTACTTGATGGAATAAAATATAGTTTCTCAAGTCCTCAGAGCTTTCTATGGCATCTGTATTCAAATAGTTTAGAATCATTCTCAAAGAGTTAACTCCATCAGAATAACTACTGAATTGCTTGTAAATAAAGAAGAATAATATTGTTATGAATGGAACAGTCACAATTCCAAAACCTGTGTCAAGTGAGAATAAGGGAACTGCCGCATAAATAGCAAATATACCTGAGAATTCTATCAATGTAGAGGACACATGTGTCATGTACAGTAAAACTTGGGCATACAGCTCGTGAACATCACTGGATTTTGATGAAACTTTTTGAGATAGCAAAACTGTCAAATCCAACATTGTAGCTACAACGGTGTCCATGCTTATTGTGCAATTGCTACCATATTTTTTCACTTCTTGAAAAGTACAGTTATCGTCTCCTCTAATTATCATATCGATTTCAGGGTACATGCCTATCACTAAAGTTTCGTCCTTCTTTGTTGAAGATCCATACATACATAAATTCCAAAAATATCTTACTTTGGCCACCAATGGCTCTATTTCCGAATACAGGGCATAAACTTCTGAACTGGTTCTCAGTGGAGGGTTGATTATTGGCAAAGAGCTTGGAAGAGAGGTATGCATATACAGCTCTGTTACTGCAAAAATTAAATGTTGAAGATAATAGGCAGCGTCATTTGAATCTTTCATAGTAACATAGGATTGACGAGCATACACGCCGTTTCCAGTCATTTCCTCTACAAAAAGACCACAACTTAACGAAGTGAACACCAAAATACCAACAGCCGTGAATATTACCAACATTCTTGGATTGAATACCTTACTGTATTCTATTTTAAGAGAAACATCTCTTCTACCATTTCTTGCATTCAACGAGTGATAAATTTTTCCAATAATGTTTTTAGAAATAGACTTCTCATAAAGTTTGAAAATACTATCCGTAAATTTCAAATCCTTATAGACATAGTAAATAAATAATATTCCTAGTAGTAGATAAATGAATAAGAGACTAAAATACACTCCAATTATAATATACTGATACATAGCTCCATTATCGATTGATCTGTCCATATACTGGTTACAAAATGAATTAAAGGCCTGAATTACAGTGTCATTATTGTAGTATACCCACATAAATGCATAATCATCATATGTACTATTATGACCAGAATCTATAGAGCTGATCAGATCTGTGACAGAGGATATGGCCATATTGGTAAAGTCAGCAATGGTGGCATTAATTTGAATGAAAGAAGTGAAAGATTGGTTATTACTACCGTACACAGTTTGAGGCTTGTAGAGAGGATAATACACTTCATGGAAATCAGAATATAAAGCAAGTGAAAACTTTCCATGACTGGCCATGTTTTTGATAGTTTGATAAGTATTAATGATGTCGTTAAGAGCGGCTCTATGACTCTGTTTATATTCGAGCACTGTTTCATATCCATAATCTTTCATCATCTGTGACCAATCAGATTCATTCTTATAGAGATAGGAAAAGGCTTGGAAAGTTCTGACCTCAGATATTGTGTGAGTATTTGTAGAAATGGTGGAACATGAAGTAAATACAAGCATAACCTCAGAAGTTACCATATAGGAAAAGTAAATTGACATCGAAAGACAAACAGCAAAAAATAATAATGAAAATAAAACAAAAGCTACAAAAAGTGAACATCTGAAACTTGTAGAATGAGGAATAGCCAAATTGTTTCTGAACACGTCATTTCTGTTCTCAATCCCATCAAATGATTCCCCAACTACATTCATACTAGGATCTGATGCGTTATCATCTTCTGTTGCAGACATATTGAAGGCCTTGTTCTTTCTGTACATTGAATCTGAGCCACTAAATCTATATTTGGCCTTATTAGATACTGATCGCCTAACCTTTGCCTTCATTGCATTCTTTTCCTCTGCCTCTAACTTGATTGCCTCTGTGAATAATTCAGTTGCTTCTTCCTTGTTAAACATGAACGACTCTAAAAATTTTCCATACGAAATAACTAAGTCCTTATCAGAAGGATATGCAGACAACAGATTATTGTAGGTAGTGTCAGAACTTTCAATAATTGAACCAATTTTAAGAACTGTAGCCTCTAGAATATTATAATTTACAATCTCATTCATTAATTCTTTCCATACATCTCTGTGCAGAGATCTCAAGATATCTTGTTGTAATTCCAGGTCTTCCAAACTATTTTGAAGTTCATACCTTGTGGTTCCAGTTTCATTCTTGGCAATTTCTTTCAATTTTACATTAATTTGATATTTGTAGTAAAGGCCAGGTTTTCTTCTCTTAATTTTAGATAGTACTGATTTGGAAAAAGTTTGTGCGTTGGAATCGGCAATATTGACATTGGATATAATGGATGCAAAGAGAATGAGTAAACTGTAATCTGTGAATGAACTTTGAGTAGTAATTCCCTTGATAAATGCAATAGTTGCATCAACATCATAAACACTAACATTTCCACCAATTGATCTTATATAGGAGTTACTAAGAAAGGAAAATTTGAGAAAAAGGGCAAGAGATTTCTGGTATCCACTCTCCATAATACCTTGATAAAAGTAAAATGATCCAGACTCTAGTACCTTTAAGAAACTAAGGTCAGCTGCATTCTCATTACCATCTGTGGCTTCTTGGTTTGTAGTATTTTCGTCAGTGCTAGTACTGGCAAACTCTGAAATATTGTTCCTAATTAATTTCAAGTGACGTCTTACAACAAACTCAACAAACACACAATACGTAATACCAAATAAAACAGCTAGAACCAGAACAAAACAAGCAAGCCCTATCCCCAATCCATTATAGTCAAACGACGACTTTGGAACTGTGGTAAATAATATGTTTGAAACAAGTGCTGCCAAGGCTGCTCCAACTCTAGCTCCTAAACCTATTCCGAACAATGAGTTATCAATTTTTTTGTAAAAAGGCATAGTTTTAAAATGAAGTATTGCCAATCCAATACTACATATCAAGTGTATAGCACTTCTTACGTATGAGTATTGAAAAGGTACCAACATTTGAACGCATAATTGTATCAAGGTTGTGGACTGCAAGCAGGCAATAATAATTGGACTCTCTGAAATGAATGGGGTTGAATTGAGCATGTGACAATTTGTAGTAATAAAGAGGCAAACTCCATTCAAAATGATCAATAATATGGATGCCAATGAGAACACTATCGTAAACAATATTTGTGTTTGCGACATTGACGAATAGCATGAAATTTTCTCATTTGGAAAACTAGTGAGTACACCTTGATCCAAATCACAATTGAAAATAGTATTCATCATTACAAATAAGAATACGCTTGAACCAAGCAAAAATACTCTACATGAAATGGAAAAAACCTGTCTCAAATATGGCAGAAATTTCGAAGTAATCTTAAAGGCATACATTGATGCTCCTACAACACAACATAATATAAATACAAAACCAACTCCTACAAAGGAAATAACAACCGAGCCAATATAAGGAAGTCTATCCAATGACAAACTTAATGGCCAGTTTAAAACGTTAGCCAACCATACTCCCCATTCTCCATATGTTGAGCTGGTCAAGCTTTCTCCTAAAACAGGCAAAAATATTCCAATATACAAAAAGTAAATATTCAAAACTAGGAAGAATATGTAATTCTTGTATCCTTTCTTCAATCCACCATCTTGAAAATAGAACAAATAGGAAAAAAAAGAGGAAAGTATTTTCTTTGCGTTGTACTGATTTGTTTGTAAACTAGTAGAGGTTGAAGCAACTGTACTAGTTTCGTTTGGATTACTCGTCTCGGCTGCTGGCGAAATTACACTACCAATAGCTATGGATGACATGGAAGAGTTCATATTAATGTTTTTAGTGGAGGGAGTCCTGTCAAATGCTGCTTTTGACACACCTCTTTCTAAAGGATGATGGCGATCCATTGTTTTTTTAGCCTTTGTTCTTTTGCCAACCATCATTTCCTTTTACTAAACTACAACATTGTTTATCATCACATCACAGCCCATTAAATATTATTACTGCAAGAGATAAACAGCTAACACTTGAGATAATTCCATCAACGGTTAATTTCATTTTACCAAATTCCATAAAATTATGATGATAAATTAACTACATCTGCTTTAACAGTATTAATTTCATTTTTTTAAGGTAGTCACCAAAATTTTATTCACAATCACTGCCACACAACACACGAGCTGATTATATACAAGGACAACTTTTGCAGTACATGAGCATGATTTCTTATTCTTTCTTTTTCGGAAATTAATTACTGTTGAATGTGTATGTAGATCAATATTCTCTTTTGCATGCTACAGAAACAGTCTAGGGACTTCATTGCAATTTCATTTAAAATTTGTAGAAAAATCCGAAAATAAAATTAATTGGTTTTGAATACGGAAACACAATAAGTAAAGTTGGAGCTGCAGTTTGCAGCCTATCAAGCTGCTCGTGGTTCTGTATTTAGTGTCCGCCAACTTCAAATATAAAAAAATGGTTTGTTGTGGCGCACAATGCTTGGTTGTTTTTGCAAACTACGGAATGACATAGTATTTTAATTAATTTCAAGAGGAGAACATGATAAATTAATTTTTCCAGACATCTTGCAATTCTATCGAATTCTGAACATTTTGATAGTTTTTGTTTGTTTTTATGTGAAGGTCTGTTATTGTGATGGTGGTGAAACTGTTAGCATAAACTACAGACACTTTGGGTACATCATATCCCTTCTGCTTGATCGCACTCAATCAAACCATTGAAAAAAGTACGGTCTCGGTCCACGATGCGTACCAAAAATGTTCTCCGATTACCGATTTGCACTTTGTAGTGAGAGATAAAAATGACCATTAAATTCTCAGTTTAAAAAAAACATTCAAAGATTCAATAAATAATAATATTCAATTTATTAATAATGGAGCTTTCAATACCATCAGCAATAGGAGTACCAATAGAGTGTATTTCTTCACCACATACAATTGCTTCATCAATACGGCCTTTTACTGCAGTGTCATCTTCTCAATTAAAAAGTACTACAACAACAATAGATAAGAAGAGAAGACTCAGCAATCCCCCAAAGCCAGTAGTAAACTTTAATGGCTTTAAACATTTTGTGAGACATGTTAGAAATAACTCTCGTATTTTGGATGAAGAAGTTGTGCCAGAAGAACCAACAGAAGCAGTCCCAGTTACAACAGTCAAGAAAGTTGTTACTGTGCGCTCCAATAGCAAGATCTTTTCTTTCACGCATTCAATACTGGTGCTGTATGGAGTTTTATTAGCATTGGCTCTGTTTACCATCATCAGTGCTTTAATTATTTTAGATTAACAAACCATACACCCGAGAATCTCTCTAATGTACATAATACTAACAGAAATCTAATTTACAATGTAAATAATGTAAATAAACTGCATCCTAATAGGGACATCACTAAAAAAAATGCAAAGACTTGTCACATGGATTCTTGTTTGTCTGTGCTTGGTGACTTGTAATGCAAATATGGCTAGTGGTGTTGAGCAGAACAGGAATGTGAGAAAATATCATAATAATATCAAAGCTGGGAGCACTTCATCATATGTTCAGCCTGGCATTAATAATTCTTTACAACCTCTGTTTGGACATAATATTGGATTAATTACTAACCCGTCTGGACAAAATTATCAATTATCACAATCAACAATTGATTTACTGATGGAGTTGACAAAACAGGGCTATTTGAATTTGGTTGCACTTTTTGCTCCCGAACATGGAATTTATGGTGACAAGCCTCCAGGGCAATTCTTTAATGATTATATTGACCCATACACTAAATTACCTGTTTATAGTTTATATAGTGAAACTAATCCGACTCATGAACCACTTCCTTACATGTTGAAAAATGTTACAATGCTAGTTTCGGATATTCAAGATGTTGGAATGAGACCTTTCACGTTCATTAGTACAATGTGTGAAGGATTAATTGGAGCAAAGAAAAATTCAATCAAGTTCACAGTTTTGGATAGAATTAATTATTTGAATGGAAACATTATAGCTGGTCCAATTTTGAATATGAAATACAAAAGTTTTATTGGAATTTATAAATTACCAATTGTAACTGGTATGACTATGGGCGAATTGGCTCTATTGTTTGACAAGGAAATGTATATTAATTTAGACAATGATCTAACAATTATTCCAATAGTAGATGATAGTTCTCAAACCTACGGGAAATACAGACCTTCATTCAGAGAAATAAGACAAGTATTCAGACAACCAATATTATATCTACCACCAAGTCCAAATTTGCCAACAATAGAAAGTGTAGAGTTGTACTCTGGAATGGTCTTGTTTGAAAGTCTGTTCAACATATCTATTGGAAGAGGAACAACAAATCCATTCCAAGTCATTGGTTCTCCATTCATTGATTCAAGAAAATGGATGAGCTTTTTGCAACAAGAATTTGCTACAGAACTATCTCTCTATTTCAAATACGTTCAGCTTTCATATCCCACTTATTTTATTCCATCTCTTGATATCCACCAGAATGCTCCATGTGAGGGAATTCGTTTAGTGTTAAAACCACTCGATTACAACAATATTACAAACATTGAAGAGTACTATAGAAGCTTTTTACCCCTCTCTCTTACCCTCATGAAATCTTTACTCAAACTTTACGGAAAGGAATTGCTAATTTGGAGAACTGATTTTGCTCATATTCTCATTGGATCTGAAGAAACAATATCACAAATATTGGACAATTCTGTGACAGTGGGAGAGATTGTCAATTCATGGAATAAGGATCTTGTCAAGTTCGACAAGAATGTCAGGCAAAAGTATTTAATTTACAAATGAAGTTAATGACAGAACAACAGAAACCACCACCTCACAATATTCGATCGTTCATCAAATCCAAATAAAACAATATTCAAATTTTTTTCCTTTAATTTAGATGTGCAATATTCTACTTCTAATCCCTATTCCAGTTCTTGAAAAAATCGTTCCAATTACTAATGTTATTGTGCCCTTGACATTCTTCCATCAGCCCTATCATAGATATCCCACAAAACTTCAAGACACTTAGACTCCAACTTGTCATATTCCATTAATTTAATGAATATCTCAAATTCTCCCTTCCCAACTTTGGAAAGTTGTGGTTTGAGTCTAATTTAAATAATAGATATCTTGACAATTTCATTTCACCAATAGCTGCAAAGTTTACATGGCGATATGATAGAAGTCCCCAAATATAGATCCTACTCAAGTCAAATCTTTAACCACCATATAAAATATTACTTTTGGCTACAACATCTTTGGAAAAGTAGAATGATATTGTAGTTTTCGAGAAATGATGATGGAAAATGATCGATTGAATGGATGAAACATAGAATTTTATCAATTCCATATCAAGCTGGGAAGAAATTTACAATGAATTAGACATTTTAGAGAAATGCTGTTCCAAATTAGACAGATTTGTTTCTTACTGAATTACTAGTGGATCTTCCACATCAAACGAAGAACTTGACATGGTAAAATACAACACTTGAAAACAGGTTTCCAGTATTGGGTGCCTTAATTAATGACAAAGGGCGAGAATGAAAGAAAACTTGATAATGTGTTCTTTGAACAAAACCGCATGTTCAGGAGCAACGTCCAAACTTGTGTAAGCAATCATTTAATCAAGAACCAACACTCTTACTTTGGGGAGTTCAATATTTACTCAAACATTTATGTAATATTTCAATACCAACATCCCAAATTTCAAAATCAAGAGTGAGCACTTGGCATCTTCTTGGAATAGGGTTGGGAGCAATCATCTGTCATTGAGCTCAGAAAGTATTATAAGAAATTCATATTTATTTTCAAATGCCACATCTAAGGAGATTGGGTTCGCACATGATTTTAAGCAATTTGGAAAAACAAGTTTTTGTGTTTTAAAGTGCTTTATTTTGAAACAGCACAAGAAATTAAACAACAATCTTTTGATAATTAGCTGAAGATTGAGCTTTTTCAAATAATATCATAGCCACAGTAATTGTCCTCTGTTGTATGTGGACAATAATTCAAAGAATGAGTACCATTCAAAGTTGATAAAAGTTACAGAAGCAAATCTTTGGGTGTTCTGATTTCAATAAAAATTCAATTGTATTCAAATTTTTTTCAGCGTCGATATAATTGCCTGGAATCTCTCCTTATCCATTCATTGTTTGTGAATGTTTGTTATGCTTCTATGTTTGTCTACCGTACCACCAATACAGCCTGCTGTTATTCATAATAATTTTTATTTATTAAAAAAATGACTGAACCAACACCAGTCGATATCACACAAATCCCACCACTATCTCATTCCACCAAGGTTGCCTTAATATCTGGTGTTACTGGACAAGATGGATCCTATCTTGCTGAATTACTTTTAGATAAAGGATATACTGTATATGGCATGATTAGACGTTCATCATCTTTTAATACAGGAAGAGTTGAACACCTCTATAAGGATGTTCATATTGTTGATGCGAGTAAGTTTAACATTTTATTATTGCTTAGTTTAATTAGAGTTTAAACTTGTGTACGGTGATTTAACTGATACTGGTAACATTATATCTATCATTTCAAAGATAAGACCTGATGAAATATACAACCTGGGAGCTCAATCTCATGTTAAAATAAGCTTTGAAATGCCTGAATACACAGCAAATGTTGATGGTATTGGTACCTTACGATTTCTTGAAGCAATCCGAGCATGTGGTTTGGAAACGAAGACAAGATTTTATCAAGCAAGCACATCAGAGTTGTATGGCTTGGTACAAGAAATTCCTCAAAAAGAAACTACTCCATTTTATCCTCGATCTCCTTATGCTTGCGCTAAGTTGTACAGTTACTGGATTGTTATTAACTATAGAGAAGCTTATAACATGTTCGCCTTGAATGGTATTCTTTTCAATCATGAAAGTATCCGTAGAGGTCCAACCTTTGTAACAAGAAAAATCACAATGGCAGTAGCTCGTATTCATCTAGGTCTTCAAGAGTGCTTGTATTTGGGTAATTTGGATGCTGAAAGAGATTGGGGCCACGCAAAGGATTACGTTGAGGCTATGTGGTTGATGCTCCAACAAGAGAAGCCATCAGACTATTGTGTTGCCACTGGAGAAAAGCACAAAGTTAGAGAATTTGTTGAAAAATCGTTTGCTGTTCTTGGTAAGAAGGTTGAATGGAAAGGAAAGTCAGGAACTGTTGATGAATATGGTGAAGTTGATGGTGCTGTTAGAATTAGAGTTGACCCTCGTTATTTCAGACCAACCGAAGTTGAATTATTAATTGGAGACCCAACAAAGGCCGAAACTGAATTAGGATGGAAGAGAAAAGTCAGCTTTGAGGAACTAGTAAAAGGAATGGTAAAAGGAGACGTGGAGTTATTGGGTAGCCAATGTAACTAGATTAGATTTATGAATAAAATTTCAATAAAGAATAGTTGCAAACGAACACACCAAAGTTTCTTTGTAATCTACCACCAGCCTTTGGATTTATAGCGGCAGGGTATTAAACATTGGCAACTTCCTTAAAGTTAACAAGCCAAAGCCAATCTCCACCTGGCGATGTTCTCCATCGATCATGAACTCGATAAAAAATTACCCCATTTTACCCCACAAAATATTAGGGTTACAACGAACACTCCTAAAAAAAATGCAAAAAAGACTAATATTTGTTGTAGTTTCAATCTTAATAATAGGAGTAATTTTTCTCTATTATTCTAATCTTTCTCGGAATGATAACCAAGCCAATAATGTTGTCATCTCAACTAAGGTCAGAGAACAAACATCTTCACAAGAACCAAAAGTCATTGAAAAGATAATTGAAAAGACAATAGAAATACCTTTAGAAAAGATTGTTGAAAAGATAATTGAAAAACCGTGTGCCACAAGTCAAACCAACGATGATAACTTGTCCAAATTTTCACAATTGTTAAAAAATGATCAATTAAAATCAATTGAACTGACTAAACAAATCTTAAGTGGAAATGTTAAAAATCCAGCAGTTCATTTAGTAACTCAATTATTTGGAGGTATGCAAAACGATCATTATGTGGATATGTTGGCAGCAATTCAATTAAATCTTTTCAATCCATTTGTTGAAAAAGTTCACCTCCTTCAAGAGAATGATGCAAACGATAAAGATTTAAAGAAGTTAATTGGACAAGAAAAACTTGTCATTCACATGCTAGGTCATCGTATTACAGTTGGTGATTTTATGAGATATTGTAATGACAAATTACCACAAAAAATTGTAGGACTCATTAATACTGATGTTTATTTTGATAATACCCTAGTTGAGTTCCATAGAATGCCATATCAAACTGCATATGTTATTTCAAGAAAGGAAACTCTAGTTGGTAATAAGCCAGATCCAATTAATAATAGAGATCAATGTGGTGGATATCAAGGTTCACATGATGCATTCATTTTCAGGAATACGGATAAATTTGGAGATTCAATCATCGACAAGTTAAATAATACTAATTTGGGATATATGGGCAGTGAAAATGTTATTTTATATTATTTGAAACGTGATTCTAATAGATATAGAATTTCAAATCCATGTTATGCTGTTAATTTATTCCACTTGCATAGAAATAGATCAGAGAAGGAGGTTAAAAGATTTAATGGTGGAGGTATTTCTGATACACAGAACCCATCTGGAGATTTTTAGATTGTGCAATCAATTATTAAATTTTAACTTTATTTCACTGCCCTTTCCGTATATTATGGACAACCAACAGATAAGGAAATAAAACATGGTTTTATCTAGATTAATATCCTGATTAAAAGAAGAGTTTATTGTTGTGGTTGTCTTGGCTCTAATTCTAAAGACCTATCCCACAATGTATCTTCATCAACAAGTTGAATGTTTCCAAGAGAAAGTAAGGATTGGATAGAAGGATTGGTTGAAACTCCACTAGTGTAAAGTTTGTAATCCTCCAAAGTTACTGTTTGGATTTGATTGATAATTCTCTTGATGAAATCAACAGTTTCGAAATAGTAAGGTTGCATTTGATATTGTCTAATTTCTAAAATAATTTTAGAAACTTGTCTTCGTTTGAATACGTTGATTAGGCCATCACGAATATAGTCTGGATTACCATCGTTGATGAATGTTAAATCTTTCAGATACATGCTTAATGGAGGAATGCATGGAGGGAGGCAAAGTTGAAGAGCTTGTCTCATGTTCTTGTTTGCTTGCTCTTGAGAGCACAATTTCTTCAAATCCTCATACAATGTCAAGTACTCTGTTGGAACTGTTGCCCAAGTCTTTTTCAATCTGTAAACAGAAACATTGGATAAACCGCTGAGTATTTCTGAAAGACCATGGAAATTATTGATATCTCTTAATGCATTTGCCAACTCTATAAATTTGATAATGTATCTTCTTCTAATTTTGAGATCATTTTGTGAAAGAATAGAACATGCAACAAATTGAGTCATCTTATTCCATCGATCAGTCAAGTGGGCAATATTTGGAGCTTCGTCATATTTTGAAGATTTTGTCCAGGCACCACTAAGGCATTCCTTTGGTTCAATCTTTTGGAAATATTCGTATTCAATGAGTGTGATTTGTCTTGCGATTTCAATTGGGCTCCATTCGAGAATATTAAAGGCAACATGTTCACTAAAGTTTTCTGGAATAATAGGGTCAGGAACATCAGTTTGTTTAGCATGTTTAACAGCCTTATCGTTATCTTTGATCAGCTTGTTACTGAGCGTTTTTCTGAGAGCATTGCAGAAGGAAGAAAATTCTTTGATATTTGCAACTGAATCCAAAAATTGAATCAAACGAACAAGCAATAAATTATCAAAATCATGGAAATACTTTTCGACCCACATTTTAACAGCATTGATAACTCTGAGGAGTACTTTAGTGTTGGCTTCTGGTTGAATATCTTGCTTTTTCTGTTCTTCAGCAATATTGAATCTGTCAATTAACTTATCCATTAGGACATGGCTAGAACAGAAGGAACGATAGGTGAGGAAGAAGACATCTCTGAACTTTGGGTCCGTTTCCTTGTCGCTGGTGATTTTTTCAATAAGCTTGTCAAGAGTAGCTGCTTTGATTTGATTATTCTCCACTACATAGTTCTTCTCAGAGTCTTCAGTAAGGATAAGCTTCTCGTGATTTTTCTCAATGTTCTCTAATTTGGCTTGGTGAGATATCAAGAGGCAGTCAATACTTTCAAGGATATATGATTCATTTTCTGATTGTGATAGTGGGAAGCAACAAACAGACAATAGAGTACCTAAAGCCCATTTCCATCTGTCGTCATGAATATCAATGCTGAAAACAGGAATAAGCTTTTGTACAATTGTAACGAATAAAGGAGTTAACATGGTATTTGTCAACATTGGATCCATTCTCTTTCTTACATTTTCAGCATCTTGTGAAGATTGGTTGAATTGCTCAATATATTTCATAATTAAAAGCAATACCTCCTCGATAACAGGAGAATATTTTTCGTTTTCCATAATCATCAATTCCCATTTTTGTTCAATGAAACAGACCAAAATTTCAATAACAATTGTTTTGATCATTCTTCTAGTAACCCTGACAGGATATGCAATGTGCTTGTTAATGGCAATCGAAAGAAGTTTTACAAAACTAACGAGCACATCTGGAGACTTGTGGTTCCAAATCTCAGGCCATTCTTCTTTCTTTCTATTTCTCAAACAGTGAACAAACGAAACAGCAAAGTGAGACTGAAGATCATTGTCCATATTTCTTAATAATTTTTCTACATGGGCAATCTCAAAGAAAAGTGGCATTACTAGTTTGCAAATTTCATTTCTAGAATCAGCAGAGCTAAACTTTGTTAATGAGTCTAGCTTTACAATTAATCTATTAATTATTCTCAGAGTTATTGTTCTTAAATCTGGTTTGTTGGCCTTTTGTAAGATACCAATAACAAACTTTAGAAGAAATGGTGTTTCACTACACATGTTAACTTCTACAAATATGCTTGAGTCAATTATAATTTCAGCAAAATCAAACTTTAGACCCACCACAACAGGAGAAGATTTGAATTGTGTTGTAAGTACATAATCATTGAGGGCTGTCTTGACAAATTTTCTAAATCTAACATCATCTTTCATTTCTTTCATTAGTGAAATTTCCAATAAATCACACATGAACAAGGCCAAGTGCCTATTGACAACCTTAACAAAATGTAACTTGATAGGGTCGCCTGAGGCTGTGAGTAGTCTTTCCATCAATTTTGTTTGTAAGCTTCTCATCTTGGTGTAGAAAACTTCTGTAAATACGTCTTGTTTCTTTCCCTCCAAAATGTAGAGTTTCATTGATTTGACAAGTGTATCAAACAAAAACCAAGAAAGTTTCAATGAGTCCAAAGCATTAATTTCTTCAACAGTGCTTTCTTGGCTTTCTGATGATTGGTTAGAGCGTGGTTTAGAGAAGTAGGTTGCTCTTCTTGGTCTATTGGCTACGCTATCGTTTGTAGAAGAAGAAGCTCCTGAACTTTCTGTAGTATTCGAGTTTGATTCTTTGGTTCTACTCTCTGTTTCTTTGGTATGACATGATTTGAAGAATTCTTCCCATCTTTCTGCCAACAGTAAACAAAAGCTTGTATTATCTGGCGTTGGAGGATTTTTGAACATGTAATAAATATATCCATTCAAAAATTGATCTCTCTCATAATAATCTAATCTGGAATTACTTCTCATACCTCTCAACATGTGGAGAAGAGTTTCAAAGACTAGCAATGAAAGGGAGGTTGTGGTTGTTGATGTTGATGTTGTTGTCTCTTTCACAGATTCAACATTTTTAGTTCTGGAGGTGAGAGTGGCTGTTCTCTTTTTTACAAATCCAGCAATACCTAGAGTTTTCTCAGATACAGAGTTATTGTTTTGAATTTCTGAACTTGTAGAATTCTGCAAAGAGGCTGTTTTAACATTAGCAATAATGTACATTACACAATTCAAAAATACAGGGAAATGATAAAGCATTTGAGACCAATGAGCTTTCTGGAAGTTTTTCAAAATACTTTCAGCATCAGAAAGTGACATGGCATCATTCAATTGACTCAAAAAGGAACCCTTTGGTAAATTATTGTTCTTTGAATTAATGAAAAGCCCAGAGTTTGTTAATAAAGATACAGCATTCTTGTCTGATGGGAAAATTGATGATTTGGCAATAACATTAAATCTAAAAATGGATTTTCCATTAGCATACTTTTGTAAAGACTTATCAGAAAGATAATTGTTTGGTAAAGTTGTGCACTTATATATTGGTAATTTTTTCATACCATTCTTAAATCCTTCATCTTGGACCAGTTTCAGAATAGAGAAGCCAATCACTGTAGTATCAGCTTTTCCAACTACACCTGATACTGGTTGACCTCTCTTGGAGGAAACATGTCTAAATTCAAAAACTAAATGATGGTTATCATGAATAGGGAATGGAAGTTGAATTTTGATTTGGTCAAAGAACAGAGGATACTTTTCGTGATAAGTAATACTGGATATGGCTTGTTGCTTAATATCCATACCTCCAATATAGTTTCTACTTCCTTCAGAGAAAATTCTACTAGCTCCAACAAGAACGCCTCCACTCATTTCATCATTTTCTCTTAACAAAACTCTAACGGCAACTGATTTGTAAGAATTTGGAAGTGATGTCATATTGATGTTATCAAGTAAAATATACAAAACATGATTGAATGTTAAATCTAACTTTGGTGCTGTTGTGAAGAGAGTTGTGGATTTTGAAGAATGAGAAAAAGTATTGAAAGACATGGTTATGGTTTCATCATCATCAAATGTGAAGGAATCAGCATTGTCTTCTGAGACAGAAACAGCTTTAACTTCATGCACTCCAGTATCATAGAGTGGCCTAACTTGATGATATTTAGAAATATTATCAGGATTACTATCAATAAGCATTGTAAATTTTGCAGAAATATTTTTGAAAGTAATATTGTCAACTTTTAAAGTTCCTTTCTGTTTGGAGTAGTCTCTTTGGTGTTCAATGAGACTAGAAACATTGCACCTTTGTTTCTTTCCATCTAAGTGAGGGACAACAAATAGCTTGTCAAAGATAATTGCTCCTTTTCTCACTTCATATGTTGGTGGCTCTTCAATGCTTACTTTGAGTTCATTAGATGTGACAGATTCTCGTTTTTCCTCAAAGAGAGGCTCGACGGCACAGATCAGAGGGGATTTAAATTGATCCAAGAACGAGTAAGCTGTTTTAAGTTTTTCCAAGTATGATTTTTTAGATGATTCATCAATCTTTTTCTTTGCTAGATAGGTATTATCAACATATGAGTTATCTGAGAATATTCTCTTAACCCAGAGAACTAGATAAATGTTTGGATTCTTATCCTTCACAGAAAATATAGCCTTCATCTTGGCCTCTGTACTAAGTAAATCTTTAGGGAAAGATTTTTCAATTCCCAATTGGGTAAGAGTTCCCATACCAGTGTTCAAAGTAAAATTGAACTCTTCTGAAATTCTTGATTCTGTCTTTTTATCATACAGATACAGTGTCGCATAGAGTGGTTCCAGATTAATATCAGTATTTTCAAATATTAAACCTTTGGCATTGATGAGAATTTTGAGAGATTGATCGACTTGGAAAGGATTTGAAGGTATTCCTCTCTTGCAAACATCCTCTTCCAAATTTGACAGTCTATAAAAAGGGTTATAGATTGAGGCAACTCTATTTGAAGTTTCTTCATACATCTTTTCGGATACTTCTCGGAAGTTTAACTCTGTGTTAACAATTTCTTCTTCTTCCTCTTCTTCTACATCAACTTCTAATGTTTCAAGATCGACATCACTTCTTCTTGGGTCAACTAAACTACTACCACTATTGGTCAAAATCATTCCCAAACCAGTATTGGAAGCAGATGAATACTTGCCTCCTAAATATTCTTGTGAGTTGACAGAAAGATAATTCGTTGAAATTGGAGAAAATGATGAACTGGCAGGAGGAGCAACATTCACAGTTGGGTTGGAAAGTACATTATTGGTAGTGTTACTTCTAGCTTTAAGTCTTTTTGGAGTAAGAGGTAGAGAGGCACTTGGAGTAAGAGATGGTTTGTAAGGTGAATCATCAATTCTAATCTGATTGGCTGATAGTGGAGCAGAAATTGGTACAATTGTACTTCCGATTTGTGAGCTAATAAGTAAATTACAAGTGGTTGATGTAGAATCAGACAATTGCTTTCCTGTAATTGGATTCAATCCAGCCTTTGCGCTCATCTCCAAATCCCAATCCAATTGATTTTTAATTTTCGAACCATCTAAATTATTATTATTAATTCTAACAATTTGTTTTTCATCTAGAATTAATCGTGTTGCAAATTGAAGAGCAGGATGATCGGAAAGTGAATTATTAAGAATTTGTCTAATAGATTCATCATTATTTGATGTTAGTACATCATTAAAGTGGATTGGTAAATTCTCATGAACCATCTCTATGAAATTATCTGGTGGTGAAAAGAGAGGATGTTCCACAAAATCATCAGATTGTTTTGGTCGACTTGTAACTGGTACATTTGTTGTTGCTGTTGTTAGACCATTAGTATTATTACCTGTTGTACTAGTGGTTGTTGATGAATTATTGTTTCTACATTCTGTATTTTCCTTCTGTGGTGATACTTGTTGTTGATCAACTTCATTTTCTTGTGAGAAGACTTTAACTCCAACAGCCGATGATGCTGCAAGAGGAGAAGAATTCTTGAAGGAAGATGATTTGCTGTTGGTGTTGGTGGAGGAGGCAGACGATGGGGTATTAGAAGGTCTGGGGGATCTAGGAGTCAAATTTGCTGATTCAAACCTGAGAGCACTTGGTAATCTCTTCAGATTGGAGTTTGATGCTGCTGCCAAGTGATTGCCTCTTGGAGAGGAATAGGAAGATGGTTGTCCATTTGGTGAATGATCGTTTTCCACAACTTTTGGCAAATTGTGTAATTGTAACTTGTGTTGGAGCATGATTTGAGAAAGGGACTGTTGTTTCACTTCCACTGGTACCAAATTATCCATTGTTTGATTTGTTGTTGTTGTTGTTTGATTATTGTTATTTGGAGATGGAGTATTTTCCTCATCATCACTTTCAATAGATTGAATATCATTTAAACTTTCATCGTCAACATAATCGTCATGTGATGGATAAAATTCCTCTTGTTCCTTCTTTTGTTGTTCTGTTTTGTGAAAGAAATTATCTAATAGAAATCTTTGGAAAATACAAACCTGCAATTTCATTGACAGTTTTTAATAATACAACTGGAAATTGTCGTAAATTATCAAGAAGTTGGTCTAAATCGAAAAATTTGTTAATTGACTCTTCGTTGGTAGAAATGGTGATGAATGTGTCATCCTCTGTGTTAGAGTTTGACATTTTTTTGTGACTGTTGACGGTTGGCATTTCTCAACTTCCACACTTTGACAATAATATTTGGGAATTGAATAAATTTATGTTTAAATTATGTTGAAATATCTAAAACTTAACCAATCTCACAACAATTTATTCAATCACGAAGTCTGAATGACAAATTGTAATAAATTATTCTAAATAAAAAAAATTGAAAAGCAAACAATTACCTATTTTCTCCACCAGATTATCTATTATTTATGAAATATTTAGTTATTATTATATACAGCGTATATAGAACGATATCTTTACAGAATTCCAAGTTATGTATCTTTCATAAATGTCTTTTTGTTTTTGTTCCTGAGATTTCGGTCTAGATCCTATAAGTTTTTATCCTTTCGCTTCTCAACAGATCATTGAGATGTTTTATTCCAAGAAATCAACCTATTCTAAAAATTACACAGTAACATCGTGAACCGAATTTTTCGGCTGGAGTACTCGTAACAACTATTAAAAAAATGGTGAAAAAGAAGGAAAGCGATATCGGTTTATCCCTCCTGCTTGGTAACTATGATGATATCCTTGACAAGGATATGGTAAGCAGCTTGGGAGGTATTGGTAACAAGTTCGGATTTGGTTTTATGGATGAGGAAAAAAAAGATGATGAAAGTGATGATGATAGTTTAATTAGTGATGAAGAGTATACGGGATTGGAGCAAGACGCTTCTTTCGAAGAAGAATATCCAGCTAAATTTGTTTTATCGGTTGATGATGATGAAAATCCTCTGTTACGATTTTCCGAACTCTTTGGAGCTAAAGAGCAAAAGAAGAACAAACATAAAGCCTTCAACATGAAAGGATTAATACAAAAGATGAAAGATCACGCAAAAGTTACCTATAATTTGGAAGATGGAGATGACGATGAAGACTTGTTTTTCGAGAATGACATTCGGGTTGATCCTTCTACAAAACTAACAGAGACAGCAAGTGTTGATCAATCTTCCGAATCGGCTGAAGATGAAAAGCCATCCTCTGTAAATTATTTAAAACAATCACAAATGGATATAATTTCTCAACGTTGTTCCGTAGAAAATGTTGATCAAGTCAACTGGGAAGAGAACATTGTATGGGATTTGGTGAAACTTGAAGACAAGGAATCCAAAAAACAACCAGAACAAACAACACCTAAGCCAGTATTTGAAACTAACAAATCCTCTATTTTGGGATTAAATACAATTTTCAGTTCCCACAAAGACTTTCAAAGCAACAAAATTAATGAAGTTCCTGATTTGAGTGGAATTCCCAAACTCAACACAAAGCAGGAAGGAGCTTGGGGTGAAATAGCTGAAAAAAGTGAAGAAACCAAACCAAAAGATACATCAAAATCAGCAAATACTGAAACAAAAGATGCTCAGACTCCTTCTGCCACAAGCAATACATCAACTACAACACCTCTCATAAAGGAGCAGGAACCAAATCCTTCCCAACCTCATAGTACTGATTTGGCCGAGTCAGATCCAAACTTTCCAAGGGATGAAAGTAAAAAACCAAAGAGAAAATATACAAGAAGAAAGAAGAAGGAAAGGGAGGAAGAAGAAGAATCAAAGTTCAAGAACAGAATCAGCACACTCAGAAAGGTTACATTTGACCCTGTTGCTGACGATTATGACGACGAACAAGTCAAATTCTTGAATGAACAATTAATGAATGGAGATTGGATGGATGATATTTATTGGGATGAATATGATGCCAGCAAGAAACAAGCTAAAAATACCAAACTTATCATTGACATGAACGACAAGTCAATGTTTTTCAATGAGTCTGATGGCCAATCCAATGTAGACAAGGATGAAATATTTGATACTATTGAATATAACATTTACAACATTTCAAATGACAGCAAATATGAAGGTCAAACTATCAAGGACCAATCTCAAAAGACAACAGCTAAGAAGTATACTGTCAGACATTCCCAACCTGCACTCAAATTGGATCCAAAATTGTACAGAAGCTATATTCCTGATAATGAATTGCGTAGACACCACCACAGAAAGAACAAATTCAAAAATAATGAAATAATGACTGTAGTTTTCAGAAAACCAAAGAAAGAGAAAAAAAAGTCAAAAAAGAGAAAGGACATTGAAAAAAAGCAGGACCTATCTGCGAACGATCACCGTGTTATTCTTATGGAATATGTTGAAGAACGTCCATCCTTGCTTAACAACGTTGGTATGGGTACTATGATAATGAACTATTACAAAAAACCAAATTCTGCCTTTGACAGTGTTCCTGAGTGTGAAGATGGTATTCCAATTGTTGTAGAATCTGAGGATGGTGTACCATTGATTAATACTCTTGTAGATGGAGAATTTTTTACAACAACTGAAAACAACATGTTCCGTGCTCAAATCTTCAAACAAGAAGTCAAAAGCACAGACTTTTTACTCTGTACAAGAAAGGCTTCAGGTGGCAAAACCAAATTCTATATTCGTGAAATTCCAAGAGAGTATGTCGTTGGCCACACTCAACCACAAGTTGAAGTAACTCCACCAAGAACTCGTGCTTCTGAAAGTTACACCAACAATAGACTTACCTTATTTATTTACAGATCTTTCCTAGACCAGATGAAGAAAGGAAAGAAACAACTCAAAATCAAAATTGATGATATCAAGGAAGCATTCCCAGATTTTCCTCATCAAACAATCAGAGAAAGACTCAAAGCTTTGGCAACCTATGATAGAGGAAGTGGTGTTTGGACAGCCCATCCATCAAAACCTATTCCATCAGAGGAGGAATTACAAAATTTGGTCTCACCTGAAATGGTTTGCATTAATGAATCTATGCTTTCAGGTGATTTAAGATTGAATGACAAGGGTATTGACGATGAAGCATCCATGGTCGCCTTTGAACTTTCATTTGCAAGAGTTGAAGAGAAGTATCGTGATACTATTAGATTTATCGAGAGAGAAAAGATTGAATTACCTTGGGATAAAACTAATAACTTCCACTTGTGCTTTAAAGGTGGTAAGGAAGGTGTCAAGTTACAACTCTTAGGAGTTATTCACCAAAATATTACAAATCCTGACAAACTTAAGCAATTAGTGGAAGAAACCGAGAAGAGAATTCAAAGCGAAATTGAAGAAATTTTACCTTCCATGACAGATACTGAGGCTAAGAGGATTTTAATCAATAACAAGTATACAGAAGACCAATTGAAGAATATGACAAGAGCTGATAGAAAGATGAATGCCAGAAAAATTCTTAAACAACAAGGTTATCAACCAGGTGTAGAATATGTAAATAGAGAAACATTATTTGACATTAATACCAACAGTGCTATGGATAATACCAATGGTGCTATGGATAATAATGCCATTGATAGCAGAAAGAATGCTAAAGATATTGCCAGAATTAACATTTTCAAAGAAGTGTTACAAGATGTCTACTTTAGAGAGGCCATCAAATTACAACGTGGCTTGAATTTCTACGAGACACCTGATGACATTATTGACAAGTTGGTGGAACAAAAGCTTGGCCGATCAAAGGCAGATAAGGAGGAGTTGGATAAGTTAATGAATAGCTCTATCCAACAAAAACTCAAAGAAATGGATGAGGCTGAGGCTGAAACTGGTAAAAAAAAACGTGGCAGAAAGAGTAAACAGCCAAGTGTTGTTGAAATTGGAAAACGTTATGTGAAGAAGACGACATTTATTGCCAATGACGATGGCACTCAAACTGAAAAGGTTGAACTTATCAAGAATCCAACCCAGGTCAGTTATTATGAATTGGTCAGTAAGGGCAAAAGAAGAGCCAAACACTTTTTGGGTGCAACAGAAGAGGAAGTTTTACTTGTAGGACCAAGAGAAAGAGGTAGACTTCAAGCTCTCTCCAGAGAATTCAAAAAGAAGTTCCGTTCTGATAAGCACACAGCTAGTGAGAAACTGAATCAGGACAAGAAGAAGAAAACCACAGCCATCAAGAATGCCTCTGTTACAACAACCAGAAAGCAACAAACTAAACAAAAAAAGTTGAAGAGGGAACAGAAGAAAGAGGAAGAAATTCAAAAGAAGGAAAAGAGAGCTGCCATCATCAAAAAGCTGGACATAAGTGATGGCACTCCAATTATTTCAGATAAGAAAGACAAGAAGAAAAAGAAAGAACGTTCTGAAGGGGAAAAGAAACGTAAATCAACTTCTGACTCAGGTTCCTCTAAGAAGAAAACCAAGAATGAAAAAGTGGCTTAAATAAATTGTTTTTTTATTGATTTTGAAGCACCACATAATTGACTAAGGACCCAGACATGATTACCAATTATCAAAAATGGTGAGAGTTTATAGTAGCAAAAGAAATGTTAAATGAAATTTAAAGAATTCTGTCCTTCTTCCACAAAGCAACAGTAGCATTCTTGGATTGTTCATGCCATACTTGCCAGTGAACAGGTCTTCCATCAACAGATTCAGGATTGATTTGTTCGAGCTTGTCAGCTATAACATCAACTTCCTTATAAGCTTTTCCAAAAGAAGTAAATTCCAAAGAGTGAGCTTCAGCAAGATTGACATAAGCTTCAGCATCAGTCTTGACTTGTTCTTCTTCGTGATGTCCTAATTTACGAACAAACTTGGCAGGTGATCCAGCCCACATTTCACCATGTGGAATTCTTCTTCCAGGTGGGACTAAAGAACCAGCAGCAATGACAACATTATCTTCAATTACAGCACCTTCGAGAATGGTTGCGTTCATTCCGATAACACATTCATTACCAATACGACAGGCATGGAGCTTTACACCATGTCCAATAGTGGTGTGACCTCCAATAACAACATTACTGTCAAAACCACCAAAGTTTGGCTTATCATCAGTTGTGATAACAACACCATCTTGAATATTAGTGTATCCTCCTATTTCAATACTATTCTTGTCTCCTCTCAAAACAGCGTTATACCAAACATTTACATGATCACACAATCTAACATCACCAATAACAGTGGCGGATGGAGCAACCCAAACACCACCAGCTTGAATAGATGGATCGTATCCGTTGAACCAAACAAATCTTCTATGACGATTGTACAATTCAAGGAATTGTTTGTATAATTGACCCAAAGCTCTTCTTCCCTTGTGGTTTGGTACTTCTGGTTCCGGAACAGGAACGTATGTACTTGGATATTCAGCTGGATAATTACTATTTTCAAGGATTTCTCTGTCTGGTAAGAAGACTAAACGATCCTTTCTTTGTTTATGTAAAATATGTTGTTTACCAGAGAGAACATCCTGGTCATCCAAACCAGTACTTCTTACAGCACGAGCTTGAGCGGTACTGGCGTTTGTACCTCTTTTCATTACTTCCACATATTGTTCGTTCAATTCTTCGATTCTTGTCTTTGCCTTTCGCTCCAACAAGCTCTTAGCGAGTCTTCTCATCATTTTTTTAAAATTACAAAAAATTATTTAAAATATTTATTGTTGTGATGGCTTTAATAGAGTGAATCCACAATAGTTAAAATCAAAATTAATTAGAAATGGTTTCCATCATTATGAATGATATCGTGTCCATCACTACTGGAGAGTAATATTTACCTCCAAAAATCATCACCAAACTACAACCCGCCAAAATTTAGAACAATAAAAAAAATGAATGAAGAGGGAAACAAATTCAACTCAAAGACAGACTTTTCATTTGGAGGGGAACCTTATACGGTGTATTTTACTACACCTGACACGGATAACTTGATGCTGACCATTGAGCATAGAATATCTTGTGATCGGTGGTGTGGTAGATATAGTAGTCAACGTAAGTAAACATAAATTAATGATGGAAAATTAGAAAATTGGATCAGACATACAAACCTTGACTAGCAAAGCGAATAGTTATAAACAATTCCATACCTTCCTAAAAATGATATATCAAGCTTTGATGAAGAAATCAAATTCCGTTTCTTTGGATTTCATCACAAAGAATCAAATGGAAGTTTTATTTCAAAAGAAGCCATCATCAAAGGGATCTCCCTTAATGGAGGATGACTCGAAAAATTCAATGTCTCCTCCGAATACAAAATATTTAATTGTAATTTATTATACAGAATACGATTGTGTCAAATATCCACTTCCGCTTGCCTATGAGGAACCTAATGTAGAAATTTTGAAAAATATGATTCAGTCATTGAGAACGGAAAATGAACAACTTAGGAAACCAAGTAAGGAGTAAGTAGTATTTATAAATATTAGTCTAGATTGATTGTGTTAGTATTGATAAAATAGCTAGGGAAAAGAAAGAAATTGAGGAAAGCTACAGAAAACTGCAAGTAGAATCGGCCAATGAAGTGAAACATGTCAGAAAGCAATACGATGAAATTGCAAGAGAGCTTCAGTCTCAAACTATTGAAAATGAAAGGCTGAAGAAACAAGTACTTCACTCTAATAACACTAGGAATGCTGAATTTGAGGAAAAGATTTTACAATTAAAGAAAGAGCTCAAACAAGCAAAAGCAGAAATAGATATTTTAAAGGTTGAAAATAATAGATACTATTCCAGTAAACCGAGTAGTGATGGAAGATCAAGCCCAGTAATCAAATCCTCTAGAGCAAGGTCTCCCTCTCCAAAAGTTTCTTCATCTCCTCGAATTGAAAGAAGTAGATCTCCTTCTCCTGGAAGAAAAGTATTGACTAATAGTGTAGAAAAACGAACATCGAACAGATCTTCAACCGAGAAACACAGAATTGACAAGAAAGGTTATGAATCTCCCAAGTCAACAAAGCTATCCCTTCCAAAACCACCAACCTCCTCAAACAATAGAGGATCTAGGTCAATATCTCCTTCACTTCGCTCAAAAACGCCCACATCTACAAAAGAAATACCAGAAAGAAAACCATCCAGAGGAAGAGTTTCAAGCTCACCATCTAGGGCAAGGCAGATGCCAGAATCTCCAAGAAGACTATCAAGCTCAAAATTGGAGGATAAAAAAAGAGGAAAACCAATTAAGAAGACTTATTATGACACCTCAGAAGATGAAAGTGAATTGGCAAGCAACACTGATATGTACTCTTCACATGCCAGTGCTTACATATCTGATGATTATTCAGATTATAGTTATACTTCTGAGGATAGACGAAGCTACACGCGAAGTTCATCAAGAGGCAAACAGCCCACCTCAGGTAAATCTAAGAGTAAACGATAAATATAAAATGTTTTCATTCTTTGAACATTTTGTTTCACTATCTGAGATTATCTACGACAAATAGAAAATAGGACATCATAACGAACAATGTAGATAACTTGTCGTTAAGAATCAAAAATGGCGCCTTTTTCAGTTACAGCAACAATTAAAAAAAATGAGAAGAGCTTCATCAGACTCACAAAACAACAGACTAACGATAAGCTTGAATAGTTTGAAGGAATTCAAATCAGAGGATACATCACGGAATGAAAATTTCTTATCTTCTAAACATCAAATTTTTAAACCTCAAAGTGCATCTATGCACAGACCTATGAGGCAAACTGTAACTAGGGATCTTTCTTCATCAATTCCAAGACCAAAAACAACTGCTGCCTCTTTTTCCAGTTTATCAAATATTAATGTACAAAGCAAACAATCTCCCTTAGGAACACTGACATCAAGAAGAGCAGATTCAAAAAGCAGTACAATTGATGATACAGGATCGTTAAAGCGAAATCACAAACCACCTTTAATTATCAATGTGTATCCATCTCTCCCTAACCGTTTTACTTATGAATCGGATGACCTGGCACACTACTTGAATGTCCTTAAAGCCTGCAAGCAACCACTTTATCCAATCACCAATCAAGAACAAGAAAAGAGGAAGCAAATTTACTCGACACTTGCTTTTATCATGTCTGCTTTCCAATACCATGATAAAATTGTTCATTCATCTGTCGAACCAGACGAGCATAGTATTCAAAATGTATCATATGGACATCCTCAAGATCTATTTCAAGTTTGTTGTTATTTGTTGAGGGAAAACCTAAGTTATACTAGTGAAATAGACCATTTGAAATCTCAAATGATTGAAAAGGACAGAAAAATTGAGGAATTTCATAAGAAATATGAATCTAAGAATGATCATGATTTGGTAAAGTTAAATCCTTCCCAAAACGACTTGAACAATCTGCAGGAATCTGTATCCAAACTGGAACAAGATATTTACCATCATGATCCAATATTGTACAAAGAAATAATTGAAAAAACCGAGGAAGAAGATCTGTTACAAAGTGTTGGTCCAGAAACCATTAAAGACCAATTTCTCAACACCAAAGATGCGGTGCCAAGACTTCCATCCCTTATAAGAAATTCCGATAACACTAAATCTTTCCAAAAGAAGAAAAAGCTAACAAAGGAAGAATCCCATACCGAAAAGTATACTAAATGTCTACAATACAAGATGAAATTGTTGGAAAATCTTATATTTGTATTGAAGAAGAAGGTTCAAAGATATGAACAATCTGATTCAGACATCAGAAAACTAGTTAAGAATTGGGGAACCTTACCTGAGCTGCTGAAGGAGAATGAAACGATGAAAAAGGAGCTCAATTTTTACAATTGGGTTACTCAGAGGTTTGATACAGAATTGTTGTTGAAACACAAGTATTTGTATTTGGATGACGTGTACATGCTTCGTTCCGTCATATTTGCCTTGCAAAATGAGTTATAGTAAGTTTCAACATTTTCTTAATTATCAACTTTTAAAGTGTTGCTCAAATTGGGTTATCCAAGTACAATGAAATTCAAAACAAAATTCTCAAGATAATGACGACAGAGAGACCAGAAGAAATGACTAACAAACACAACACACTAGAGTATTTAATGACAGAACTGTTTATGACAGACAAACAAAAGTTTGAATATGAAAAGAAGAAAGAGGCCAAAAGAATGGTAGCAGAGGAAAATAACAAGAGTTCAGTTAAGGAAGAAACTGAACCATCATTAATAGAACTTAAAAATACGCTGAGATCTTTGGAACACGAGAACAAATTTTTGACAAACCAAGTCTCAAGATTGGAATTCCAAGTGTCTGATCTAAATAGTGCCATGGAGCTTTTAAGAGAAGATGTGACAGGAGAGAGAAAGGTAGAAATTAAGGAAAGAGAAACGATGATAAGAAAATTAAGTGGAAGAATTGATCGTAAGTTTTATATTTTAAAAAATTTGCTAATATTAGATAACAGAGCTTAATAAGACAGCCTCTGAAAGAGAAGTGTACTTCCTGTTCCAACAACAATTGGTTCAAGAGTTGACAGAGAAAAGGGATAAATTATTTGATGAAAATTCCCAAACAAATGAAAGACTCATCAATGCTAGGAATAATGTTGTTTCATTAAGAAGTAAACTAGATCATCAATCAAAAGGACTTCAAGTAATGTTCCAAATTACATCATCACTACTTCACTTTTTCATGAAATCTAATGGGAAAAAACTTCCAGAGAAACTCTCTCCTCAGAACAATGTTAAAATTATGTTTGGGGATGTTTTCTCGGCTTATTTGATTCAAATGAACGCATGTGTTAGAATTCAATCTTGGTTTAGAGGAATCCAAAAACGAAAAAGATTACTGCAGTCTGAGAAACATTCTTCATTTGTTCGAAAGATGTTAACAAAACGAAAATCTATGGATAGATGGAGACCTGTTGAAGCTAAAAGCACTACTGAACCACCTTTATTCTCAGTTTTTACAGACTTTTTGAAAGTCATCTCTACAAGCTCTCAACAATCTACTGAGATGTTACAACAAACGAATGGATTGATACATGCTTTCAAACACGAAATTGTTGGAAGATTTAAATCAAAGATTCAAGAAGAACTCGAGCAATGTCGAAAGGAAACAATTGAAACAAGTGAACAGCTTCTTTCAACTCTTAGAGAAGTTGTTCTCAAACCTAAGAGTGAGAGAGCATGTCAAACAGAGAAGATTGAATTGAAGAGTAGAGGGGTGCAGAATGGGGTATCACAGGTCTCTAATGTAGAACTAAGAAAGTAACAGTAAAATCACATCATTTTATTGAGCTATTGATGAGGTGTTCTATTGAACCACTGCCTCTTCTTGCATAAATTAGGGATGGTTGATTGTCTCCTCGAATCTCGAGGTGTGTTCCTGGATTTTTTCGGTACTCAGATCCATTCAAATGTCCTCTATCAATGTGAAAGAATTGAAAGCAATCTGTAAGTTCTTCAAAGAAGCAATCCAGCATAAGTTTACCTACAAAATCATGTCACGAAAATTTGCTTGTTTTGGTGTTTTGACAAAATATTCGGTAATGACAATAATAATTGAATAAAATACTTAATAAAAAAAATTACAAATGAGAAAAAAGAATGGTGTATCCACCAACAGAATTACATTTTTCATCACAGCCTGGATACTGTTTAAAATACTTCTCCTAGGCCAAGTGTTTAGTGATCCTCTGCCTGATCATCCTCTTCAATCGCTTGACTTTTCCGAAGCTTATCCATACATTCAACATATAGATTCGTACATTCAATACAAAACACAATTACAGCAATTCCCAAACATGTTATTATTTATTTATCTTCCGTGGGATAGTATAGCTTTGTATGGAGTTAGAAAATCTATTTTAGAGCTTTTCAGACAATATCAATTGGCAGGAAATTTATTTCAAGAATACAACAACACAACGATATATGGATTTATTAATAAGAATGATAGAAAATCAAACGGAATTGATACAGAGGAGAGATTTATTATCCGAGCAATTAATTATTTTAATATTGTAGACAAGGATATGAAAGAAAAAATTGTTATTTTAACATCACCTCAACTTAGATTTATTTTGAATGGAAACCAAGAAAAGTACTTCTTCTACAGCCACTATTCTTCATTTTTGATGGATAGATTTATTACATTGTCATTACACAGGAAACCTTTAGGATTTAACGACTACATTAATGATAACACTACATTGATTCATAATGAAGTTTGTCTAGGAGATGAAAGGAATATGGATTATGTGAATCAAGCAATGGAAAATATTCTTGTGGATGAACACCTTTTGATAGGATACTTTTATGATGGATCAGATCATGTAAATAATCATAACTACTATCTTCAAAAATACTATAACATTACATTCAATTATGTACAACCATTGCGAGTGAAATTTGTAATTCTAAAGAGTGAAAGTGAATACAAGAGTTATTTCTCTTGCCATACCATGTTGAAAAGTGCCATTACAAATTTTCAAAAATCACAAGTACTACTCTACAAGTATGTCAAGAACGAATTTGAGACATTTGATGGGGAATCGAGGTTAATAACAGATTGGTTGATTGAAAAATATGAACCCTTAGTAGGAGAGTTACAATCACAAAGTTCTTCAACATTTTTAAAACAAGAAGAGACTGTTATTCTATTTTTGGAGGATAGGAATGATTTACTTATATCAAAATTAAAGCACTTGTCATACGAAATTTACAAGCAATCAGGAAAGCAACCACATATTTCATTTGTTGAAAAAGAATTTGGAAGAAACCTGTTTAGATCCCACATCAAAGTAAAAAATGGAAAAGAATTGACAGTTTTCAATTTTGATGAATATGTAAAATTCCCATCCCTTATGATTAATATTAACAATACCATTTACTTTTTAGACAAGTGTATTAATGGAAAGTTTGAGGATCAAGATATTTTGTTAAAATGCTATAGTAAATTCAAACACGATCCCTCTCAATTCATCCACCATAATAGCAAGAGCACAAAGTCTGGAATCTCATATTCAACCCTATCAATGATTATGAACCTTAAATTCAGACCAAAGGTTACTCTAATTTATTTGTATTCATCATCCTTTGGAAGTTCATATTACTATCACTCTATGTTGAACGAAATAGATCAAGAAACTAACTTATTTATGGATATATTTTATTATGATGTTAAATATAATGATATTCCAGAGCTTATTTCAAGGGAACACAATTTACAAGTTGAAAATTTACCATATTTTATAATTATTTCTCAACATGGAAAAATCAAATTCTACAACAATAATTCTATTTCATATACACTTTTGAAAAAGTGGATTATTGAAAGTATTGCATTTTCTGTGAATACAGCAGTAGATATTTCTTCGAATGAATTAAATGTTTATTGATTCATCATTCTATCAATCTCTTGTCTAACGATGATTATTCTTTCATTATCCAACTCGTGAAGTAAATCCAATACTACATTCAATAATACATTTCTGTTGACTGTTGGAATTTGATTACCTTTTGGATATTGTTGATCATAAGCAACTGAACGTTGATTGGAGGAATATCTTCTATGTTGAGCTGATTGTTGGTTGTACACATTTTCTTGGGGAGGATAATATGGAATATTACCTGGCAAAACTTGTGGAGAAGATTCCCATCTCGATCTTTGGTTTGTACTTGCCCTTTGAGGTGGATAGTTCACCATTTGAGGATCATAGCTTTCTTCATAACCTTGATAAGGTTGCTGTCCGTATCCTTGTTGTACATAATTTTGATTGTATTGAGGCTGTTGTTGGTTGTAATTCTGATATTGACCCTGCTGCATTTGGTATGGTGGTTGTTGGTTTGCACTTCTTCTATCCTGTACAACAGGTGGTTGATTCATTGAAACATCTTCATATTGCATTCTTGATTGTGGTTGCTCGTTAACTTGTTTTTGAACTCTTTGTGGTATTTCCTCAACCTCTTGATGTTTGGAAAGAACAACAAAATCTTCTTGTGTTGGTTGAGGCTGTTGTGGAATTGGTGATTGTTTTACACTTTCTCTTACCGAAGGAGAAGCACTTCTTGATGGATTCTTTACAGCAACACCTCCACCAATAGGTGTATCATCATTTCTCAATCTTCTGGCATTTTGCTGAACTGGAATATCTTGCATTACATCTAATGATTCTAATGGTTGATGAGATGGTTTTGGTGAATCCTTTTTTGGTGGAGTTCTGGATAGTTTATGTCTAGGTTTAGCCACAACTTCAAATTCACAGTCTTCTGAGACTTGGGTTGGTGTCTTTGAGACTGGTGGAGATTTTTGTTTTGGAGAAGGTGATCTTCTTTGCTTATTCTGATCAACAGGCACTCCCAATTCTCTTCCCTTAAATTGTTTTGCTTGGTCTCTTTCCTCGTTTGTAATGTCTTTGATATTAATTTTCTAGATCATTCCAATCTTCTCAATAACTTACCATCATCATCGAGTTTTGTTAATCCATCCAAGAAGGAGATAACTCTCAACCTGTAATTCTCAACGTCAGCGCAAGGATTTCCAGCCAACCACAACACTTTAAGATTCTTTAATTCCTTCAAATATTCCACCTCTGCAAGCTCCTCAATTTTGTTCTTTCTCAAGTAGAGCTCTCTCAATTTTTGGCCTTCCAAACAAATGGGTCAAATTTAATTATTATGAAATACAAACAATTTTCAAAAGGCTTCAAGGTTGTAATATTATTTACACTGAGGGAAACCACTTCAACAAATGGCATCTCCGAGATAATAGAAACATCGGTCAGCTCTTGCCCCCAAAAATTCAAATTCTTAACGTTTGCAATATTATCCAATCTAGTTTTACCTAGAATGAAGTTTTTGGTTAGCACTCTGTCACCCATTTTCTTTCTGTTTTTTTTATTTTTTTGTAGAGAAATTAGGCGCGAAACTGTTGCCCATCAATGTCAACGTCGAATGAATTAAATTAAAAAATGAAAGAAGTCAACAAAACAAAAGCACTGGTGGGTGTAGTACTCGGTATTTCCATCCTCCTCCTTGTTTTTTACATTCTCACAGGAAAACAACACCAAGTAAAAGTTGTAGAATATGAGCCACCAAAAACAGAACAATCAAAGCCAATATCTAAGCCATCGGATCCTCCTCAACCACCTAAACCACTTCCAAATCCTAAAGTTGGTACAAGAAGTTTATCTAATTTAATGCCAAAGGAAGATCAAAAGTTTGTAGTTTCGTATGGATTATACGGAGGTGATCCAAAATATACAACAGGAGCTATTAGAAATGCCGAATTGGTTCGTTACATTTATCCTGGATGGGTTTGTAGATTTTATCATGATAACACAGTCCCAAAGAATGTTTTAACTCAACTCGAAGAATTAGGAGCTGAATTAATTAATGTTGCAAATGATGGTATGAGTGGAGGAATTGGAGGTATGTTTTCAAAATAGGTATTGTTTAATCAAAATTATGTTAATAGGAATGTTTTGGAGATTTTTAGTGGCTGGAGACGAAACTGTTGACAGATATATTGTAAGAGATTCTGATTCAAGATTAAATGCAAGAGAAGCAGCCGCAGTTGAGGAGTGGATTGAAAGTGGATATCCAGTCCACTCAATGAGAGATCACTTGGGTCACGACGCACCAATGAATGGTGGAATGTGGGGAGGTGTTAAAGGAGCTATTCCAGATATTATTGCAAAGATTAAAGCATGGCCAAATAGAGATCAATTTTGGATGGACATGAACTTTTTAGCCAAAGATATTTGGCCATTAATTAAGGATAAAACTCTTTCGCACGATTCTGTAGTTTGTACTAAATACCCAAACTCTAAATCTTTCCCAACAAGAAGAATTGCTAAGGAACATGTCGGTCAAGTATTTGATGCTTTAGAATCTCCAAGACTTGGTGATATGAATGATGGTCGTATGGATACACCTTCTCCAATGGCTTGCAGAAGAAAACCTGAATGGACACATGGATAACTGTTTCTAATAAACATTTAGCTCATATTTTCTCAATTCGCACCAGATTTTTGCATACCCCTACAGCTCGTTTACTTCACTTTTACTCTCTGTAACGGTAGAATGAACCTTTTATTACACAAGCTCCGTTTTCTCTCAATGGTGTGTTTTGAATACAGAGGAATAGAAATCTAACCCAAAATAACAAGAACTCTTTATATTCTATCAATGACATTTGTTTTGTGCTACCATTCCCTTATTAAGTAGTAGCCGTGCTACCAACCGCGTTGGTTTTAGTTATCCTGGTACTGCACAAAAGTCTCTTGACGACTTTGCAATTTTGTTTGGAAATGTATTGATTAGGTGGTATGTTCGCAGAGCAACACAGAATAGTGGATTTATATTTTCATAAATATTTGAACCCAAGAAATAGCAAAGTGTGTAGGAGTTGGTAAATATGTTGATCAATTTTTGTTTGAATATGAACCTAAATCAGGAAGACCAGTGGAAGAAAGAGAGAAGAGTTCCAGTGATATAATTGAATTTATTCATTTACCAGGAATTTGAAATAGTGGTGTCTCCATCACATGTCTATCTAATTATTAAGGACAAACTCTTCAGGTCCTTGACTTGACAAATGCTTCAATGCCTACCTGTATTTTTGTCTGCTGACTGCGTTATCGATCTTTGTTTAATTGTTCCAAGTACCATGCTTGTTTTGAAGAGTTGATGTAACATTTATTCCACTGTAAAAGATGCAGTAATAATACACCGTGATCGCTCCTGTAAACAATAGATTTAAAGAATAATTATAAATTAAATGAATTAGCCAATCTGTAAGCCCATTAATAAAACTTAATAAAAAATGTACTCTCAACCAGGAATGTATACTATGTCTCCACAAATGATAGCAGCTGTAGGTGTTGGCTGCAATGTTACTTCATCATCCAAATATGATGATAATCACTCTGTGGAAGGTATTGTCCTTAATCAAGTTAGAACAGGAGGACTTGCTTCTTCCTGGTGCGCAAAAGAAAATAATGTAAATCAATGGGTTAAGATTTATTTTGGTGGTAACGATTTCTATGTCCATAAGATTTCTATCCAAGGTCGTCATGAATTCCAACAATGGGTTACAAAGTTCGGATTGGAGTACACTGTTGATGGTATTAGATGGGAGAAAGTGCATGATGGAAATCCAGCAGCTTATCACATTTTTGCTGGAAACAACGACTGCACCACCGTTGTTGAGCAAAACATCTACCCTGTCGTGGCTAAGGCTGTTAAAATTGTTCCTTTAGAATGGCACGGACATATCAGTATGAGATGTGAAGTTTTTATTACAAAGCACTAAACAAATTTTAGAGATCCAAAACTCGCTCAATTTACTTTTGTCGCAAAGGAAGACTTTGCTGGTGAATGGTTCCATGTTACACGACAAACATATTTCAACAATGTAGTAGGCCTTAAGAAGTCTTTTCTTTAGTCTAGCAAAACTATTGGGAACATTAAGTTTCCAACCTTCAACGTCTGCAAAAAATTGAAGAGCTGGCTTCAAATTGGTTAAATCATACTCTTTCTTATTAACTGAAAGGTAAGCTGCAAAGCGTTCTATTGCATAAGGATTGGATCTTGGAATATTGTGAATCACTAAGAACCATTAAGGATATCCTTAATAGTATCGGGAACCAATGAGAAGTTGGCCACTCCGGCACAACAAAAGTTCCTTTCGCTCTCGATTTGATTAGATGGAAAAGAGCTTGGGGGTTCAGACCTAAAGGAGGCACGCAATAATTCAGTGAGTCTTTCTCCCAAAGTTGACCGAATGCATCGTTTTCCATCCAACTGTTGTAAGTTATTGTCAAGGCAGATTCTGATCTTTCGAAACTGTATGGTGACCGAATTCTTCTTCTACCAAATCTATCAATTCTTGCGAAGATTTCCAATCTCCTAATCTGCTTAGTCTGCAATCTTGCTGATGTGCCAATCTTCTTTGATTAAGATTATCCAAATGTCTCTTGCAATTTCGGATAAATGACTGAGATAGCCGTAACCTTTTGCTACATAAGATAGAGCTGTTGGGTTGTCCCCTCTTATTTCGAAGTGAGTATCTTTGGGAAACAATCTCAATCTGCTTGCTTCTTTGAAGAATTGAAATATCGCCATCAATTCTTTCAAGTTGATTGATGAATCTATTTCGAACTTGCCTACAACGATAGTTTTTGAGGACTGGATTGCAAATCCTTCCAGAGATGCATCTGAATTGGTTATTATTGACTCTGGAGCGTCGAGTTCTAACCAAGAGCCTTTGGATGATTGGATAATTTTTCGTAATACCCTTAGGTCTTTGGCAGGGCCTCGATTCACTAGTTGAATTCCATCCTTTTGAATCTTCTCTTATTGTCATTTGCTTTCTTAAACGATCCAGAAATAGTCTGATTGCTGGATCTGCCAGAGATAGAAATTCCATCTTTCCAATAAACTTGGCTATGAATCTTGTTTGGAAGATAGTTCTTTATACTCTCCCAAAATCAATCGATCCAGTATATTGTGGTATGTTTTGCCTTCGAAGATGAATCCTAATAGGACTTTGTGTTGTTTCCTTACTGGAACTTGAAAATAACCTTTCTTTAAATCCAACTTGCACGCCCACATGCCTTTTCTTATGAATTTCTTAACTTTTTGAATGGATTCCATCTTGAATGTGTTTGTGCTTATGCCATCGTTTATCTTTCTTAGGTCCAAGATAAACCTGTATTCGTCTGAACCTTTCTTTGGGACAACGTTGATAGGATTTAGAACTTGATTTAAAGAATAGGTTATAATTTGGTTTTTGTAACATGGAGTCTATCTTTCTCCTTATCCATGCTTTCTCTTTCTGAGAGAACTTCCTTTGGTGGTAGTTTTTCCATTGGCTGGAATCTGAATCGATTGGAATTCCGTTTTTTATCCAATCTTCAATTATTTCTGAGACGCCGAATTCTTTCCAACGTTGATGGAAATGAGAAGGCTGCCACCTAGAGGAACCTGTTTGTCACTTATTGATTGATGAAGAGGAATTGGAGTTGTTAGAAACGCTCTTTACATGATTTGTCATTATTATCCCTTTTTATTAAACTCCCACCCAAGATTAAATATGTTTTTATAGTTTTCCTTTTCTTGGAAGATACTATAGGCCATATAGTACATTCTATCCAAAATCTTCAATCTTTCCTTACCAAGAGACTCAAAGTTTCTTCTAAAATCACTCCATTCATCATAATTTACCTTATTATTTTCAGGTTTTAAGCCAATTTTGAAGAGTAAATATCTTGCCAACTTCATTTCACCAATTGACTTGCAAATTCTACAAGGGATATTTTGACCCAGTCTATAATCAAGATCCCTCACTGCTTTATCGATGTGTTTTTGATCTGACAATGTAATTTGATTGAATCTTTTTTCAAATGCCTCATCATCATTGATAGATTTCAAATATTCACCTAATTTTTCTGGAGATTCAAAATCATCAATATTAATAAAAGAATTTGGAGGGAAATTCCATTCTTTGAAGTTAGGAGCCCCCTTATAAATCATCATAAGCTTGGCTCCGTTTTGTAAAGCTTTCAATCCTTCAAAGAACTTCTCACTCACGTAATCTGTTACCATAGAATTTTCAACAGCAAAATAGAATCTACAATTATTATCCAATTCAAATTGCTTCCCTCCGTGGCCTTCCTGTATGTTCTTTCCACAAGCTCCATATTGATGAATTGGTACATATTCGGAGAGCTTGGTTAATAATTGATATCTAGATTTGGCTAAATCTCCATTGTGACAATTAGAAATAAACGCACAAACTCCCTTATTTTTGGCAAGTGGTTTTTTTCCAAAAAGCCCTGTCTTGATAATTTCAATTGGGTAATATAAACAGTTAACCCAAACAGTGCATGTTTTAAGGAAACATATACTAATATCAGCTGGAGATTCTGAAAAATTTTGCATTGATTGTTTTTCGCCCTTCTTTTGGATAAGTGGTTGAATATTTCTTGCCATTACAGCTTCACTACACATAAATAATGATAATCTCCTCATTCCTCTCCACATTGATTCTCCATAAATATTATCTACAGCATTAGAATGCTCAATAATTGTTTTCTCGTTTAGTTCATGTCTAGGCCCATTAATAATTGTATGAAGCATGTCAATGTTTCTTGTTTGCTCCTTGAGTGAAGACAGGAAAAATGGTGGCTTGTAGTTGTAGTGCACTAAAACAGCATCCAAGTTAATTCCCTTATTATTGATAATTTCACCTGCTACTGTATCAACAAATACTTCACAAGAATGTTGTCTTGGGCATTTCTCTTTAGTATTAAATGTTCTGAAATAGTGGAACATATCTTTACCTGTTACAGAGGTTTCTTGAAATCCAAATCTAACCATCACCTTATCACTAAATTTAACCTTTCCCAAATTGTTATTAAGCTCTAATTGTTCCTGATACCATCCATAGCTTCCTTCGCTTCTTTGATCGGGATTTGTAAGCAAATTGGCAATCATCAAGAAGTTTCTTTGGGTGTCTCTTTTAGGAGACATTTCTTCATAGGTTTTATGATTACCAACAAAAGCACACAATAAACATATCAAAATTATAACAACTATCAACATAATAAAAGGACTTCTCTTCATTCTTTTAAAAACATTTTCATCTTGTTTGGAATGAGCACCATAGGAAAATGAAGTATGAGGAGAATTTCTTAGCTCAACTTTAAGAACAGGAAACCCTTTTTCCAATTCTTGCCGTCTGGAAATGAAGATGGATGACCTGTCGTTAGTAACAGGCAACATATTTTTATTCAAATGTATTACATGATAAACTATCAGCCCTAAAAAACATTCAAAATTTTTGTTAATTATTTCCCTTCTAATTTTAAAGAACATCGTTGAATCATTTAACCCCTAATAAAAAGAATAAGCACTCAATGGAACCAAGTTCGGTTTGAGGTATATTATTATACGTTATGACAACCAGTTTTGTACGATACTATTACTGATTTGTTGAAATATTTATTTCCAAGTATTATCATCATTGAATTCACTTTCATCATTATTAGGATAGTAAAGATTTGCATAAGCAATTCTATACATGGAGTCAAGTACTGCCATTCTCTCTGGACCAAGAAAATCGAACTGATTCTTGAATTCATTCCATTCCCTAAAGTTAACCTTTTTCTTAGGCACTTGCAGACCAATTTTAAATAACAAATATCGGGCTAATTTAGTTTGTCCCACAACTTGACACATTCTACAAGGAAGGTAATTCTTCAAGCTGGGTTTCATCATCTTAATTGCATGATTGATTTGGACTCTGTCTCTTTCTAGTTCAGAAAATCTCTTATTGAATTCATCTTCATTTTCGTTCAACTTTTTCAAATATTGTCCCAACTCATCAATTGAGGAGAAATCATCCACATTGATGAATGCAGATTTTGGATATTTGAAATCAGCAATATTTGGTGGACCTTTGTAAACCATCAATAATCTTCCGCCATTCTCCATTGCTTTGAAGCCTTCATATAATTTTTCAGTAATATAATCTGGAACTACTGAGTTTTCCATGGCAAAGTAAATCTTGCAATTATGTTCAAGTTCGAACATCTTACCTCCTTTAGTTTCATATGCATTTCTACCACATTTTCCATATTGTCTAACAGGAATATATTTAGATAGGGTTTCCAATATTTTCAATCTCTGGGATGCATGAGACTCAAATGCACAATTTGAAATAAAAGCACAAATTCCAGATCGTTTTGGTTGATTTGTTCCAAATTTTTCAGAGGCCAGGTCTATTGGATAATACAAATAAGTTTGAAAAATACTACAATTTCTCATGAAACATGATGACAAATCCATTGTTGAAGAAGAGAATCTTTGCTGAGAAGCCTCATCATCTCTGGTCTGGTAAAAGTCAGCTATTTTCTTTCTTGCAATCGACTCAACGTTAATGTAGAAGGACAATCTTCTCATTCTTCTCCAGAATGTCTCTCCTAATTCAGAGTCAATCCTATTTGAGACTTGTTCAGGAGTTCCCTGGAAGTTAGCAATTGATTTTTGAAATTGCTTTACAATATCACCTTCAGGTTGGTCATCTCTTCCGTGAACGACCAAGTCCTCGGAATAATGGTAATGATAAATTATTGAATCTAACTGCGTTCCTGTTGCCAACTCGTCACGGGCAAAAGATAAAGAAAACATTTGACAAGAATGTTGTCTTACACAGGTCTTTTCAACACTAATTTCTCTGAACAAAGGAAACATAACTGGTGATGTCAGTTCTCTGTCCTGAAAGCCTATTCTTGTAACTATTGGATCCTTAAACTTTGTGCTACCAATAGAATTATGGGACTCCAGCTGTTCCCTATACCATTTGTATGATCCAACGCCGTTGGACATTGTTAAAAGTTGGACAAGATGATGTTTAACATCTTTGCCCAATAGTTGTACAGGTGTTTCAACAGGAGGTTGGATAGGAGGACTGATGATGGGTTTTGGAGGCTCATTCTTAATAAGAATATTGCCAGCAAACCTCTCTGACCTCTTTGAAGAGTGGTAATGAACAACAACAATTAAAAATAGGAAAATTACAACAATAATAATAATTGATAATTTTGTTTTTGAGAACATTGTCCTTTTTGCTTCCCCTTCGCTTTTGTTCGTGCAAGGATCTGTTTGGGTCATTTTTTTGGATTGTAAAACTCCCTCAGTAAACTATTATCAATTATTAAGATTTATTTCGGTTTGCATGGACAAAGCCTTCTCTCTGAGGGGTGTGCATTTCCACATCTAAACTTTGATCTTCTATTTCCAATAATACAATATTTTCCATCAAAATAAGGTGCTCTTGAATCAATAACTCCTTCTTTTTTACATTCACATGAAGAGTAATGTTTTCGCATCTCATCACATCTGTTGATATAAGGGAAATAATTAGGAGCACATACTGATTCACTCTTGGCACAAATGGTATCGCAATTTTCTCCCAGTGCTCCCAAAACTGCCTTTATAGTTTGAAGTTCTTGAAGACTGTGAATAGCACTAGCTGGAAGAGTTTCACATGGCAAGCTGTCATGAACAAAATCATTTGGAGCTGAGGTTTCATCACAAGGATAAAACAAGGAATTTGGACAAGCATCAACGAAAAACATAAACATCAATTGAGATTGAGTTTGAGTTTCGTAACATTGTGGAAAGTTGATTTTGTTTTGCTCTTCATTTCTATTATTTCCAACTGAAGTTACAACACCAATATGTTCCATTAATTGATATCTGTAAGTATAGAAAACTCGTTCTTTAAAATATTCCTGTCCCATTGGAACATACTTGTTGACAAATTCCTCGAGCAGCCAATCTGTTGGGAATGCTCGTTTCCTATTGGCTTCCATATAGTTCATAAAACCAGGTATATCAGATTTATGAATAATGACACCATTAAGTCCAAATGAAAACCTAATACCTGAATAATTCTTCCTGCTCATAAATGTAGTTATTCTTGCCAAATGCCCTACAGCATATGGGCAAAACACAAAATCATCTTCCATGAGCGCTAATGGACCTTTGATATCCATACTATGTACAGTCTTTAACATATCATAAAAATCATTGAGTTGCTTTCTCTTTCTCACATTATCTGAATATGTATCTGTGTGTAAATTTGCTTGCTCCTTTCTTTCAAAAACGAATATATTATTACTAATATTAGTAGCTGCTGTTATTTCTGGTAAAGCAGAAGCACCCTCGGTATTAAATATGTATATGCATGGCTCTAAAATCCCACCTTTCATTTCCACAATACTTTTTACTGTTCTTTCAAGATAGGAAAATCTTGAACCACCACTGTGTTCTCTTGGAGCAGTAATTATCAAAAAATTCAAATCACAACTCTTAACTTCAACCTCCACAATTTTCTCCTTTGTAATGATCTTCTCAGTTACGAGGGCTTCACAATTCAGTTGTGATAAGGAAGAATTATTGGCGTGTGATTTCGTGTGTGTATTTGTTTTACTTTCATGGATAGTAAATTGATAAGCAGTGCGTTTAAAGCTTAAAAACACACCAAGGACCACCAGTGTCATCACCACCAAAACCAAAATAATTTTATAGGGCTGTTTTTTCATTTTTTTAAGCCGTTGGAATTACTGTAATTTCTATGAACAATCAGAAAAAATGAACAAATATTCCATTCTTAGGTTGACAATGCTGGTCTTGATAGCCTCATCATTAATCGGAGGAATATACTTTACCTTGATAAAAAGTCAAAGGAGTATTTCATTGGAAATATTCAAGCCTAAAAAGAAGACTTTTGAAACTATTGTCCAAAAGGAAGAAATCAACAATCAAACAAGAACCATCATTGTTGAAAAAGTTGTTGAGAAGGTTATTGAAAAAGTAGTAGAGAAAAAAGCACATGTTTGTGATCTTAATTTCCTCATCATCTCTGCTCCTAGAGCCAATACGGGTTCCACAAGATTTGCCTATTTGGAGAGAACAGTTAAAAGTATTGTCGATTTACAAGGTGCTCTATTAGATATTTGTGTCTTTGTATTTAACACTGATGGTGAATCGGTAAGAGAGGAAATTACTAAGGCTGCAAACGTCAGTGAAAAGGTTACTATATTTACACGAAAACACCAACATAATTTATATACAAATGCTTTTCATGACGCACCAAAAAAGAGGAAACAATCCAATGACTTTTACGACATGATCAAAACATTTAATGATATGCCAACAGATGGTCCTGTTATTTTGATGGAGGATGATTTTGTATTTTGTCCAAATGCTCTCAGTCACATCGTTTCTATTTTTACAAATGTTAAACAGAAGAATTGGTCTGGATTGAGATTTTCATTTGGATTGAATGGTGTAATTGTGCTCAAAACTGATTTGGTTGGAATTTTAAAATATATGGAATTGAGTAGAAGTAGATCATTCCCAGTAGATTGGTTATTGGAAGAACTCTTCCACAAAACAGTTCCATTCGGAAAGGAATATTTCAAAGATAGAGTTTTCTACACTTATAGATATCAATTAATGGAACACATAGGTGTTGCAACCTCAGTTGGTAATTATAGAAGCGCTGAATTCAATAATATTGATTTTCCTCATTGTTATGAATCTCAAACGCAATCAAGATTGATGATTCCATTCAATATGGCCCAATGCCCGACGTCATTATTCTATCCTTGTGAAGAAGAGCCTCCAAGAACATCCAATGATTTTGCTCATGATACAAAAGAAGGTGAAATACTTCCCCCAACCAATACTCATGGTATAACTGAGCTCCACAATCTAAAAGCAATTCTCTGTGAAAAAGGAGAGAATTGTGATACTTGTTGCTCAAGGAATAACGCAACTTGTGATGGCCTATTCTTCCCTTACATCAATAGGTGTGATGAAATGAGAAAACATTATCCTGATTGTAAATGTGCGTATGAACTTGCTGATGAATCAAGATCTCCAAACTTTGATGGTGAGCTTTGTGTAATCGGAAATAGAAGATCTCGTTTCAGATGTGGAAATTCATATAGAACTGAAAGAAGACTTTGTCCTTGTAAGCCTAAATAAACAAAATGATTGAAATTATGTTAATTGATGTAAAATTAGAGTTGAACTCCCAAATAAATTTATCTCATAAATACTATTCGTCGTACACATTAAACAAGAGCATAACACCACCTTCACCCACACAGATTAGTTGTCTGTCATCTGGTGAAAACCTTAAAGAGAAAATGAACTGTCCTTCTGTTGAGATTGTAGTGATTTTTTCGCATGTATCAACGTCAAAAACATGTATTGCCTCATCAGTTCCAAAAATTACAAACATACTATCTGAAGTATTGGTTTTGGCAATACATTTAGGTTCAAACTTCTTGCTGTAAGGAACGATTCGTGTTGGGCTATCTGATGAAATAGTCCAAAAGGTAATGTATCTATCAGATCCAATACTGATAATGGTTTCATGATCTTTACAAACGACGAATCCATTAACAGATCCTACCTTCATATTAAATGCTGCAACTCTTCTTTCATTCCTTAAATCGTAACAGAAAATCTCTCTATCTTTGCTGCTGGAGAATACATGAACATCATCTTCAAGAATTTGTAAACATGTAACCATGGTTGTGTGTTCCTTAAAGGAACAAACCAATTGTCTCGTTTTCATCGCATAAACTCTAACATCTCCTTCCTGCCCAGCAGACACAAAGAACTTGTTGTTGAAACTTGTATCAATTTTTGTAACTGCATTTCTATGAGCATTTGCAAGAGTCCACAATTGCTCTCCAGTTTCACAATCTACTGCTCTAATTGATCCATCACTCCAACCAGTTAACAAAATTGAAATATCATCTTTGATGAATGAACATGAAACAGGGAAGGCAGAAGTTCCCTTCAAGATTTCTCCTTGAGTGAATTTACATTCGGTTTCTGGTAAATACGAGGATAAATCCCAATAAATAACCTCACATGCCGAAGAAATAGTGGCACATTTATCACTCAACCCATCTGGAAAATCAACAGCATACACATCCTTAGAATGGTTTCTGGCCACTAGAGAAACATCCAGCTTATCCATTGAAGATTTAATTATTTCGCCACCATCTGTTCCGATCAACATAAATTCACTCTGAAAGGAACTAATTGTTACCACTCCACCCCTACTTGAAATCTTTTGTTTCTTTAGTATATTTTGTCCATCAAATAGAGTAACAGTTCCATCCCCACCTCCAGCAATTATATTTCCATTCGATGTATCGATACTCAAAGATAGGACACCTGCTGAGCAAATCTTAATTGGGGCAGATTGCAATTTTTTCAATCTAGTATGAATGAATGATAAATCACCAGATGTACTACCAGAATATAAGAACTCTCCCATCTTATCGAATTGCATACAGGTATAGTCTCTAACGTATGCTCCTGTATTAACTTTTTCTTGTTCGAGAATTCCATTAAATGGATCCAAGCTCCATAAAATAATGGAACCTCCCGAGCATGTAGCTAGTTGATATCTATCAGTTTCTCTTTTCTTGATATCACGGACCATTCCTCCGAAACAAACTATAACCTTATCTGTTTGTTTTGGTAAGGAGGCACTAGCAACAACATTTCCAGTTTGAACACTCCAAATCAATAATCTTCTGTCTGTAGCATTACCAACTGTTGCGATTAGTTTCTTTTATCTTAAGAAATCATCGGAAATAAAGGTAACTTACATCGTCATGAGAAAATGCACATGCTCCAACAGATTGTTCGTGTTCAGCCAATCTATGAACCAGCTGTAAACTTTGAGCGTCCCACAAGCAACAGTCTGCATTTTCTCCTTTTTGGCCTGTTGCAATCACTTGACCGTTATTTGAGATGGCCAAACAGGTTAGTGTGTCATCATGTCCTCTTAAAAATTGTTGAGCGTTAGGATCATTGCTATCATTAATCACAGCAACACAGCCAGAAATAAAAATGTACGTGTTTGAGGACTTCGGGTGTTGTATCACTGACTGAGAAATCATTGAAGAAAACCCAATGGCATGTTCTAGTTCTATTGTTGTCATTTTTTTTTGTAGTTTGTGGCGCCAAAAACTCTGTAAGCAAAAATCATCAATCACAGTTTTAAATATTAAATCTTTTAAATTACTTAAATCAAAAAAAAATGACAACATCCGAAGACAGATACCGTTCCTTTGAGTAAGTGTTAAGTTCCGATACTAGTTGAACAATAACATTTGTGGATAACATTAGTTTTTCTGGTAATCAAAGTTGGCGGGAATATTTCAACAATTTAGAAATAGCTGATGGAAATTACATGTCTAGCACTGTATTGGACAAATTCAAGAGGAAGTGGTATAACAAGAATGTAGAACCAATTTCATTGACTCCTGTTGCTGGAAGTAACACAACAAACAATAGTAATACAACAACAGGTTCCACCAATGCTAATAGCAATGCAGGAACAAATAATAACACAAGCACTGAAAGAAACCAAAGCAATTCTACTGCCGTTAGTCTTTTTAACAAATTCCATCCTCAAATTTATACAGCCATTTGTACTTCAATCATTGTATTTGGTATTCTTGGTATCATTTCAGTTTTATTTTGTCCAACTTGTCAACCACAAGTGCAACCAAGCCCACAAAGTATTCCTGATGAATTTGATGATAGTGATGTAATTCCACCAGTCCAAGTGGAGCCAAATCAAATCTCTCCATTCATGTCAATTTGTCTTCTTGGATATACTGCCAGTATTTTATTATCTATTATCATTTTTGGAATTGAGTTTATTAGAAAGCATGGTTGGAAGAAATATTCATATATTATGTTTGATGAAGATGGTCAATATTTGTTTATCAGCATTTTGTTTCTACTCTCAGGAAAGTCAGCTGTCTTTGTTCTGTTGTTAATTCTATCTGCCATTGTTAGATTACTTCCTAATCTGGCTATCATTACCAATAATCATCCAAAGATTATTGAGATACAACAAAAGATTTATTCTTATGATTTGGGTGACAAGTTTGCTAGATTTGAATTATTCTTATTATTCAACGAAGTATTAAGCTTTTCTATTTTGAGAATGATTGTTGTTATCAACTTTATCTGCCATCGTTATTTGGTTTTTGCTCAACTAAGAAACTATATTATGACCATCAATCATGTTATCGATCAATACGTACCAGGAATGCTCAGAAATGTTTACACAAAGGCTTGCTATTATTTGAATCAATATGTTACCTCACTTTCACAAAGAAAATTACAAGTCGAGCAAGGTCAATAAAATTTAAATACTGTTTTATTTACTTATTGGATGGTTTTGGATCTGGATAGCACATATCCTCGGCTCTTACGTGTTTATCGAAATCTTCACCACTAAGTAAATTGAGGTCCAAACAAGCTTGCTTCAAGCTGATATTTTCTTGGTAGGCCTTCTTTGCAACCTTAGCAGCATTATCATAACCAATAATTGGGTTCAAGGCAGTTACCAACATTAAGGAGTTTTGGACATATTCCTTAATCTTTGGTTCGTTAGCTTGCAATCCATCAATACAATGTTCGGCGAATGATTCACATGCATCAGCAATCAAACGTCCAGATTGGAGAACTGAATTAACAACTTGAGGTCTGAAAACGTTCAATTGGAAGTGACCATTTGATGAACCAATAGTAACACCAACATGATTACCCATAACTTGAGCACATACCATTGTCACTGCTTCTGGTTGAGTTGGGTTGACCTTACCAGGCATAATTGAAGATCCAGGTTCATTAGATGGTAAAATAAGTTCTCCTAAGCCACATCTTGGACCACTTCCCAACATTCTTACATCATTAGCAATTTTCATTAAAAGTGTAGCACAATTGTTATAGGCGCCACTCAAGGAAACTAAGGCATCATTACCACTGAGAGCCATAAACTTGTTATCGGCATCTTTGAAAGGCAAACTTGTCAATACTGATAATTCCTTAGAAACATCAGCTCCAAAGCATTCACGAGTATTCAATCCAGTTCCGACAGCAGTACCACCAATAGCCAATTCGTATACTCTTTCCAATGATTTTTCAATGCAGTGAACTGCAAAATCTAATTGAGAAACAAATGCTGAAAATTCTTGTCCCATTGTTAATGGGGTTGCGTCCATGGTGTGAGTTCTGCCAATCTTAACAATATGTGCAAATTCCTGTCTCTTTTTTTCAAAAGCTTCACGTAATCTCTTCAACATTGGAATAACACGTTCAGTAGCTTGAATGGCACAAGCAATATGCATAGCTGTTGGGAAGGTATCGTTACTGGATTGTCCTCTATTTACATGATCATTTGGATGGACTGATTTACTACCCAATTGACCTCCTATTAATTCAATGCAACGATTAGAAATAACTTCATTAACATTCATATTTGTTTGTGTACCGGAACCAGTTTGGTAGATTTTCAATGGAAATTGAGAATCAAACTTCTTTTCATTAACAATTTCCGAAACAACTTTTTGAATTAATTCTGCAATTTTACCATCCAAATCTCCATATTCAGCATTTACTTTAGCACAAGCTCCTTTCAATAAAGCCAAAGCGTAAATAATTTCGATAGGCATACGTTCTCTTTCCCCTCCTATTTTAAAGTTTTCAATGGAACGTTGAGTTTGAGCTCCCCAATAAGCATCGGAAGGAACTTCAATTGCTCCCATAGAATCCTTTTCGATACGATATTGTTGTTCAGTGCTCTTAATGAAGGTGATTAACATTCAAAGATTTAAACCTACCATTTTGTTTGTGGTTGTATGGAATGTATTATTCTTGTTTTTTTGGATTTGTGCCATCTGTGGGGACCAAAAATAGTCTTGTAAGAAAAACTGGTTTCCTGCATTTCGTGAACACTTTTGGAAAATTTTGAATTGCAATTTGGCCACTTTCATATTGCAATTAATTTTGTTTTTAAATTGTTAATGAATGGAAACTTCGCTTAGCATATCCTTCACATTTCTCTATTAAGAAATTGAAAAGAAAAGTCAAATAGATAATTAATATTTTTTTCATCACAAATTTTAATAAAATTAAAAAAATAATGTCCCTCTCTCAAGCCCTTTCACAAAGAGTTTTCAAGTTGTACAGAAGAGCACTCAGAGAAATTTCCTATAGTGCCGAACGGGATGTATTTTCAATTGAAGCAAGAAAGATTAGAGATGAATTCGAAAAACACAAAGGAGAACAAGACTCATCAAAAGTAGAATTCCTTTTGCAAAGAGGTGAATACTGGGTTGAAGAATATACTCATCCAGACCCATATCACGTACCAGACAAAGAAGGTGGTTGTGCTTTTATGAGATATCCAGAACTTGATAAGGAGGTTTGTATTACGAAAATTAAATCATCACACATAATTTTAAAACGGCATCACCTCATCAATATTTTATTTTAATTAGTTTTTGAAGAGACATTCTTCCATAACACAAACTGGCAAGACTTACACTTACGAGGGAATGTAAAATCTAAATTACCAAACATTAATATTATTTTAATATCTTGATAATAATAATCTGGCATGTACTCCGAGTTGACCTTCTTTGTAACTGAAGGCGGTTTTAAAAAATAATAAAGAAAAAATACCAAAACATCTACCTTCTTCTTTTAAAAAATGGCAGACTTGGATAAATGTATTGAACAATTACATAGAGGGGAACATCTTTCAGAAGCAGACGTAAAGAAAATCTGCAGTATGGTACGTAACAATATTTTCCATCACGTACTTATTGTTGTACTAATTATCATTTTACTTTTGGACACAGGCCAAAGAATACTTTTCGCAAGTAAAAAATGTGATCTGTGTAGAATCACCTGTGACAGTATGCGGAGATATCCACGGTCAATTCTTTGATTTGATTGAGTTATTCAAGATTGGTGGCGAATCACCGAATACAAATTACTTGTTTTTGGGAGACTATGTAGACAGAGGATATCACAGCGTAGAGGTTGTTACTCTTTTACTCTGTCTTAAATTAAGATACAAAAATCGTCTTCACATGTTGAGAGGAAATCACGAAAGCAGACAAATAACACAAGTTTACGGATTCTACGATGAATGTGTGAGGAAATATGGAAGTGAATCTGTTTGGAAAATGTTAACAGATGTTTTTGATTATTTACCACTTGCAGCTGAAATCGATAAGCAAATTTTCTGTGTCCATGGTGGTCTTTCTCCTTCAATAGACTCTCTTGATCATATTCGTACTTTGGATAGAGTACAAGAAATTCCACTTGATGGTCCAATGTGCGATTTGATGTGGTCTGACCCAGACGAACGAAGCAGTTGGGGAATTTCTCCAAGAGGTGCTGGCTATACATTCGGTCAAGATGTCAGCGAACAATTCAATCACAATAACGATTTAACAATGGTGGCTCGTGCTCACCAATTGGTTATGGAAGGTTACAATTGGTGTCATGATGGTAATGTTGTTACCATCTTTTCAGCTCCAAATTATTGTTATAGATGTGGTAATAAGGCTGCCATTATGGAAGTCGATGACCTTTTGAACTGTAGTTTCCTTCAATTCGATCCAGCTCCTCGTTCCGAGAATAGTACAACATCAGGAGGACAAAAGAAGATCACTCCAGAATACTTTTTGTAAATATAGGCATTATGCCCTCTAGATTGAAGCATGTAATATTCCAAATAAAAGTTTAATAATTTCAAATTTTATCACATCTAAAACAATGATGATGGTAGTAATAATCTTGATTCATCAACTCCTTTTTCACAAAGACTCCAGTTATACTTCCCAACCTCATACAGTCCAACTCATTAATTGAATCTTCTCCATGTTGTATCAAGCTTAAGTGAGTGCCAAATTTTCAGCTATTTCCAAAAATCTCAATGTATCTTAAGCATTCTTTCACTCACATGGAAGAAATCTGAATAAAAATCTAAAACAATATCACAAGCTTGTTGACTTGACATCTTACCAGGATAAACAAGCTTGGAGATGAAAAATCAAAGCCGAAAAAAGATCTCAGATTTGGTTCAACATTCAAATGGATATCTCAGCACTTTTGCCTTTTTCTTTGAACTTTGTTCGAATGTTTCATCATTGGCTACATTCCATGCCCAGTCTTTGGTCTTCTCTTTCTTGGTTTATTGCTAGTTATTGAGGGCCTCTCAATAATCTGATTTGAAAGTGATGGCTTAGGAGTAACAATTCCGATACTACTTTTTTGGTATGTTTTCACTTCATTTGATAGCTTACTTGGATCAGTGTTACTCACGTGAAAGCGGAACACAATAACATTAAAAAACAATGAGAGACAGAGAAGGCCAGTAAGCAGTTTTATCACCAACAAGTTGTTCATTTTTGTTCAATTTAATTAATTTTATTGCTACAAACAAGGCGTGAATAGTTAAATCACCCAAAACAAGTGAAGATCACCAGACATGGTCTTCTTTTCTTACCGCTCAAATCCTTAACAAGTTCACTATTAATTTCTCAACAGATGTTCTCCATCGATCATGAACTCTGATGGATTATCTATTTACAGACCAAACAAAACTTGATTTTATAAATTAACAAACTTGTTGACAGTTGCAGGTTTTTTCTTGCAAATGTAAATGGTTGCTTGTATTCCTTTTCCTAAATCTCCAAGTGTTACTTTTTGTGTTGTGAATGTCCATCGATTTCTGGCATTTAATTGAGATTCCAGTAAGGCAAGTTCGATAGTTAGCAACAGTACAACTCCATCAGGCTTAACAATTCTTTCAAGTTGTTTTACAATCTTTGGGTAGACCTTTGAGTTTCTAGAGTGATTTCCACATAAAACTCCAAATGGCATATCTGATATAACAACATCAATGCTTTCATTTCTAAAAGGTAAGAATCTAGAATCACAATTTAAAATATGAATATTTCTGTTTTTGCTGCAATTATCCTTCATAGCACTCACTTCATCTAGATTGAAATCAATATTATAAAGTTGAACTTTAGGATCATTATCAGTGAAGAGATAATTAAGTGAGAGCGAAAGAGTACCACTTCCTGCAAATGGATCAACAAAAGTAACTAATTGTGATTGTTGGAATAATTTGTCGCGTAAAATTGAATTTTCCATCAATAAAGTTTTCCAAAGCATGTAGCTTGTTTGAGGTTTCAAGGTAGATTTTCCGTAGGTTAATCTAATATCTTGTTTAGTGTATGAATAAATCAAATCACATGAATTCAATACATTCAATTCGTCCTCACTGAGATTACTATCAATAACTTGATTGTTCAAAGAAAAATGTCTAATTTTCAATTCTTCTAAAGCATGTAATGGAGGGGACAATAGCATTCCTATAAACACTCTATCAATATCCAAATAAATTAAAATGTCAAGGTCATACTTTTTCAGGTTAACCTTCATGTCCTTACAAATTGTTTCTCCAATTCCGTATCCATACTCGGCGGCCATATCCATTGATTTGTAGTCATGCTTCAAAATACTTGTTTGTTTTCTTACACCAGTAGCCCTAAAGTTGGTATCCTTGGAATAAAGGTTTTGTTTTTCAAACTTTTTGCAATATAATTTTTCGAATAGTTCAAAAGATTGTTTCCATGCTTGAGTATCTTGCTCTCTTTTTGGTATAGTTTCTGCAAATATTGGCATTGCAGTCTCTTTATCAAAAGGTATATCAGGAACAATGCAAATAAATGAATACACAAAATCAATACTAGGAATAGCATTTAAATGGCAGACTAAATAAACTAGATTTTCCATAAATAAATTATTATCACTTCCTTTAGAAGAAACATTAAATATTAATAATCCATTTCTAGAATATAAAAATTCAATTTCAAATAAATTAGAAAAATTAATAAATGTCACTTTGTGACTCTCACTCAAAGTTTTTAGCTCGTTTGGTACCGAGTTTTCCACCTTTTTCATAAATTTACCAGCAATAGTTGTTGGATAATCGTGGACCCTAATTTTCGGATTTAATTTTTCATACCAATTAAATTGCAAATTTGAGTCAAAGAGTGAAAGAATTTCATCCTTCACAATTTGTTCAAAGCCATGTGTATGACTCACAAGAAAAGTGTGTTCTTGTTTCTGTTGTTCATTTGAATGGCATGCAGACCTTGTCAAAATAGGATGATATACCTCTCCGCAATGTCCCATAGCATCTGGTGGAAGTGGTTGTTTTTCCTTTTTCTTCTTCTTTTGTGATGAAGGGAATTTATTTTGTGTGGTATTGTTGCCTTCTTGATTTACCATTATTTTTAATTTTAAAAATTACAAAACAAAGACATGTTTTCTTTTCAGAGGTGCCTCTCTCCATCCTCATCAAACAACGGATCTGCAAGTGGCAGTTTTGTGAGGTGTGCTGAGACTTTGGAATTTATTCATAATAATTATAGAAAAGTAAAAAACACATCTTCCGGCCAGGAATCAAATACTCAGCCTTTTATTAATAATATTCAAAATGTTGCTGGTCATTTTGCATTACATTTGTTTGGTGGTAAATTAATTATTGGTCTTGATAATATTCCTTTTTCGAGGCAAAATAATTCATCACAATTATATTCTACGTTAATAGATTTATTTCAAACAAAAGATTTTTCAATATTTAATCAAAATCAACCACTTTCTCCCATGCTATGTTGTTATGACAAGGATGGATTCATATATTCGGGATTTGAAATTAAAGAAGAGGTATCGGAACAATCTAGTGGATATAACTTTGGTTCTAGTTTTATTAAAGATTTGACCGTAGTAAGATTTATCACGATCAATAGAAGTGGACAAGTAATTATTTGGAGATACCATGAAGATAGTACTGCATGGAAGGTTGAAAACATTTTTAATTTAATTGGAGGAAGTACAAGTGTAAAAATTGAATATGCAACCGTACTAAGTTCATCAAGAACAATTATCTACAGGACGAGCAGTTCCCTAAATGGATCTGAAAATATTTTAAACATGCATTCTACTAACCATGGGAATTCATCATTCGTTTTTAGTAGAAGTAGACAAGAGGATAACCTCTTACATATTATTGAGTCTAAAAATTCTACAAATACTACCAACATTCTAATAATTACAAAATCGAATATTTATTTATTTGATATTAAAAATAAGAAAGAAGTTTCACACTTAAAGAATATCAAGAAATTTTCTGAGAATGAGAAGATAGACCCATCTATTATTTATTACTTATCCATAATAATTCATCCAATCACGAAAGAAGTAATTATTCTTGATTCTACATTTACAGTTTCTATTTATTCACACGATTTGAAAATTCACAAGAAATTAAACATCAAGGTGAATCAAAATTGTAAAAATTTGAATAGGGTACAAACATGTCTAATCCATAACACTTTCCTAGCATTTTATGACTCAAGCAGCAACATGTCTATTTATGATTTATTTAGTGGGTGTTTGATTTCAACAGTTATGATACCAAGTGACTTTACATTTGGAGAAAACTCCACAGTCACCTTGCTTGGAAATGGTTGCTTGAATTTAACTATTGAACAATCATTTACACTGTATTTATATGGTAAATCTCTTATTTATGAGCTGAAGTGTCCCCCATTGACTGAAATAATCAAGGCTAGCTCATTAACATCTAATTCTAGTCATAGCTATAATCACTTGCTGAAAGAATTCAAATTATTTCATATTTACTGTAAAAATATAACCGAAGATATGCACAACAGCCCTAATAAGGTTACTGCAAATGTCAAGCAGTCTATTTCCCATCATTTAGAAAATCCATCTCTAGTTTGGACTTCTTGCACCACACTCCTTGAACAATCTAATAACTTAAATGATTCCGACCAATTTATTGATAACTATCCACCAATTAATACCTCTTTTTGGAAAAATAGAGTTGATAATCAGCAAAACTCAAGTAATACTCATAACTCATCTTCCTCTAATCAATCATTCAGTAGATTGACTCCATTGAATATGAGTTTAGTTCCTCCTCTTTATCAATCTTCATCTATTTGTAAAGATCAAATTTCAAATTTGGATATTTTAAAAGATTTTTCTAAATCACCAACACAATTAGAAGATGAAATTGATTTTGATAATCTGACAGATATCGAGCTGTATGATCTGATTGAGACCAATCCATCCAAACTTTTATTACATTTGTTCAAAATTTGTGACTTGAATGAATTGAAAGCTATACTTGATAAAGGTACTACCAATGTAGATGCACCTAATATTTATGGATTACAATTGCCCTCTATGGAAAGTATGAAACCAATTACAACTTTGATGAATTTCTATGAACAAAATTATGAAGAGAATATCAATCCACTTGATCTTTATAGAGTTGAGGAGAATAGAAATGAAGACTATGTAGTTTACCAAAATAAGGTGTTTAACGCTTTGGAGCCAAAGAGAAATGCCAACCACACACGAAAGGGACTATTGTACATTGAAATATTGATCAAGACATTATTCTTCCATTGTGATTGCCCTCAAATAATTTTAATTCTAATCATAATGATGGAGGATTACAAATTAAAAGAATTGAATATTAGAAGGGAGCAATTGAAACAAGAAATCGAGAACATCTCAAAGAAAAAATCACCTAATACTGCATCCTCATCAAATTTGACAACTACAACCAAAAACTATCAAATGGAACAATTCAATTTACAAAATCTTCAAACGGAATATCAAGAGATTAATACAAAGCTGAAAAATAGTCTAAAACAAAAGTACAGTAAGGAAATTCAGAACATTATTGACTTCTCTCAAGAAGTAATGACACCACTCTCAGAAATGCAATTAAAAACACTTGCTCAACTCTATTTGTGGCAAGGTGAAAAATTGCATGCCCTTAGACTCTACATTGCACACAATATAGAGGAACAAATCATCAAATTAATATCCTCCTACTATCTCAATCAACAAGGCAGTTTCCCAATTGAGGAGCAATATCAACTGTTGAATTTGCTCTTTGAGTACTGTCTCTCTGTGAAATGTTCTCCAACAGCAAAGGAAACACTCCTATCATATGCTTGGCAATTGATGCCACTCTCATACAGTGTTTTTGATTTCTTTTCCAAATACAGATCCGAGAGAATATTATCGGATAGTAATGGCAAAGTTTTTACCTCAGATGACGAAACAGTTGGTCAATATCTACAAGGATTACAATCTTTCACCAACATGAAATTAAAGCTTGCCACACAAATGAAATAAAACATTGAGGTGATGATGAATTAACTAAGACAATCTTTATCATCACCTTGTTCAATTTTTTTAATTGGAAGTTTCATTGCCGCCAACGGTGCACTTCGGTTTGCGAAGAAACAACTTGCGCTTGTAATATGGCTTGTTAGATGTTGGTCAGGTATTGAAAAAAAATTCCTCATCATCTTTAACATGTCTGTTCGTGAATTTTCTCCACTCTTCAGTTGGGGTTTTTCTCTTCGTCGTTCCAAGTGGTTGATTCCACTCTTTAATAATAACGTCTTTAGTTTCGGTACAAGTGCTGTGAATGATGGACCATATGGATACAAAAAGAGTAACAATAACCGTAGAGAAAAATCAACTAGTACAATTAATCATAAGGAGTCACACACAATGCTCAAAACAAAAGTAGAAGGAAGTGATTTGTTTGAAACGTAGGTATCTTGTTTTCTTTTTTATTAATTATGTAGTCCTATTCAAGTTGTGACTGAGATCGGTAACAATACCTGCTCTGTCAGAATTACTCACGAAGATAGTGAAGATATCAAACAAAAGGAATTAGAACAAAGGAGAAGAGAACAAGAAGAAATTAAACGAAAGGAACTTGAAAGATACAGACAATTATCGGATGGAGCTATCATTGATTTGATTGAAGGTGGTAAGCTTGCCATTTACAACCTGGAAGATAAACTTGGTGACAAGAAACGTGCTGTAAAAATTCGTAGAATGTTCCTTGCATCAAAAATTAATCCACAAGATGAAAATCTTCTTGATAACCTTCCATATGCTCATGATTTAAATTACGACCAAGTTTTTGGAGCTTGTTGTGAAAGCGTTGTCGGATATGTTCCATTGCCAGTCGGTATTGTTGGTCCAATTATTATTGATGGAAAGCCATATCATATTCCAATGGCTACTGTTGAAGGATGTTTGGTTGCCAGTACTCACAGAGGTTGCAAGGCCCTTTCCAGTTCTTTTGAAGGAGGTGTAAACAGCGTCATTTTGAGCGACGGAATGACTAGAGGTCCAGTTGTTCAATTTGCCAACACAAAGAGATGTAACGAGCTTAAACAATTCATTGATAATCCAGAAAATTTCAAGGAATTATGTAGAGTTTTTAACAGTGATTCTCGTTTTGCTAGATTGTTGGAAGTTAAAGTTGGTATTGCTGGTAGAAAGGCATTCTTGAGATTCAAGTGCCGAACTGGTGATGCTATGGGAATGAACATGATTTCAAAAGCAACACAAAAGGCTCTTAAATTCTTGAAGAATGAACACTTCCAAGATATGGACATTTTAAGTTTGAGTGGTAACTATTGTACAGATAAGAAGCCATCAGCAATGAATTGGATTGAAGGTAGAGGTAAATCCGTTGTTGTTGATGCTACCATTCCAAAGGATGTTGTGAAGAATGTTCTTAAGACTACAGTTGATGAAATTGTCAGTCTCAATATATCTAAGAATTTAATTGGTAGTGCTATGGCTGGTTCTGTTGGTGGTTTCAACGCTCATGCTGCCAATATCGTGACAGCAATCTTTTTGGCTACTGGTCAAGATGCTGCCCAAAATGTGGAAAGCTCGAATTGTATGACTATTATGGAAAAGACTGATAATGGTGATTTATATGTCTCTGTGACAATGCCATCTATTGAAGTAGGTACAGTTGGTGGTGGTACTCACTTGGATGCTCAAAAGACTTGTTTGAAGATTATTGGTGTTGCTGGTGCAAACCAAGAAAATCCAGGTCAAAATGCTCAAACCCTTGCCAAATGTGTTGCTAGTACTGTAATGGCTGGAGAACTTTCTCTCATGGCTGCTCTTGCTGCTGATCACTTGGTGTCTGCTCATATTGCTCACAACAGAAAGAAATAATCAATTCCAAAATTTTGTAACAACAATAAATCCTAATTATTAATTAAAATACGAGTAAACATGTTGTATCCATTAGAAGATAAAGTATTAATGTGAAGATAGAAAATCCAGCAGAGAGTATGTTTAATTTGGCTTTTTGTTGATTTTTATTCACCAATATCCAAAAAATAACCTATTCCCAAATACAATAACCCTCATTCTCTAAATGATTTTCGCCCAATAGTGATTCTTCATCTTAATATTTTTGAATGTGATTTTTTAACCAATTCTCAATAGTATTAGTAAAGATAAGAAAAAAATTAGGAGATTCGAATAGGTATATAATTTTTGTAGGACTACACTACAAATCTAGGGTGAAAAATAGCTTTTTAGCTTGGTCAATAGAATTTTCGCTGGAGGAATGGATCCACTTGACAAATTGTCGACCGCTCTCTATGGTTTTGAGATTGTTCCAAGTTCGCTATTTTCAAAACTCTTGCAAAATTAATGTAGTGTAGTTGACAATTTGAGCAACAGGCAAAGTTGATTCATTAACAATATCTCAATCCTTGAGCTTTTAATGTGTTTGTTTTAATTAATATATATTTTATTATTTTGTGAATTTAAAAACATGTTGTTTTCCAAAACCACTATTTTATCTCAGTAAACCTCGATAGGAACATAAATTGTTGAAAAATGATTATGATGATACAACTGACCTTTTTTTGATTACTCATATTACACGTTTTCAAATTCAAATTCAGTCTGTAAAGTTATAAGACAACTCTGTAAAATAATTTCATTTCAATTACAGACCACTGTTATAAAGGGTCTACTGGATTAACAATAATTGAAACCTTCTTTAATAGCTGATCCAATTCTAAAACTACGTCAATTCCATTGTGATCGGAAATATTATAAATCCAATTAATTATCATTTAAAAATGTTTCCTCATATTCAATCAGAATTCAACATTACAATTCTTTTTTTCTAAATAATTCTAAACAGTCAAACACATAACGGTTATTTTATTGGGATTTTGTTTAACAATGAATATTCATTTCCTATATGAAAACTACAATAACAATACCAATTTCAAATTAAGTTATCTAAATCAAGTATGTTGTATTCTTTTTAGCAAATTTTAATATTCTTTCATATCACTAGATCGTTTCTGATCTTCCTTTTGATCTCTAATATCATTAAGCACCTCACTACATTCTTTATCTTTCCGTCTTATCCTTGTGGATCTTATCAGTCATGGTGTTCTTGATGGTGTTTATATTATCTGAAGTAGAAATACTGGTAGAACTAACCGAATCATCTAATTGGCTTTTGTTATATTCATGCAATGAATGAGATGATGGTGATAAAAGTGGTTCTACTGTATCATTGTCATCATCTTCATCACTTTCAGCATAAAACGTCTCTTGTACTTCTTTAAAATCAGTAGAGGTAAAGTATTAAGACAGAAACGTAGAACATTTGATCATTTCAAACACTTTCTTATCAACTACCTTAAAGGTTGTAGATTAAATCTATTTCAGTATCAAACAAACACCGCATTAGCCTGATAACTTTAGATTAATAAGGTCTTCCTATTGTATTAAATTTTTCCTTTTTTTGTTTCTTCTTTTTGTTTGTTACATTGTAAATTAATAAAAACAAGATTGAGAATAAGTAATTATACTAATGGATATTAAAGCTCAAAGACTGTTTCATCTTTAAGGTGATTCAGCACTGAGAACTGCTTTAACGGATATAAATCTTTATTAGCAGGTCCCGAGATTAATAAATATGGCTCTTATAAAAAAACTTATCAATAGTATTAGTAAAGATAAGAAAAAAATTAAGAGATGCGAATAGGACGGTCTAAACATAGCTCCCCAAAGCTTTACGAAAATAATAAAAGGAATTATGGTCTTTATTTACATAAACGACATCCTTTTAGTGGAAATTTGTTCAATTTGGTACTAGAAAATCTCCGAACGTTAATAACAGACTTAAAATTCCTTAGATGGCTTCTTCAAGGGAAATCAGTTCTAATTCCAACTCAAACTATTCAGTTTCTGGGCATCCTCTTCGATTTAGAAAATGGGAAAATTCTAATTCCAGAAGACAAGAAAGTAATAGCTATGGATATCATGGACAAACTAATCTTAGCAGAATCTCAAAGATCTCTGTTAAACTTAAGATTCGTCGCCAAATTCATAGGAAAAATGGAGTTCCTAGCATTAGCAGAACCAGCAATCATGTCATTCCTAGACAGATTAAGAAAGCAAATGTGTAATCGGGTGGAAATGAAAGGATGGAATGGCATAATGATGATAAATCGTGGTCCTAGGAAAGATTTATGTTTCCTCAAAGAAATCTGGTAAGATTCTGGAACATTACATAAAACTCAGAGACAACATGGTGTTCTTCATAGATTATAATAAAAAGAGTAACAAATTGATTAGAGACAAATGGGTTTTAGAGTCAGGTAACTGTTTCACCAAATAAGAACCTGCTTTGATTAGATAAAAATCTTTATTAGCAATAAAATGTAAAAAACTTGCTAATAGACAATGCTAAAAGCAAGAAAAAACCAAATAAAGTGAAAAAATTAAATTAAAAAATAATATCCAAAAAGACACTAAGAGTGCTTAATAAATTGCCTCGCTTAATTAATTCACTTACTAAGAAATTAATTGGCGTATAAAAAAGGCTAAAATATTTTAAAAACTAATATGGGAGGGATAAGGTGGGACCTATCATTTCTTGCTTAGGAAGTGTCATCTTGTGACAAATTTATTATTACAGGTTTTTTATAGAGGAGTTGTTCTATTTCAATCTCGATTTTGTAAACAACTATAATGTCAATGACTTTAAAAGCAGCATTTCTGAGCAACATACAGTGTTCTTATTGAAGTTTACTGAGATAAAGTAGTGTTTTTTGAAAACAACAATTGATTGAAAAATTTTACTCTATTTGTACTGAATATACCTCTTTTCTCATTCTCATTTTGATTCTTAAGTGTCAAGACGGTTGAGTAGGTTTTTTAATTCTTAACTTTTTGGTTTTTACCGATTTTTTTTTCCTACAAGAGTAGGTTTTTTTATATGAGTTGTTTTTTCAAAAAACAACTTGGTTTATTGGTAGAACGTATTACTTAAATTTGGTTTATTGAAAGTTTGTTAATAGAATAGGTAGAAGTTGTAGTGTGAACTTTATATTCATTAGTTTATTTATTGCTGACTCTGATATTGCAAATCTGTCGATAATGTGGTTCTGAATTCTTTTTCTACCATACTTATCAATTCTGGTGATGATTTCTAATCGCTTAAACCGCTTAGTTTGTCTGTAATTTTTCTCTGAGGGAATGTAGATTACTTTTGCAATTCTCGAGCCACATTCTATTTCCAAATTTTCCTTGCTATTTGAGCGAGGTTCGAAAGTTCCATATCTTTTTCTTATGTATGAGAGCGGCAGTTGAATTGGCCCTTCCTATTTCAAGATAGAGCTTTTGTGATCTTGCTTCTGAAGAATTGAAGAATTGCCATCATTTCTTTCGAATCGATATGATCGTTGGTGTGAGATCTTCCTATAACAACAGTGTTTGAGGAGTGGACGCCATATCCTTGAGGAGAAGCATCTGAATTGACTATAATTGGGAAAGGTTGATTTAGATATAGGAGAGAACCTTTTGAGTTTGAACTGATCTACAGTTTTTTGCACCTTAAAACAATTTAATTATTAACAATAATGTAGATTTAGAAAAGAAGACATTGTTAATGAATTCGTCAACAATCATAAAGATAAAACAAAGAATTGGAATGATTTTATCTCAATTTCATCAACGAGAAAGGAGTTTCTTAAGATGTATATTGTGTCACTGGTATTGTTATTGCTTATCTTGATTGTTTTCAGCCAGCAAGAGTAATGCTCAATCCAATTTATACATTTGCAGCAGAGAAAGTTTTATGATGATGACGGGAAGGAAGTTGTTACCTCTCCGATGTTCTTGAGTTAAGACCTGTTTGGAAAGCTCTTCAACAATGGAGAAAAATTCTGACTTTTCAAAATTTAATAAGTTACTTGGATTCTATGTATCCTCACAAGATCTTGAAGTTTAATTGATTTGGAGAATAATGTTCGAACTATTCAAAGCAACAACACCCAACAACACTAACAATCAAAGTATGAATGTACAACAAGAAATAATGTTTAAATCAACTCCTTTCTGTCAATGTAAATGTATTTACTAACCAAAGCAATGTCAATTTAAAACAATGATTGAGGTAATTTAATCATTTAGGAAGTTTAAGATGATCTGAAAAATTATCTTTACTCGAAAATTTGTAATTTACAATTCGTCATGTTGAGCATCAGCAGTGTTTGCTCCTTCAGCACCTGGTTGAGCACCACCTTGGGATTGGTAGAACTTGGTCATGATTGGCTTAATTTGTTCTTCCAATCTCTTTCTTTCTTCTTCAAATTCTTCCTTGGTAGCGTCTTGGTGTTGTTCTAACCAAGAAATAGACTTCTTGGTTTCTTCTTCGATAACCTTCTTATCTTCAGCTGGGAGTTTATCCTTGAACTTTTCATCATCCAATTGATTCTTCAATTGATAAGCATAACCTTCAAGAGCGTTTCTAGCGTCAATTCTTTCCTTTTGCTTTTTGTCTTCTTCTTCAAACTTGGCAGCTTCATTGACCATTCTTTCGATATCATCCTTATCCATATTGAGCTTGTCGTTGGTAATAGTAATACTATTTTCAACATTGGCCTTAGAATCCTTAGCGGAAACATGAAGAATACCATCAGCATCAACTGAGAAGGTAACTTCAATTTGTGGAACACCTCTTGGTGCTGGTGGGATACCAGTCAATTCGAATTTACCCAACAAATTGTTATCCTTAGTCATGGCACGTTCACCTTGATAAACTTGAATCAAAACTCCAGGTTGGTTATCTTGATAAGTGGAGAAAATTTGTGACTTTTGAGTTGGAATCTTAGTACCTCTTGGAATCAATTTGGTCATGACACCTCCGACAGTTTCAATACCCAATGAGAGGGAAGCAATATCAACCAAGACAATGTCTTCGTCCAATTCACCACCCAAAATACCAGCTTGAATAGCAGCACCAGCTGCAACAGCTTCATCAGGATTAATTCCTTGCTTTGGCTTCTTACCATTGAAGAAGTCAACCAACAATTGTTGAACCTTTGGAATACGAGTAGAACCACCAACAAGGACAATTTCTTGAACATCTTCCTTAGAAAGTTTGGAATCTCTCAAAACTTGTTCGACTGGCTTCAAAGTCTTGACAAACAAATCGTTGTTCAATTGTTCAAACTTGGCACGAGTCAATTTAGTGGAGAAATCAATACCATCATGGAGGGATTCAATTTCAACTCTAGCTTCATGTTGTGATGACAAAACTCTCTTGGCCTTTTCAGCTTCTCTCTTGAACTTTTGGATAGCCTTCTTGTCCTTTTCGACAGAAGCAGCAACCTTTGGATTCTTTCTCTTAAATTCATCCAAGAAGAATCTAACAACTCTGTGATCAAAATCTTCACCACCCAAGTGGGTATCACCATTGGTAGCCAAGACTTCAAAGAGACCTTCATCCAAATTCAACAAACTGACATCAAAAGTACCACCACCCAAGTCAAAAACGAGAACATTGACATCTTTCTTATTCTTATCCAATCCGTAAGCAATAGCAGCGGCTGTTGGTTCGTTGATAATACGTTCAACACTAAGACCAGCAATAGTACCAGCATCTCTGGTTGCTTGTCTTTGAGCATCGTTGAAGTAAGCTGGAACAGTAATAACAGCTCTGGAAACCTTTTGTCCCAAATATGTTTCAGCAATAGCCTTCATCTTTTGGAGAACCATAGCAGAAATTTCTTCTGGTGCAAAAATCTTCTTTTCACCAGCAATTTCAACTTGAATATATGGTTTACCATTCTTATCGACAATCTTGTATGGCAACAAAGCAGCATCCTTTTGAACTTCGACATCGGAGAACTTACGACCAATAAGTCTCTTAGCATCATAGACAGTGTTTGTTGGATTAATAGTAGCTTGATTCTTGGCAGCTTCACCGATGAGTCTTTCACCATCTTCAGAGAAGGCAACAACAGAAGGAGTAATACGATTACCTTGGTCATTTACTATAATTTCAGCCTTTCCGTTTTTATAAATAGCAACACAGGAATATGTGGTACCCAAATCGATACCAATGATTGGACCTCCAGACTTCTTATCAGTCTTTGTGGCATTCTCTTCAGAGAAAACAAATGTAGCCACAAAGCAGATTAAAAGAAGAGCTAACAAAGCCTTCGATGTATACTTGGACATGTTGAGTTATTTTTTTTTGCTTTGATGATTCTGCAAATTTGAGTGGAATTTATTTGTGGGCTTACAACAATTCCGAACACGTGTTCCTTGGGTGGGTAACTTCCGGAAGTAAGTAATAATTTCTCTCTTTTGGGTTGGATAACAGAGAAACACGAAAACAATTTGAAAAGTCAAAATGAATTTCTTACTCTGTATGTTGTCCACTCCATACCTAAATTTTAAAAACTCTACAGTTGTTTTTTAATTTAAATATTTAATATAATTTATAAAAAGAACATGAAGGTTAAGGCTCTGTAAGTTTTGCGAACAGTTAAATTTTTATAGCTTTTTCAGGATTCTCGTTGGTGGCTATGGAACAAGACTTCGTCCACTTACTTTCTCAACTGCCAAGCCTCTTATTCACTTTGCAAATAAGCCAATAGTTGTTCATCAAATTGAAGCATTGAAGAAGGCAGGATGTACAGAGATTGTTCTTGCTGTAAATTATAAGCCACAAGAAATGATTGATGCTATGAAGAAGTATGAAGAAAAGTATCAAGTTAAGATTACATATTCCGTGGAAAATGAACCATTAGGTACAGCTGGACCTTTGGCCCTTGCCAGGGATATTCTTGTTGCTGATGAGAATGAATACTTCTTTGTTTTAAATTCTGATGTTATTTGTGAATATTCGTTTGATGAACTGTTGGATTATCATAAGTATCATGGAAAGGAAGGAACCATTATGGTAACTAAAGTTGATGATCCTAGTAAATATGGTGTAGTTGTTACACAAGATGGAAAACAAGGTGAAATAGAAAAATTTGTTGAGAAACCAAAGACTTTTGTTGGTGACAGAATCAACGCTGGTATTTATGTGTTTAGTACAAAAGTGTTAGAAAGAATTGAATTGAGACCAACCAGTATTGAAAGAGAAATCTTTCCATTTATGGCCAGGGATAATGAATTATATGCAATGGATTTAAATGGCTTCTGGATGGATATTGGTCAACCAAAGGACTATATTACTGGTATGTGTTTGTATTTGTCTAGTGACAAACACAAGACAGAAAACAATCAACAATTTGCTAAGAATCCAGAAGATGGTTCTTACCAAATAATCAATGAATCCTCAGTTCTGGTTGGAGAAAATGTTAAAATTGGAAAAGGAGCAATGATTGGACCTAACGTAGTGCTTGGTGATAATGTCATTATAGAAGAAGGAGCCAGAGTTACTAGGTCAACAATTTTTGAATCAGCTTGGGTTAAACAACACGCTCTTGTTAAATCATCTATTATTGGCTGGAAGAGTTCTGTTGGTAAATGGTCAAGAGTGACAAATAACACAGTTCTAGGAGAAGACACACATGTCGACAATGAGATATTTGTCAACGAGATCAAGGTGTTGCCTCACAAGACAATAAGTAGTGATGTGCTTGAACCAGGTCAAATAATAATGTAAATGAATGATTAAGAAATTTCATTTTTATGGAGATATCAAAATTAAGGAAATTAAAAAATGAATAATACGCATTGATGCGTTCCTTGAAATAAAGAAATATATGTTTCATTGTTTTTAAATTTCCTTTTTTACGTTTTTTTCTATGTTTTGGAACAAAAAAAATATGGAGCAGTAGCTGACAGACCATCTGGATACAAGCGTTGTTTATGTGAAGGTATCTCAGAAGGTTTTCAATTATGGATGGCCAGATATTTTGGTTAGACTCTCAGATGTTGATAGAGGAGTTTCAATTAGAATTCCAAGATCGAGCGAAGCAGAAAAAAGGATACTTTGAACACAGAAGACCAGCTAGTAATGCTGATCCTTATATTATTTCTTCCTTGATCACTAACAACACTATTCTGTTGTAAGAAAGCATGAATAACAAGTTGCTCATTTATTTAAAGAATGTATATACACCATTGGTTGCTGTTGAAGGAAACATAAGAAAACTTTTATCTAAAGTAATTTGATTGGAATAGAATTGGACAATATCTGAAGCTGGGAATTGATAAATTATTTAACGAGTTTGGAAATCTTGAGATAGTGGAGTGGAAATCTGTATGAACTTATGTGAAAGTAACGAATTTTCCAAAATTTAAAAGATTTCACAATATTTTCTGGCAACTTTCCTAAGAGGCAATGTAGTTCGTTTGCAATAATTTTAGTAATGATGAGCCGTTTTTTTAATAATATTATTAAGAGTGCACGGTTGTTGTGGTGAGGTGAGACGAAATATTGTGGTGCTCGCCCTTAATTATTATAAACAATGCAAATAAAAATGTCGGAATTACGTGTTCAACCTCTCGTTCTCACCGATCAGGATGTTGTTTTAGTAACAGGAGGAACCGGTCTCTTTGGTAAAGCCGTTGAACATGTTGTCAAACAAGATAATTTGCCAGGAAGTTGGGTTTTCTTAGGATCTAAGGATGGTGATTTACGTGATTTGAGTGCTTGTAAAGCACTTTTTGAAAAATACAAACCAACCTATGTTTTACATTTGGCTGCTTTTGTTGGAGGTCTTTTCAAGAATATGAATTTTAAAGTCAGTTTCTGGCTCGACAATGTGAATATGAATAATAATATTCTCTCATGTTGTTATGAATATGGAGTTAAAAAGACCATCTCTTGTTTATCTACTTGTGTCTTTCCGGACAAGATTGAATATCCAATTACTGAAGATAAACTCCATGTAGGTCCACCACACTTTTCCAATGATGCCTATGCCTATGCCAAGAGAATGTTGGACATGTTGAGTGTTTGGTATAACGAACAAGCTGTTCGTGAAGGAAAGGAAAGCAGATTCTCAAGTGTTATCCCAACTAATCTCTATGGACCACACGATAATTTCAATGTTGAAAATGGTCACGTTTTGCCAGGTTTAATGCACAAGTGTTACAAGGCCCAAAAGGGAGGTTCCGATTTTATTGTTTATGGTTCTGGTAAGCCATTGAGACAATTCTTATTTTCACATGATGCTGCTCGTATGTTGTTGTGGACCATGTTGAATTATCAATCACAAGAACCAATCATGTTGTGTGTGAGTGAGGAAGATGAAAAGAGTATTGGACAAGTTGCTCAAAGTATCAAGGATGCTTTCAATTTTTCTGGAAATATGATTTTCGATACATCAAAGGCTGATGGTCAATTTAAGAAGACTGCCAGCAATGCCAAGATGTTACGTTTGAATCCAACCTTTAAATACACTCCATTTGATGAAGCCATCAAGACAACTGTACAATGGTTCTTGGATAATTATGAAACTGCTAGAAAATAAACAAATAAAAATATTTCTTAATTGTTTTTTTGCAGGGTTTGGCACTAAACTGATACATTCCAACAAACTCTCTTGTTCCATTTCTTACCATGTCATTTGATATTTGAGATAATTTCACCACTTCATTTCAATTTTAGCCCTTGGACGAACGAATTCTTTAAATTCTATATTCTCTTGTTTAGAAATATTAATTGCATATAAATCAGTTAAGGTTCTGATTTTATAGAAAAAGGTAGATAGAAATATATCCAGAAAAATATAAATAGAATGCAAGTTTTTCATTTTTGTTTGTAGAAGACTATGACATAAATAATTGTGCATGAGATAGATATTCATGAATAGAGTATATCATAAAAATAAGTTCAGCTTCTGATAGATCTGGAAATTGTTTCAAATTTTCAAAATACTCCTTTGTTTGCTGGTAGTTTCTTCTTCGCTTGAATAGTTCAAGACCATACCACGAGTGAAATCTTTGAAATTGGGAACATTTTCTTCCAATTCAAATCTTTCAAATCATTCAAAAGTCTAGCATCTATCAGTTTCAAACATGAATCAACATTCATCTCATCTTTCATTCTTATTAAACGACTTGAGGGTCGCTGTGCTTAGTTTCCAGCCAAAATTTTTGTGCAAAAAAATGAACCTGCAATCATTTTCACTTTCCCCTACGCCAAAATTACGTTTTTTAACCAAAGCAGCTGTGATAGTATTTGTGATGGTGGCCTTTTTGTTGTGGAGAACTAAAAAAGACAGGTTCTCTAATAATATTCTTATTAAGGAAGATGAGACCAATCAAGCAAAACAAACAATAGAACAACAAGTTGCAAAACTAACAACGGAACAAAAACTCAAGAAACAAGCACAACATTCTGACGATACAAAAATTTATCACCAAATTGCTGATCTTTTAACAAGACCAAGTGGTGTTGGTTCTTACGACTGGTATAAGCAACAACTTGAAAAATACAATTCAATCGGTAATACAACATTTAAGGATTCATATGTTTCAAGAATAGGATTTAAAAATGAAGAAATAACTTCGCCTAATTGGTTTCATTACTTCAGAACTTACAAGGTCAAAGAAGTATGCTCAAAACAGCATTCATGTGAGATACTTCCATTCTCTTCAGCTCAAAGCGAACTCTCAAGAGGAGTAAAATTGGATGCAATCATCTATCATGATAAGTACAGTGAAGGAATTCTCGTGTCTGGACCTAAAGACATACCAGAACAAGTTAGTGTCAAAAAATTCCAAGAAACAATCAAATCATATGGTTTTTTAAATTCTGTTGAAGAAATATCAAACAAGATTGATTCAGAGCTCGGGGAAACTCTTTGGAGAATGTTAAGAAGATTAACATTTTACATGAATGGGGAATCTGTTGTTAGAAACATTATTTCTGGATATTTGCAAACAAAAGATGATCCAGCATCAATGGAAAGATTTTCAAGCACTTCAATAGATGTTTCAGTTTGTTTTTTTAGAAGTTGTACTTTATTCAACAATTATCTTTATTACCCAATTAATTTGCTATCGCCAAAGTTTGCCAAAAACACACAAACAAAACCTGGTTTGTGTGCTTTTATTTCAAATTGTGTAGCAGAATCTCATGCAACTCAAAGATTACAAATCTTGGAACAACTTTCAACATACCTTCCTGTAAGACAATATGGAAAATGTGGTAGAAATGCATATGAAACTAACGGAGGTAAGATGTTCGAACTTGAACATAATTGCAAGATTTACTTTGCCATGGAAAACTCAGTAGTTCCAGATTATATTACTGAAAAATTATATGAAGGCTTCAAATCTATGGAGAATGGCGGAAGATTATTGATGGTTTACAAAGGTCCACCAAATATTGCTGATTTCAAATATCCAAAATCTGCATTCATCAATGTGGATGATTTCTCCTCAATTGATGAGTTGGGACAATATTTGAAAAAGTTGAACGAAAATGAAGATGAATTCAATAAGAGATTTGCTGAACTAGAAAGAGACAGAGTCCAAATCAATCATGCAATTAAGATGATGAGACCAAGTCTTTCAAATTTCATCCCTTGCAGAATGTGTAAAATTGTTGGACAAACTAAATTAGCTAGATACCTATTGTTCAAAATCGGATTACAAGTACAAAAGAAAAAACTCAACTATAGGGAATGGGATGAATTCAAGAAGCAATTCGATTATATAGGGCCAGAGAGGATGGCAATCCTTGATTCTATTTATCTCAGAGCTTATGCAAATCAATTCCACTCAGAAAATATAAACACTGATATCAATGACGATGAAGTTTGGAAATAAAAACTAAAATTCTGTATCAACTGTTAAAAACGCTGTATATGCCTTCGAATATGAATTTACTGCAATTGGTTATGCATCGAATTAGAAGCAATTCTCACATGACTGATAATGTTTATTCGTAATGAATGATTCAGATCAATAAATCTTGCTGACGATTATTCAATAATAACCGTATACTGGTATACTACCTTCGGTGTCAATAATATGGTATTCAGTTAGTGCAAGGCCAAATTGATAGAAAAATTCACATAACTGGAGGATACAAAATCAGCAATCCAACCAGAATTCAAATAAACCAATTTTCTTCATACTTGGAAAGAGTCTCGATTGGATATTGATAATTTGCTTCTTACCATTTCGATCATGGGATTTCGCTACACCAAAAAACTGAACCGAAGGTCCTTCACATTTAAGTGGTGATAACTCTATCATTAATTCGGTAAGTTGTCGATCTATTCGAATTACCATTGTTTTCTAGTTCTGTATCTGAGGAAATTAATTGCATAGGGAAACTGTGAAAATATTTTTAAGCAAAGTAATCCATATTCTGGTAGAAGTACTTGTTTTCAACTAGGTATCAATTATTCAGGTCTGAGAGTGGTTGGAGCCTGATATAGTCATGATGATATTCCCATTAACTTTCTGTGTTATTATTGAAGAGATGTATGTTGAAAGAGAAACAAGTTTTATAAGTTAATTAATCATGAATACTTAAGTAATTGAGAGGAATGTGTACAACGGTCGATTCGGAATTTGTTGTTGACTATTAATCGTCCTATTGATCTTCTTTAATAATGATGATCATCGAGGAAGCTGTTATTAACATTGGCTTTTCATAAGTTGAAAGATAAGATCGGAGGTTCAGCATGCAACGTTAATGCTGTTAAGCTATCACATGGCTAAAGTAAATATTCTACGGAATCTCGTTATTTAAAAAACAATAAAAATGTCTGAACCAACTGCTATTGATATTACTCAAATTCCACCTCAAATTCATCATACAAAAGTGGCCTTAATTTCTGGTGTAACTGGACAGGACGGTTCTTACCTCGCAGAATTGCTCTTGGAAAAGGGATACACCGTTTACGGTATTATTAGACGTTCATCATCATTCAATACCGGTAGAGTTGAACACTTGTGTAAGGACATGCACGTTCTTTCTTCCAGTATGTTATTTAAATTCATGATTAATACTAAAATTTAGATAGGATTCAAGCTTGTTTATGGTGATTTGACTGATACTGGGAATCTTATTTCCATAATATCAAAGATTAAGCCTGATGAAATTTATAATCTCGGTGCTCAATCTCATGTTAAAGTCAGCTTTGAGATGCCTGAATACACTGCTAATGTTGATGCTGTTGGTACATTGAGAATGTTGGAAGCTATTCGTGCTTGTGGATTAGAAAAGAAGACAAGATTTTATCAAGCTAGTACTTCTGAATTGTATGGTTTGGTTCAAGAAATCCCCCAAAAAGAAACCACTCCTTTCTATCCTCGTTCTCCTTATGCTTGTGCAAAGTTGTATAGTTACTGGATTGTCATTAATTATAGAGAAGCTTACAACATGTTTGCTTTGAACGGAATTCTTTTCAATCACGAAAGTATTAGAAGAGGACCAACATTTGTAACCAGAAAGATCACTATGGCTGTTGCTCGTATTCATCTTGGATTGCAAGATTGTTTGTATTTGGGTAATTTGGATGCTGAAAGAGATTGGGGGCATGCCAAGGATTATGTTAAAGCTATGTGGTTGATGCTTCAACAAGAAAAGCCAGCCGATTACTGTGTTGCCACTGGTGAGAAACACAAGGTTAGAGAATTTGTTGAAAAATCTTTTGCTGTTCTCGGAAGGAGGGTTGAATGGAAAGGAACACCAGGTACAGTTGATGAATACGGAGAAGTGGACGGTATTGTTAGAGTTAAAGTAGATCCTAGTTATTTCAGACCAACCGAAGTTGAACTCTTGATTGGTGATCCAACAAAGGCAGAAACTGAATTAGGATGGAACAGAAATGTTGGTTTTGATGAATTGGTGAAGGGAATGGTAGAAGGAGATGTTGAACTTTTACAAAAGGATGATGTTGAACTTGTTAAGAAGCAGTATCACTAATAAATGAAATTCCCTTTATAAATCCTGGAACCTTCTTGCTGCTTCAAGAACATCTTGTAAAAATGGTTTTTGCACGTTATGAATTCTAATAGTTGGAATCTTAAAACTTTGATCACAATGATATCATGTTCAGTTGAACTATTAGTGAAACTATCACTACCTGAATTATAAATATAATAATTGTTGATTGTTATTGACTTTTCTTTATTCAACAAACAATTTCCGTTCTCTATGTTGTTCTTCTCTGGGTTTTATATTAAATAGGAACAATTTAATAAATTTATTCAATCACGACAATTAAGATTTATTTTTTAAAAAATGACCATCAAAATGAGGAAGGCAATCATATCAATTCTTTGCTATTTATTGTCTTCATTTCTGTTGTATTATTTGTTTTCTGTGAGGAGAGAGACTGCGCCTGTTAAAACCACGTTACTTAAACCATTAGATTCTACTCCAATCTTCGAATTAACAAACCCTTCCCATATGGAAAATTCTTTTATGTGGTATTTAAGGCAAATTAAGGACCAGAAAATAGGACATGAACCTCTCTTAGAACCAATTAATTTTGCTTTTGATAGCATAAAACTTAATGATAAGAAATGGTTTCACTTTTTTTATGATGAAGATAACAACACAAAGCAATGTAAAGTTAAAGGGTGTAAACTATTTTCCATTGATGCATCAATAATCTCTAAAAGATTAGATGCAATAATCTACAATGTTTATATGGCCAATGGTCCAGAAATATCGAAAAAATTGTTCGAAAAATCGACAGGTAATGGAAAGAATGCCTTGCTTTCTTTAAAGAAAGTGTACAAGCAATTGAATTCAACTGCTATGGATAAGGAATTTGCAAACACTATATGGAAAGAAATGGCTCCTTTGAAAATTGTTTTTAGTTATGAACAATATACTGTAGGGGTTGTCAATCAACATATTGATTATATAGATATAAGTGGATGCAGCCATAGAAATTGTTCTATCTTTTGTGGATATAATTTTAACACAATCCAACTTGATGAAAAGGTGATAGGGACTAAAAAGAGCACGCATAATTCATTGTGTTCATTTATTTCAAATTGTGATGTAATTGATGCAGCCCGAAGAATTCAAGATGTACTAAAGTTATCCACTTTTGTTAATGGAAGACATTATGGACAATGTGGAAAGAATGTTGCTGAAGATTCCAGAGGAAAATTATATGAATTAGAGCATAATTGTAAATTTTATACTGCTTTTGAGAATACTAGAAAGGAAGATTATGTAACTGAGAAGTTTTTTGAAGGAATTAAGGCAATAGAGAATGGAGCAAAGGTATTGATGATTTATGATGGGGCTACAAATGTTGAAAGTTTCGGATTTCCAAAAGATGTTTTCATTAATAGAAACGACTTTAGCTCGGTGGATGAATTGGGAAAATATTTAAAGTCACTGAGTGAAGATGAATTATTATTCAACCAAACTTTTCTGAGGGCTTTTTCAAAACAGAATATACCAATCATCGAAAAAGTCTTTAATTATCATTATTTGAAAAGAACCGACACAACAGTATGTAGAATGTGTACATCTATTGCAGAGGTGAAACTCGCTAGGTACCTTCTTTACAAATGTGGATTGTTTGAGAAGGCTACATGGGGTGAATTTCGAGAGAGAATGAAAGTATTGCTTAGTAATGAGTCAAATAGACTTTCTATTCTTGACTCAATGTTTGAAATTGCTTATGGAAGAGTGTTCAAGAAAAATTTGTCTGAAACAAATTGGAATGACTATAGCTATAACTATAACACACCTTAATGGTACTTCCAGGTTGGAATTTTGAGACAATTCAGTAGTCACCAAAAAGAAGATGAAACTCAAATAAATATATATGCTATAGTCAACTAGTGTAAACAATTTAAAGGAGTTCTGGTTTCTATGCATGGCAAAATTCCACAATCAATCTCTGGGCAACAGGGATAATTCCACAAAATATCTTGTAATATACCTATTCAAAGGAAGCTGTTGTGGATGGGTGCCAGAACAATCAAACTAGTAACATCATTTTGATGGTCTAAATAATATTGAAATAGGTGTCCAAAAATATGGAAACCGGGTTCAACTCTTTTTCTTTTGTCTGCCACTAACGGATTCTATGCATGTTTATAAATCCTTTGATTTGCAATCATGTAAACTACATCTTCTGATGCGTTCGGTATTCCAAAATCGGTGTTTGGAAACTATCTCTTTTTGCTTAGGGACATGAATACTATTAATGACTGGGAAGGTACTATCAATCAGAAATACTCTGTTAGTTATTAAGCCTATATAAAATGAAAATGAAGCTGACCGTTGTTGACTGATTTTGTAGTATTTAATTATCAATTGTGCGTAATTTACTTCAAATACTTAGCTGAAAACATTAATTCATCTAAAACTAAACCATTATATGGTAAGGCATCACCACATGATGCACAAGATGAGAATGTATCGTCTGCAGTTGCTAATGTATATGATTCTCCGTATTTTTGCTCCATTCCAACCATGCCATTAATCTTCTTTTGAATTTGGGTAGATGTTAATTCTGTATCATTTGCATTAGTGTGGGTTGTTTCAGAACTTGCTTTTGAGTTTCCATTCTCTATAACACCCACATGTAATGTAATAGCGCTAATAGTATTATGAATTTCATGGTGTTTGAAAAGAAGAATACTAGGTTGAGAACCTCTGTCATAACATCCAAATAACATATTTTCCTTACATGGAGAGAATGAATATTTGTGGTCCATAAAGATGCTGCTCTTTTCGTTGACCTTATTCATTTCTCTCATTCTAATTTCAGCGGTAGACTTGGCATCAACAGAGGAGCTTTGTTGAATTGAACGTACAAACTCCTGCACACTGATGAAAGAATATTGTAAAACATTAGGACAAGATAGTCTTTCCAATGAGCAGGTATAAGGGAATCGTTGCAAATTATGCTCATCTCCATTATTACAAAATCCCTCTCCCCAAACTATTGCAAGGAATGCCTTTTCCAATGAGGCATGACTCGTTCTGAATGAAGATATTGATGGATGATCACCAATACCTAATAGTTTTGGTAATTTTGGTTGTTGATAATTGTTGTCCTTTGAAATTGTCATATAGGTACCATAGATATTATTCTTTTCGGTAGAGTAGCAAATAATAATGAAAATATCAGGAACTGGTAAATCTTCAATAGTAGGGATCAAGGCATGAATAGTCAATTTCTTCATAGACTCAAAACTGACTAAATTCTTGTTCGGTACTACTACTCTCTCTGCTAGTTTTAACTCGAGTGATTTTTCACCCTTTTGAATTTCATAATGGTGCACAGTTAGAGCTTGAGAAATTCTATCCTTACTTGCAACAATAATGGTATTTGCAAAAGCAGAAAATGATAGTAATTGAGATTCATTCGAGTCGACCTTTAAATTCTTATCCAAAATGAGTTCCCAATTATCAGAAACTTGAACCAATTTGAAGAAACTAACTATACCCGAATCAAAAAGTATTGCTAATCTGAATGACTTTAAATTATTTTTTAAACCTGTCATATCAACAACAGAGTTTCTATCCAATAAAATCTCGTTACCGTTGCTACCTTTCAATTTTAAAGGTGGTGAGATCTTATGAGAGTTATAATCGTATATAGAATAAAAAATATTGTTGGCTTTTTCGTAGACAATCAAAATGGTGTTGAGAGAATCAATGTTAATAATCTTTGGTGATTTTGCTTCTTCTGTACTTGGAATAGGTTCATTCCTACCATAATTAGAATATTTTGAAACAAATATCTCCATTTGTATTGGGTCAATATTACTGCTGAATCTTAAAACACCTTTCTTGGAAGGTTTCTTTGAGTATACCTCTAATGCCCTCCAAATTTCATGCTGATCAGAGGGCTCCCAAAGGAATTTGGATTCTTCCAAATTATTGAATCTGCCATAGTTAATTTCTTGAGCTTCTTCTAAAAAGTGGGTTGGGGTTTTTTTGAAGTTTTTGGCTGCGTAATCATTTAACAATGGCTGGTTTAAATACTTAAAGCGAGAATATGGATCTTTCTTTGAAAATAGCCAACCATATTCCTGGTTTGTTGGATCTTTAAAAACTTCTGTTGGGTCACGAGCGGATATATAAGTATAAGGCCAGTTTGGCCACTTATTCTCTAAACATTTTCTTGAGAAAGATTTTGTTCCACCACTTGTTCCACTTTCGTCCAGGATAAACTCTACGTTTAGATGTAATTTATCATTCCTAGAGTTAAATAACTGATACATTTCATCAACAAGAATAATCCATTCATTATCTGGTTCCTTACAAGGATTTTTCATTGTTCCTACTACATATGTTCCGGTTCCTGCATTAGAATTGAACATAATTTTTTGGTACTTTAGACAAAGTGCAACATAAATTCTATCGGAACTATCAGGAAACCTATTTCTAATATCTGTTAATGTTTCAATTAAATCTATATAATCAAAATATCCCATTCCGTTATCAGGTCCTCCAATCTTCGGTGGATCATGGGTTAAGAGAAGACAGCGATTACCATTATAAACTCCAGAGAGATCCCTTATACTTCTCTTACATAATTTACCATATGATTTGATAAAGTGGTCATAATCAATGTGGTAATAAATATCAACTTTAAAGTGTCTAACACCTTTTTGATATCCTTGAATCCATTGTCTTAAATCATTCCATGAATGCACTTGATAGGAAATTGTAGGAGTAATCTTATTTTCAAAACTATGTGTGTCGTCAATTAATAATTCTCCATGCTCGTTCAATTCTCCAAAGCCTGGTCTATCAATCTTTGGATGGTGAGACAACAATAGGGAAGTCATCGTTAAACACATTAAAAAGACAAAAATCACAACACTATAAAGAATTGCTTTCCGTATTGTTAACCCTGTTGTTGCCTTTTTCTTCACATTTTCTTCATCTATTAATGCACTGCTAGAGGTTGTGGTTGTATACTCACTAACAGATACATCATTGCTCACTCTCCGATGAAATGTATATTGTTGATCAACATGCTGTATTGAATAACAGTCATCTATTTAATCGGAGGATGAATGTTATTAAAAATAAAGAATTTCCACTTACTCATTTTTAAAATTGCTCAATTTTTTTCGTTGGTCTGAAGAAATAAATCGGAAGAAACATTACTGTAATTGATCAACCTCATCAATTCTCTTCATCAGACAATTTGATCTAAGATTTTAGACGAAGTTGCTTTTATTCCCCAGTTAGCGTAATAAATTTTTATTAAATTAAAAAATGAACATTGCTAGTACGGAAGAGACTCTTCCCATGGAAGTAAAAATGATAATATTCGAGTACTTATCGATAGTAGAATTGAATCATTTGAGGATTGTTTGTAAAGAATGGAATGATACACTTTGTTCATCAAAGTCTAATTTGATTTGGTCAGATTTGATTAACAATATGAAAGGTGGAAAATTATTATTTATTCCAAATGATGATGGAAAAATTGTACAATTAACGAATAGTCAGCTGAGAAAATTGGCTAAACTTCTTTACTTGAAACAACAATCTTCATTAAACTTGTATAATTTGATCAGACAAAGAGCAACTGAACCACAAATTATTGAAGATCCTTCCGATGAGGACAGTGATATGGATTCTACTGATGAGGAAAAATCAAACGAACAACAAGAAACAAATACCATTATTGAAAAGGTAACTGATTTCCAGCTCATTCCACAGAAAGAACTTATTACAGAAGATATTCAACAGATTCAAAATAATTCAAAGGAAAAAACCTTGTTATCAAGAGGATTGGAAGCCAGCACAGTTGATAATGCTTCACAAAATATTGATTGTACAAGGGATGTAAGAAGTAGAAGAAAGTTTTGGTCTTCTAAAGGAAGTAAAACCACCCAAGTCAATGAGCATTTAATTTATCAATTGCAAGATCCTTGGTTTGTTGTGGAAAGAGAAAGAAAATTAGCAAAGCTAAAATCATCCACTTATGGATATCTTGATATCATTCATAAATATGTAAATACTTCTCGTGAAGAAAATCCAATGGATGATTTGGACCACATCAATCAATATTCAAATATTGGAATACTATACCTGGAAAGGATGAGCATTTGTCCATTTGTTGCTAGTTGGCAAAGCAATAACTGCTATTCACCTAAATTTGTATCACTCTCAATTGGAAAATCATCTGACAAGAATTCATTTATCAAAATTACTCAAGATATGCCAGTTGAACAAAATGGTGATTTTCAACAATTCGCACTAGGTCCACTGGTTATCATCTATGAAAGAGCATTTAATTCAGATAATGAGGATGACCTATTGGTGAAATCAAAGGTACCTATCGTGCAGGAGGAAGTCAGGGATGATACTATGGACGATGAAGAAGAAAACTTTGAAACAGAAGATGAAGAGGAGGAAGAAGGAGAACAAGGAAGACTAATGATTTCTGTGGAGGATGCCATGTTGGCCTTGGAAGAATCTGGTGGAGTGTTCAATGCAAGATTTATGGAAGTAGTTCAACAACTTGTAAGGGAAAGAATGAGAACGCAAGAAATGGAACAAGAGGAAAACAAAATGCTGAGTCAACTTACCTGCAGAGAACATGGGGATCTTATTCTACGAGCTGATTTGATTGGAAAGGTACAAACACAACCAGGCGATAATTTATATTACACCTGTTTAGAATACTTTGATGTTTCTGGATCAGCATTTACTTTGTAGCAATATTAATCCTCATACTGTTATGGATGTTGTGAAATAGGAAGAAGGAGCCAATAGAGGATGTATTAAAATTAATTTACTTTACAACGTTAAAAGTGTGGTCCAAAGATGCTCTTGTCAGCAATCATCAGAAAAAAATGTCAGGGGAACACCAAGCTCTGTCTCCAACGTCATCAGACTCTTCTGTGCCCACAATACAAATTCTACCACAAAAGGTATCATCACTACAAGATGACGATATGGATTTTAGCATTCGTACTCATCACTCTCTCAACACACCATTAACTTCTCCTAATTCTCCTTCCATGTCCTCTACCATTTCAACTCCTTCCTCAGAACCCTATCATCCCAGCCTCATTCTCCAATCAGAACTTCCTCTCTCTCATATTAAAGTGGTGAGGAATCGTGAGGAAATTCTCTCTCCTTGTGTTTCTGCTGGCAGACATCATCATCACATACCAGGTTCAGCATCATCTCTTGGTGGAGGAAGCACATTTGGTTCATCAACATCATTGAATGGCTTGTTAGACAATGAAGATTCTAGTCCCACAGATATCATGTCCTATAATGTGCCTCCACCAACCATTGTACCTCCATCAACATTCATAGAACCAATAACAAAGAGTGGAGTAGTGCCATGTGGTAGTGTTGATGATAATAATAATACTGACGACCATCATACAACAACATCCCTCGAAGCAGCTGCTGAAGAACTTCTTCATACGTTGGAAACTTCAAATAATCCCAAGTCATTAGAGGCTGCCATAACAACATTCATTGAACAGGAGACCACTAGAAGAAGATCTACTGTTGATAAGGAGGATATTGCAATACTACAGGAAATTGCTGCAGCCTCTTCTCAATTGGCTTCTAATACAACAACAACGGAAGAAAAAATTGAAACTCTTTCCGAAGTAGTACCAAGAAGGCTAACCATTACTTCATCATCTGAAGAAATTAATAGAAATGAGGAGGTAAACAATAACTACAATACACTATCATTAGAAGCTTCATCAACAAATAATAACAAACCATTTAGATTCATGCAAAAAAGACCATCCTTTATTAATCCAGAATTGATGAGTATGCTCTTTTCTTCGTTATTATCCCTTCAGGATTTAAAACCGAGTGATAATCAGGTGGCTGGACATGGACAAAAGGACGGAGAAGAACATTTAGTGGTTCGTCACTTGAGAGACAAAATTTACAAGCCAATTAATACAAAATCGAAACGTGCTTTTGATGAAGTCAAATTCTATGAACAACAGGCTCCAAAAATACCACTTTTAGAGCCTTTTCTGCCCAAATATCATGGTGTTCAGACAGTGAAGGAGAATGACCAACAATTTTTGGTTTTGGAGGATTTAACTGCACCTTTCACAAATCCGAGCTTGTTGGATATTAGAATGGGAAGGAGAGTTTATGGAGATGATGCCAGTTTGGAAAAGATTAAAATGTTTGAAGAAAAGTACATTTATCAAAAAGAGTTAGGTTTTGGCTTTAGTAAGTATTATTGATTGATTTTTGATATTAATTTACAACATCCTAAAAGGTGGCATGAAGGTTTACAATACTGATCCAGAATTTTCTAAAATCAACAAGAGCAAGCACATAACACACAAAGATCAAAAGTATAAAGTCTATGATAGATATTGGGGAAGACTATGTAAACCTGGAGAAGAGTCCACTGAGGCACTGGATGCCTTTTTCTTTGATACTTCATATGTAGATAGCGAAGTTGTAGGTATCAAGACAGTGAAAAGTATATTGAGTCAATTGAAACAATTGGAAGAGTTATTCAAAACTCATCAATTGATTTTTAGAGTTTACTCGAGTTCACTATTCCTAGTTTTTGATGCAGATAAAGCAATAGTGAGGATGATTGATTTTGCTCACGTTCACGAAAACAAAGAACCATCAATTGATGAAAATTATCTGTATGGTTTGTCTAATCTGATTAACTATATTGAGGAGGTATTAAGGCGAAAAGACGCTAGTCTTTGAAATAGTAGTCTCTTCCAAAACATTTATTGCAATAAGTCCATTTTCTTTTGATTTATGGAGAAACCTAAGGATGTATTAACCTAAATGCTTCTGTAAAAAAAGGAATCAAACACAAGCAATTAATCCAACCAAAGGAACTTCATTTTTATTTCAATTAATAATAATTCCTTTATTTTTATTTCGATTACAATATTATACTAGGTCAAACAATTTTTGTGTGGCACCGTAGAGAAACATGATTTTGCTCAACAACCTATTCTTTATTTAGGAAATACTTAATTTTCAGAATCACACTCCAGTACCTTTTCTGTAAATAAATCCTCTGAGTCTTGTGTTGTTTCTTTGGTCTTTACTTCTTTCTCTCCATCACTTTCTAATTTTTCAGTGTTGGGCGATTCCTCGTTGTGTGCAGAAGCTTCTTTCATAACTGAGTCTTCTAATTGGGATATTGCCATAACTGAGTCACTTTGGCTATTAAATGATTGGTCAACCTGTGTTGGTTGAGGATTTTGCAATAGTTCAAATTCTATTTCTCTTTTTATAGATTCTCGCTTGGTGGGAATATCGCTTGTTTGGAAAAGCTCAGGTGCATCGAGTGGCAAGTTTTCTATTTTAGTACAAGCAAGAAGTTGGATGTAATGGATCATAAATACACCACAATCAACATGGTTATCCTGTTTTGGAAGATTAGCCTTTCCAACAGGGAAATTATCAGCAGTAAAAGTCACTGGTTTTTCGTTTGGATTCTCGAATGAGTATCTCTTTGCCAAGAATTCTCTTACACGTTTGGTTGTGTTGGTGGGAATAGCACCCCCCAACGAATCACAATACATCAACATCCTGGCATCAGCTGGATACTTCTTGGTAAGATCTAATTTTTCTTTTTTTACACTTGTTCCATTAGGATTACAAATAACAATTAAGGACCAGTGCACACTGAATGAGTTGATTAAAATGTATTAGTATTTAAACTGTATTAATAACATACTTTTCATTCACTGGAATAAATATTAATTTCTTTTCGAATAGAGTAACATTTTTAGCTATTCTTTCTGCAGCTCTACTTGAATCTTTTTTGAGCAATTGATAAAAGTGAGTATTAAAAATATAAAAATCATTTTTAACTTGTCTAGCCTTTGCTCCATGAAACTGCTCCTCTATGTATCTGAAAAGGTTAATTACTGTTGCAATATATTCCACTTACCTCAAATAAAAATCAATTATATTATCATTTAAGAATTCATCCGGTTCCAATCTTGAAATATCACGTAATGTTATCTGAATGCTATACTTGCTAAGGACAACTTTATCCAAATCCAAGTTGGCTCTGACAGATTTTGTTTTGGATCGTGTCACATGGTGTTTTGTTACAATGTCAGTATCTGAAATGTCCTCACTATCTGAAGATGATAGTTCTTGTTTTGTTTTTTCCACAACTTTTTTAATTTTCTTTGTAGGAGGTTTTTCAGGCGAATTATCTGTCACCTTTTCTTCAATTTTTCTCTTTTTCTCTTTCAAAGACTTTAGGTCCTTTTTATGACTTATTGTCTCGATATTATTCACTTCGTCTTCAGAAAGCTCGTATTCACTATCATTTTTGATTATCTTTTTGTTTTTCTTGGGAGAGAGTAATTGCTTTTCTTCCCTTACCCTGTTCACAAATTCACAAGGAGTAAACTTCTCCCCTGGAATATTACAGGCAATGTCTGTCGTTGTTGGCCTTTCGGCTGTTATTTCTCCATAAGGTTCGAAAAAATTGTTAAAATTCGAAACTGAAAATTTGGTTTTAGGCTTGAAACAAACACCCCATTTCGGATGAGAATCAATATCCTGGACTGGGGCAATACTATTCGAATAAGTTAATCCGAAAACATTCGCAGAAGAATTGTACCAAATTTTTGAAATATACTCCTTTTCAAGTCTTGCACCAATCCAACCCATACCCTCCTTGATAAAGAATTTAATACATTCATCTGTAAATTCCATAGTTTTATATTCACTAGAATATTCGTATCCGATACAAATTGCTCCAAATTTTAAAAATTCATCATTCTTTTTTTTTGTATTTACAAATCCTGCATCCTTGTCGGGAGTTGTTATCAAATTTAATTCCTTTTTTTTTCTCCCTGGCTTTCCTGTTGATTTTCCTGTTGTTGCTTTTTTAAATTGGTCTTGAAACTATTCATAATAATTAACCAGTAAGAATAAAAGGCTGAAATCAATAAAATGTTAAACTTACATCAGACATCATCAAAGTGGTTTATTTTTTTTCGAATGTTAGATGGAAGTGATCTTGGCGGTTTGTCCCAAATTTTTTGTAATAGCTGCATAAAATGTGGAAATTGTTAACCATGTTTTGAGGTTTTTTAGTCTTCTACATCCCAATGAAACAATTAAACCCTCAATATTTGTTTCATTGTTCCCTGTAGATACGGTCTGACTCAATTCGTGGCATAAACAGTGACTCAGCAAGTCATTCAAAAATTATCTACAAAAAAAAAATTAAAAACCTCTCCGTTTCATTTTGTACAATATTATCCCACTTCTTTCTGGAGGCAAAAAGAGAGGCTAAAGAACAAGTAACACTCACCGAGAACGAAGAATGGAAAAGAAAATATTAACAAAAGCTACTTCCGAAACAGAAGAACCAACTCCAGGTTGGATGTTTCACCATATTGCCAGTACTACAAAAAAGTCTCCTCAAGCTTGTGAGGAAACAACAAATTGGTTGATGAAGAGATTAACCCACAAAAATCCTCACGTAAAAAAGAAAGTTTTGTTGATTATAAAGAGCGTTGCTCAATCTGGTGATGCTGAATTTGCCAGAATAATAGTCAAGAGAAGCGAAGAAATCAAACAATACGCTAGTAAGTATTAGATTTTCGAAAATAACGTTTAATAACTGATGCATCACAATTTTAGATTTCAGAGGAGATAAAGATCCACTTCATGGTGATGCTTTGAATCAAAGTATTAGAACAGCAGCATCCCAGGCAATTGAAGCAATATTTGAAAGAAATGAAAGTGGTTCCAAGTTTAAAGTAAATATGGATTTGAATGGTTCCGATCAAAATTCTGGAAGAATTGGAACTGCACCAACTGGAGGATTTGGTGTTTTTGGAGGAGGAGTAGGAAGTTCAGACTATGGTAACGACTATACACACGCTTCCGATACTGAAAATAGACCAGCTTTTGGTGGAGGTTTTGGACCTAATACTCCTGCTTTTGGTGGAGGTTTTGGTTCAAATACTGTTAATAATCAAGCTTCTAATGCAGGAAGAGTTGGTACCATGACTGGTATTGGTAGTACATTTGCGAATGAGCAAATAGCAAAACAAAATCAATCTGCTGGTTGGACTGGTACTCTCAGTAATTTAACAAACTACCTCCCAACTTGGTCTAAACAGAAGGATACTCACGGTATGGATAAAAACAATTTCCCAGGACTAATTGCTGGATCAGAATACGAAGGTGCTGATGCAAATGGCTCATATGTTGGAGTTATTCTTCCACCTGGAGGATCTTCTGGTCTATCTGGATCATCTCATGTTCCTGGAAAGAAACTTTGGGAAACTGATACCCCTTCAACAAAATCAACTAACAATACAGTGGGAGAGTTAGAAATTAAGGTGGTGAATGAATTTACTTCACCAGGAGGTATTCGTAAACCTGCTCCAACGAAGAAGGAATGTACAGACTTTGCTCAAAAGTGTTCATCGCTCAACTTATTGCAAGTAGCCGAATTATTGAATCAAAAATTGGATGATCATGAATGGATTGTAAGACTTAAGGCTCTGTATGGTATTGAGGCTCTTTTGAAGGCTGAAAATAAGGCTGTCACTGAATTTTATTCCGAAAATTGTGAAAATATCTTAAAACAATCAGAATCCGTGCAAGAAAGTGTTAGACAACAAGCAGAAAAGGTTGCCAAATTGTTGAACTTTGATGAAGGAGATGATGCTCAGTATGGACCAACACTTCTCGAAGATTTTGGAGGCATGTCCATTTCAACCTCCTCTCCATCTACCTCTAAAACTACTAGAAAACAAATCAATTTTGTTCCATCCAGTGGTTCTACCACAACCACTAACAATAACTCAAATGATGCCTCTGACTTCTTTGATATGATGAATGATAATTCAACAAGTAATTCAGGTGATGATATATTAAGCGGATTTGAGGTGAAGAACTACCAACCAACACCAAAGCAACCTGTTCAACAAAAGACAACAAGAACACCAACAGAGACAAAGCCAAGAGTACAACCAAGTCAAAAGACTCCATCAAGTGCAACAACCCCAACCAAATCAGATTTGTTGGACCTTGATACCTTACTCTCTGCTCCAACAATTCCCTCCCAAAAGACAACTACCACTACACCAACATCCATTCCATACACTGTCCCTGTACAACAACCAATCTATGCTATTCCAACATATCCACCAATGTACCAACCATATGGCGTAGTACCTCAACCTGGAGTACCAATTTACCCTGTTTATCAACAACCTTATTATCCACCACAAACCTTTGCAAATGTCGGAACAATTCCAAACAGATCAAATCCTCCTCCAATTATGCCAAAAGGTTCACAAAGTCAAGCTTTTGATTTTATCAATAATACTCAACCTCAAGAGCAACCAAAAGAAGAAAAGGATTCTTTTGATTTTGTTAAGCAAGTTTATCTTAAATAAAGTTTTGTTTTATGTACAATTTTTACTCGATTTCACCAATAGCGTCTATTGGATCCTTAGTATCATCATTATCAACTGCCTTATTATCTCCAAATTCTTCTTCAATGTTATCCAGTTCTTTTGGAACATCATCATTATTATTAGCAGCTGATTCATCCATTTTCTTCATTTCTTCAGCAATCAATTCGTTCAATTCCTCATCTTCTGCCTCTTTCTTTTCTGCTGACTGATTTAAATCAGTTTGAGGGTTTTCAACCATTTCCTCTAAAATATCGTTATTGTTTGTTGTTCCATTATTATCAGTTTGTTCTTGAGTGTTTTTTGGAACATCACCTGTTGTTGTATTAAGTTGTTCCGACGATATATCTTGGACAACTGTTGTTGATGTATTATTTACAGGTTCTACTGTATCTTTGTCCCTTGGCGATTCTGGTTGTTGGCTATTGGCGACATCAGTGGCTTTAGTCGTTGAACAAGAACTTCCCATTCTAATGAATCTCTTGTTGTTACGTTTTTTTCAGTTGTGTGGCAAATTCATTAAAAACCACTGAAAGTACCAACCGTTTAATGTGGGAACTTGTTATTGAGGGTGATTGATATTGAGCGACACAACAAAATATCATTCAATTTTTAAAATCGATGTATTTAATTCTAATTGAAAAGTAAAGTGGCTTAAATTTTCTTCCAAATTCTTTGGATTAATAATTTTATTATCAAATATCAATACATCAATGTATTTAAATATTTTCAATTAAATAACATTCAATCAATTTTGTCGTCTTCAAAAAAATGCAAAAACTGACTGTTAAACTTTTAAACAAGGCTTCCTCATCCATCAACGGCAGTTATCTTCAACAGGTGTTGGCACAAAATTCATGCCGTCATCTATCCCAAAGAGCAGCCTTTTCTACATCAATAATTAAAAGAGAAGATGTTGTAGTTGAATCACAGGACTCAAATGCCTCTTTCAGAAAACCTGCATGGGAAAATAACATCACAACAGCCACCCTCTTCGAAGAAAATCCTGCCATTGAAGAAGGTATTGTCGTTTCTCAAGGTTTATACGGAGAACAAGCAGCTAAGTTGGAAAGAGACAGCAGAAACCAAATTCAAAAGAAGTTTGAACAATTTATTGGTGAAATCGGACAACAAATTGATGAAGTTAAATTGTTACTTAAACAAAAAGAATTAGAAACACGTTCTATGGATATTGCAAAGGCTAGGTATAGAAAAGATTTAAAATCAGCCACATCAAGAAATCAAAGTGCTTGCCTTCCACCAGCAAAGAAAATAATGTTGGAATGGTATGAACCATTAACAAAAATTATTCGAGAAAAACAAGATGAAGTTAATTTCTCTTGTTCTAAAAAGAAATCATCATCAACCAATACTACAACCACCACTTCCCAAGACAATTTTGCCATTCCTCTCTACCTAACCTCCATTTCAGCTGAAAAACTCGCCATTATCACTCTCCATGAACTTTTGGCATCATGTCTCAAAGAAAGAGGTGGATCACCAGTTTCTTCAATTTCCTATCAAATTGGTGACGCTATCCAAGCAGAAATTAACGTTGAAAAGTTGAAGAGGACAAACTATTTTAAACTCATCATTAAGAATCAAATGATTTACCACAATATTAACAAAATCTCCAAATTGAAATTGAATGAATACGTTACATTCACAAAGGAAGAGCTCGTACAATTGGGCTCGTATTTAATTCAACTTGCTCTCTCCACTGCCCACGTACCTCTTATCTCAAATCCAAAAGAAACAGTTCCTGCCTTCATTCACAGAAATATTACCAGAAATTCCAAGATTATTGGTGTAGTTGAACCAGATGATAATTTACTTCATTTAATTGGTAGAGAACACGTCGCTCAAGAAATATTATATCCAAATCATTTGCCAATGTTGGTTCCTCCAAATCCATGGACAAGTTCTACCGCTGGTGGTTACATCGCTCTTAAAGTTTTAATAATGAGAACAAGAGGTTCTCACTTACAGGCCTATACACTAAAGTCTGCCGAATTGAACGATCTTTTATCTGGTTTAAATACACTCAATGAAACTAGATGGAGAATCAATCCAACAGTATATGAAACAGTTCTTAAAGTTTGGAATTCAGGAGGTGGATTGGGAGAATTGCCATCAAGATTTGACGATACTCTTCCAGAAGAACCAGAAACTGATGATCCAGAAATTAAGAAAAAATGGAAACGTACAGTAGAAAAGATTAAGACTCACAATAGAAACTTACACTCTCTCAGATGTGACATGCTTCTCAAACTTAAAGTTGCTGAAGATTTCAAGGATAACACTTTCTATTTCCCACACAACATCGATTTTAGAGGAAGAGCTTATCCAATCCCTCCTCATTTGAACCATCTTGGTGCTGATATCAACAGAGGTTTACTCACTTTTGAAAAGGGAATGCCAATTGGTAAGAGGGGTATCTTTTGGCTCAAGATTCACTTGGCAAACTTGTACGGAAAAGACAAATTACCATTCGATGAAAGAGTTCAATTTGTTGATGAATATATTAATGAAATTATTGATTCTGCCGATCAACCTTTAGAAGGAAACAGATGGTGGTTGAAATCTGAAAATCCATGGCAAACATTGGCAGCTTGTGTCGAACTTGCTGAGTGTTTGCGCTCTCCAAACCCAGAAGAATTCTTATCACATCTCCCAATTCAAATGGATGGTTCATGTAATGGTTTACAGCATTATGCTGCCCTTGGTAGAGATAACCTTGGTGCTTTGCATGTGAACTTGTTACCAACCTCTAAGCCTATGGACGTCTATGTTGGTGTATTGGAAGTTGTAAAGAAACATATTGAAAGAGATATGAAGGCAGGAAACAAACTTGCTAAACTTTTGCATGGTAATGTTTACAGGTCTACAATTAAGCAAACTGTCATGACCAGTGTGTATGGTGTGACATTTGTCGGAGCTAGAGAACAAATTCAAAAACGTCTTAAGGAAAAGAAGGAAGTTCCAGAAGATGATGTATTTGCCTGTGCCTCATACCTTGCTTCTATTACACTTAAATCACTTGGTGAAGTTTTTAGTAGTGCTCAAAATATTATGGAATGGCTCAATGATTGTGCTCTTTTAATATCCTCATCAGATACACCTGTAAGCTGGATTACACCTTTGGGTTTACCTGTCATTCAACCATACAGATCTAAACGATCAAAGATTGTGAAGACGGTTATGCAAAGCATTACTCTTGCCGATTCATCTGATAAACTTCCAGTAAGCAGAACCAGACAAAAATCCGCATTCCCACCTAACTATGTTCACTCCCTTGATTCATCCCACATGTTTATGACTGCTAGTGCATGTCAAAAAGAAGGAATTGAATTTGCTGCTGTTCACGACTCTTTCTGGTGTAATGCTGGTAACGTTGACAGAATGAACACAATTATCAGAGAACAATTCATCAATCTCCATTCTCAACCTTTGCTTGAAGAATTGAATGCTACCTTTACTAATTTATATCCACAAATCCAATTCCCACCTCTTCCAAAGAAGGGATCTTTAGATTTAACTCGAGTTTTAGATGCCCCATATTTCTTCGATTAACAAGTTTCTTCTAATAAATCATACCACCTTTTCGATTTTTACGTAGTCTTCGGAGCTCTTTCTCCGTTTGCCAAATTTTCTATTTAAAAATTTATAAAATAAAATATTTATTTTTTAATCATAATAATAAAAAATGTCTGACTCAAAGAATAGACTTCAAGTCCTTCCAAGTCGTATGACTTTGTCTAACATGAAAATTCGTTTGCAAGGTGCCAAGAAGGGTTACAGTTTATTAAAGAAAAAGTCTGATGCTTTGAATATTAAATTCCGTTCCATCTTGAAGGATATCAAGGATCAAAAGGAAGGCATGTCGGATATGTTCCGTAAAGCCTACTTCTCACTTGCTGAAGCTCGTTATAATGCTGGAGATATTTCATATGCTGTGATTGAAAGTGTTAAAAGTGCTGCTACAAAAGTCAAGATGCGTACAGACAATATTGCTGGTGTTACTTTGCCAGTTTTCCAACAAGATGATAGTTCACAAAGTGAAGAAGGAATGACATCAATGATTTCACGTGGTGGTGAACAAATTCAAAACTGTAAATCCATCTTTACTGAAGCACTTCAAAGTCTCATCAAACTTGCCAGTTTACAAACCAGTTTCGTTACACTCGATCAAGCAATCAAATTAACAAATCGTCGTGTTAACGCTTTGGAAAAGGTTATTCAACCAAGAATTCAAAATACTATTAGTTATATTATCAGTGAATTGGATGAATTGGAAAGAGAGGAATTCTTTAGATTGAAGAAGATTCGTAACAAGAAGATCAAGGACGCTCAAAGGAAACAAAAGATTGCTGATGAATTGAAGAAGTTGAATCCAACATCATCCGAACCAGTTCATCAAACCCAACAAAAGAACGTTTTGGATACATTCGATGATGAAATTGTTGTGTAAATTATTAATAAAAACCCATTTAATTAAAAATTAGTTTACTTCTAAGATTTTTACAAGGAGATTGTCCAAACTTATTCAAACATATGACAATTGAGGTCTTCTCTACTTTCATCCCTATTGGTTTCTTAATTGAGCCAGTAACCGTTGGAATGAAAGAGTGCCACCCATGTACGACCTTGACTCAAACAACATCAAATAAAAATGTCCACAAGACTAGTGGATTACATTGCAGTTGTTGGCTCTCCCTATGACCCCAGGGAAATGATGCACACCAAGAGGTTGTCGTCAACAATAACAAAATACACTTCAACAGTGGGAAGGGATCAAACAATTGATAGTGAAGAAGATGAAGAACAGAGAAGTAATTTATCTGAAGTTGAATCTGAAACTTTGTCTGTTGGGGAAAATTCATCTAATATAATTGATGATAAAGTTTCTGTTGGAGTTGTAGTCGAGGAGGTAGGAATGAATAGTTATGATGCAGTGTTTGATAATAGTGCGGAAATGTTTATGGACAAACTTAGGAAACCAATTGTATTGGACAGATATCCAAGAGAGGACTATCCTTCAGCTCCACTATCACCTGAAATACCTCTCTTTTGTTTTCCGAATGGAGAGATTGGAATTCGTATTGATGAATGTACTTTACCAATGTATTATACTTTTGTTTTAACTGCTGCTGATGGTAACAAAACCTATGGAGCTTGCCTAAATATTTGGGAGGAATATCATTTGGAAGATGAATTATTGAATACTGAAAAGAAGGATAATGATGACGGAATGATTTCCATAACTTTTGATCCAATCAAGACTGAACGAGAGACTTCTACAATTTATATGTCAAAAAGCATTGTACTAATTTCTCATTATCCATTCTATAATTTATTCAAATTCTTTCTGACTCAAATGTATAGAATTAGTATTACACCATCTAAAATACCAATTGAAAGATTTATTTCAAATTTCATTTTTGAGGTACCTCTACCTTGTCAGGGAAAAGTACAGGTCCACTACAGCATTGGTGATAAGGAGATTTTTATAACAAGACCTCCACCTAATGAGTTACCGATGGCTGAAGTTGATTTTGAACTCTTATTTTGTACATTAAGCATTGAGAACATTATGATTTTATTTGATTTAGTATTACAAGAAAAAAAAATTTTATTTACTTCAAGTCATGTAGCTTTATTGACTCAAATTTCTGAGATTATTTGCCATTTAGTGTTTCCTTTCAAGTGGCACCATATTTATATTCCATTATTACCTGCCAAATGTGCAGAATTTTTATTTGCTCCAGTTCCCTTTATGATGGGATTGGCAAAGGATTTTGTAAATAATATCGAGATACCATCAGATGTTTTCCAAATAGATTTGGATAACAATCAAATTGTTTGTTCAAAGCAGCAATCAATTCCAAATCTTCCTGAAAAACAAAAGATTAGATTACAAAACACTTTGAATAGCTTGGTAAGGACAAAAGTTGGATCCCAAAGAGCTATTGATAAGTTGCACTTTGTAGATCTAGCTTATGCTATGGCTCCAATTACAGAAGAGATTGACCCAAAAACAGGAGAGGCATTTCCATTCCCAACACGAGAAGTAAGAATGGCTTTCACACGATTTTTCGTTTCTCTCTTTTTCAAATATAAGAATTTTTTCAGAGAAGCTCAGGATTCTGAGCTAGAGAGCATGTTAGATTTAGATCATTTCTTTAATAAGAATGCATTCACACACCAACTTCCAGAACAGGCTAGATCATTTATGGAAATATTTCTGCATACTCAAACATTTGAAAGGTTTTTATTAGATAGATTGGAAAAAGTAAATCAGAATGAAGTTCAATATTTCGAAGAATTAATGATACAGAAAGATAATGAATCAAAGTTCAAGTTCAGAAAGCAACCAACCCCATTTCTCTCCAAAAATTTTGCCATCTCAAGAACGTTGATGGCTCTTTCACCAGATAACTCCAATCTTACTTCAAGTACTGAACCATATATTTATTTATATTTTCCAACTAAGTTAGATCATACGCTATTCACTAAAAGAGAATATACTCAACTATTAGTTTCAGAATCTGACGTGGTTTCTAATAATGAAATTAACTTATCATGGAAATCTTGTATTGCTGCTCTCTCATCCCTTTCTACAAATCAGTACTCCAACAAAACAGATAATAATACAAAGATGGCATCAGCAAATATAATACTAGATGAAAATAGAAATGAGAACCTTTTTGATAGATTCTCATTCCAGACGGATTCAAAATGTTATCATTGTGAGCATATTTGTAAGGAATCTGAAATAAGGTCTGGTTGGAGTTCAAGTAATTCGCAGAGTTATACAACAACATGTACACATTGCTCCAAACAATTCGTTCCTTACTTTTCAGTTTACTTTAAACTTCCTTCAGTCACACAAGAATTACACCAGTTAACCTCTGTTGAATATCTATCACCTCTAGTGATAAGAAAAGAAATTGAAAATTTGATATCACATGATGTCAAAGCAGATTCTGCCCTGTGTTGGCAGCACCCAGTACTTTTTTGGAATCTTGTGGTACATTTCAGATCACTTCCTCTTTCGTTTATATTTCCATGTATTGATTGGAATGCTATTCAATCTCATCTTGTTACATCTCTATCTCAAAATTCTACTGTTAATTGAACCAGCTGCCCTGTCCAATTTAAAATGAGCAAGATTTTAATTATGATTTGTAGTATTTAGATAACTAAATAAATGAATTATAGTATTAATATAACCTCTTGACGTTGAATAACTGAAACAAAGGAGCTGTTTGTCGTTAATGGATGGGTATTAAAACTCTAATTGAATATACTTCAAACAAAGAAAAATCTGAATAGCCTTCAAAAGGAATCAAGCTCTGAGAAAACTCAAATATTCATGTATTGAATCATACATATGGTCCTTCTGTTTAGCACGATCTAAAAAATGTCTCCATACCCTACAACAGGCTTTGGATTTCATAGTATAGGGAAATTTTTGAAACAAGGAGATGATAAATCCTTATTACCTCATTTTCAACAGGCCGAAAACACCTCAAATATATTTATCTTAAGAAGATATAGATGGTTTTTGGTTGGTGTTTTCGTGTGTTTCTTTATGTGTTTTGTACGGTGGAATACTAATTCTGAGGATGAAATCAATAATAATACTGTGATCATAACCTCTGATCATAAAATTGGAAACAAGATTGAATCAATGCAAACTCATTCTACACTTGTGGTGAGTGAACAAGGCATTAGACTTGAACCAGAGGTGAAGCAGGTACCTATGGTTAAGGAGGATCCAAAACACACCTTCACCGGAATTTTATTACATTTTAAAAGAAGAAATGGTATTAAGAAAATCCTTTCAATGATGATTAAATACCCTTTTATTTCTCAAGTAATTGTGTGGAATAACAATCCTGACGTTAGCATAACTCACCAAAATCTGATAGAGGACTATCTTTCTGATGGAGAAAAATCAAAAACACTCGAAAAGTACAAGGAAATGGTTTTTATTCACAATCATAATGAAAATATTAAGGACAAAGCAAAATATTTAGCTTGTGAATTGGCAAATACTACAGCTTGTTTCTACTGTGATGATGATTGGGATATAACAAGATACGCCAACGCTCTACTAGCAGACTTCTACAATGAGCCTAGCGTTATGCATAGTGTAACAGAACCATACACGTATTACACAAACCTTGTTTGGTCCTTTTATGATTCAAATATTAATCTTCACACAGCTTTTGCTTGGATTGGTTGTGGGTCTATGTTCTTGAAGTCACTTGCTGTTAACCACCTCCAAAAAGTTGACAAGTTTTTGGAATCGAATCCAAAATTGAAAAATCTTGTTCCTCTGAGTGATATATTTTTCTCAATATGGCAAAATAATGCTCCTTCACAGATTGTTGCTAACATTGCAGAAATAAGTGTAGAGAAGGAAAATGTGGCATTTTCTAGTCAGGGTGGGTTTTTACAATTACAACATGAATCAAGTATGATGGCTATTAAGATTCTTCATGATGAACTCACATACAACTCTTTCTTTACAATATTCCCAAAGAAAGAGATTGAAAATCCATTTCCTCTCTTCCTTAAATCACCTTCTTCAAAGGATTCATTCTTATTTTATTCAGACTTGTTTCCGTTCTTATTGAAAAATGTTTCCTTTGACATTACAAACCATGTTCATGCAAAAAGAAGCACTAGAGATAACCTTCCTCAAGGTGCTGATGTTGATTTTTTTTACAACAACAACCCAACAAGGGCGGTTGATTCTGATCCATCATCTTGTTGGCAATCAAACAGAAACGTTGGCATGGACAGTTTTTTTGGAGTGGATCTGTATTCTGTTGTAACAGATATCGCTATTGAAATTATTTACTCACACACAAAAGATTTTCATGCAACCCTCAAAACAAGACACTCCATTGACAGGAAAAATTGGGTTGACACAAGTGCAGCCAGCTATGAATCGAATAACTTTTCTCGCCACTCATTCAAAGACTCAGTAAGATATATCGAGTTCTTCACTCAAACTGGCTCAAGAAACAAATTTGGTATTTGTGATTTTAAAGTTTTCAAGAATGGAACCTCTATCTAATAAAATCCGTTGCAGTACTACTAATGGGACTGAATTGCAATAAATTTAGCACTAGATATTAAAAAAAAAACAAAAATGGTGCTAGAGGAATTAACAGATGCCGAAAGACCTTCATCACAAAAGAAGAAAAAGGAAAACAACCACTTCCACCCGATGCTATGGGCCATTCGGGAGAAGTCTATCATCCTATTTTGACAAGGTCTGCAGGCTATTCAAATGAACAACAGAAACAGGAACACACTTTTCTTGTGAGTCATACACATGGCTTTGAACAAATTGTGAAGGATGAAATTCTTTTACTTTTTGACTCATTAAATTTGATGTAATTTAATTGGTATGAAAAATTAAATCCGAAAATTAGGGTCCACGATTATCCAACAACTATTGCTGGTAAATTTATGAAAAAGGTGGAAAACTCGGTACCAAACTACCTAAAAACTTTGAGTGAGAGTCACAAAGTGACATTTGTTAATTTTTCTAATTTATTTGAAATTGAATTTTTATATTCTAGAAATGGATTATTAATATTTAATGTTTCTTCTAAAGGAAGTGATAATAATTTATTTATGGAAAATCTAGTTTATTTAGTCTGCCATTTAAATGCTATTCCTAGTATTGATTTTGTGTATTCATTTATTTGCATTGTTCCTGATATACCCTTTGATAAAGAGACTACAATGCCAATATTTGCAGAAACTATACCAAAAAGAGAACAAGATACTCAAACATAGAAACAATCCTTTGAACTATTCGAAAAATTATATTGCAAAAAGTTTGAAAAACAAAATCTTTATTCCAAGGATACCAACTTTAGGGCTACTGGTGTAAGAAAACAAACAAGTATTTTGAAGCATGACTACAAATCAATGGATATGGCCGCTGAGTATGGATATGGAATTGGGGAAACAATTTGCAAGGACATGAAGGTTAACCTGAAAAAGTATGACCTTGACATGTTAATTTATTTGGATATTGATAGAGTGTTTATAGGAATGCTATTGTCCCCTCCATTACATGCTTTAGAAGAATTGAAAATTAGTTCAGCATGTTCAGGACATGGTGGTTGCATCTCACCAAATAATTGTTCATGTGTCTCTGGATATTATGGAAGTGATTGTAGCCAATTTGATTGTTATGGAACTGCCTCCACAAATACATCAACATGTACTAATCACGGTAGTTGTATATCCCCAAATAACTGTTCCTGCTTATCAGACTATTATGGAAAAGAGTGTACTCAATATGATTGTTTTGGAACTATTTCAACAAATGGTTCAGTATGTTCTGGACACGGTACCTGTCTCTCACCAAATAACTGCTCATGCTTAGCTGGATATTATGGAAATGATTGTAGTGAATTTGATTGTTACGAAACTGCCTCCACAAATGCATCAGCATGTTCTGGACATGGTGGTTGCATCTCACCAAATAATTGTTCTTGTTTAGATGGATACTACGGAAATGTTTGTAGTCAATTTGATTGTTATGGAACTGCCTCAACAAGACATTTTTCTTTGAATAATCAAGTTATTGATAGAAATCTCAGTGAGGACGAATTGAATGAATTGAATTCATGTGATTTGATTTATTCATACACTAAACAAGATATTAGATTAACCTTCGGAAAATCTATCTTGAAACCTCAAACAAGTTACATGCTTTGGAAAACTTTACTGATGGAAAATTCAATTTTACGAGACAAATTATTCCAACAATCACAATTAGTTACTTTTGTTGATCCATTTGCAGGAAGTGGTACTCTTTCACTCTCACTTAATTATCTCTTCACTGATAATGATCCTAAAGTTCAACTTTATAATATTGATTTCAATCTAGATGAAGTGAGTGTTATGAAGGATAATTGCAGCAAAAACAGAAATAATCATATTTTAAATTGTGATTCTAGATTCTTACCTTTTAGAAATGAAAGCATTGATGTTGTTATATCAGATATGCCATTTGGAGTTTTATGTGAAAATCACTCTAGAAACTCAAAGGTCTACCCAAAGATTGTAAAACAACTCGAAAGAATTGTTAAGCCTGATGGAATTGTAATGCTGTTGACAATTGAACTTACCTTACTGGAATCTCAACTGAATGCCAGAAATCGGTGGACATTCACAACACAAAAAGTAACACTTGGAGATTTAGGTAAGGAATCCAAGCAACCATTTACATTGGCAAGAAGAAACCTCCACAAAATAAATTTATGATCAGTAATCAATTAAACCTCTTTTGCTGACAAGTCATCCGGCCGTGTTCTGTAATCACATGTCATTAATGTAACAAGCAGAAGAAAGGCTAGATTTTTCCACATCAAAAAAACAAAAAAATATTTGGTAAGTGTTTGGCTGTTCTCACTCTTTGCTCTTACACTGCTCGTATTGATGATTTGATAATGATGATGCGATCGCAAAAACAACAACAGTAGTATACTATCAAGATGATTTTCTTAGAAGCTGGAAACAAAATTATTCAAGAAATCCTTCTCAAGCAATTTGATGCTTCGTACGTATTTGATGTTTTTAGCTTGATGTTTTACTAACAACACCACAACATTTAATCTTTAATCTATTCTTTATACTGTGTAAATTAATATAACAACAACATACCATGATTCAATTTATCATCGCTCACATATTAACAACAAAAACAGAACAAGACAACCAAGCGTCCATGTTAACGGAGGTGATTTTGATGGTACTAAATTTGTTATTCAATCTGATGCTGGTAATAAGAACCTTCTCACCTTGTCCATCTATGTTCATGGTGAAAAGGAATTTAATCAATATGGAGGTATTGAATTGGTCAAGAAAACTTTACCAGGATTGGATGTTAAAGCACCAGGTTTAACAGTCGATGATCAAAAACATACTTTCACAGTTACTATTGATGTTGAAAAGGAAGAAAAGAATAAGGACAAGTGGTTAAAGGAATTGCCACGTGTCAAAACTACATATATGAGTGCTGTCTTTTTGCAAGCCATGGATAAACACGCAAAGGGAGAACAATTCGAACCAATCAAAGTTCCATACAGACCAGATGAAAATATTTACATTATTTCTTATAAGGGCAAGTCTTTGGTTGTTGTTTATAGTATTTTGTTCAGAGATCCTGATGATGTCGTTTTTGCCAATGGTTTCTTGTGTGAATTCAAGGATGCCAAGAAGGATCGTGCTCTCAATGCTGCTCCAAATATGAACTTTTCACAAGGTCAATTGGCTGGTGAATTGGTTGACGTAAAGAGTGTTACTGAACCAAAGGACGAAAGAACTTTGAAGAAGGAAGGTTGGGGCTTTGTTTCTATTGGTTTGTTGGATAATCATACCAAGGCTGATAAGCAATTGAATACTGCTGAATTATTGCTTGGTTTCCGTTCATATTTGCACTACCATTTGAAGTGTATGAAGGCTTACATGCACATTCGTATGAGAGAATCTGTTGAAAAGTTAATGTTGAACTTGAATGCTGCTAAGGATTTGAGCGGTAAGAAGACTGAAAAGAAGACCATGTCTGGTAGAACTTTCAAACAACAATAACTTGTTTGAGTGAGAGAACATAATGACATCAGTGTCATTCACATCTTTTTGTAGTTATAAAATCACCTTATTTATTTATTTATAATTAAGTAGACTCATATTGATGATTATTCTCAATCATATCTTCCACATTTGTATGGGGAATACCCTAACGTTTATAAAAACAAAATACTGTTTTACATGCACAAAAGCTTGTCAAGGTTGCAACTTCTCCCTCAACTATAATATAATATGGAAACTGGATAGAAAAAAGTACTGAAATCTACATAGATTTTAAACAATGCAAATATCTAAGCAAGTTATATTGTTCCTTAATGATATTGAGGTCTCATTCTACTTTTCCTTTTACTAGTTCCTCGAATTGAGACTTTTTCTCCCATCCTAATTCAGTTTCAGCCTTTGTTGTTGGGTCACTAATAAACTTGTGTTGCAGGTCTGAAAGTTTTCATTCCTTTGTATGGCCCAATCTCTTTTGAACAGCCCTACAAATCAAAGAGTACACCGTATGGTAAGATTAAGAAAAAGGCCAAAATTCTCAAAGATCTCACGCCCACTCCTTCTCGTCCCTCGTTCAAGCTTAGTAGAGGATCGGACCGTCCGTACCTGATCATATCATTTCCTCATTCCATGCTCCTAGCCGACTTTGGGATGTTGAAATGTCCAAGTCTGCCTTAATACCACTCCCTTCAATTCAACAAACAGATCATAGGCTTAAAAAATCAAGTTTCTTGAAATTAACTACAAACATGAAAGAAAAAATGCAAAAGAATCAATTGATTATCACGTTGGTTGTCTTATTGAGTGTGGTCGCTTGTACTGTCTATGGTTTCTCAGCTAATCCATGCACATTCTGTCAAACAAGTTTTGATATGGTTGCTACAGATAAGAGTAAGTATGATATTTCTTTTTGAATGGTCATGAACTCGTTGCATGAATAATCCATTCAATCCTCAACCGATTAATCCAACTCCAGTGAAGCAATTAGTTCCTCCAGTTGCTCCACAAAACGCAAGTGAAACTGCCATCTTTTCTGATAGTAACGGAAATGCCACAACTAATAGTTCTTCGATCTTGAATGGCACCTTGGTAACTTCACACTCAACTCAACTCATAGTCTTCATATTAATGGAAGCATTGAACACGCCAACGGTTCTATTACAGTTGGTAATTTGACCTTTGAAGGTGATTTCCATGCCAGTGGAATTATTGCCATGATTAATGACTCTTTGATTGTTGATGGTTCATCTTTAATCAATGGTTCAATTGATCACGGATTGATTCAAGTAAATGGTAGTGTTGCTTCTAATGGTTCCTTAATGATTTCCATCTCAACTTGGTTCTCTAATGGGTCTCTCTTAATTAATGGATCGTTCGATACTGATGAAGGAAATGCTTTTGAATTGAATGGTACTTTGGGTCATAGTGGTGGTTTCGTCTATTCAAACCAGTCTTGGAACACTAATGGTTCCTTGACCATTCAAGGTGATTTGATTCTTCCTTCCATGGACGAATTCAGTGGTACTCTTCAAGTTAATGGTACTGTTAATTCCTCAATCAGTGGTGATTTGAGCATCATCGGTTCCATGCTTTTAGATGGTTCTTTCAATGGAAATGAAACTGATTTCAACATGAACGGTATTTTGACACACAACGGTTTGTTCTTCCAAGATAATGAAACTGTTCACATTGCTGGTTCATTGGTTTTTGAAGGTAACATGTCTCCCATCCAACAACTCACTTAATGGAACTGCTGTTATCGATGGTACCATGAAATCCTCAGATGGTCAATTGTATATTAATGGTTCAATGATTATCAGTGGTACATTCTTGAGTAATGAAAATCTTGAATTGAGTGGTTATTTGGCTAATAACGGTTCATTCTTAATTGATAACTCCTCCATGACAAGTAATGGTTCTCGAAATGACTGGTACCATTTCATTGCCATGCTCAACCTTAATTGATGGTAATTTGACTGTCAATGGTAACTTGAACTCAACAGTTGGAAGTATGTTAACTATCAATGGAACTACCCATGTTAATGGTAACTTGACATTGAGCCATGCCTTACTCATCACTGGTAACTTGACAATTCACGGAACTGTTCATTTGAATAACACAAATGTTGCAATCATTGTTCAAGGGGGCGATTTCACATCTGTTGGTGGTATTGTTGCTAATAACACTGCTGATGGTGCTTTGAGAGCTGACAATGTTTTAACTTTCATGAATATTACTGATATGACTTTCACTAGTATCAAGGTGAAGAGTACAATGAAGTAATTGAAACTCTGTAACCATATGGATTAATTGGTAAGAATGTTGTTAAATAGTTTACAAAATAAGAGTTTGGCAAAAAAATTTTCTTTGAATCATATCTTACTACCTTATCGCAAAGGTTCCAGTCAACGAATCGACCATTAAATATTTCATCTAGTGAAGTTCACAAAATTCTAAGCAAACCTGTTGATTGGACAAGAATGTTGTGAGATGGCTTGGCAATCTGGAGATTCATTTACTGGCATTTTAGTGTTAGAACTATCATTGAAAAATTGAAATTTCTTTGGATTTGTTATTAATAACATAGAGTAAACCAGTTCTCTTATCAACAAACAATCCAAAATTTCTTGAAAAGGCATTAGAATCTTCAAATGTTTTTACAATTGAGAAATCAAACAATCTAATGACAAAAATTCGATGATTTTCAGTATCCGATAAGTAAACTAATCCAGATTCCTTCTCATAAAATATTGAATAGGCAGTTGAACACTTGGGAATGACCACTCTTCTTTTAGAGATCCAATTATTTTCTTGCTTTTTGAAAATTTCCAAAGATTGTTGATTGGATGTTAATATTTCACTTTCAGATAAAAATTCAATTCCATATCCATTAACTAAACTAATCCCATCTTCACCTTCATCCTTTCCTGTTTCCTTATTTGCTTTACAAACTACTGATCTATTGTAATCAAGAAAAAACACTTGATTTCCCATCAAATCCAACCCCCAAATATTCGTGTTTGATTTTTTACATTCCCACACAATTCCTTCCTTTCCTTCCATCAAATCCTTCACTCTAATTTTAATAATTCCTCCACTTGTACTTGCATAAATAAATTCCTCTGAATTCTCATTCACCAATCGCAAACAATGAAACACAAATTCCTTATACTTGACAGCAAATAAAAGGGAATTTTCAGAGGTGACAACTTTTGATTTATCGAAAATCATTAATGATGATCCACCAACTACAATAATTACGTCGAAACAATTAGAAATTGCAATATCAAAGCTCGGCTCGAAATTAGCAACATTCAACGTTCGTACAAGTTTAAAATTTAAAGAAAATTGGAGGAATTTGGAAGCGAGTGATTGCTTTAAATATTTAAATAATTGATCAATGTTGTTGTCTTCCGAGGAGGATTTTAGATCAATTAGTGAAATGATTGTTGACATTTTTTAATAATACATTTGAGAGATATGAGGCTGTTCCTAAAATAATTACTATTTGATGAAAATAATCCACTAATATCAATTACTATCACTACAATATAATGTTGAGTTACATGATGTGTGTAAACCACCAAACTCCGAAATATAATCACTAAGAATTACTAGTTGAAATTAGTATTTCATTTTGGCGCCTTACTAACCGTAAACTTTCAAGTTCGCCGCCATATGTAATTTCACCTTAAAAAAAATGAAAAAAGAAATCTCCCTTAGCACATTTTTTAAGTAAGTGCCTTGTTAAATTATTAAAAACTGAAAATGTTTAAGGGGAGAGAAGAAACGTAAAATAGATTGCGTTTCGGAAGAGTTTGAGGATGAAGAGGGAGTTTGGGTCCTGATATATGGAACATTTGGAATGTTAAATTGGCCTGGTTTGTATGATAAGAAGAATCACAAGGCAATAATATTGAATGTCGATGATTTAGGTGATTATGAGGTATTATCGGTCCTTGATTTTTCATTATGTGATTCGGATGTTTTCATGACCAAAGTACCTGATTATCTTCAAAGTTCTTGGAAGAGTGCTTTGGAATTAACGAATAATAATACAAAAGAGGAATTAATAATGAAACACGTTTTTGAAAAACAAGAAAAGACTGTTATTGATAGAATAGAGGCAGAGAACAATGATGTTGCTCCTGACTTGCCACTAAGTACAAAATCTTTTCTTGCAAAAGGTTTGATTTCTCTTAAACCAACAGGCATAGTGTTTGATGATAATAGGGACATGTTAAAAGTTGAAGAAGATATGGAGTGTGTGTTTGATAGGGACAAAATAGAAAATGTTGATTGTCCTATTGAGTTCTCCAAAAAACTGTTCCTCTCCTACAAAAACAACAATCCAACTCCATTACTGTCACCACTGTATGCATTACAGAACATGTATTTTGAACAAAATTCAGAAATGAACTATCAGGAAACTCTTTCTATTCTGTTTGCCTATCTCATTAGTATTTCAAATGGAAACTTGGCCTCTACTGAGTATGTTCACCAATTCTTTTAAATTCCAACTTTAACTCTTTTAGAAATGTCAGACAACAATCACCTGAAAATCAAACTAGATTGGCTTCATATTTCACAACAAAATATTTCCTGCCTGATAAAATATTGACTCGCAGAAATATTATTCAAGACTATGATTGGAGATGCTTTTTTGGAGAATGGAAACCAGTGGAAGTGGATACAATTTACGACCATCCAGACTTTAAGAAAATTGTGTTACTAATGAGAGGATCTTTAAAAGAATTGATGAATAAGTTGTTCTCAAATAATTTACTTAATTCAGATACTGAACTGGACAACTTTGGATCGCTCTCTTGTGGGACTAAAATTTGCTTTTTAAGACTTTTTCTTGTACCAAAGAGTAGAAATACTGACATTTTTTGTTATTGTTTTAGATTATTCAGTTCGGAATGGTATGATATTAAAACATCGAAAGGAAGAGCAAAAGTTATATCAATAATTCTTCAAATTGGAAAAAACTGCTTGAATAAGAATTTCAATGAAGTCAAAAAAAAGGTGGCAACAATATCTGACACACCAACAACTTCAAAGTCCAGGACAGATCCAGGACCTTTTGATATAACCAATCAGTCAATTATGATACATCAATTATTCCCTCAACATTTGTTATACGAATTTAAAACACCCGATGATGCTATTGAACATTTTTCTCTAATACTACGATATCCAGTACCTGTTGAAGAAATAGTTCAAAAAGAATACAAAAGGTCTTTTATCAAAAATTATCTGAACCAAAAAGGAAGAACCTTACTGTTTTTTACAAAGGAAAAACCTTTCGAATTGAATGTTTGTCCAAGGGGACAATTATGTCCCCATCCTATGAATGAAATTCAGTTGTTGTCCAGTATTAAAGGAGAGAAGCAGACTTATAGGTATTGGTTAGTTAAAGTTTCAATGAGAACAATTGAATATATATATTCTAGAATTGAAGATGGACACGATCAAGAGGATTTTGAGGACGATGAAAGGGAGGATGATGAAAGGAAAGGCGATTATAACAAAGATAATAACAATGATCAAAGCGATAACAACAATACTTCTCTTTTTCGTCTTTCCCAAAGTATTCATGATCTTGATTTAGGATCAGACTTTAGCAACTTGCAAATGGAAAAACTAGAACAAAAATCAATTCTAGGAACCATACAATATAAGAATAAGGAATCGTATTTCAAGATTACAAATAGAGAATTTGATAATGTGTTTGTAATGAAATTGATGCAAGAAATTAGAGACCCTAATATTTGCAATATTTTCTATTATGGACCTGTAAATAGCCAACTAAATATTACAGTTCAAGAAAAATTATTAAACTATGATGAGCTGATAAAAAAGATGCAAAGCAATCAAGAATATCAAGGAAATTCCATAATAAGAACCATCATACTGAAGACATTGATAGGTTGTTTACATGCTCTTAAATGCATTCATAATAAGGGCATTGTTCATTGTGATGTCAGTGTTCATAATATTATGTTTAGAATGAAAACCAGTTGCGATTTCGATGCTGTTTTAATAGATTTCAATAACTCGAAATACTTGAATTCCAATCAACCAAGTATATTGAATTACAAAGATGATTACACACCCCAAGATCCGAATATCAGATTCACGGTAAAACATGATATATTCGCTCTATCTGTGGTTATTAAAAAGTTAATGGCCAACTACTCCAGTGTTTGTGAAGAGATTTGTAGTGACATTCATTTTGAAGAATACAACATTATTCCAATCTCCAATTGTATGGAGAAAATGAGTGCACTTAAGTATTCAAGAGTTACTGAAGTATTGGATGACATTGTCTCCATGACCATTTAACGTATACAAATAGCAAATATCTAAGAGCAGAAATAGTTTGCTTACTGAATATGATCTATTCCAAAATCTCCATCCTCTGTTCGAACAATAGCAAAATGATATCTAGCAAGAATGTGAACTGGATTATCTACAAATTCAAAGATACATGTTGAAGAAGATTTGATTGTTCATCTTGTAATTACATGAATTTTGGAAAGTTGTATATAGCTCAATGTGGTTCAAAAATGGTTTGCCACCTTCAAGTGTACCAAAACATGTGATCACACGTCTTTAACACGGCACATGTTGAGGAAATTCATATGCTCATCATCCATATGTACATGCGTTGTGGTAGTTACTCTGTGTAAATGAACCAGCTCCTTGTATTGTTGTGAGATTAAGGAGTTCTGTTTTTTTAGTTTCAGAGTGAGATGGTGTATTATATTTTTATAGAAAATCATCACTGTCTTTCATTATTTACCATTATAGAGAAGGCCCTTAATTGAACATTAAGGCCGTGTTGCCACTTTTAGAGAAGATTACAATGTGAAGAAGAGTTGACGGTTTATTTTGATTGTATAAACTTTATTTTGAGCTTGTAAATTCATCAAGGAGAGAACTCATCTTTTTCGTATGGATTATTGTTCCTCTTGGCAATTATTATGATGATTAAAAAGAGAAGAATGGAGAAGGGTAATTAGTCATTTTATTAATTTAACGAACTTGTGTTGTAATTATCATTTTCATCATCAGATCCATCATCAGATTCAGAGTAATACGGTACAGATTCATCATTTTCATCTGCTGTGCAAAGAGTTATTCTGCCTTGCCTTGCTTCATCATAAATTTGCTCAATTTCGGCTGCTGACATCTCGGCACCTCTTGTTTTATGGTTATAATTGATATGATACAACTTAACTCTTTCTGCTTCATATTCCAACAATGAAACAGTTTTATAATCTTTCTGGCTTGAAATAAAATTGTTTTCCACCAAGTTGGCATAGAGGCCTTGGTCCTTATTGAATAACATTTGGATGATTTTGCTTCTGCATGGGTGAGAATGTAGTTTCAGATTACTAAATTCTGAGTTGTTGTCAGTATTGAATTTTGGGAGATTGTCAAGAGAGCTACTAAGAACGTCTCCAAAAATGGAATAGATCACATATGTCTCACCATATGAAAACCAAACTCTGTCTAAATGTAATTGTACATTCTTGTTGTTTTTGAAAAGAAACTTGGATCTGTGTACTTTCATTGGATAGGTGAAACAAAAGTACTCCATACTTTGGAACCTGACATAATCTGTATCTGATTCTTCAATTCTTGTCTCTGAAAAACTAATTGGGTAAATTTCATTTCTGTATGCAGACGATTCTGCCAGAGTTTCATTTGTTTTAACAGAAAAACCCATTTGTTTCCCTTGATGTTGCACTCGCTTAATCCACAACTTGTGGTTCATGAAATAATTTCCTGGAGTATCAAAGAAAGCTTCCTCAAACTCATCATATCCAACAAAATATAGATTGGGACGTAACAGCTTTTTAAAATCCTCTCTTCCCATCACAAACGAATACTTTACACGAACCTTCTCGGCACTGTCAATACGATTTGTTGCTGCCTTGAATAGAAAGTCAGGAAAAACAGAATATTCCAGCACCAAAGTTGCTGTTTTGTGGTTTGAAACTTTCGACTGGCAATAAGTTACGAACTCGGCATATGGAGGAGGCCTGTACTATTCATTTTTTTTCTTCATGTATTGCTGGAAACTTGAGGCTTAATCTCAAACCTTACTCAATTGTTAAACAATTCACAACTAAGCGGTAGATTAAGGACTTGTTTAATTATAAAAAGGAGTAAATGTCGACTGACATGTAAATATTAATGTTCACACAAGGAAAATTCTCTTTCATATTGTTCGTTTTTGTCATCTCTCTTATACTTTCTGTGATCCATGAGAATTTCACGAGTTTCATTTGCTTGTTCCTCAGTCATTTGTGGAATGAAGGGAATGACATTTTTCACAAGCACTGGATAGGTAATCTTTTGAGCTAACGAGAAGGAATTTGAAATAATGACATCTCTTCTCTGATTATCAATGTGACTTGTTGAGATAATTGGTGCATCTGGATCAACAAAGAAAAAGACAAGGATTTTTCTAGTTGCTGTCTTTTTTGGGTCTTCAGGGAAGAAATGTTTCACTCTGTGTTGATTTGTATTTGGGAAAATGATGCATTTACCTTCAGTTGTCTTGACCTTTCCAATTACTTCACATAATTTGTCTCCGTCATGAATCTGAATTTCCAATTAATTTCCAAAATAAAAAGTCAACTTACACCAAATCGTTCCCAAGCTTGCAAAACATTATCCTGTTCAATGTAATAAAAGTTTTCCTCACGTAACGATTGTCTAAATTCCAAGAAACTTTGCTTAATATTTTGACATTCATAATAGAAAATGCCAGTTGCCACAATATTCTCAGTATCTCCCTCAGTATGCCAAGTTCCTCCTGGATAGAAACCTTGTTCTGGAGTGACAATTACATTAGCTGCCTTGACAATTACTTGAACCTTATCCTTAATGTTAACAAAATTGTTGACAGGTTCAATAAAATGTGATAAGACTTCACAAATGGTATCTTGCAAATCCTTTTGAGTAATTGGATTAACATTGTTAATATAAGATAGAGGAGTAACCTTATTATCACTATCCACTTTGAAATCAGTTGGTATCCATTGAGTTTCAGCAACTCCAACACGAACTTCACCTTTCTTTTCATTCAAAACACTCAACTCTTTCGAATAGCAATACAAAGAAGGATGAATAATATCCAAAACTTGTTGATTTGAACCTGGATGCCAATCTAACTTGTCAACTGGAGTATTTTCCACAATTTCGTTCAATTGTTTCTTTAACCTTTCAGTCAAATCTGCAGGAATTAAATTTTCCTTTTCGAGACAAACATAGCTTGAAACACCTCTTTCATCAAATGCACAATGGGCACAGGGACACAAACAGAATTTTGTAGATCTTGGGTAATAACCTTCTTCTTCTTCTTCTTCGTCATCTTCAATTATTTCGTCATCATCTTCAATCACTTCGTCTTCATTTTCATTCATTTCGTCTTCATTGTCTTCATCTTCCTCATTTTCGTCTAGTTTCTTTTTAATTTTCTGGTCAGCATTACCTTCTGCTTTCTTTTTTTCCTCCTCTTGAACTTTCTTCTTTTTCTTTTCAGGTTCTTCTTCAGTACTTTCGAATAATGTTTCATTCTCATCAATTGTCTTCTCCTCTCTATCACTCCAATTTTTAATTTTCTTTGGATTGGCATTGCAACAACCACAACAACGTTTCCTATAGGTAGAAATTTCAAGTAAATCGTTCAAAATATCCATCGCTACGAGGAAACTACTTTCGGATATTCCTTGTGAAATAGTTTCCTTTCTCCATTTTGCAACAATGGTATTGAATATGATCTTTTCTTGCCAATTGTCCTTGTCTAGTATTTGGCGAACAATCTTTTCGGCATCTAGTGGATTGACCTGAACTCTTGGATGTCTGTGTGAAATAAATTCTTCTTCCTCTTGAGAAGATTCTTCAAATTCTTCTTCGTCTTCTTCGTTACCAGAGATTTGGCTGGTTGGCTCTTCTTCGGTATCGCTGAGTGATCGTTTCGACATTTTTTTGTGGAATTTGATGAGAGATTCTCACTGATTAGTATCTGTAATTACAATGGTGTGTATTTTAAAAGTACATGTTTATTGGATAACACTCTCAGTCTTGTGTGTAACTGTTACTCCTGCCAACACTTTGGAAACAAATTGATTTTCAAATTCCTTCATTCCTAAATAATGGGTCTTGTAGGTTGGTGTTTGTTTCAATCGACTGAAAGCTTCAATTAGTTGGAAGGTTACTATACTGGTGAATTTCTTTTTCCATTCAAGATTGTTTGCGACAATTCCCTGATGTTGTGTTGGAGGAAATTTTGTGGATGATTCCTCAATGACTTGCTCAAGTTTTTTCAAATTAGTTTCAACACTTTCTTTCAATTTGAATGAAGTTGACCCTACATTAATAATATTTTGAATAACATAATATGAGAATGTATCTATCATTTCCTTTTCGGTAAAGCTATTGTTATTGTTAATAAAAAAGTATATTTCCAATAGTTCAGCCCTGAATTCGGCTGTTAAAAATCTTTTCATAATATCTACACATGGTATTTCATCAATAGTGTTGGCAAAGAACATTTCCATTTCTGATTTCAATTGTTTCAATCCTTCAAATTCAATTGCTGGTTGGTGATATTCATGCCAGTAGATGAAAAGTAAATAACCTGGCTCGAAACAAACTAGACATACTTCGAATATTGTTTTGGAAATACCGTACATTGCATATCCAACAATATGGGTGGCTAACATGTTGGAAACTGGTAAAAAGAACTTGGACATATAATTATTATTGATCCAACTAAGTAAAAAGTACAAAACTCCAGAAATAGCTGTAATAATTACAGTAAAAAATTCAGCATGATATTTAAAAGTATCATCATAAAGGAAATACCACTTGACAACTTGAACAAAACTTCCCAATTGTTTGATAATAACTCTATTTGCCAACAAGTACAGAACTGTTGAGCCAAGACTGAGAATAATCATAACAGCAAAGGCTGCAACTGTTAAATAATCTAAAACGTCATTCTTAATACTAAAATCCTCAATGTCAGACGCCAGATAAATCACAATAATTTCAATTCCAATCACCAAAACAGAACAGATAACGTAGGTGAATTTTGAGGATATAAATCTAAACCAAAAAGTTTCCTTCCTTTCAGATTCATAATATTTCTTATAAAACCATCTAGAAAGAAAGTATCTAACTGTTTGTAGGGTGTACAGAGAAAATACCAGTATTAAAATGGCAGTCATTACAAGATTCATGTAATAATTGTCAGCTAGTGCCACTACAAAACCAAACCTCAAAGAACTGGCAATGAAGAATAGAATTGTGGAAAAGTACGGTGAGAAGAATCTCGATTGAATGTATCTATTCTTTCGAGCAATAATGAGCATTATGAGAAGACCTACACAAACAAGGGCTACAATAAGACATGATATACCCTTCCATATATTATACAGTGGTCTGGTTTGGAAATATGCAGAATCACAGTCCGATTCCCATCCATGTGATTGAATCAATTTGAATGTTTGTGACATCTCAAATTGCTGTTCCTCTAGTATAAATGATCTTGAATAAGATTGATTGTTAGAATATTTTACAAACTCCTGTAGTCCAATACTCCTCTTAAAAACTACTTGTACCATTGTTTCATTGTCCAAACCAGGTAGTAAGGTACTGTTGATTCTGAGATTGGTCATCAACTGGAGTGGAGTAAAGGTCAATTGTTCTTCCTCGTGTGTATACCTACTAGTGTTGGAACCAAATATAACATTCTCCAACTGAGACGGCTCACACTTTTCCCAATATGTCTCATTCTTAAATTTAACACACGTTGAATATGAATACCCTCCAAATGTATCATAATTTCTCGGCTCATACACAATATGATTACAGAAAAAGTAATAAGGAACATTAATAAACATTCCCTTTGGTGTGAATGAAGGAGATTTTGCTGCTCCCGATACTATAAACGAAAATCCTTGACAAATGAATATTCTATCAATGGTTGATGAGTAAAGTCTGAAATCCATACTCGTCAAATTTGTTCCTGTTGTTGAATGGGACATGTCCCACTCTACTCTTACTTGACCATTCACCATACAATTTCTATTGCCATCTCTAGCCTCCACTCCTACAATAAAACCCTTACTATTACCAATCAGCCCTCCAATTATTATTATATATATTAAATAACTAAATATCCAATTATTATTATTATTATTACAATTATTATTCTGCTCAATATCATCATCACCATGCCTCTCATTATTATTATTTACTTCTATTCTACATTTAAAATTCTTCTTATTATGATAAGTATGATAACACATGCTGAATATTATTATTCTTATTAATGATGACTATTCAGTGTTTCAAATAGAATGGTTGTTCATTCAGGACTGTAGTGAGCGCTTTTTTGTTGTGCATGTTTTGGTGGTGAGGCTGTGGACTTTTTCGGTCTCCAGTGGTTTGTTTTTGTTGGTAATATTTGGCGCCACGAGTTGTTTTTCTGTGGTTGATCTTGACCAGTAGGGTTTGTTGTTGTTTGATTAGAGTTTCAATTTAGAAAATAGCTTTAAATTCATCACGGAATTGTTGAAGAGGAGGTTGAGCATTTTCTTTTGATGTTTGAATTTGATTGAATGAGACTATTGGCAGAAATCGATCAAGTTGAATTGACTACTTAACAAATGGAATCAACTTTAAAGATTTCCCTCCTAGTATAGCAATCTATTGGAGCGTGAAAGAGGCTGCTTCATTGTACCCATGTTCAAGCAATTAAGTTTCTTAATATTTCTCTGAACCATCCTCAAAACTCCTTAATTCTCCTGGATAGTGGAGTTTGATCAATCGTACAAGGATTACTCCCTTAATATAGCTCTGCATTTCCATCCCAATTTGGCGCCAATAACAGTAAAAAAAATGGCGCCAACAAGTAGAGTTCCATTAACTCTTCAGACAAAAACTTTCGAGTTACCATCATACAATGATTGTATCAATATTATTCCAGAAAGTCTACTACAATGTTCTTTTAAGTGTTTGTATTAAATCTCAACAACCATCAAAAAGTCTCAACATTTTTCCTTTCTCACCAATTCAATGAAGAGATTTTCCCAAATATTCAAAATAGAAAAAATCTATTAATAATCTTATTGTTTAGAATTGTTTCCAACACGTCACATAACATGACCATTTGTGACATTTTTAATGTTTGATTGCTTTGTAAACTTTCAAGAATCCATTAATAGTGAGACAGAGATGAAAATATTCAATATCAACAACGTTACTAACAAAGCCATTGCTTTATCCCACTTTCCAATGGCTCACCACCACAACAATATTATGAACAACTCTCTCAGGCACAATACCGTATTTCAGCTGTACTTCCCACCAAAATCATCATCGCTACAAGGATGCCTTCAATTTGATAATGTGTGTTCTACTTCTCATCTAATAAGGCGCCACTGGAACCTGCTAATGTGTAGCCAACGATTCGAGTACGTGTTGACAAACGTGGCTGAGTGCGAAGTTGTTTCTGAAAGGAGAAGGGGATCGCAACAACTTTGCTGTTGGTCATCATTTAAAAAAAAAATTGCCGTACAATTTTATCCGCAAAGTACAATGGCAAGACAACAACGAACCAATTCTTCGAAACAGGGAGGACGCAGAAGAAGATATTCCAATGATGGGGACTCGAGAGAGGAATATAGCAGCACTACAACAACAACAAATAATGGTGTTGCTCATACTAATAACACTACTTCAGTTGCTGCTGCTGTGAGTTCTCAAGCTTATTCTTCTAAAAAGTCTGAAGATTGTAAGGGAACTTCTCCTGCAAGAGATGTTGGCGTTGTTCAAAATAACAATTCCACTATTAATAATAATAACAATAATACTACCACCACTACTTCCCAATCATCATCAATTCCTTCCTCTACAACAAATTCTTCAACCACCTCCACTACTTCTAAAGATGAAGTTATCCCAGCTAAACTCTCCCAAGAAAATTCATATTTTGGATTAAACCAAGATGAATTCATCAATGCCTTCTCTTCTGTAATTCAAGAAATTTCATCACAAGGAGACATGATCCCTATTGAAGCCCAACAAAAAACACAATTCCACACCTCTCTTCCACCAAGAATATCACTTCGTAAATATTTGGACAGAATTATCAAGTTTGCTTTCTGTTCTGCTGAATGTTATATTCTCAGGTATGTTGTTTCAACGAAATTCATAATTATTCATCATCTTTCTACAGTCTTGTATATATGGATAGGTTGGTACAATCGAATCCTAATTTTGTGATTAGCAGCTTGTCTATTCATCGTTTACTCATCACCAGTATTATGGTTGCTGCCAAGTTCTTTGATGACAAGTTCTATAGCAATGAATACTATGCCAATATTGGTGGTATCAAGAAGGAGGAAATTAATAAGTTGGAGATTGAATTTCTCTACATGATTAACTTTTCTCTCCACTTCCAACCACCTGAATTTGAGCAGTATAAGGAAGAGTTTATTGTTGCTCCAGCCCTCAGAGAGAGAGCTCTCAAGAAACGAACAACAGCTGTTGGTTCTTCTAAACAGTACTCTGTGGGACAATCACATCATAGTTATGGTGATGAAGTGAGCATTGAGGAATCATGTATATCCATATGTTCAGAACAACAACAATATCCACGACATTCGTCTCCCATCCATTAACTTATTTGAATAAATTATTTTCTATAGTTTATTCTACTCTATCCATACCTTTATTCTGCAGCACATGGCAGATAAATTCACTGAATTCGTTATCTTCCTCCAACCAAGTGGTGTGAAGAAACTATTTTAAATTATTTAAAATAAAATTAAAATCGAATTCAATCAAATAAAAAATGCAACAAGACAAAGACATCACAACACCACCAACAACAACTACATCGGAACAAAAATCATTCAATACAAAAACATGGTCGAAACAGGTGATTAAAAAAACAAGTTATGGAGTAGGAGTTGGAGCATTGATGGGATTAACATTAGGCTTGCTCAGGAAGAGGTTCAATGCATCCTCTTTTCTCAACAGATGGTCTATTGGAGTGAAACCACTGAGAATGTCAGAGACCGTAGTGACTACAGGATCCGTGCAACCTCCAACATCCATTTTCAATACGACAGTTGCATTGGCAGGAAATGTAGGCATTAGTTGCTATGTATATTTTAGTGTCGAGGAATACCTACACCTGAGCAACCTTATACCTTCGCAGTTTATTTCACACTTTGTGACTGCATTTGGACTATATTCGAGTATAACATTTTTCAAAAGGTTAATGCTGTCAAATGCAGGTAATAAGGGATTGGCAGTTCCTTATTATTTATTGAGATCGATGGCAGGTGGATTGGGAGCAGGTACTGCTGCCATGTCTCTTTCACTATTGGGGCTATACATCGAACACAGAATTCAATTATACAAACTCAAGAATAATCTTACTGCTGATGAATACAGAGAAATGATGGGAATTTCTAAGGAAGAAGAAGAGAAAACCTTCATGGCTAAAATTGAGGAAAGACTTCCTGTGTGGTTAACTGTCCCATCATCTCAAAACAGAAATGCATTGGACGAAATTAGAAAGTATCACTCATTGAGGTCAGTTGAGATTACAACTCTGGATAAAAAATCAAAGGAGGAGAAGGAAAATCAAGAAAATTGAATGTTGCATAACCTTGCAATAAAAACAGATGGTTCTGGAATTTATTCAAGTACTAGGATTGATAACCATCTGTAACAGGAGAACAAGCCACGGTTGGCCAACCATTTGTGTCACCTTTCGCAAGCTTCGTATCGTTCAATAAATCGTAGAGTGTATAACTCAACGATGGCGACAAGGGAAAACTGAGCTTAATATAGGCATTCAGTTTTGGTGTTCATCCTTATGTGGAATATACAATCAGACATTTGGTGGTTTTCGAACATTTTTTAATTGCCAAATTCCAAAATGGATACATTTCACGTATTTGTTAATGTATTATACAGTTACTGACTTATAACCAACTTTATAAGGTCGGTTTTTGGACAGGGAGAAGTCTCCATAATCAAGCCAATTGGAGACATTTAAGGAAGCAGGAACTGGACAGTGAGATTCTTATCACACCTTGATCTGGCATTGAGTTTTTAAAATTGAGGAACATATCCCAATGTCGTAGATATGAATGACATCGCCTTGTCTATTATTGTCAAGGTATTAAGGGTGAAAATAACCTCACTGTAAACATAATGGCACTGATAGATGAATTAATGTTGTGCTATTTGGCTTTTCTCTAACATGGACTACACAATCACTGTACCATCACCAATTAAATCACTAGATCCTTAATGGACTACCTTAATGCTGAGTTGGAGTCATTGAATATTCTTCAATTGATAGCGAATATTCATTCAATTGAAGAAAACACATCGAAAAAAACTCTCAACATAATCCCATCAAGCGAACGTTGGTTGTACACGACTCTTTCCTTAATATAACCCTCAAGCGTGAAAAGAACACATTACTGGCATTCCATTAACAGCTTTAATCAAATCTGGCCATCCCCCTTCGTACATATTTTGCACAACACCACACAGACACAACTGCTTCCTAGCCACAACACAACAAAAAAAACAACAATAACCTAGCTTAATAGAGAATCTTCCTTATTATCCAAACACAAACACATACAGCTTGATCAATTGAAAAGCGACAAACAGTGTTTAATTACCTCCCTGTATCATTTCCTTACCACAGAATACATGTTTCCTATCAGACAATTCAATCAACAAGGGTTGATGAATAGCAATGCTGCTTCCTTTTCCAGTTCAACTACTACCCCAGGTGGCGCTTCTGGAAGTGAATGGACAGGTCGTCCACAAGAGCAAGAAATCTTCAATGCCATTTATAATTGCAGCAGCAAGAGCTTGCCTGGATCTCCTTCTCTTGATACCTTCCTTGATAGTGCTCAATTGCAACAATTGGACAACTTGGCTCGTTGTGAAAAGCAATTCTGTAGAGGAACAACTCCAAGTAATGAAAGCATTGCAGCTCAATGGCTCAATGACTTCTCGAACGTTGGTGAACACCGTCTCACTCACTTTATCCAATCTCACAGCAACTTGGTTGTATACTTGCCTGATTATCCATATCCTGTGTTTGTATTCAATCTTGGTTATTTGAATAACATTTGCCAACAAGTGAGCGTCCTGGAGAGTAGAAGAATGTTATCATTGGCTCTTCCACATCTAGAGATTGGAACCTTGCTGAATAGTGAAGTGGTTGTAACCGATTTACCATTTGCCAACTCAGCCACCTATCCAACCCTCTACTTGGACATTCCATTGCCAAGCAGTTACAATGGACACTTTAAAAAGTATGTCCCTTCCCCTGAGACCTTACCTACATTGAAGACCTTGAGAGAGAGCTATGCCTTCCAAAGATCAGTTCCACTCACTCTCGACATTGAACGTGCCTTCAAGTTAGCTCAAGCAGTTCCATACTTTTTTGGCTCAAAGAGATCGAACCTTGCTACTCAAGTGTTGAGAGAGTGCTACTCTATTGAACCTCACTCAATCTATGTCTATTGTATGATCTATATATGCCTCTTTGGTTATACCTTCCAACCTAATGGTAAGGAGGTTAGTGCACTCGACCTGATCATTAGACAAGCACTCTTTGAATGCTCGACCATTGATGCCATTGTATTGTTGAGAGCTTCCATAAAACTCTTGGAATTCCCTGAGGGAGCCAAAGGCAATTGGGTCAAGGTCTCTGCAAGAGAATTCAATGCAGTCAAGATGAAAATCCTTGAATATATTGATGACAAATTCACAAGAATGTTTTACAAATTATTCAATAGTCCAGAAAGTGATTTGTTGAACTATACTGGCTTCTTACTCATCGCCAACTTGATCAGATCATCAAGATTGGTAGTTGACGATGAGAATCAAGTATTAAGAGCTCTCAGACAATATCTCATTATCAATGCTGATGTCATTATTGCTGAAAAGTCAAAAATGACAGTTCCTGAGCACATGGCTGAAAGAATTCAACAAATACCAGTCACTCGTGAAATTTACAGCCAAAAAAAGCAAATACCAAAGAAGCAAATTGAAGTTTTCCAAGAAAGATATGGAAGAATCTTCTTTAGAATTTCCAGATATTCTCAACTTGTTGAAGATGCCATTTGTTACATGATTGCTGGCATTAGATGGCATTCATTTGGTGATAATGCCTTATCCATGTTGCAATATCTCTATGAAGACTTGAATCACGTTGGTGTTATTACTGAATTTAGTTTTGATACTTTCTGTTACATGGTCGAATCTCACAGAGATCCAACAACCATGTTGAATAGAACCATTAAGCAAGTTAGTAATGGAAAGGGTGGTAACAGAAATATCTCTCAAAATATGTTGACTTTCAAGTCAACTGCTGGCAATGGTGTCATGTATCCAAGAGAAATCATGTTGAGCTATAATTGCTTTGACAACCGTCATTATTTCCAAACTTTCCACTTGAGTTCTGTTGGTAAGGGTGTTAGATTGAATGATTTGTCCAATTATGCTAGTTATCATGCTCTTAGAATGAAAGAAAATCGTGTCATTAACAGATTCTTAACCTTTGACATGAAGATTTTCCAATCTTTTATTAGAGATGTTGATGCTATTCAAACCAACAAGTTTGACAGAATCCTCATCAAGGCACATAATTCCCATGATGAATCCCTTGCCACCTCCTACAATCTCATTACTCGCCATAACAACTTGTTAGCCAACTGTGAAAACAAGTACAGAAATGGTTATGTCCACGACTGTGTCATGCCTTACAACTTCAACCACTTGATCCAAATACTCAAGAAACAAGTCTTTGCCATGCAACATCCTCAATTCATTAACAAGTTGAATAAGGACATTGAAATTGCTGAAAGAAAAGCCAAAAGACTTGCAAGACAACAAGCAAGAAGAGGAAGCATTGCAAGCTCCTCTTCAAGCACCGAGAGTAATCATCACAATTTCAATGGTGTTGGAATGGATTTCCAAGGACAAGGACACGTTGAAATTGCCTCTTTAAGTGTTGCAGTTGCTCCCACTCCAAATATCTTGCCAATGATGGCAAATGTATTTAATTGCAGCAATAATCAAACAAGTAGAATACTTGCAGCTCACAACAGAACCATGATGATGAGTCAATCCAATCAAGGATGTTCCAGCAGTGGTTACAATACTCCATCAGTCACTAATCAAAATTCCAAACAAGGAACCAAACGTACGAGAGAAAGCAAGGAATTCCAATTTGTCTTTGAAGATGGAATCAACTCAAACAGAGCAGGTCGTGCTAAGAAGAAGAAGGAATCTATTCAAGGTCAAAATCTTACACTCGAACAACAAATCAGAGAAAATGCAGACCTATTGAGCTTGAGTGGCGCCAGTAATATTGAAAGAACAGTTGAATTAAATGTTCAACAAGCTCCTCCTTCAAATTTCCAAATTCCAACAACCACATTCAGACCAAAGCATTTTGTAAACTTTTTGGTATATAAGGCTGCTGACGAATTCCATTGTAGCTCACCAAATGTTGGACCATCAGAAGTCGTCTTGGATGAAATCAACTTGCCACTCTACATTTGTCGTCCTTCACACATTAGTCCATCCAGATTTTTAGAAATGATGGATATTAGTTCTATTCTAAAGGTCAGCATGAGACAATTCTGTGACATTTTGAATGGTGATGAGGTTCTTGTTGGATTCAAAGATAGTATTAAGGTCCGTGGTGTTCCACAACGTGATTTGAATGATCCAACTCTCCATTTCATAGACGAAACTCAAAGAGATCCAGAAGACATTGATTGGGAATCTTTCAATGTCGATGCTTTCTGTGATAGAGTTGCTGAAGAAGAAATGAAAAAGCAACAACAAAATCAAGAAGTTTACATGCAACAAGTTATGATGAAACAATTCGAAATGATGCATCAACAACCTGCTAACATGTTGGAAGATGAAGGATCAGTTTTTGATTTGTTGATTTCAAGTCCACTTGGAGCAAACATGATGCATCAAAATTCAATGATATCTGGCAACGTGGAAGAAATGTTTAATAGCTTCCTGGATCCAATTGTTGAAGAAATGAATGAATTGGAAGAAGCTGGTCAATGTGATCTCTTCAAATATGATGAATTTCAACCTCATCCATAAATTGTAAATAGAAGAATATTAAGGCAAACCATCTGATGAGAAACATTGGAAGGAAATTTGTAATTTTAGAATAAATTGTACATATAACATGTTGATGAAAACCAATTGAATGTTAAATCAAATCGCTCGTTCCAGCTAAAATTGTTCATGTCATGTATGTATGTATGTGTTCATGAAGTGATATTAGCAAATGTGCATGTGTTCATGTATTGCATGCATTCATTCAATAAGACTGAATTAACAGATGATGTGAAGATGAGAATTCATTATTCATGCATGTGTTCTCAGTTTACTCTTGAGAATGGACAGCATGTGTGCAACATCTGATGTGTTTTCCATCCTCCTTCATTGAATGCTTGAATTATATAATAACCGAACAGATGGCATGAATGCTCTCCATCAACATTAACATCCAAACATCTTAACATCTATGCAAATTAATTATTACATTTCTTCTCCCCGAATCTTTGCATACATACATACATACACATCCATCTATTCATGGTGGTCAATATATAATAATTATCTTTCTCTAATACGTTGTATAAAAACATACTTAATACAGTCTGGTCTTGATGTAATATTGCTCCTGCTGCTTAATGAAAAACACTCATTCCTGACCAGGAGGCGGACAAAAGCATCTCGTTTTGATTTTTTATCACATTTATCAATTTATGGATTGTCCTCTCATGAAATTTATTGAGGATGGAGATAGTAGGGACCTTTAAAGGGTGTTGACCACAATGAACCTTAAGGATGAAACAAATGGTGAGGAAGTGTTTTTGCGCAGTTAAGTGTGTTTGAAATATTTCATGGCACTTGTTTCAAAAGTCTTCAAGAATTCTGAAGCTAATTGTAAATTGATATTATGTTCGATTCCATAGAAGAACCTACAATATTGCTAAGGTGTTGTAACACCAACTAAGGTTTGGCCGAAATGTAAAATGGTGTAACAAATTGATTCTGGGGCGTTTGTCCTCACCTACAACACTGTACTTTGCAAAAAACTTTTATTTGAGCTAAGAGAATGGCCCATTTTCATAATTGGGTTCTTAATACTCCAAATTGATTGAATGTTCGATTTACAATCCATAAACTATTACATCTTTCTTTTTGATGCGTGCATTTTCTTGTGTAAAGTTTCAACGTTCACTCATTGTTTGAATTACAAGATAAAAACATCTGCTTAATACAAATTTTCAAAAGATCTGGTAATGTGCAGCCGATTCTTTATGTTTGCTTGAACAATCCTGTTATTAGGAAGGTATTTGGATAAAGTGCTCTCACATTTTCTTCATTCCAATCATCCAAATTTTGTATAAAATCATGATAAATAATTCGACTCTTGATATGTTTGTACATTTCCTGATTTTCATTCTTGTGAAGGAATTCATAGATTTGTGAAGTGAGTTCAGCATTAGTTGGTTTGCTGGTGAGGGAGGATACTTCTCTGAAGAGAGTTCTCAGAGAGATGTGTGTTGAAAATATCGAATTGGAACTAATTGAGGCCTGAGGCGTTGATCCTTTGTGTAAAGTCGCAATCATCCAAAAGCTAGGATTGGATTGACGATTTTTGGAAATAATTGAATCCATTTCATTGATCCAATTGGCTCTGATTGGTTTGCTGTTAGATTCCATGAAGAGAAAATATTCATAATTATTGAAAATCGAATCATCTTGCATTACCTTACTGAGAATTGCTTCCTGAGTTTCAGTATATTTGAAACTAATCTTGTTGAAACAGTGAGAATATTTAGTGGTCTTTTGGTTCACATCCGATTCAAATGTTTCGTCCTTTCTGTGAGTCATGTAAATCACCAAATCAACTTTCATGCTTGTTGGATAATTCCAACATGGCGAATATTTGTTTTCATTCCACAAATCCAATTTTTTCAACACGTTCGATTTTTCATTTTCCTTCACTGGGATTACTATTGCCAAGCCCTTTTCATATTCAATATTCCTAATGTGAGGTTTGTTTGGATCCCCCTTTCTCAAATAAATAACAAATTCTGAATCTGGAATTCCAGCTCTATTTCCTGGATTTCCCCATAATCGAGGATCCGTTTCACATACCAAACCTGCCTTGTGAATGAAGAGTGAGAAAACCGATTGGTCTTGTCTGTGGTTAGCCAAGCTAGAGCCCTTTGGAGCAATACATTCAGAATTCCAAGCACACTCCAGGGTTGGCAATAGAACATTCTTATAAGCTGGCGAATCTTTGATATATCCTTGAATACCACCACTACACATGACCTTTGGTCCATATTCTTTTTGGCTGAATCCCAAATAATTGAATGTGGAAATGTGAGTGAGCTCACCAACTGTTCCACAACACTTCCATCCAGTGGTCAATCCCTCCTGAACCACATGGAAATATCCCTTCTCCATCAAAATCGACTCGTATCGATCCAATCGATTCCAAACTTCCACTCCACTATCCAAAAAGAAAATTGCTGGATATCTCTGTAATGCTAAATACATAACCAGTGGCTTCCAGGCAAATGATTTCAAATTATTAAAGTGAGATGGTAACAATTTGAAATCAATATCAACCACTTCTACATTTTTAAAAGTTTTTGCTCTTTGAACTTGTTCACTTGTCATTCCTAAATTATAAACAATTATTGGTCTGCTTTCAGATGTCAAATAACTATTCCAATTCCACCAATACGAAGATTTATCAGATATCATTCTTTCAATATTCGAATCCTTATTCAAAAAACTTGCTTGAATATTAAATAATTTCTCCTTAGTTTCGTATATTCTATGAATGGATCCAACAAAATTTTCAAATCTTTCAAAATAACCAGAAGAAACAGCCGTTACAATATATGGATTACCATGTTGCTGGAGTGGATACTTCATACTTGCTGTATTTCGTGTTAGAATTTCCAATACTTGCTTCATGGATAATGATTTTCCATTATTATTATTATGCAAATAATAACAATAATCGGAAAGTGTCGATGATTCTCCATTCGGATGATAATAATTTGGTGTTGATGATCCACGTGACCACGACCACCAAATAATCTGTATCAATATAAAAGTGGAGACAATTCCGAAAATTGCAACTAAAATTTTCTTCTTTCTTGTGGTGGGCATTGTCAAGTTATTTTTTTTAAACTTTTTTTTAAAAGAATTATTAAATAGTTAAATAGTTAAATATATTTAATATATTAAAAATTAATTGTAATTGTAATATTTAAATTCCTTATTAGGATAGAAACGCCCTTAAAAAAAATTGGTCTCTCAGAATTAACGCCTTAGAAAAAAATGAGTCAACAACAATTCGTTGGGAATGGAAGCCCGCCAAATATTTCAACTACTTCTATGAATGCTGCTGCTACTAATACTACTACTGGTAATGTTGTGGTTGGTACCTCAACAACACCATCAACAAACACTGGGAATGTGGGAGGGATATCGAATGGTGCTGGAACAGCTTCCCTTAAAACCTCACCGAATGATCTGTTGCTGAATTTACGTAAATACACGAACAAATTGTTGGAGATTAATGGAACAAATCAAGTGGTTTCTGTTCCTTCGAACGTTGGTGTTGGAAAAGAGGTTGCACAGCCTCTTGCTTCTCTCTCCACTCCGACACTGAACCTTAATCAAAATATTGAGGAGAATAGAAATAATCAACAAATTGAAGAGGAAAGAGTGGAACCACAACAAGTATTCAAAATTCCTCAACAGCAAACAAGTAGACCAGCAAGTCCAAAAAGGAGTGAAAGTTTGGTGATAATGGATGACCAAATTTCGGATATTGAAAGTGTTACTGATAATGACCAGAGTAATACTAGCAAAACAGTTGTAAATTATAGAGATTTAGAAGTGAAAAAGTGTTATGATATTATTTTCAAGCTAAGAAATAGGCTTGCTAAGGAAAAGGAAAAGAATGATCAACAGGAAAGAAGAAAGGAAGATTCCACAAAGATGCTAGGAAAGTTAATTGATCATTATAAATCGGAAAACTCTAGATTGATTCAACAATTAGATTTACTGAGAAGAGATTCTGATGCACAAATTGAGGAACAGTTACATCAGATGAATGATTTGAGGATTTCAAACTTTACTCTATCAGAAGAAATTAACATTCTAAGAAATTCAGTGAACATTGAGAAACAAAAAGGAGATCAAGATATTGAGAGACACATTAGAGAAAAGTCAAAAACACAATCAGAGTTAATTGAATGTAAAAGGGAAAATTCCAAACTTAGAGAAACAATAATGGTGCTGGAAGAAAATATTAAAAAGGCAGAACTCAACGCAGCAGAATCTGTGAAAAATTTTGAGGAAATTGAAATACCATCATTGAAAAGAAAGTGTGGGTATTACGAAAAGACAATCTCTGATTTGGAAAAGAAACTAGATGAGATTCGGAAAGATCAAGAACGGTCTGTGAATCAACATGTGGAGAGATTTAAATCAAAAGAAGCAGTCATGGGAGAAACCATCAAGCGATTGGAAGAAGATTTGAAAAAGCAACGAGAATCAATGAAGCAAAACTCCAATTCAAGTTCAGAGGAGAAGAAGCAACTTGAAATTCAATTGAAAGAACAAGTTAATTTGAATGATGAAACAAGATTAGAATTGGCTAATTTAAAGTCTTCTCTAGAGGATATAGAAGTTAACATGTTGAATCACCTCATTCAAGAACATGAAGAATTAATTATTGAAGTTTCTCAAATGGATGCTTTTATGACTGAGGTATTTTCAGTAAAATCAAGAAAGGAAATTAAGAGATTGGTGACTGAAAATTTGGAACTCAAGAATCAATTGAGTTTGATGAATGAACAATACGAGATTAACAAAAAGCAACTCCAACACGCAACTCTTGAATTGGATGAACTAAAATCTTCCTTCAATAAGGGTGATCAAGTGTTGAGTCAATTAGAGAACCAAAGAAAGACTCAATCTGAGAGACATAGAATAGAATTGGAAGAATTGAGAACAGAAATGAGAAATTTTACAATTTCACAAAAAGCAGAAAAAGAGAACTTGTTAGATTTGTTGGACAATACCAAAACTCAACTGGATACTTGCCAACATAAAATGGAGCAAATGCAACTGGAAAGAAGTGATGGCCAAAAAGAGGTTCAATACCTCAGAAAAAGAAACTCTGAGCTTGAAACTCAACTTCTCAACGCAGAATCAGATAGACAAAGATTGGTTTCAGAAGTTTCCAATCTTAATTGTACATTAGATCAATTGAGAGATGAAGTCGATGCCAAGAACGATGAAAATAGAAAGATTGTAGAGCAATCAAGATCTTCCATGCAATCTATTCAAGTCAAACTCAACAGAGACCAACAAATCTATCAGAAGAGTGAATATGATTGGAATCAAAAAGTGAAACATCTGAATGATATGGTACTTCAAGCGGAGTACAATCTTTCGGAATATAAAAAGAAGTACAAGGAAGAAATTAGCAGCTTTAATAATGATTTAATTATGAGGCAACAACAAATTGAAAGTTTACAAACCGATGTCCAAAGAATGAAACAGGAAGGCATGTCTATTACAGCTCAAAACAAGAAAGACTTGGATGTGAGAGAACAGGAAATTCAAAAGATCAAGAGAGAAAAACAACAATTAGAGCATTCAATTGTTCAAAAAGAAAGAGAGAAAGACTCATTCAAACTGAGATTGGAAATGATGGAAAGAGAATTATCAAGACTGAAATCTCAATATAATGTAAAGTAAAAAGTTAGTACTTGTAAAATAAATAACTAGGATTAAAAGACGAAGACTATATATTACATATTTATTGACCCAACAATTTGGTTCTCAAGACGTATGGCAAGATACCACCATGCTTGAAGTATTCAAGTTCTGGTTCAGTATCGAATCTCAAAATTGTGGTGAATTCCTTGACATTTTCGTTACCAGTAACAGAGACAGTAACTTCTTGGAATGGCTTCATACCAGCAGACAAATCAATGCTGAATTGTTCCTTACCAGTCAAACCCAAAGAGTCAGCACTTTGGCCTTCCTTGAATTGCAATGGAATGATACCCATACCAGCCAAGTTAGATCTGTGGATTCTTTCGAAAGAGGTAGCAATAACAGCCTTAACTCCCAAAAGATATGGACCCTTAGCAGCCCAATCTCTTGATGAACCTGAACCATATTGTTCACCACCAATAACGATCAATTCGTTACCAGCTTCACGATACTTGACGGAAGCATCGAAAACTGAAACAGCTTCACCAGATGGAACGTGGAGAGAAATTGGACCTGGTTTACCGATCATCTTATTGTAAAGTCTAACGTTAGCAAAAGTACCTCTGACCATGACTTCATCGTTACCACGACGAGCACCATAAGTGTTAAAGTCCTTTCTTTCAACACCTCTTTCCAAGAGATATTGAGCAGCAGATGACTTCAATGAGATACTACCAGCTGGAGAAATGTGGTCAGTAGTAGTGAAATCACCCAAATTCAACAAACAGTAAGCATCCTTAATTGGCTTGCTTTCATTGGTTTGAGATTCAACAGCCTTGAAGAATGGTGGATCGTGAATATAAGTTGACTTTTCATCCCATGGATACAACATGCTTTCTGGAGCATCCAACTTATTCCAGTTATCAGTACCCAAAGCAATCTTTTCATAGACAGACTTGAACATTTCTGGAAGAACATTGTTAGTGACACATTCTTGAACTTCTTCGTGAGTTGGCCAAATGTCTCTCAAGAAAACTGGTTGATTAGTGGTTGGATTGACACCCAATGGTTGAGTTTCAAAATCAATCTTAACATTACCAGCAAGAGCATAAGCAACAACCAAAGGTGGAGAAGCCAAATAGTTAGCTTGGACAATTGGGTGAACACGAGCTTCAAAGTTTCTGTTACCAGACAAAACTGAAGCAGAAACCAAGTTGGAATTAACAATAGTTTCATGAACAACTTCTGGCAATTCACCAGAGTTACCAATACAAGTCATACAACCATAACCAACAACGTTGAAACCCAACTTGTCAAGATATCCTTGCAAACCAGACTTAGTCATATATTCAGAAACGACACCTGAACCTGGTGAGAGAGATGTCTTAATGTATGGATTAACAGTCAATCCTTGTTCTACAGCCTTCTTGGCAAGCAAAGCAGCAGCAAGCATGACAGAAGGATTTGAGGTATTTGTACAACTGGTAATAGCAGAAATAACAACTGAACCATGAGTTAAATTGTACTTCTTTCCTTGATATTCAATTTCAACAGTCTTTTCAGAATCTTCAGCTGGAATTTCGAATCCCTTGAAACCTCTCTTGGCAGTCAAACCTTCCTTGAATTCCTTATGGACATCAGTCAAAGAGACACGATCGTGTGGTCTCTTTGGACCAGCCAAAGATGGAACAACAGTAGTCAAATCAAGTTCCAATTTAGCACTATAACGAATGTTAGCAGCATCTGAATCAGATGTGACGAATAACTTTTGAGCCTTCAAATATTCAGCAACCAAAGCAACCTTCTTTTCATCTCTGTTAGATTGTTTCAAGAAAGTAAGAGTAGTGTTATCAATTGGGAAGAAACCCATAGTAGCACCATATTCTGGAGCCATGTTTGAAATAGTGGCACGATCAGCAACAGACAAGTTATTGACACCTTCACCATAGAATTCAACAAACTTTCCGACAACACCCAACTTTCTCAAGTTTTGAGTAAGAGTCAAAACCAAATCAGTAGCAGTAGCAGCACCAGTCAATTTACCAGTTAATTTGTAACCAACAACTTCTGGCAAAACCATGGCACTTGGTTGACCAAGCATGGCAGCTTCAGCTTCAATACCACCAACACCCCAACCTAAAACACCCAAACCATTGATCATAGTAGTGTGTGAATCAGTACCAACCAATGAATCTGGATATAACAAAGCTTGTAAATTATTTTCCTTATCAGTTGATGAAAGTTCTTCATTATTTTCAAAAACAACTCTAGCCAAATATTCCAAGTTAACTTGATGGACAATACCACTTCCTGGTGGAACAATTTGCAAATTCTTGAAGGCCTTGCTACCCCACTTTAAGAACTTGAATCTTTCATAGTTTCTATTGAATTCCTTTTCTTGATTTTGTTGTAAAGCATCCTTTGAACCAAAGTCATCAACTTGAACACTGTGATCGATAACCAAATCAACAGGAACAAGTGGATTAACATTAGCTGGATTACCACCGAGTCTCTTGACAGCATCACGAATAGCAGCCAAATCGACAACAGCAGGAACACCAGTAAAGTCTTGCATCAAAACTCTAGCTGGTTTGAATGGAATTTCAATAGACTTCTTGCTTGATTCTTCCCAGTTAAGGATCTTTTCAACATCTTCCTTCAAGACAGCAAATTCATCACAATTTCTTACACAATTTTCCAACAAGACACGAATACAGAAAGGGAGAGTATCGAGTCTATCGTCCTTCAATTCAGGTAAGCTAAAGTATTTATACTTGCCACCGTTAACTTCGAGAGAACGAGCAACGCTTTCAAATGGATTTGGTTGTGCTGGCATTCTGATGATGATTTATTTCTTGTGTTTGATGAAGATGAATCAGCAACAACAGAGAAGGGTTGGAAATTTTTTTTAAAAGTGCTGTTGAAAACTTGTTGCGATCAAAAGCTTCGAAGGAGAAAGCTGCAACCTTTATCAATCCGCTTATTGTGGACGCGACTTTTAAGCTTCATTCGGAAAAGCAAAAGACGCGAATTTTTTATCAAGGTGGAAGAGAACAGATCAAGTCACAATAATTCATGGTACTTTGATTCTCATCATGAATTGAATTTAACCCAATTCATCATGATATGTAAAGAAATTGTGTTGTGGTAGTAAAAGAAATTTGTTTTTGAATTTTTTGTAATACTTCGGTCAGTTCTTGTATCGGAGAAATTTTCCATTGTGTTTTAATAAATGAACGAGAAGAAGATGATGACGATTGGTGCATAGTTGTTGGTGAAAGTTAACAAATATTGTTGTAATAATTGGCTGTAGTTGTTGATAGTTAAATTTGTTGTGGAGGTTTCATCAACTACTTCAACTGAAAGGCATACCAAATGTGATTTTTCAGATTGATGCATTAAGAAGCTTCATTAGATGAAGAAGGAGAACAAGTTTACAATGGACAATTTACTTCATAATTATTTGATGACAATTTTCTATGCAATGATGAACATTAAATGGGAAAGCAAATGAAAGAAGGGATAAGAACTGAAAAAAATGGCGGCAAGTCAAGAGAATTGTATTAGGAATTGTCGGACGAAAGGTTCATCATCATCTTCAGTGTGGATTAGTTTTCATCAGGTCATCCTTTCATGTTTTTTAATTTTAGTGATGAGTAATTGTTGTTGTATTAATTTTACAAGAGCAGCAACAACACTAGTATCCATTCCGAAATGTAGTAATGCAACTGGAGGTGAAATTATTGTGGACGATATTAGTGAGTGTGTACAGTATGATCCGAATACACCTCTTGTTCCTTGTTTATTAGTGTATGTGCAATTATTTAGAATTTAGTTTTGAATCATTACATTGAATTAATTTATTATTACTGAAAATTAAATAATTTAAATGTTGGATATTGATGATTTTGTGGAAATATTACAGTCCTAATGAATTTAGAGTTTGTGATTTTCCATTGACATCTCCAAGTGCAAGTATTCCAACTTGTGCCTATGAAGAATTTATTGCACAGAATGGAGCTTTTCAAAATAATACCAAGTATGGATATGCTAATTGTACTGTTCTCGCTAGTATTGAATGTGTGGGACCAAGATCATGGCATCAACTATTTCCATGTAAAACGTATGTTATTTTGCTTTGAACAATATTCGAATGTTGGACAATTTACATTTTCATATTTTAATTAATAGTATTTATTCAAATTTCCAATTTGTGACAGCTTTGGTATTGTCTGTATTTGCTGGAATTTTTGGAGCTGATCGTTTCTATTTACAGCATATTGTTTTAGGGTGAGTTTTTACAATCTAATAGAATTTGTGTGGAATAACTTTATAGTGTTATTAAATTATTGACACTTGGAGGGGTTGGAGTTTGGTGGATTGTCGATATAGGTCTCCTAGTTGCAGGTATCATTGTTCCAGCCGATGGTAGTAGTTGGCAACAATATTATTAATCATTTTGTACATACTATTGTATAATAATCTAGTTCCTAATTTATTTAATTTATCATTTTACAAAAAAAGAAACTTCCAAATAAAAACATCATCAAAGAATGACTATATTACACCATCGTCATCAGCCTCACCCTAACCTCCCAACGAACAATAAGTATGATCATCAATTATTCTTCACTTCATCATTTGGCAAATATCTCCTTCTTCTCACCTTATTCCTAATTTTCACATCAGCAGCTGCAGCAACCCTCAATTGTACCTATTCCCATTCAGATACTTCCGATTCTTCTTCCACCTCATCCAACATCTATGAATATTCATCATTGAGTCCTCCTGTGAAAGGAACTTGTCGAGGACCAATGCATAGAACCATCTCTGCAATGAATGTAATTTCCAAGCTTAATCTCGGTTGTCCAAGAAATCAAATTCCCTACAGTAAGGAAGGAGTTTTGCAAATTCAATGTGGGGAGTGTATTCCTGGAACGAGTGGAACCAGTAACTTGTTGAATTCATTTCAATGTGCTGTCAATGAATATTGTACAGATGGTGGTAAATGTAAATTAATTAAGGAGCATCCATTGTATGGAGCTGATTGTCCATTTGAGGTTTCTTCATCGATTGTTAGATCTGACACTGAGGGAATTGACACTTGGTGTGGAACTGGTTTGATTTGTGTTCAACATAAATGCGTCAGTTGTAGTGAGGGAGATGTTGATATGAACACTGGTGTGAAATGTATCTTGGGAGAGTGGACATATGCCTCATGGATGGATTCCACCTTGGAGCCTTCTCCCTTATTACTTTTTGCATTATGTGGAATTACATTACTGTATGCTTTGGTCAATTGTAGTTGCAGAAGTGTGAAATTATTGAGCAAGGTTGTTGATGACTACAAAGAAGGAAAAGAACACGAATCTATTAGAAAATTAACTCAGGAATTTGTTTCAGCTCTCGAAAAGGTTCCAGAAAATTCCAATCAAGAACCAAATAATCATCAACAAGTATTATCGCCTCGAACAACTATTAAAGATGTTGAAATGGCAGATCTAACAAACAAGAAACGAAATAAATAATAATTTCAAATCTCGTTCTTCAGTATTTAGTTTATCAGTCTTGAATGGACTAAAAATCCATTCTTCCTTATCAAAATTAGCTTTTCTTTAAGTTCCCCATACCAATTTCAAAGGTCAACCATGATTTTCATCATCACAAATAAAAATTTTTTAAAAAATTAAAAAAATGCAAAATCATGTCCTGATGGGAAAGAGGACGAGTTGTGCTCGTGTGGCTGTGTACGTGCTGATGGCAATGATGGGTGCTGTTTTTCTGATCATGCTCCAGTTTATGTTGAAGGAGAGGAGCGATAAGATGAGATCGTCTTCGGATGAAGAAAATATAATAATCAATAATGATCGAGCAATGATTATGACTACTCAGCAACAACAACAAGAAATTAAACAAGATAAACAACAATCTATTTCGGAAAGATCGGCAACAAGTAATGGTAGAAGATCAAGATCAACTTCTTCATCATCATTAAATTCCGAATACGAATATTGGCTACGAAATTATATTATTAAATCAGATCCACACTTGTTAGCTTGTCATAATGATATTGGATTTGGATTGATTGAGAGATGGAGAAAGTCTGAACGAGTAATTTGTGGAGATGAGAAAAATACACAAAATAGCAGAGTTTACATGTACAGAATTCAACAAACCAGACATACTGCACAGGATAATTTTGTGAGGATTAGGAATTTTGTTACTCTGACTGATGGATTTTTCTCAAATGGATTTACACAGGGCTGGTTTACCTCTGGATGTTCAATGAAAGTGGACAATTTGAAGAGTAGAGAGGGACATAATTTATTCCAAATGCATTTGGATAAGTGGATGGGTCAATATCAAGGAGAGAGGGCTTGTTCAAAGAAAATTAATAGGAGAGTTGTCTTTTTGCAAAGAGATGGTGAATATAACTTGTTCCACTCAATGACTGATTTCTCATCCTTGTTTGTGAATTATCTCATGATGATTTTTAAGAGAATTGAAGAGGAAGGAATTGAAGTAACTGATACTATGGAATTATTGGATGAATATGTGCAAGGTACTGATGTGGTCTATTTGGATGGTTATCAAATGGGACCATACATGCCAATTCTGCAAGCCTTTGGATCTGTATTTTCATACAGTGAATATACTCAACATTTAAAGAAGGAATATGAAGTCAAAGATAAGGATTCTATCTGCTTTGATGAAGTTTTATTTGCCACTCCTGGTGGATCTAATTTCCTATTCAAGGACGCATGGAGACCAAAGTAAGTATTTCTCTTCTACAAGCTGTCTCACCACACATACTAGCCAATGTAAGGATTCTGAAGTTTTGAAAGTCTTCTCCAGGTTTATTACCAAGAGACCAGAACGAGAAGCAGGAAAACGTTGTAGATAGAGAATCACATTGGACTAAGATTGATCCAAATGATTTTGTTCAAATGGTGAGGTCTGCTGTATTGATAGCAGAAACATTCCACTTAGGTCCTGGTGTTACTGCCACCAAATTCGATGTTGTGAATGAACATCATCGTATGTAGAAGATAAAGAGTTGTGTTATTAAATATGATACAAATTTTACTTCAGATTTGAATTGATTCAATGATCTCCAAATACTTACAAAGTTGGACGTCCCATAAAAGTCATCCAAGAATTAATGACATCTATGCTTGTTAAATCTGCTCTATTCATTAAACCGGCTAGTTCTGGATGTTGATTAAGAGCCTCTTCACTCTGATTTTGACATTCATTAATCTCCTGAATGAATGCCTTCTTGAAAGGTTCGGGTTTTTTGAGTTTATGACTCAAAGGAAATACAGTTTCTTTCAATGTTTTCCACATTGTATAGGCATCCTCAGGAGAGTAGGTGGATTTGGAAAGTTTGAAATGATTATGAGATAGCGCCTCCTTATCCTCACTCCATTGAATATAATTATCAGACCCTTTCCAGTTGGATAGTATTTCACAAATTTGACTTTTTAATCCACCATTCCTCAATTGTTCTACTTCTTTGTGAACACGTTCACAAAGTGCTCTGAATAATAAATTCCAAGAAGAGGATTCATGTATAGAATTCAAAATAGAGACCATATCTGCTGCTGAATAACTAAACCTTATTGAATTCAGCATCTCATTACAAGCACTGAAAATAACTGCATCACATTCGAATATCGTTGCTATTTGGGCTACCTTATAAAAATGTATGAGTGATTGCTCTGGGCATCTATTGGTGTACATTAAATCTAAAAAACTCTTTACATGTGCTTCAGTAATAGATAATGAACTTCCAAGCACAATTTGATTCTTTTTTGGACTCTTATCGAAATACTTTTTGAAATAGTTACAAAAAATTGAAAGAAACATTTTGTGAGCTGGCAATGAGCCTTCCTTCCCAGTTGAAGTATCTTTAAATTTGATTGTAATATCAAAATCCTTCTTTTTCTTGTACAATTCCTCAAAATGTTTGAAGAGTGATGAATTTCTTTCCTTCTTTGAAAATTCTGCTGTTTTAGTGCTAAATACATACGCTACATTATCAAACACAGGTTTCTTGTGGGTAAAATCAAAAAACAGTGGTCCATTATATGGAGTAATGATTGCATGTCCAGGATCAGATATTTCATCAAGAATCTCTGCTGCATTCGCCTTACTATAGGCTGAAACCAATGAAAAATCACCATTTGGCCATCTGCAAACATATAAAGAAACTGGTTTTCCAATCGAATCATCTCCAAAACCTTCTTCATCTTCATCTCCAAACTCATCAGCATCATCTTCATCTTCGGAATCAATATCAAAATCTTCTTCATCTTCCTCTGCTATTTTTCTTTTCTTAGCCTCTTGTTCTTCATTATTTGTTTTTGTTACTTGTTGTGGTTGATCATCTTCATCTTCGTCATCACTCGATAAAACGAGCGTTTCTTGTTTTTGGGAAATAACAGGTTTTCTCTTTGGCGCCATTTTTTTGTTGTGTTTGTTTTAAAAAGTGTTGGCGGCAAAAAAAGGCTGTTGATTCAATTATGGTTATTTTCTAAGCTTGAAACAGTTCGAGTGTGTGCTGGATTATACTAGAATGCACAGACAGACATGGTTGAAGAATGAATTCATCAAATATTGTGCTCGCTTTAATTTTGACCAATTAAAGATTAAGGATAATGCCCGAATTATCCAATAGAAACAGCTCAAAATGACCATAAATAATATGAAATTGTTGGGTTGTGTCCATTCTATTGATTTTCTATTATCACAAAATGATCATTGAGTAATATTATTATAAAAACAACATAAATTGTTGCCTCACTTTCTACCAGCAACAAATATTGAGAATCAAACACATTGCTTATTTTGGCCAAGTTGAACAAATTGAGGTAGTACGCACACTAACCTTTCATAAATCACTTTGAAAAACAACAACAAGAATCAATTCCATCGCATCACATCAAGATTTTCAAAATTGTTCCCTACAAAATCAATATTGAGAGTGGTGAAATTCCAAGTTAAAAAACAACAAGTAATTCATGAGAGCTTCATCTTCGGGTGACGATTCATCCTCCACTTCGAATCTTGTTGCTCATCATTATCAGCAAAATTCCAATCATCATCATCAGCGGCCCAGTTTAATTGATCATATTTTGATGAATAATAATCAGACAAATAATAATAATTATTATCAGCAAGATAGGGAATTGGAAGAAGTTTCAACAAGTGTTGTGCAACATTATAATAATAATGGTGATTTAAATTTTCCAATTTCTTCTTCTACATCGTCGTCTTCATCCACCAATACAACAAATAATAGTCCTAATCATACTCCTTCTCCATCAACAACAAATCAACAACATATAATTAGTAATAATAGTATAATTAATTGTGAAGAAGATGAAGAATACTTTAATCGAACAACAACAAATAATAATCAAAGTAGTAATACGAGTCATAATAATATCATACCAACTAATATTCATACAACATCATCCTCAGCCCATCTGGTGGGCGAAATTAATGTACATAACAATAATAATAATTTAACGTCTCCTGCTGATGATCAATCAACTGATGAAGGAATCTTCCAAAAAACCAAGAGAAAGGGAGAGAACATTTTGGAAACTATTCTTAGATACTTTTGCTGTGTTTCTCACTTTTCGAGGAATAATACACAACTACTCGAATCACACAATGTTTCGAGTAGTGATTATGGAGCACATAGTTCTGCTTTCATTAAAGTATTGAAAAAGAATGATCATATTAATATAGTGAACGAGTCGAATGTTTCATCGAGGAGGAGAAGTCGTTTATCACAAGAGGCTGTCAAGAAGATTAAAAAGAAAAAGAGAATTAGACTGATGAGTGATATTGATGAGGATAGTGATAACGAGGATCAAATTATTGAGAGTGAATATTCATTTTGGATATGGTTGAAATGTTTCTTTGGAAATTTGACATTCATGTGTCATCCTCCAAAGTGTTGCACCATTTTGAATATTTTAATTATTTTGTTTATTGTTCAAGGAATTTTTGGAATTATTTCTTCCTTTATTTTACTTTATTCGAGTGGTGAGAGTGTTTTGAAACAAACAGAATCGATCCAACAAATTCAAATCAAAACCTATTCCAAGAATGAAATTTTAAAGATTGTGGACTATACAAATCTTGCGGTAGAGACAATCAAGTTTGAGATGGCCGAATCTGATTTTAATATTAACAACCAATTACATTGGACTAAACTTTTTAATTATGTGGCTAGTATTTATGGGAATAGTATACCAATAGATGGCATATTTTATGGTAAATCGGATAATTTCTATGTAGGATATAATAGAAACGTTCAACACACGATAAGAAATGGTACAGCTGGTAAATCCCAATGTCAATACTTTTATCGTGCTCATCTCGACACTATCATAACTGATGATTCTTACTATTATGAAAACTTTGACTATGTTGCTTGTAATTTGTCAGTTTCGAACACAAAGAGACCTTGGTACTTGCCATATACAAAAGAATCTGATGCATCAAATTCTATCAAGTGGGCCCCTGTATTCAAATCAATTTATGGAGACCAAAGTATTGCTGTGACAATACCAATCTATGTTAATCAGACAATTTCACAAGCACTCAATCAGACAACGCTCAGATACATTCCTGTTGATACTGCTCCTTCATCAATTAAGGTTCCATCTCGCCTATATGGTGTTGTTGGATTTCAATTACAATCTAGAGCTTTAGGTGAGCTATTGAAAAATAGCTCTGGTTCATTTGGAGAGGTTGATATGGTATTTATTACGAATCCAGATGGTGATTTAATAGCAGTCAATGCTCAATCTGGTTCAGATTACTTTCTGTTTGCCAAATATATCATACAGGATTATAGTGAAAGAGGAGTGTTGCACACTCTCAATACCACTACTTGCCAGATAACCAATGGAGTATTATGTTCTCTTTCTTTGGAAAAGAAATCATATTCTTTTGAAGGTGAGGCATATTCTGTTGAGCTTTTATTTGCTACAGATTTGTATAGTCTTGGATGGGGAGTGGCAATAGCTTCGAAAGTGAAATCATTTGCAGATGAAGTAGTGACAGGCGGTGTCACTTCTGTAGTTGTATTCGTTATTGTTTTTATATTTGGTATGATTATACTCTTCTTTACCCTCAAAGCAATTAGTAATCCAATACAACAATTGTCAATAGACATGCTCAAATTGACCAACTTGAAAGATAACAAGTCAAAGGAACAGACTTTAAGTATTTTCAGTGATATCAGAGAAATGCAAATTCACATCAAGGCAATGAAAAAAGGTCTAATTACATTTTCCAAGTATGTACCTGAGATTGTTGTAGAAAAGGTAATGATCAAACAAGACTATTCCTATGGAGAGGCTGGATTAACAACACAGAACATGTCAGTATTATGTTGTGAGCTCAATCCATCCGAAATATTTAGGGAAATGAAACCTTCCGACCTGTTAGACTTGCTCAATGATTACTTTGTGCTTGTTTGCAATGCAACTCACAATCATGGAGGATTAGTTGACAAGTTTAACACTAATGCATTGGTTTGTTATTTTAACGAGTCAACATTCCCTGTCTTGAATCATGAACAAAATGCTTGCAGTGCTGCTTTGGAAATTGTCAATCAGATAAGCGAATTAATTGAAAAGCACTCAAAGAAAACCTCCTCCAAAATATCCATCAAGGTTTCAGTCAATAGTGGAGACATTATTTGTGGGCTATTAGGATCTAATACTAGAATGAATTTCTCCATGATTGGAAAAAATTATGACATGGCAATTAACATGCTACAAATGAATAACCATTACAAAACCAAGGTACTTATTGGTCAAAACACCTTACGTAAGGTGAGGGAGAACTTTATTTGCTACTTTGTAGACAGTTTGGAGACTGAAAAGATTTCAATGCCATGTTCAACATTTAAATGTACATCAAGTGGGGATTTATCAAAATATGATGAAGAGGATAATAATGGCATTTGTAATGTTTATGAATTGATTTGTCATAAGGACGAAGCGACAGAACTCCACAAAAAGATTCAATCTGATTTATACCAAATCGAGTCTTTCTTAGCGAACCAACAGTATCACTATCTGTACGACAAGTGCCTCTGCGTACTATCCTTAGAAGATCTTCAGAGTGTTGAATATTTAAAATCCAAATATAAAGCCGAATTGAATCGACAGATCCTTTAACTGTGGATTCAAAATTTCCTCAAAAAGACAATTTTCATTCTTGCTCCTTTAAATAATAGTAGTATTAGTTGTTCCTTAGTTCTGACATTGTGTGAATCAAAGCCGCTTAGTTCTTCCAAACAATTCAATGAGAGTTGATTAGCATCAAACCGGTTCGGGCTATTAAGGAACCATTTTGTGAAAAAGGATCTGTGAGCAATAAATTCAATATCAAAAATAGAGTGGTGCATCCAGAAAAGTCTAGTCCTTAGTTCTTCAGTTCTACTCCTCCTCACTCGTTAACACCTCAAGAGTTTAAGCCAAATCGAAGCACTCTAAAAAACATTAAGAAAAAAACATTAACACAAAAATATTAAGCAGGTGCACACAAAGTACTTTTTTAACGGTTAAGGGTAACTCTCCTCTTTATAAGAATAATTGAATAAGAGAAACATGGGATCAGCACCATCAACAACATTTATTTCCTCATTTGCTGGTAATTCACTAGTGATGGATAAACAATCCATGATGGTGAGACAATTACTATTGGGTAACGATTCTAAGAAAGGTGATGTAGATGTTTCAAACCGATCGAAGACTTACTCCTTACCTAGTCATCATTCGAGTAGTGGAAGCAGTATTACACATGCCTCCAAGAGTCATGAATCTTCTCCAGTTGAGCTTTGTGAACATCATGCACCATTGCGATCAATCTCACCTACAAGAAGAAGAGCAAGTGAAAATGGTTCAATAGGAAGCAGTATTAGCTCTCTGAGTGACTCTATGGATATAAGTAAGGGAAGAGTCAAATCAATTCAATCGAATGGTGTATTGCACTCTTATGAGTTTTGGAGTAATGAATCAATAGATTTTGAAAATTGCAGACAAGAAACTGAAATGCAAAACATCCAGATGGAAATCAAAATGAAATCTCCAAAGCATTCAGAAAAGCATGATTCAGATTCTCTTCATCACAACCCAGAACATAAGAAAAAGAAGAAGTACAATGGATGGGTTGAAGAACCTCTCAGTCAATCGATGCATCATTCACCATCCCACCATCACTCAACTCATCACTCCAACAATCATCATTCCACAAACCACCATCACTCAACTCACCACCATCACGCCAGCAGACATGAACATCATCATTCAAATCATTCAGCTCACTCAACTACCACCTCCAAACCAAGTTCTGTTCTTTCTCCTATTACAACTCGTCATTCTCATGATTCAAGCATTCTTGCAACTAATTCCAAACTAAGTCCACTGCATCACGAAGCACCTAATTTCAACAGTGCAATCCAACAACCATCTGTCCAACACAATGCTTTCAATCTTCCTCTCATTCCTTTCCATTTAAATTTATCAGCTTCTTGGGATCGTCAAAAAGCCATCGAGTTATATGAAAAATCAATGAAACAACATCATGATTCTAAATCAACTCACGAATTTGGCTCATAGGATTGGACCGAAAATGTTGCTCTTTGTCATCAATAAAGGTCTAATAAAGAAAAAATGGCGAGACTTTCATGTATTAAAGGTTTATTTAAAATATATATTGCTGTCTTTGCTATTGTTTTATTAATTCTAGTGATTATCAACATTCAACGACATGAATCTGTTTTCAAGAAATCATCAACCTTTGAATCTATTCGAAACAAAATTTCGAATATAAATTCGGATGTATTAACAGATGAAAAAACAAACGAACAACAAAAAGATCAAGTACAAACAATAACTAAACCATCATCAAATTTAAATACAAATATTGCTAATCAACAATTGCAAAACAAACAATCAGAAACTACAACACCTCTGATTTGTCTAAATTCCGACTCGAATAGATTGAAAACTAAACAAGAAGAATTATGTGATTCGGAATATGGATGTGGAATGCTTCGTCAATGGAAACAAAATCAATTATTAATGTGTGAACGAAAGGAATCCCATCAAAAAACACAATTGACTTGTTATGAACATAATAATTATCACTTGCCAACTGCCACCTTTCCACACACAATTTGTGATTCTGAAAATCTAGTCATGGATTTCTCAAAATTAGTAAGAGCACCATGTTTGAAATATAGACCTGGATATTTTTGTAAAAAGGAAACTTATTACAATTACAAATCTGGAGCATTGATTGGAAATTGTCATAGAACGAATGAATTTTCAAATTTGAATCATTTTGCAAATGATTTTGGAAAGGATATCTTTTCCAGTTTTATAACATTTGAAGAAAAACAAGTTGATTTGCAAAATGTGAAATTTTTTGATGGAATTACTATTTTCGTATCGAGAGAACAAGATGAACATGTCAATATGTTTCATGCAATGAGTGATTTCTTTGCCACACATGTTGTCATTGAAATGTTTAAACTGAACAGTTCAAATATTCAAATAGTCATTTTGGATGAGCATTTTGATGGACCTTTTGATTTCTTGTGGGATAAGGCACTTTCCTTCAAGAGACCAATGAAAAAGGCCTCTTCCTTTTCAAATGGAATGGTAAGATTTGAGAGGGCAATCTTTCAACATGCTGGCTATGCTACACATTTCCTCTCAAATTTGATGAATTTTAATGAGAATGATGCTACTATGTGTCACTCAAAAATTCCACTCGTTGCCAATTTTGCCAATAGAATTTTGAATGGTTTGGGTATCAAGAAGAGAGAAATCAATAAGGGTGATGTGATTCGTGTCTTGTTCATCAGTCGAAGACCTTATGTGAAATTTGGAGTCGAGCACAATTTCATGTCTCGTCAAATTAGCAATGAAGAAGAGGTGTTGGATCGAATGAAGACTCACAGAGAATATGGCAAGAAATTCACAGTGGAAAGAGTTGATTTTGCACATTTGAAATTAGTTGAACAAATTCAAAAAGTTCACGATTCAGATTTCTTAATTGGATATCATGGAGCTGGATTGACTCACTCATTGTGGATGCCTGAGGAAACCTCTGCAGTTCTTGAAATTTGGAATACAGTAACAACAAGAGGATGGAGATGCTTTGAACAATTCACATTTTGGAAGGGAAACGACTATACATTGTGGAGTAATTCAAATCCAAAGAATTTGAGAAAGGACAGTTTGGGAGATTACTTGACTGTGGATGTTGCGGACTTTTACAAAACATTTGATAGAATGGTTAACAAGTTGATTGACTCTAGGAATTAGAAAAATAAGATGATTTAATAGTAAATTAAGGATTTTATTTAATTGATGTACAAAAGGAGACGAAATTAATTTAAGTTTCAAATTTTCACCTTTTTTAAAGTTTCGACTGGTGAATGATTTGGAATAACTTTTCTCTTCTTTGAATTGGAACAATTTGAGTGGACGTATAATTGCAGAGAAGGTGAAAACTCTGCCTCACTCAAAACCCAATTCATTCTCTGAGAATCGTATGATTTATCCAAATCTTCTTCACAGATTGGACACACTGACTGATCTGTATTGGCAATGATTGTTTTGAGAGAGGAGTTTTTGTTTTGAGAGAGTTCAGCAACACTTTCCTTCCTTTGAACCTTGAAGAAATCAAAAGCAGAAACGACACTCTGTTTATTATTCGAATCTTGTTTTAAAACTGATGAATCAGTTTGATTGAACAACAAGAAACTTGGACTTTGAACAGGAACAACATTTCCCTGCAGCCAATCGTCTTCACTGCCAAACCAACTTCTCGATTGAATGATTTTAATTGGCTTTTGAATGTTTCGTTTCTTTCTGTGTCCGTTATTTACATTATTGTTTGATTTTCTATTGTTATTCTTGGAAGACGAGTACATTGCCTGTCTATTATTCGAAGGTGTATTGTTATTCGACACAATGGAAGAGGGAGCAATGGGAAAGGAATTTTTGTTTGATGACTTGTTGGTTAATTGCTTGAGAATGTAATTTAGAAATTGCGGAGTAGTAGCAGGTTGATTGTTAGAATGGCTTGGTTTCATCATTTTAGATTAAATGTTGGCGATAGTGTAGTATTATTATGTTGTTGGAAAAAAACGTTATTTATTAGATAAATCCACAGTAGTGATATGTTGTGGTATTTTTTTTGAAATTATTAATAGATTAAATCCGTTACAGGAAACTTTTACAATTTTTTTCAATTATCCTTAAAATATCTTGCACCAAGATCATGAATGGATTGAAGATTTTCATTTGTGTCTTTTAAATATTTGGTACAAAGAAACAGGATACTATATTCTTGCCTTTTTAAAACCTTGATGTAGTTTAAACCCAAAATCATTGTGGAATTATGTGCAGGATTACATAAGATAGATCCTCATCTCTCAAAGACGATTCTTCAATTTATGAAAGTTCATATTCCTTTTGTCCATTTTCTGGTCATTCTCTCTTGTCCAGTATTCAACAATATAATACATTCAAGAGAGATGGTATTGAAAGTTGTAGAACGATCTTCCTTAAAAGCCAATACCACAATCCTTAATTGGTGAGCACTCTCGCAATAAGTAAATGATTCTCTGAGGAAGAATATTAATTAATTTGGCCCTATAACCCCACAACTGGAATCGGCCCTTTGCTTTCCACAACGACCCTGTTATAACATCTCCAAAAAAAGATCTCGATTGTTGCTGCTCATTCTTTCACATTCCTATGTAAAATGGGCTCAAATACATCAACAACTATTATTGAACAACAACAAGCAGGTGAGGAAGAAAGATCTTTGACCAAGTCAAGATCTATGAGGCAGCCCTCCCTTAAGAGATCATCAAGTAATACAGCTTCCGATGATGAGAAGAGTCCAATAGAAGAAATTTTGATGGAAAACCAACCATCAATTATTGGATTTGTTGGAAATTTGATGGGAATTAAGCAATCACATCATCATAAAGCCATTCGAGTTGTGGATATGGAACAAGCACACAAAATTTCTGAATCTTCGATATTATCATCACCCTTAAAGAGTGGTAATACAAATGGTGGTGAAGAAGCTTTCCAACCAATCTATTCATCAAAAACTGCCTTTACAAGACCTAGAGCCAAATCATTTGGTCCTTCATTGAAGAATAGTCTCTCATCAAATAATTCAGTGAATTCTTCAATTTCCAATAGTATCCTTACCAGAAATCAGGTGCATCTCAATTCTTCATACGACGGCTGGAATAGAGATGCTATCTGTTGGGAGGAATTTAAGAGAAAAAGTATAGAACGTGAAAATAAGAGAAAGAAGGTTAAGGATGTATCAGCATCATGGTCACCTTCACCTTCCAGTCAATCACCAAATGGAAAACAACCACAAGCAACAAATAACGTGTCAATAAGTGTGAGCTTATCAACTCAATCTTCACCACGAGGCAAAGGTAACAACAGAAGATATGGAATTATACTTGCACCAATCACAAACCGTGTTGGTATGGAAGTTGAACGAACAGGAATAGGAAACTTTTTGAAGAACCTTGAACAACCCTCACTGTTATCCCAATCAATCAAATAGAATAGAATCTCTTTGAATTGGAGAGGAAATGATAGTAGAGCTCGCAAATTGTGATGCGAATCATATAGACTAAAAAAGAACTAATAAGCACTGAGGAAAATCTCTTCCTTAATATGGACCTTATGAAGTTTTAGGACAAAACCAAAGGCCAAAGATAATACACTGATAAATTAGATATGTTTGTGCTTGATACTAATTTTACAGGTCCCTTATCTGTGAGATGTGAATCAAACTAGGCAAACTCAAAACATGTTTATTTACAGGCAGTTTATTTTTAAACACTTGAGGAGGTTGAAGGAGAACTCACTTTCAATTGATCTTGTAATTTGGCTTGTAACTTTTTCCTGTTTTCAGCATTCTTTCTTTTGGATCTTAGTAACAGGACTGTTGTAAAGATTACAATAATCAAAATAATTAAAAGAATGACCACCACACCAACAACACCCACAGTGATACCAATTGTTACTGCTGACTGATCAGAAGAGGTATATGTTGAGGTTTGTACCTTATTTTCACTCAGTGTCTTCTTAACAGACATGTCAATGACTCCAAATGAAGTAAGGTGACTCGTTTCACATTTGACTGATATTACAACTTGGAAATTGGTGTTATCTATTGTCTTGTTCAAGAAGGAGAGAATAGTAGTTTTCAACCCTGAAGATTCCCAAGTGTTTTTCAAAGTATTGTAATAGGCACAGGAATAATTCAAGTGCTCAGATTTACCAATTGAAACATTGAAGAAAGCTAATGAAATTGGATCTTGTAAACCCTTGATTGCAATTTCTTGAGCCGATTGTCTGTCATAGAGTGAAATGGACATAACTGTACTCTTCAATTTGTCACTATTCGAAAATAAAACTGGAGCAGAATTAGTGCTTGGATCGTAAATGGACGAAACTAACACAATCTCGCTTACATTATTAATTTGATCACTCATTGTCGCTGGAAATTCAAAACTAGTCTTGAAACCGTCAAAGGAAACTGATTTGGAATCAAGTTCTGTAACATCCTTCACAACTGTCAACTTTTCAACATAACCGTTTACCAAAGAAGTGTTCAAACATGTAGAATTTGCAGCCACAATCTTTCCATAACAATACTTGTATTCACAATATTGTCCAAAGTAATTTTCTTGGCATTCAACAACAGGTTCTTCCTCATTCATCCAATAATCTCCAATGTCAGTTTCTCTCCAGTCTGGTATTGTGAGATTAAGTGGTTTTGTGACGCATAATGTACCATTAGAATTAATGGAATAATTTGTTGAATTACACGAATATTCCATCATTAGAATTCTTTGATTATTGGTATCGGTTACTGTTATGGCCATAGAGGAAACTCCTGGTTTAGACAGAATGTTGATAGACACACTTTCAGGACCTGACATGATTGTAGTTCCAGATACGGTTTGAATAATACCAGTACGCAAATCAATTCTTCTCAATCTGTGATTCCAACTGTCGGCAATGTACAAATCATTTTGTAATCCCAAGAATAAATCTCGAGGACTGTTAATCATGGCAGAAGTTGCTGCCGAACCGTCACCTGCAATACCTCCATTTCCTGTTCCACATATGGTTGAGATTATTCCAGTGGCAGCTGTTATTTTTCTGATTCTGTTGTTTTGAGTATCAGCAATATAAATGTCACCATTAGACATGATAGCAACAGCTTGAGGACCATTCAACTTGGCAGATGTTGACAATACGTTATCTGTAAATCCTGATGAACCTGCTGTTCCAGCAATTGTTGTAATAATACCAGTAAATATATCAAGTTTTCTGACAATATGGTTAAGAGTGTCTGAAATGTACAAATATTTCTGTGTTGTGGTATCGAATGTAACTCCTCTTGGACCATTAAGCATGGCTTGAGTAGCTATTTTACCATCGCCTGAAAACCCAGCTGTCAAGTTGCCAGCAACAATAACGAGCTGACCTGTCATTAAATTTAACTTTCGAATAATATTATTACCACTCTCAGCAATGTATAACGCATTCTCTGTAGTACTCATGGTAATCTGTCTAGGTTCATTGAGTTTCGAATATCTTGCTTTGAACTTTCCACCAACGAGTGGTGATTCAGCAAAACCTTTCTCACCAGTTCCACATAAAGTCAGTAAACTGCCATTCGAATGAATAAACTTCAATTGATGATTGCCAGTATCAGCAATCAACACTCTTGAATAATTAGAAACCCTTACTCCAGCTGGCCAAACTAGAGCATAGTTATTGCCAGCATCAGCAATAGTTTTATAACTTGTGGCCGTTGGCGTTAATTGACCATTGACATGTTGTTGATCTAGCTGTGTCAGTTGACTAAAGAGCAGAGTTGTTATGATCGTTATTATTAAATGTAGAATAGTCATAGATGAAACTGTTTGCTGCATGTTGTACAGATGTGTGTTGTTTCTTTTTAGTTTTTGGGAATAAATCTTGTGCTGATTTAACCACCATTGGATTTACCATTGTTTCGTAAAAGGAATACACAAGCAATAGATTTTTCTGTTATCCAATAGTTCAGGAACTCTGTTTCTTAATCGGATAACATTCGGTTAAAAGACCAAATCGACAAGGACATGATGGGTACTAGAATAAAATTCTTTCATTGGCCAAGTGTGCCTCTAAAAAACCAAGTAGCCTTTCAAATGTATAACCTCACCTTGATTAAGATTTCGCACGCGGTGGACTCTAGACACAGCAGATGCTTGATGGAGGAGATTTGCCTTCTTATTTGTGTAATTGATTTTTGATGTTGAAATGACGAGATGGATATTAATACAGATCAAGCATTCCAATTTGGTCCTAAATAATGAATATTATTTGAATGAAGAAATTGATGGTTATGGAATGTTATTTGGCTAAAGGCTTTTTGATATCATCAGGGTTGTGTACCTGTCTGTATTGCTGAAATTATCCATCGATTGTAAATAAATACTGATGTTGGTGAGGAGAAGGAATTGTGGAGGTTGTAATACATCTTCTTATTGTTCTCCGAGGAAGAGTTTGATGTTATCAGAACATGAAGGAACAGTTGTTGGGAATTTTTAATTTTTTAATTAAAAAATACAACAATTTCCTTCAGATCCTTGTTGTGTAGAGAAGAATGAAGATTTTAGTTGGTGATGAGGAATTTATTAAATAATAATTTTGTGATTTCTAATCTATGAATCTGTGAGCATCAAGCTATGATGTAAATGTTGATTTTCTTGGTTACATCATAAGAGCGTGAAAAAGCGAATCGGAACAACATTATAGGATAATCCAATCACGTGCATTGGTTGTTAAATGGTTAGAGTAGATATTAGGAAGAACAATTACAACTTGTATGCTAAAGGAACAATTTATCTTTTGCAACTTTGTTCAGGGCATTTGTAGGCCTTTATGTGGACTGAAAAAAGACAATTGAGTCAGTTTACAAAACAATCTAAAGCATTAATGACCTGAAATCAAGTCATTAGGCGGAGTTTTTTTTGACATGTGTACCTTAATCTCCGAATTTTAAGGAAGGAAAGAGGAAGTACCACCAAATTGATCCACAATAGGGTTTGTAAAACAAACTTTTTAACAGTCTCATTCATTGTGTGGGTTTTTGAAACGATACTTTGACAATCTTTGAAAGGCCTACTTCAAGATGTTTGTGAAAAAAATTGAAAATGCTGAACCGAGTCTTTCAAACTGGTGTCCTGTTGGTACTCACTCTTACTGTTTTAGTTTTGATTATTGACAATCAACTCTGTGTAAATGCAACATTTAAACCATTGTACAAGATGAGTACTGTTGTGGGTGGTGGATTTGATGATGGTCAAGATGCTAAACAAGTTTGCCTTGCTCCAACCAAAGTCAAGTTTGATAGAAAGAGTGAGAATATTTATATTTCAGGTGAGTTTTTATTCTAAACATGCTTCAAGATTATATGATTAGATAGAATCAATAATAGAATCAGAAAGTTGGATGTGATGAGTGGAAAGATCAGCACTATTGTTGGAAATGAATTTATTGGATTTTCAGGAGATGGTCAAGCAGCAACTCTTGCTCATATCAATAATCCAGGAAAGGTTGAGGTCTCTTCAAATAATGATATTTACTTTGCTGTAAGTTCTCTTTGTTCTGTTTCTAATACACTCATTTCAAAAAGGACACTAACAATCACAGAATTAGAAAGGTATTTGCCAATGGAACGATTTTAACCATTGCTGGTTGTGGAGAATTTGGTTTTGATCTGGAAGAGAAATCTCCAGTTCCTGCTCTAGAAGCCAAAATCAATTATCCTAAAGCAGTTCTTCTCTCTTCTGATGAAAAGATATTGTACATTACAGATACAGCTTCTCACATGATCAAAGCTCTTTCATTCGAAACTGGTTTAGTTTCCATTATTGCTGGCTCTTTATACCGTGATAGTTCTCAAAACTCAACGATTGTTCAAGGACCAATCAGTTTGGCTTTGAGCCCTCTGACTAGTGAGGTTTATTTTGTAGATGATGATGGTATTAAAAAGATTACTAATGAAGGAAAGATCGAAATGATAACAAGAAATTCTAAATTTGGTGGAGATGGAGGTCTAGCAATCAATGCTGGAGTTTCAGCTGTTGATATTGAGTTTTTGGGCACTAGTAATACATTGTTAATTGCTGATTACGGCAATAATCGAATTAGAATTATTGGTACCAATGGCTTTATTGAAACCTATGCTGGTAATGGTAATGTGACTTCAAGTATTGATGGCGAAAGAGCTTTAGATTCTCCACTGACGGCTTTTGGAGTTTCCACATCTAATGAGGGTGAAGTTTATTTTGCTGATTATGCCAGAGTTTCAGTTGTCACCATTAATGGCTTAATCAAACACGTGGCTGGTAATGGGAAATTGCAATATTTGGGAGATGGTAATTTAGCAACCCAAAGTCAATTATTCAAGCCAAGAGGTGTTGCTGTTTCCACAAGTGGAGAGCTATTTATCAGCGATTCTGCTCAAGATACTATTCGAAAAGTTTCTACTGAAGGTGTAATTAATACCATTGCCGGTGGAACTTTTCCATTGGGAGGTTATATTCAAGATGGTGTTGACCCATTGAATACATTCCTTAATAATCCAAGCGCTCTAGAATTTTCATCAAGTTCAGGAGAATTGTTTCTTTCAGATTCTCACAATTTTAGAGTGAGAAAGATTTCAAAGGAAAATATCATTTCTACAATCGCTAACCATACCTCAATCACCAGACCACACGGCATTGCTCTTTATAATGACTTGGTTTATGTGGCTGATTCTCAATCCAATAGAGTGATACGAGTTGATAAGAATGATGGCTCTGTAACTCTGATAGCAGGAAATGGAACTGCTGGTTATTCAGGAGATGGAAGTTTGGCTACTCAAGCTCAATTATTCAATGTTTCTGGAGTTACTGTTCTTCCTAATGGTGAAGTTTTGATTGCAGACACCAACAATCATAGAATTCGTAAGGTCAACTTGGAGGGTATTATTCAAACAATTGCTGGTACAGGAATTCCCGGATTTAATGGTGATAATATCCTCGCCACTAGTGCTCAATTGAATTCTCCAACTGACATCGAAGTTTCTCCAGTTTCAGGTGAAATTATTATTGTTGATTCGAATAATCATCGTATCAGAAAGATTGATTCCTTTGGTAATATTTCTACAATTGCAGGAACAGGTATTGCATCATTGAGCTCACATGGTAAACTTTCCATCTATGGAAGTCTTAACACTCCAACTACGCTTTCAATTTCTGCTTTCAGTGGTCATGTCTACATTGCAGATTACGAAAATAGAAGAATTAGAAAATTGGAACAATTTACTATTGAAAAATACAATCTTCCAGTTCAAGATGATGGTGAATTGAGAACCGAAACTATCCAAGATTCTACAAATCTTAAAACAATTAATTATGATAATATTCAAATTGAACCTCCAAAGGAAAGTTTAAAGAATTCAGAGCTGAGTCTTGCCACTTCAGTTTACCAAGTCGACAGAAATGGAAAATTAACATCTTTTGAAAAGTCTATTAAGAGTGGAATTGTCACTGTTGCAATTTTGGATTCTGATTGTAATGTTATAGAAAATCCATTTACTTCTCCTCTCACAATTACATTCACTGAACTTGATTTCAATTCTACATCAAACTATTCCTGTATTTCGTACAATCAAGAATCCAAAGAATGGAAGAATGATGGCTCTGTCAATGAAATTTTATCTCTTAATTCAAAATTAACAATTTCATGCAAATTTAGCAAACTTTCATCATTTGCAATAATGGAATCAAGTGGAGGACCTAGTCCAATAATAACTGCAACCTCTTCAAATACTAATACTTTCAGGGACGCTGGCTTGGGAACTGATGCTATTGTTGCCATTGTTGTTTCCACTGTTGGTGGTGTAGCTTTGGTTGGAATTATTATGGCTGTAATTGTTGGAATATTGTTTATTATGAAGAGAAAGCAAAATCTTTCCAAAATTTGAAATATTTAATTAAAATTTTCCTTTAGTGTGTTTGTCTAATTGTTTTTTGAATTCAATGTGGGCAAAAACTTCATAAAAAAATATTCAACATTCTGCTACTAAAGTAGGACATGATGATTTTCGGAGTGGTTTTGCATCATGAAAGCACCAAACTTTCACATCATCATCTCAACATGATCTATATAGTAGTAATAATAGTAATTTTTATTGGTGGATTATCATCATGAAATTGGAATTTATTTTTCATCATGGAAAATCACAAGTTGGTACATCATCATCGGATCACTCACCAACCATCATCAATGTTATTTGCCATCAATATAATAATAGTATTTGTGGAATTTAATTTTTAGTAATATAATTTTGGTGAAATGTCAAAATTTTCACTAAATTCATCATCACTGCTGGATCTACTGAACAAGTTGGAAAACTGTCAATGTAGTATTGTTCGGAATGATCAATAGTAGGTAAGAGAATTTGGGCAAGTTATGATAGGGATAGGTACATGTGAATTTTGAAAAAAGAGCAACAAATATTCTAACTGTTAACTAACATAATCACCTTAGCCAGTTCATCAACATTACATTCACTGCATCCACTCAACTTTGCATCTAGCATTAGTCATTTTACAAGTATTAAACAGGCCTCTCAAACTCAGCAACATTCCACTAGTCAATTTAAACAATTATATGAAACAAATCCTGTCTTGAATGATTCTAATCTACAACTAGAAGAATCAACAACTCTAACCAATCCTCCTTCATTCTCTCTGCCTCCAAAGATTAGTAAGAATTCGTTTTCGAGAAAAACAATTTCAACTTCATAATTGAGTCTGGATTCTCTTGGTCCAGAAAAAAGAAAGAGGAAGAAGAGAAGCAATTTAATGTGGAAGTGGAATAACTCTGTGATTTTTCAACAGAGTGGAACATTAAAGGAAGGTCTGTGATTTTTCAACAGAGAGGTTTCTTTTTGGAAATACATTGAGCATTCCTTTAAGTGTCAGTTTTCAAGGGAAAAGGAGAACTTGTCCAGTAGATCCAGAATTTATTACTAATGACTTGTTGGTTGGCCCTGTATTTTAGTCAATTAAGAACCCAAGGCAACCATTGAAAATTGATATTTAGTATTGATTGTATGGATGGTTTGATGATTTGTTTGGATATGATTTCCTTAACTGTAAGAATGTTCAATTCCACATCCGTCCGCAGTGCTAGCAACATTGCTTTGGTTGTATAAAACGACCCTTCTGGAATATTATTAAGGTTGCAATTATTAATATACTAAGGTGGGGTATTGTTAATCCTAGTTGAACCGTTGATGATTGTTTTGGAAGTCAGGTTATCAAACCAAATGACACTCTATTTAAGACATGATCGTTGAGCTTCAAGTTTGTGTTTTGGCCTTTGCTAATATTAATAACACTTATTGAAACATGTTGTGGACGCTGTTTGTTGCGTGGTTTTGACTATTAAAAAAGATCTAAAACAATACAAAAACAGCTTTTCCTTTTTTAAGTATTTTACTGTGGAGAAGCCATCACCAACAATACTGGTGGTGGTGGTGCACCACCTGCATTGTTTGTGGCATCTTGCTTGTAATATAGTGTTGGACAACTGTCCGCTATTCATCTCAACAGTGCCTTAAATCACACACTTAATACTTGGTACCAATAATTTCAAACAATAAAAATTCTTCGTGTGATGATGACGGTGACGGTACTGAGAGGAGTTAAGGGTGCAATCAATACTAACAGCGCAATATGGCACCACCCATGGAAATATTTAAAAATCATATTGCTTTGTATTTATTGGGTAGTAATTTTAAATAGTAATCATCATGTACAATGTACAGCAACATACAAATCGAAGGTAATTGTGGGAATGACATCATTGAGTCCTTTGAACAATGTGTCAATCTCAAGTAATTATGTGATTCCCGGAAATATTTATTTAGATAGTACTGCTGGAGTAATGTACACGACCGAAGATGCAAAAATTAGAAAGATTACTCTTTCATCGGGTATTATTTCAACACTTGTAGGTTTTCTAGAAGTTTTTAATGGTTGTTAATTTATGTGTAAAAAACAAAAGGTTGGAAGTGGTAGATTTGGAACAACATATACAACTGATCCTACGACGACTCAAATGCATATGCCAAAAAGCTTAACACTATGGAAAACACACTTAATTTGGATTGATGGATATGTGAGAATTAGAAAATTGGATTCATCCACTAATCAAGTTTCGGTAATTTTTGGTGCAGGAAATGGAAACTCTGACAATACTGTTACAAATCCTCTCTTGGTTCGATGTGGTTCTTCTTTGTCAATAACTGTAGATCCTTCAGATAATATTTATTTTGCAGATTTTGGTAAGTATTAATTCTTTGAAGTTACTTGACATTGGAAAAGATAATGTGATGGTAAGAAAAATTGACGGGACTACCAATGTAGCTAGTGTTTACAATTATTACCCTAGTGGTTTATTGGGTTATCCAGTTCAAATCAAATATTGTAATGGAGGCCTTTATGTATATGTAAATGATAACGTTAATTTCTATATTCAAAAATTGACGGAAAGTGATGGAACTGTTTATGCAAGCGTAGAGGTTGGAGGTGGTTCATCAAAAAGTACAGGTATTTCTGGAACTTCCTATCAAATGGATGCCACTAACTATGTTACCAAGATGGACTGTTACAATAATGAGCTTTATTGGAATGCGTACGATTATAGCATTAGAAAACTAACAACTGGTGGAATTGTGGAACAGGTTTTGGGAAATGGATATAGAGGTGAGTCAGAAGATGGAACCATTACATCATCTTCAATAATTGGTTACATTGAATACTTAACTATTGATCAGGCGAATGGTGATCTTTACTTTGCTGAAAATAATTACAACATTAGAAAACTTGTTGGAACTACTTTGTCTTCATTTTTGCATTATAGAAATGTATTGAATGAAGGAAATCCAAAAACTCTTCCATTAGTTACAAAGGCAATTGCTTTATACAGTGATGGAATTTATTTGGCTGAACCAAACAGTATTAAGTTTTACAATTTAACAAGTTCAACAATTAAGCATTTTGCGGGATATTTTTATCTTCCATATAACAACAAAGCCCCAATAGGATCTTTAAATATTGGAGGTTCTTATGTGACTGCTAGATATTCTAGCATTCTATCTATGACATGCACTCCAACAGGAGATATCTATTTGAGTGAGTATTATATGAATTTTCATTCAAAATTGATTTAATAGTTGATAATCATTATCCTGGATTTTTTATCAAATTACTGTCAAAGAGCACGGGTTTAGTTACAATAGTAGCTGGCACAGCTTCTGCATTAGAGTGTGTTAATGGAAATACTCCAACTGCTTGTGCTATTACTGTAAGTATTTTTCTCTCATTTATTGTTTCCAATTTTATTCTAGAATGCCAAAAATATACAATATTACAATGGTGAGGTCTATTTTGCAACAGATATCTACATTTACAAAATCAGCTCATCAACTGGAAAGATTGAGATTGTTTTAGGAGGCGGTACTTTCACTTCTGATGGTGCATCTTCATCAGCAAATATTGCAACGCTTGGTACGTTAATTGTCATTCTCTTTCATTTAATTCTTTTATAGGTGCTTTTACGATACGACCATCAGATGGAAAGATATATTACTTTCAACAAATCGGTTTTACGTTTTATCTCAAAGTTTTCTCTACTTCAACAGTTACAACACTTTTTACTGTAAGTGTTGATTGAACTATTTAATCTAACTTAATTAAGACCTCTTCTGTTCCTCTTGTCCCATTCAGTCTTTATGTAAACGACAACGGTTATGTGTACTACACTGATAGTATGACTAATACTGTTAAACTTTTCACACCTACAACAGCTAATGCTAACACTGGTACACTTACGTCATATGCTGGTAATAGTTTTGGAACATATAATGATGGAGAAACTCTGGCTAATACCAAGTTCACTACACTTGTAGGTTTGACTTTTTCCAACGATAACAACTTGATGTTTGTTGCAGACGATAAACTCAGAATAATTTACAAGGAGTGTGATGCAAATTATGGTGGAGATTATTGTAATCTACCCTATTGTTACTCGATTAGATCTGATGACTCCACTGTTTGTAATTCTAATGGAAATTGTACAGATGTTAACAATTGTTTGTGTTCAAATGGTTTCTCAGGTGCTAATTGTTCTTCTTGGACTTGTAATGGATATTCAAATTCTCTTACAACTGGCTGTTCTTATCATGGTACTTGTACATCATATAACACTTGTAATTGCTCATCTAATTATTATGGATCTAATTGCTCAATTACAACATGTAATGATATTTATTCTAATTCAAGTGAAGTTTGTTTAGGAAGAGGTATATGTGCTCAAGTAGACGATTGCCATTGTGAATTTGGTTTTACAGGCAATAATTGCCAAAATTACAACTGCTCTGGAATTGCTTTTGACAATTCCAGTGTCTGCTCTTCCAGAGGATTGTGTTTATCTCCAAATAATTGTTCTTGTCAAAGTGGGTTTTTTGGAAATGAGTGTCAACACTATAATTGTTATGGAATTCTCGCTAATTCGTCTCAAGTTTGTTCCTCAAGTGGTGTATGTTCATCTCCAAATAATTGCACCTGTAATGATGGTTACACTGGTGATGAATGTCACTTGACTTCCTGTTATGGCGTTTCTTCCAATAATTCAAAGGTTTGTTCAGGTCATGGAGGTTGCAGCTTTTATAATAATTGTATCTGTGAAAGTGGATATTTTGGAAATGATTGCTTCTTCTATAATTGTTTTGGTATTCTGAATACCAATAGTTCAGTATGTTCTGGAAATGGTAACTGTACAATGCATGATACATGTGAGTGCAAAGAGAGTTTCACTGGATTAAGTTGTAATGTTACAATACCACAAAATAGTCCAATTATTAGTAATATTTCTTTTGGTAACATTACTTTTAATAATACTTCTATGAATGAAACATCTTACTTTAACGAAACTCTCATGAGCAACATATCAATGACTAATGGCAGTTCAAATTATATTTCTTTGAGTAATAATACTGTAAATACCACTTCCTTAAATGATACAGAGTACTTTAATGAAACCAAAATGAACCCTAGCAACATATCAATAACCAACAGTAGTTTAAACTATACTTCTTTAAATGATACTGCAAATTTCAATGAAACCAAAATGAACAATGACTCTTCTCATAACTCAACTTCTAACACTAATGAAACGGATGTAAATTCTCCCCTCCTTCAACAAAATACATCCACTATCAACAATACCATTCTTAACAATAACGTCTCTGCTGAGTCCTCCCAAATTTATTTACTGGTTTCGTGTTTTGGTATTCTGAATACCAATAGTTCTGTCTGCTCAGGAAATGGTAATTGTTCAATGAATGATACATGTGAGTGCAAAGAGAGTTTCACTGGATTAAGTTGTAATGTTACAATACCACAAAATAGTCCAATTATTAGTAATATTTCTTTTGGTAACATTACTTTTAATAATACTTCTATGAATGAAACATCTTACTTTAACGAAACTATAATGAGCAACATATCAATGACTAATGGCAGTTCAAATTATACTTCCGAAAACTCAACTTTCACCGTTAACGAAACAGATGTAAATTCGTCTCCACAAAATACGTCAACAATCATCAACAACACCAACCCAACAACTTCTAACACATCTTCTGTTATGCAAAACAGCACATGCTATGGAACCAATTCTACTCTGGTCTGTAGTGGAAATGGAAAATGTTTAACTAACCAACAGTGCTCTTGTGACTATGGATACGCAGGTGATGTATGTGAATTGAATACGTGTTTTGGAATTCCTTCTTCTGATAGAGTATGTAATGGAAGAGGTGTTTGTTCAAATATCAATACTTGTGAATGTTTTTCTAGAATTGGAGTCAAGATTATGGGAGATGAATGTGAAACTTTGCTTTGCAGAGGAGTTTATAATGGTGTGGGGTATTTCTTTTCAGATATAGACTCAAGAGTTTGTTCAAACCATGGAAAGTGCTTTATTGATTTAAATAATTCTTCAGGCTGTTTTTGTGATTATGGTTATTATGGAGATTCGTGCAATAAGTATGATTGTTTCTCGGAGTCAAGCACTAGTGAAAATGTTTGCTCTGGACATGGAACATGTGAAAGTCCTGATACTTGTCAATGCTTAAATGATGACACAAATGGACATTTTGCAGGACCAAACTGTAATACATGTCATTCGGCATTTTCTGGATCATCTTGTAAAGACAAGACATGTACTGCTTCAACATGTTTGAATGGAGGTTCATGTGGAAATGAAAACCAGTGTGTTTGTACCAGTAATTTTACAGGACTGATTTGTGAGGATTGTAAATTAGACCATTATGGGTTAAATTGTAATGTCTATTGTAATTATGAAACTACGTGTAATGGACATGGATTTTGTGATATGTTGAATGGAACCTGTTTATGCTTTTCAAGCAGAGAAAATGGATATTGGAATGGAACAAGTTGTAATTCATGCCTTGTAGACTATTATGGCAGTGATTGTTTAACTCGTTTTGATTCCTTCAATTCAACTTATTCTTCAGCATTATTTGGACAAATTTCAAAATATTTTGATGGAATATCATTCAAGTTATTTGGGCCTTCTTATTCACATAACAGCATTTCATGTTCCAAATTAATTCACCCCAATGATTTTTCACTATTTGGTGTAGAACCAAAATGTTATTGGACAGATAAATTGAATGGTGTATTCAAAATAGAATTTGATAATGATTTTACATTTGACATCACTAAGGTATTGAGTATCCGATTGAATACAAATGTATTCTCCAATACCTTGATTGATTATGGGTACATTAGAATGTATTTGATTCTGTCTGACAATATTCAAGCACCAACAGCAAATATCAAAACCTCAAAAAAACTTTATTCCACGTCTGAGAATATTTATCTTAGTGCTAGTAACAGTTTTTCAGGAGATAAGAAAGGATTAGAATATTATTGGAGTATTAATGGACAAAATGTACCAATGAATGTTTTACAATCAACAATGTCAACAAAGGATCAAATTCTAAAAATTGAAAAAGATCAATTAACCAGTGGAACTTTCGTTATTTCATTATTTGTCAAAAGCCAAGTAAGCAAATTGTCGAGCTCAACTGAGTCAATCACTATTCAAGTTCAAGATGTTGAATTTCCCTCTGTTGTAATTTTAAATAAGGAAATTTCAGTGAAATCAATAGACAAATATATAACAATCAAAAAGACAACCTCTATTCCAATATCTTTGAAAGAAAAGGAAATGAAAATAGAATGGCAACAAATAGAAGGACCAACATCCATCAAATTCAAAAAAGACTCTTACAATAATTTAGTTATTGAACAATTATCAATTGGAAAATGGAAATATGTTTTCAAAGTTTCAATATTTGTTGTTGAAAATCCAACATTAACCTCTAACGACTTCGTTGTAATCAATGCAGATCAACCAAAACTTTCACTATCATTATCATTGAAACAATCAACAAGAATATCTAATTCTATTCAGGTGAATTTTCAAGATCCTGAAAACAATTTAGATGAATACGAGCGTTGGAAGTGGACATGTATTGATGTTGCCACGGTTGGATATTGTGGTGATACAATTTATCAAAATCTTGCTTTGAATTCAAAGAATCGCTCCACAATTATTAATCTTTCACAACAAGATTTTCCATCCTATGTCATGAGCCCAACACTTACATTGTTCATTATGAAGGGAGATAGAAGCGTTTATAGCTCGTTAAATTTAAATATTCAACATTCACCTCCAATAATCAGTGTTATTAGTATTTCACCAAATTTGAGAAATATTGTAACCAATGATGATAAAATATCAATTGAAATGAAACATCAAGATCAAGATCCCTCCAATTCATCACTCGTAATTAAAACTCAATGGAAAATTGATAACTTTTTGGTATCTGAAAGTAATACCAAAAAAGTGAATGGAAATGAATTTGAAACAACTAGCTCCACAATCACAACACCTTTTAAGCATCTTAAGAGTTTAAATAAGAATAAGTATAGCTCGTTAGTTATTGACTCAAAAGAACTAGAAGAAGGAACTGATCATTCAATTGAGGTCAAAGTTTCCTTTGTGGATAGTTATACCAATCAAGAAATGGCCGCCACTTCAAATGTGAACAGTTTCACAAAAGCCTTACCTCCAAGAAAGTGTCCATGTACCATTTCACCAACAACTGGTGTTTCAATGAAGACTGATTTTACATTCAGTTGTGATAATTGTCAGAATGAAGATAATACAATTGAAATCAAACAAGGATACATTGATCAAGAAACTGGAATTAAGGTTTATTTACCATTGTCATTGGATGGTTCCGTTAACATTCCATCTTCCTCTTCTGCTACATCTTCTACCAAAAGAAGATTGGATGATCATTCTGTTCAATTATTTGTTGAACTGGGTGACAAATCAACAGGAGAATCCAGAGTAATGTATTCGAATATCACTGTACTACCTCCAAGCCCACCACATCCAACTTTATCTGAAATTTTAAATCTTGTTTCAAATCAAACAAGTAAGATCATGTCTACTTCAATTCAAGATGGTAATACAGCAGTTAGTATTGCAGATACTCTTACTTGTATTGTGTCAACAAGTCAATTATTACAAACACTACCAAGTACTGATAAGGAAACAAGTACTGTCACTCAAGTTCAATCTAAATTATTAGATACATTATCTAGTTCATTGCAAACAACTGGATCTGATAGTGTTTCAAGTTCCACAACGTCAATGGCCGTTCTAGCACTGCATTCCGTTGTGAAGAACGAACAAGTAATTGAAAAACCAGTTATTCAAAAATCAATTACCATTCTAAATAATGTTATTCAATTGACACTTAAAAGTAAGGTTGATATTTTCACACAAACATCAAAACCGCTATTAGCAATTGTTGGAAAGTTAAGTGACCAAGTTGCTAAATTTACCCACTTGAAAGAGGAATTTATAAGATACGAGGAAATAGCATCAACGGCTGAGATGATAACCCTGTCCTATGTTTCTGTTCAACCAGTGAGTGGTGATCCAGCAGCAATTCATGAGAGTGTTGTTAATGCCAAGGCTGACAAAATGTACTTGACTGATTTTTCAAATGTAATTATATCATCAGCGCCAACAAGCAATTCTAAAAAGAGAGTGAATATTTATCAATCTTTTGTGAATATTCCACCAATGAAAGTTACAGAAAGTAATGAATTTGCAGAATTGACCTATTCCTACATTGTTAAAGAGCATGTTCCATCGATTTATCAAAAAATTTTACAACAAGAATCAAATAACTCTACCAATGGAACAAGGTTTGATGTAATTTCATCTGTGAGTGCTTCATTAGCAATTTCATCTCCTCATGCTCACATGATTGAATTTTCTCAAAATTTGACAATTTATATTCATGTCAATGATGAAGATTTCTCCACAGCGTCATTGACAGAATATGCATGTGTATTAGTCAATTCAAATTTGGAAAGCGATTTTGAAAATTGTACCATTTCAGGACGTGACAAGGCAACTGAGTCAATTGCTTGTAATTGTCGATTCATTGATCTACATGTTTCTAATGTAATAATTCTCAAAAACAATAAGCAAAAAATAGTACTACAGAACAAACAAGAAGAAGGTCTAGATGATGATGTGTTGGTGATTATAATTGTTGCAATTGTTTCATGTGTTGGATTGTCTATTCTGTCAATTTCAATGGTAATGGGAATTTTTGCTTGTTATATGAAGAAGAAATCTAAAAAGATTTATCCTTACGAAAGAAAGGAATTAATTTCACACAATATTGAACAACCTACCAAACCTTATGATAATTCATTGATTTCAACATCTTCCATTTCTTTACTTTAGATTATTCCAATCATCAAGATGTATGTAACATTGCAAATTAATAAAAACAAAATTGAGAACAAGTAATTATACTAATGGATACTAAAGCTCAGGGACTGTTTCACCTTTAAGGTGATTCAGTCTTGAGACCTGCATTAATGGATATAAATCTTTATTAGCAGGTCCCGAGAATAATAAATATGGCTCTTATAAAAAAACTTATGTTGTGTCTATTAATAATTATCGCACGATGAGCTGTGCCAATTTTATTCCTTTCCATTAATAGGATATTTCTCAAGATTTCAAAATCTCGAATACACCATAAAACAGCAAACAATGAATAGAGTACCGACTATGTATTGCTTACATCCTACCTATATACTTTTCATCATAGGAGACAATGTAGGTGATGTGAAATTTAATTAAAATCAGAAATATCAAAATCTTCATGATTTCAACGAAACACGACGAAATAATTGGCACGGTACATCTACAATAGTACTAATAAAAGTTTATTAATGTTTCAAGATGATTGACTGTGTACTTTTGGCATGAATCATGATTGGTGACCATGAATAACCCGAAGTTGACAAAAACACAAAATGATGAAAATTGAAAGTTTTCCAAATTATCATGTGAATCTGGCAGTGATGATGATTTTAGTGAAAATATTGAATTTCACTAAAATATTACTATTATCAGATTTATTTCCACAAATATTACTATTATAATGATGATAAATAACAATGATGATGGTTGGTAGTTGTTCCGATGATCATGTACCAACTTGGATTTTTCCAAATAATAAAATTATGAAGGAAAAATAAAATTATTTCCAAATCATGATGAAAGATTAAATTCCAAAAATTACTATTAATACTATTATTTAAATCATGATGAGATGATGTGGTGAAATTCTTGGAGTTAATAGATGTGAAACTACTCCAAAAATCAATAGAGTTGTGATGTACCTGATCAACATATTTTTAAAAAAAATAGAGACAGTTGACAAAACAAAAAAACAACAACAAGCTCATCACCACCTGCTAAATAATTATTTATGATGAAGACCTCCATTTGCTTCCCATTACTACATTCAAACCACAACATGGCTGTACATTATAGTAAAGGTTCATGTTCAACTACTACTTTGTTGCTAGAAGAACAAGATGTGGCTGAAGGTGTTGAACGCCTGTCTCCTCTTGTTCTAAACCTTCGGCTCGACTTCATGCCACCAGTGTTGATTAATAACATTTACTGTCCAAATATAAAGTGGTGTACTTTGTCAGGAGCGTATGGACTGAAAAGGAAATGCAGAATCGAGATAATGTTTATATTATATAAACTGAACCTTAAAAAAATGGCCACGTTCATTCAAGAAAAACAAATGGCTGTTTCTAAGGGTGCACAAAAATCATCAATAATTTCAACCATGATGATGATAATTTTTGTATGCCTATTATTTCTCGCTAACTCGATAAGGGGAATTGACTTTGAGGTTGCGCCTTATTACAAAGTAACAACTTTATTGAGAGAAGCCGATAAAGTTGAGTGTGTTCGTTTTGGTCCGAAGGGTATATATTATTCCAAGCCATACCAAATAGTTTTATACTCTTTGGACAGTTCTTCAATGTATGTAACTCAAGGAGCTGGCAATTTTGGCACTGGAGAAAGAGGCGACACTAATGGTGCTAGATACTGGCGTGATATTACAGGAACATATTCATTAAAATCCAAGATTGATTACCCTTACAAGTTTGCCTTCCATGCTGGAAGATCCAAAACTTACTTTGCACTGGCTAATCATCAAGTAAAGCTAGACACTGACGATGTTATTTCTCCATTCATTGGTAAACCAAATGTAACAGGTAATGCGGAAGGAGATCCTACTTCTGAGTGTCTGTTGAATGATCCTCAAGGAGTTGACGTTTCATTTGATGGTGATTTTGTGTATGTGGCTGATACTGGTAACAATCTTATCAAGTATACTTCATACAAAGATGGTGTATTCGTCATTAGTAATCTTGCTGGTACTGGTAACACAACAAGTTTAGTTGACGGTGTCAATGCTTTACAGGTTGACCTTAATAGACCTGTTTCTGTAAGGTTTTCCAAAAAAACAGGTGAGATTTATATTGCAGAAAAGGGAAATCATGTTATTAGAAAAGTTAGAAAAGACAATATTGCTTCTGTAGCGGTTGGTTCAATTGGTATCTCAGGTTATAACGGAGATTTTAAGAGTTCTTTGGATTCATTTTTGAGTGAACCAAGTGATATTGCGATTTCCACTAGTGGTGTTATATATATTGCTGATTCTGGTAATAATCGAGTCAGAAAAGTTTATCAAAATGGTATGTTGGTTTTCCTCTATTCAGTTTTTACCTTGGGAATGATATATAGGAACAATAACAACTGTATGCGGAAATGGAATGAACATGTATGGAGGCGATTCACTTGATTCTAGAAGAACAGCAATAGGAGGTGTAAATTCTGTTGATGTTAATGAAAATGGAGAATTAGTTATTTCTCACATGAATTATATTCGTAAATTGACTCCTATTTGTTATAATGGTTATGTATTCAATTCTGAAACTCATTTGTGTAATCCGTATTTCCAGTGTTTTGGAAAGAAACATACTGAACCATATGTGTGCTCTGGAAGAGGATCTTGTATTAACCATAATTGTATTTGCAAAGAAGGATTTGAAGGAGAAAAATGTGAAACTATATCAAAGGTTTTCAATGTGAAACGATTGTTGGTTTCTGGAGAAGTAACAAATCTACCACCATCAATTTTAGCAGCAAATATGAAACATCTTCAAGTGAGCAATACTGGCGACATGATTGTCCTTACACAAGATGGAATCCTTGGAAGACTTGTTGGAAACTCACTGGTTAAAGTTTCTCAATCTAGTCTGGCATTGTTCTACCTGGAAGAAGATGGTTCAATACTTACAACATCTACTACTTCAATTATCAAGATTGGTATTGATGGAGCTATATTATCTCTTGTAAAAACAACTAATTTCTATGATGTAGATGGCGTCTCACCAACAAATATTAATATTGGCGCATTTAGTTGTATTACACAAGATCAAGTTTCAAAAGTCTACTATGTTACAGAATATTACTCAAATGTTTTTGCAAAAGTTGAAAATGGGAAGTTAGCTTTACTGATTAGTAATACAAAAGGATTTGCAGATGGCTTAAAAAATGTTGCCAGATCTACCTCTCCTAAATTTGTTTATGCATATGGAGGCACAGTCATATTTTCAGATTATAACAGAATAAGAATGTGGAAAGATTACACAACCACAACAATTGCAGGTAATGGTATCGAAGGATACAACGGAAATAATGTACCAAAATTGGCCTGTTCTTTTGGTGAAATTGTTGGGTTTCATGTAGTTAGAAAATCAGCAACAGTGTTTTGGATTTACGTTTCTGACAGTTATTCTAGAACAATCAGATTAATCAAAACCAATGAAAATAATGTAACTATAATTGCTGGATCCCCTGGGACCGGCAAATACATGAATTTTGAGGATAACCCCAAGAAGGCCATTTTTTCATTACCTATTGGTTTATCGATGGTCAATGACACTTTATATTTCATTGACCAAGGAAGTAGTAGAATTATGAGTCTTTCACCTGATGGTACTAAACTGACAACCATTGCAGGCGGAAGAGGTGTTTTAAACGTTGGAGAAAATCTAGACCAACGGTTTTCTTATTTTGGTCCATCCCCTACAGGAATTTATCTTAAAGAATCACCAACAAGGGAATTATTAATTAGTGATAGTAATATTGGCAGAATAAGAAAAAGCATTTTTGAAAACAATCTTTGGGGTAATGTGACTACACTTGCTGGTACTTCAACCAGTGAATTGCCAGTTGATAAAGGAATGGATGGTGACTGTTTAACTTGCGCCTTCCTAAGACCTTCAAAAATACGATTCGGGGGAAATGAAACTCTACTTGTATCAGAATCGATTAATACTGTCAAACTTATCAATGTTGGGCAGGGATCAGTTAGAACACTTGTTGGAACTCCTTACACTAATCCTCTACAAAATCCATCTCTTGTAACTGTCAATACGTCAGCAATAGGATTCCAGATAGATGGGTTACGGGATGCTATTCTTGTTGGAGATGAACTGGTTTTTGCTGAAAAATCCAGAATTCTTAAGGTCAATTCACAAGGTTTAATAGAAATTGTTGCTGGTGATGGAAATGGTTATTCATGTAATTTTGGTAATTACATGTCGGCCAAAATGGCAAAGTTTGGCAATAATGCTGTGGGAACAAAATTGGTAACCTCTCTCGATTATTACGATGGAGAGATTTATATTTTAGAAGAATACGCTCTCAGAAAAGTTAATTCCAAAGGAATAATGATACCAATAATTAGTGGGCAAGGAACAACGTCTTGGTCGAATGGAGTTAGAAAATTGCCATTACAAGATGCATCAATTCCTGCATGTAGTTTTATGAAAGTTGTTAATGAAAATGAGATTTATATTCTCAGTACTGCAGGACAGTTGTATATTGTAAGAAATGGAACTGTTGAGAGACCTATTATAACTAAAGATTTATCTTTTATGGGCCCAGTATATTCCCAATTCTATAGCACAAGCGATGGAGAATTTTACATGTTGACTGCAAATACGGTTGAATTAGGTAAAATGAGTTGTCCTTCATTTTCCAAACAAAATGAAAATGATACATGTGAAAATATGATAACTTGTTTTGGTTTAAAGTCAACAGATCAAAATGTTTGTTCAACGAATGGTAAATGTTCAGCTTTGGATACATGTATCTGTAATTTTGGTTGGAGTGGTGTTAAATGTAATGAATCAACTGCTCAATTGGTGATTCAAAGCCTGAACCCAAACAGAGTTACCACTGATGATGGACTTGATATTGGTTTCAAAACCTCCTCTTCTCCATTGACAAATTTAAAAGTTGATACAAAAACAGGAATTGTTTATTTGCTTTCTGGAGGAAAAACCATTTCTCTCAACGGCAAAACAAATGATTGGGTTAGATCCAGTGATACAACATCAAAATCTATGATTATTTCTAAAACAACAGGTTACTTCTATTTTTTAAGAGAATCTTGCATCTACCAAAGGGGAGCAACTCCTTATCCATATTATTATTCTGGAAATTGCTACACTAAGGGTTCAGTTCTTGGAACTATTTCAACCGCATCATATAACAACTTGGAAGATGGTGACTCTGGGGAGGATGGTAGTTTGTATATAGTTGATAGTGGAAATCACGTTGTAAGATTAATATCAGAAGGAGTAATGTCAACCTTTTGTGGTAGTTTTGGTGTTTCTGGTTTATTTATCAACTCTAATTCCTCAACCAAAACTTTTTTGAAATCACCAAGGGCCATCAAAGTCACCTCAAACGGGGTTTACATTGCTGATAGTGGAAATTACAGAATTCTTTTTATTGATAAATCTGGACATGTCCAAAAAATTGCAGGGTCATCAAATGGTACATCAAATGGGGATGGAAAAGCAACTCTGACAAATATTTTCCCTTCTAATTCATTGGATTATTCAGAGAGTCGCCAAGAACTGTACTTTATAGATAATAATAGAGATGAGATGAATTCAGGGAGTGTAAAAGTAAGAAAGATTACCAAAGATGGATATGTTGAAACGTTGTTTGGTTATTACGAGAGGGATCCATATTCAAACTTAACAGTTCCAATGACCATCACACTGGAAAAGGATACCAGTTTCTATGCAGCAAATTCTTTGGCTGTTTCAGGTGATTACTTGTATTTAACATTTGATTCTGTGAAATTGATTGCAAAAGTTTCACTTTCCACAAATACCTTGTATGTGGTTTCCAAAATAGGTTCAGTCCTGAATGGTGATGGCTTTCATGTCGGTTTTACCACCTTCCAACACCCAAGTGCACCATATTTCCATAGTATTACTCGTACTTTGTATTGGGTTGAAATGTCCTCAATAAGAATGATGAGAGATAACAAAGTTTACACCGTGGTTGGCCTTAATTCAAACATTCCTTCCTTTGGAAAGATGAAACCATTGTGGAAAGATATTTCTCCAAAAGGAATTGCACTTTCATCAACTGGAGAGTTATATTTTTCTGATGGACAGCATGTCATTTATAAGATTCTAAATTCAAGATCTGATATTGAAATTGTTTGGGGAAAGAAAGGTGTTTATGGAAGTGCTGACACTCTTCTAGAAAATCCAACTGCTATTTTTATTAATTCCAAAGATGAACTGTATATTGCTGATTCATACAGAATAATCAAGTTTGACATCACCTCCAAGAAAATTACTAAAATAGTGAGTAAGAGTGATGTATATTTTGGTATATGTTCATCAGTGATAGAACTTTCAACAGGAGAAATAGTCTATGTGGATTCTTATTTTAAAAAAGTTAGAATGATTCTCAACAATGGTACAAATATTATAATCGCTGGTGGTGGTTTAAAAACAGGTGTTTCGAATGGTGATCTTGCAACAAAACTACTTTTCACCACTCCTGTTTCAGTTCAAGAAATCAACACAGGAGTATTACTTTTGCTGGAGCAAAACTCTTTGATCAAGATGACTTGGTCTCCATCTAGAAATGGTTATATTTGTTCAATAATTGCTGGAAAGGGCTTATATAGTATGACTGCCTCAGGAAATGGTGGTCTTGCGATAAATGCTGTTATCTATAATTTTGCTATGAGTTACAATACATTTACGAAAGAGGTTTATCTTCTTGACAATGTTGAGTCAAGAATTATCACTCCGTACTGTCCAGAAGGGTTCACTTTTAATATTTCAAATGAGACATGTCAGCCAGTTGATATGTGTTTTGGTTTTAATTCAAATGACAACAGAGCGTGTTCTGGAAGAGGTGAGTGCGTTGGTCTTGATGCATGTAATTGTTTTGGAGGTTACAGTGGAATCAAGTGTGAAATAATGTGTCACAAAACATGTGAAGGAACTGTTGTGGACGCATCATTCATGTTAACGGAATTCTCAACTGATTTTAGCAAACCTGGCAATTTGGTGGTAGATTCTGAGTACATTTATGTTTCTGATTCTGAAGACAATGTAGTTAAACGTTTTGATAAGGGTGGATATTCTTCAATTTATTGTGGAATTGAAGGACAAAGTGGCAACCAAGGAAATGGTTTACCAGGAACTGAAGCCACACTAAATTCACCTCTAGGTTTAAGTGTATACAATAATGAACTATTTATTGCTGATTTTAACAATAGTGTCATCAGAAAGGTTGACGCTTTTGGGTTTGTTGATGTTGCATTCAATACAACAGAAAAACCTCTCAACATTATTGCCAGGGGCGAAAACGTATTTTACTATACAGATTCCACTTCATTGTACATGATTAACCAATCAGTTATTAGTACCATTGCAACAGGATTTGATAGTCCTTATGGATTGTTCTATTATTCAAATACGTCCAACATGGAGGAAAGTTTACTAGTTGCAGATACCAATAATAACTCAATCAAGAAGGTATCTCTCTCTGATAGACAAGTTACCATAATTCTTTCTAATTTGAATTCTCCTAAAGGACTATTCATTGATTCTTTTGGTGATCTTTATATTGCTGACAGTGGATCAAACCAAATTTTAAAGTATTCAGGAGGTGTTTTGAAGGTAATTGCAGGAACATCCAATTCCTCAATGAATGGTACAGATGGTGCAATCAATTCACTTCAAGCAATTCTGCACTCTCCTAGTGATCTTATTGTAACAGATGAAGGAATTATTTATTTCACCGATTCACAAGGATATGCCGTGAAAACTCTCACTCCTGTTTGTGATAAAATTTCCATGTATGATCCAATTTTAAGAAAGTGTTTCCGACCTCTACTTTGTTTCAATTTTGGTATTGATGATAAGAGAGCTTGTAGCTCTAATGGTCAATGTGTTGCAGAGAATACCTGTAATTGTAATGATAATTGGGGAGGGGATGATTGTTCCATTCCATCATGTTTCAACATTTCTGCTTCAAGTACCACTACGGTTTGTTCTGGACATGGTTTGTGTATTGATCATAATACTTGTCGATGTGATACTGGTTGGTCTGGTGCTGACTGTTCAATTGCATCATGTTATGGTATCAAGGGTGATAACAGTTCAGTATGTTACGGAAATGGCCAGTGTGTCGGTTTTAATCAATGTTCTTGTAATAATGGATGGTCTGATTTCGATTGTTTGACACCTTCGTGCTTTGGCTTGACCTATGATTTGGATTCTTCATGTTCTGGAAATGGCAAATGTATTTCTAATGATACTTGTGAATGTTATTTAGGTTATCAAGGTCCTGATTGCTCTACAGTGTCAGTCGATCCATTCCAAGTATACAATCCAGTACTAACTGTTAAGACTATTGGTTCTTTGAACAAACCAAAAGGAGTTACAGTATCTTCGAGTGGTGATATTTATTTCAGCGATACTAGCAACAATAAGTTGAAGAAGATATTACAATCTGATTGGTCTGTATCTCTTATTGCTGGAACTGGTACTGGTTCGTTTTCAGGTGATGGATCTTCACCAACAGCAGCCACTATTAATAATCCTATTGGTTTGGATATTACAGAAAACGGAGAAGTTTATTTTGCTGATTCAAATAACAATAGAGTTAGAAAATGTAGTTATGATGGTAAATTAATCTCGACAGTGGTCCAAGTTACATCTCCTCAACAAGTCAAAATTGACGAATACAATAATCGATTGTGGATTGTTGCTTCTGGAGGAGTTTACATGTATGATTTGAATATTGCAAATATGACCCTTGTATACAGTAATGATCTCAATACTCCATTCGGAATTGATATTGGATATCAAGGTAAAATAGTGTACATTACAGACAAATCAAATCATGTTATTAGAAAGCTCGCAAAAAGAGGTAATTCATATGTTCAATCTATTTATTTTGGAAGTAAGGGAGTAACTGGAACCTACTCATCAACATCTAATATGAATAACCCAATGGGTATATCAGTAACTAATGGTAATAGTATTATATTTTCTGATTCCTCTAATCATGTAATTAAACTGATTTCTCATGGAGTTAACAAGACAACATCAGTTATTGTTGGTACTGGATCTTCATCAGGTTATTCAGCAACAGAAACTAAACCTCTTTCCATGGCTCTAAATACTCCCGGTGATGTATTTGTGAATGAGAAAGGAATTTATATTGCTGATACCAATGACAACGCCATTAGAATTATTAAGATTTCATGTCCATACACTAACTATGTTTTCAATTATTATACTTCCAAGTGTGAATTTGATACCAGAATTTCTTGTAATAAGATTTCATTTTCTTCACCAAATGTTTGTAATGGTAAAGGTGTTTGTTATGGAGTTGATAAATGCAACTGTACAAGTGGGTGGAATGGTACTTTTTGTGAAATACCTATTTGTTTTGGAGTGTCCAATCCAAAACTAGCTTGTAGTTCAAATGGTCAATGTATTTCTAACAATACTTGTTCCTGTAATGATGGTTGGTTTGGATCTATTTGTCAAAATCCATCTTGTTTTGGAATTTCATATAATGATTCAAATACCTGTTCTGGAAATGGTCAATGTATTGCAAATAATACTTGCTCGTGTGATAATTTTTACGAAGGCAAAAATTGTTCTCTTCCAAAATGTTTTGGTATTAATTCAGACAGCTCATTGGTTTGTAGTGGAAATGGTTTATGCGTTAGCCCAGATACATGTAATTGTACTAGCGGTTATTTTGGAAATGATTGTTTTTACACAAATTGTTTTGGAATATTGTCAGGAGAAACTACTGTATGTTCCTCAAAAGGAAACTGTACTGCTCCAAATACTTGTTTTTGTGAAAAAGGGTATTATGGGAATCAGTGTCAAAACTTTACTTGTTTTGGAATTGACTCATTCAGCCCCAATGCTTGCTCATCTCGTGGAAGTTGTATTGACATCGATAAATGTAAATGTGGAGATGATTTTTATGGTTCTAATTGCACAGGGTTTGATTGCTTTGGTTATCCATCAACTAATCCAAATACTTGTTCTGGTAAGGGTGATTGTTTAAATCCAAACACTTGTATCTGTAATGATGGTTATGCAGGTGAAAGGTGTGAAATTGCTCGTTGTTTTGGAGTTTATGGAAATGAATCAAACGTATGTGATTCACATGGTGAGTGTGTATCCTTAGATAACTGTACATGTACATCACTTCATCATTATGGAGATAATTGCGATAGATTTGATTGTTTTGGAATTGAGAGTAGCAATTCAAGTGTTTGCTCTTCCCATGGAAATTGTACTTTCCTTGATATTTGTAATTGTTCGAAAGGTTACGAAGGTTTATCATGTTCTGAATTCAATTGTTTTGGAAAAAAGCCAATCGCTTCTGATATTTGTTCTGGAAATGGCATTTGTACTGGTCCAAATATATGTAATTGCAAAGATGGGTATTTTGGAGATGATTGTCAGATAACCAATTGTTATGGAATTCATAGTAATGAGTCTAGTGTATGTTCATCAAATGGTAGATGTATTTCTTTAGATTCTTGCTCTTGCTCTTTTGGATATTATGGAGAGATGTGTCAAGAATATGATTGTTTTGGAATGAAACACTCAAATACAAGTGTTTGTTCACAACATGGAACATGTCATTCTCCAAATAATTGCACTTGTAATGATGGATATCATGGTGCAGACTGTGATAGATTCAATTGTTTTGGAGTTTCTTCTTTCAATAGTTCAGTATGTTCATCAAGAGGTTACTGCAAATTACCAAATGTCTGTTCTTGCACTGGAACTTTTTATGGTGAAAATTGTGAACAATATGACTGTTTTGGAATCAATTATCAAAACTCAAATGTTTGTTCCTCACACGGTAAATGTATTGGGGCTGATGCTTGTCAGTGTTATGATGGATATATATCTAGTAATTGTTCTGTTCCTCTTTGCTTTGGTATTTCAGCTCTTAACTCGTCAGTTTGTAGAGGACATGGTTATTGTACTTCACCTAATAAGTGTGACTGCATTTCGAATCAAGATACAAAGTTTGATGGACAGGAATGTCAAAATCATTTCTGTAAGGAATACGATGGAACCTTAATAAGGTTTAACAATAATTCAGTTTGTAGTGGTTCTGGAGTTTGTAAGTTAAATCGAGTCATGAAGAGAAGCGAATGTGTATGTAGTGAAAATTATGGAGGAGAGTCTTGTGAAATGCCAAAATGTTTCGGTATTTTACAAAATGAGACAAGTGCTTGTAACAACAATGGATTTTGTTCAAGTGTAGATACTTGTGAATGTCATCATAATGATTTTTTTGGATATTGGAAGGGTTCTAATTGTACACAATGCCAAGTTCCATATTCTGGATCCAAATGTAATGTTATTAAGGAGTGCAATGCTTCTGTCTGTCATAACAATGGTATTTGTGACGAGTACATGACTTGCATTTGTAATTCTAATCAAACACATGGTTTCTGGAATGCAGAATTTTGTAACGTTTGTCAAGAAGGTTATTATGGAAAGGAGTGTTCCACGCAAATGCTTGGCCCTCTTAAATTAAGTGGAGAGGCATCATCCATGACATTCAAGATGAATGCTCCAATTTCATTTTCAAAGACAAGTGTTAACTGTACAAGATTTTTGAGGGAAGATTCTTATGAAACTGTTGGAGGATTGCAATCTATTTGTTCTTGGAATAATAGTATGATGAAAGTGACATTTGGTGCTTCATTTGATGTTAAATCAGGTAGAATTATTTATTTGAATAGATTGGTCTTTGATGAGAGCGGATATGATTACGAACCGATCAAATTGGAATATCCAGATACACCAATCCTTCCTACTGCCATTGTCGAATCAAACAAATTAGTTGGATCTTGCGACAGTATTATAATTGATGGAAGTAAGAGTTACTCTCCTGATTCTAAACCTCTTTCATTTTCTTGGAAAGTTGTTAATTCTCCAAATATTAATAGTTTGCAACACATTGTACAATCACAAACAAGATCTATTCTTTCCATTGATAGTAGCAATTGCTCTACAGGTGTTCACATTTTCGAGCTGATTGTAAAGAGTTCTATATTAGAATTACAAAGTATTCCACTAACAATTTCCATCACTAAGGCAGAAATTCCTCTACCAACTATTTCCATAGATGCACAAGCCTCCCCTCTCACAACTTCAAAGTTACCATACAAGATAATGAAAAGTACTGTTTTGCCTGATTGTGCTCAATCTTTGAGTATGATATATAATTGGAAGCTGGTGAGCGGTAGAAACGATATTGTTTTTGAGATGGATCAATTTAATAATTTAGTAATTATCAATTACTTCCTGGAAGATTCAAGTTATGAATTTGAATGTAGTGTATTTGTGGAAGGACATGCAGAAAATATTATTACTTCAAAAGTTTCCTTTAGTACCAAGATTAGTCCTTTATCTTCTGAAATCAGACTTGTTGAATTATCAACCAATTATACTATTATTCAATTATTGTTCAGGGATCCAGAAATTGTTAATGAAGAGGTTAATGTTGAATGGGAGTGTATTGATTTGGACACCAAACTGAATTGTTCATCGTCACTTCTTTCCCATCTTTCAACTTTACCTCTTAACTCTGAATTTTTAATATCTGGAAGTTTGTTATCAAATTACAACAACATATCCTTGAAATCTACTATCAAGAAGGGAAAGAGAATTTCCAATAGTGAACTCGTAGTAACCATTCCTCAAAAAACACTCCCTCCAATTATTTCACCTGTTTATCTGTCGCCAAGTAATTTAGCTCTAGGATCGAGTATTAATCTTCAATTTGGTGTAACTATCGATGGAAGTGATGACATTAGTTCAGCTATTAGTAGAAAATGGACTCTCAACAATGTTGTTATTGAAAAATCAGATAGTATGAGACTGGATCCATCTGAATCCAACTCCTTAATATTAGCAACTAATTCTTTTACAGAAGGGGCCACATACAAGATTGATTTCAAAGTGACTGACCAAAGAAATAATCAATTTTCAATCTATTCCTATTCTTTTTCAATCAAGATTTCTCCAAAGTGTACATGTACAATTAGTCCATCATCTGGTTATGCTCTCCAAACTCTTTTTACATTTGCATGTACTGATTGTAAAAATAATCAAGGACCTTTATCGTTCGAATATGGCTTCATAGATAGTCGTTACCAAACTAGAGTAACCTTATCAAAGAGTTCTAAATATTCGGCCGTTCTCCCATCCTCTTATCAAGGAAATACATTGAATCTGTATGCTGTTGTTAGTGACTCTGTAAGTCAATCATCAAGTTATTTGAGTGCAGAAGTTCTTGTACCTGTCATTGGTTCACTAGCTGAAGCAAAGAAGAAACAACTTCAATGGAAAACAACAGGTTCCTCACTCAAAGATGGTGATTATATGAAGAGTGTGTATAGCAATGATGTTATGACAAGTACTTTCACAAAGATGATTGCCTCTTTACTATCAGCAAGATCTGTTTGTAACGGAAAAGGAGTTCTAAATAATGGAAAATGTCAATGTGATAATGGGTATTCTTCATTTGATTGTAGATATACCACTTCTGATTATGTATCCATTCAAGAGAGTGTATTTGATTTATCTAACGATTTTAAAGAAACATTTGGTGTTTATCTAGATTCCAAAGATATTCTAAGCGAAAAGTTTGTTGCCAATATTATTTTCGGACTTGAAACTTTGACAAATCGTTTTGATTTCTTGAATGAGACATCTTTTGACATTATCTTATCAATTGTTGATCATTTATTGGAAGAACACGAAAAGTATTCATCAGTTCAAACATCCAATGGTGTAGATACGCTCTTACTCGATATTTTGGATCATTTATATTCTTTTACAGAATATTATGAGATTAAGGAACAATTAATGAGCAAATTAATTGAAATTTCCCAAAGACTCTCTTCACTTGAATCAAGAAAAATATTGGTCGGCCAACCTCCTTTAATTCTTTCCAATCAATTACAAACTTCAATTACCAACAAACATTTTAGAGAGGAATATTCAGGACTAGTAATTAGATATAATAATTATTCTACTATACTACCAGAGTCTTTCTCAAAGCATCTATCCAATCAGCCAAAGAGAGTACCAGTTACTTACAGTTGGTTTGCTCTTAAAGATCTTTCACAATTCATATTACCAGGAAATGCATCAAGAATTATCTCAAAATATGTTGTGAAATTCACATTGGAAAAGGTTAAATATTTGGAATTATTGAAAGAACCTGTGAAATTTGAAATACCACTCATTGAACCAATAGACATGAATTCTAATAAGTATTCCTGTATTGACTTTTCCAACATGACAATGCCAGTGGAAAGTGAGTGCCAATTTAAAGTGGAAAATGGAATAGCCTCTTGTTCTTGCTTAAACTACTCAAGTACCGTTGGAATAACATTCTTTGAACGCAGTCGAAGAGCTCCATCAATTCTTGCAGTTAAAACTGCACCACTTTGGGAATTATTCTCTCTACTCACAATTCCATTTGCAATAATTTTGGTTGGTTGTGCATTCACAATTAAAACGATTTTTAACAGAAAAATCAGCCTTGACAATAATCAATTCGAATTGAGAAACGTGGACAGCATGATTGTGACGGAATCAGCTTAATAAATATTACTGTATTCTCAAACATTCGAAATGTTCAAAAATAAGGGGTGTATTCCAACAGTGTGACGTAGTGGATTTCCAGACCTCTTTTTCAGGGTAGTTCAACTCCAGCTATTTTGATATGAGCTGATGAAATACCTTCTATCTCAATTAATTTGTCAGATATTGAAGTAATAAATTGTACAGAGAGAGAATATATCACTGGGAATCTATCTTCTTCTAATGAATGTTTCTCATCCCTTATTCGTTGAATATAATAGTAAAGTATCACAAATATTAAAGAACAATAGTGAAAATTACAGGAAAAGATAATTATCTGGTGGATGAATGACATGCTATTCGTGATGTTTCAGTGAGAAGACAATATCCACATCATGAGAAAAACAATAAAAACATGAAAATATCAGATATCCATGAATTTCACAAACTATGCTATAAGACTCGAAATTATACATTTAATAACATAATAAACATTATGAATTGTTGTTTTATTGTTGTTTGATTTGTAATTGGGCTATGAAACTCTGGTAACATCAAATATCAGAACTTGGTAAATTGACAACATGAAAATCTGATAATAAATATGATGTTTATTATCTATTTAAATAGTAGTACTAAAAGACATGATTCAAGTTGGTGAAGTACATGCTGAGTTATGGTCCATGTACTTTTTCAAAATTCACATGTACCTATCCCTATCATAAATTGCCCAAAATTGATAAGAGAAAGTTCTCCTACCTACTATTGACCATTCCGAACAATACTATATTGACAGTTTTCCAACTTGTTCAGTAGATCCATCAGTGATGATGAATTTAGTGAAAATTTTGACATTTCACCAAAATTATATTACTAAAAATTAATTTCCACAAATACTATTATTATATTGATGGCAAATAACATTGATGATGATTGGTGAATGATCCGATGATGATGTACCAACTTGTGATTTTCCATGATGAAAAATAAATTCCAATTTCATGATGATAATCCACCAATAAAAATTACTATTATTACTACTATATAGATCATGTTGAGATGATGATGTGAAAGTTTGGTTGTTTCATGATGTAAAACCACTCCGAAAATCATCAATGTTAAATATTTTTTAAACTTGGTTTTTGAGTAGAATGTTGAATATTTTTTTATGAAGTTTGTTGTGAGCGAGGTATGTTGTAGATTGCTGAAAAGAACAAGAGCCATTTAAACAGACTTCATTTCAACTCCTTGTTTTGAGGAATTTGTAGTTTCTGGTTTCATTCTCTTAACAACACAATAACCAAAAATTCCCAATACAATAAAGGCAATAATGATAAAGCAAATAATCAAAAAAGCCCACAAAATCCAGAATAACTCAGAGATTCCCTTTGGAGTTTCAGGATTAACTTGTTTTTCAATTGGAACAGATGATAAAATACCAACTCTAACATTTTCTGAACATTCACATTGGCCAGAATTAGAATTGAAGGAGAATTTACATGAAGAAGCATCAATGACTTGACCATTTGTAACTTGAATGCACGAATAAGTTGCCTTATCATTAAAAGTTTGTGTAAGTGGCAAGGAATGAGTTATTGGAGAGGAATAGTTTGTAATAGATGTTGAGAATTTAATTTCAGATAAATCAGAGACAATAGTATTAGTTGTACCTTCTTGTTGAGGAGTTACATATTGAGAAACATCCTTAATAATCATCCAAATGTAATTGACTGGCTTTCTGAGAGAGACACTTTGTAACCTTTGAGAAACAGTTGAAGGAAGAGTTAATGAAGTTTGACTTTCTGTCAAAACTTGTGAATCAAAAGTATTCTTAAATTGCTTGTTGAATTGATGAACTGCAAAATTAGGTTCAAACTTGAAAGATGATTGACCAACAAGAACCTTTCTTGAAAGTAATGAAACCACCATGTGACAACTTTCCATCAATTCTGAATAGTCATACGAAGGCAAAGTCTTTAAATAAGAATGCATGGAATTGAGGGACGAAAGCAACAACCTTTCAACACCAACTTCAAATTGGAATAATGGAGTGTTTTCAGCATCATTCAAGGTTGACTTGATAATATTCATACTCATGTTATAGACATTAGCAGAAACGTAACTCTTCAACATAGATTCAATACCGAACATAATGTTAGTAAAAAACCTTCCAGTTATCTTTTCTCCATTTTCATTCTTGACTTGTTGGGAAGAAAAGAAAGCAGTAGCCAAATCTTGAGTAATTTCATTCAAAATTTCATAATCTTCCTTTGTCATTCTACAGTCAAATGTTGTGTAATCAGCCTCACAAACACATTTTCCATTAACCAATGAACCATGTCCAGAACAATCTTTCTTTACACTTCTTGATTTAGGGGCGAGAGAATCTGTCATTCTCTTGAGGACTCTTGAAATGATTGCAGAATTGAAAACAGATCTAGCATAATCACCAGTTGGTAATAATAAGGTGATGGCGTTCCATTTTGTCATGTACTCCTTGATATCCTTTACCTTTGATACATATGGAGCTGTAATTTGAACTGATTTCTTGGAAAGAGTTGTTGCAGATGTTTCAGTATCAATAACCTTAACATACAGTTCAAGATTATTACCAGAATTTGGAGTTGGAAGTTTTTGGTACAATTCTTCATCCTTTGATAAGGTAATTAAAGCACCTGAGAAATCATCAATAAAACCATATTCGAAAGCATAAGTCTTCTTATCATTTTGACAATTTTCACAATTGAAAGTAAAGATTGTGGTCAAAGCAATACCAGAAGTTGGACTAATGGCACAACTACATGCTTTTGGAGGTCTGTTAACAGAGAAGGAATAAGAATATGATGTCTTTTGATTATTTCTCTTATCCAAGATAGTTAATGAAATGGTATTAGAACTACCTTCATCCAAATATTGAGTATCCAAAATTAGAGAATTTGACAATGATGAACTGATACTCATTGGTGATGTTAATATAGCATCAATAGCCTTGTCATTCAATAACCATGTTCTTGAGATGAATTGATCTATATTTAAATCACCATTAATAGTGACAACCAATTGAATATTGACATAATCTCCCTTATTAACCTTTGAAGAAGATACTTGAACAACGGAGATCAAAGGTGGCATGATTAAATGTTCTGCTTGTTGTGGAAAATTCAAATCAACTGATGATTGAACAAATCTACTTCCCTTTCGAATAGTGAGGCTAATTCTAACATTTTCTGCTGAACCAAACATTGACTTTTCAATCTTGTATTGTTCAAGAAAACCTTGAGACAAGTAATTAACAACATCAACTGGACAAACAGTATTAGTAACAGTGTCCACACATGTCCAAGAATAAGTTGGTTGAACATTTTCAGATTCTGGATCAGTGAAATCAATTCCAATGGTACTGTATTGAGGAGTAGAATCTAAAACATACATGTTCATTGAGAGTGCTTGAGCTACAGTGTCGATAGTGACAAGAGCTGTTGAAAATTTGTTAACATTAGAAGTATCGAAAGCAGAGACTTTGAAAACATATTGTCTTGTTTCAATGGTATTGAAATTGGTAATCTTTAAATTCTTGAATGAATCAACTGTGAATTCTACTTGAGGACCACTGATTTGTGTCCATGTGTAATCAATATTTGCAGCAGATTCCATGCATATTGGAATGGACAGCTTCTTCTTGAATGAAATTGGAACGTCACTAGTCTTGACAGTAACTGAACTACTTTTATATAAGCCATCAATGGAAACAACTGGAACAGCATAGGTAAGTTTGGTGAAACTGAATTGAATCTTATCAACCAATGAATAAACTTGACTAGTTACAGCCAATTCAAATTGATGAACACCAGCATTCATACCAGAATAGCTAATATTCAATTTACTTGGGGAAGCAAGAGTAGAATCCAATAACTTTTGAAGTTCTACCTTATTTGGTGATGACAATACAGTCCATTTGAAATTCAATGTCTTTCTATCAGGGGAATAACTTTCAGAAGCATCAATTAAAACATCTTCACAACTTCCATAAGTGTCCTTAGCTCCAGATATTGTGGCAATCGGACTCTTTGGTGATAAAGCACCTTGGACAGTAAATGCCAAATATTGAGCATTGACATTATTTGATTCAAAGTATAAATTATTCAAAGAGATACTATCACCTGCCTTCAATTTGTAGTCCGTGTTAAGTTCAATTGAGAATTCAAACGTTTCCTTGTTAGACCAGTAACATTTTGGATTAGTTCCAAGAAGATCAATACTCTTCAACAACTTGTTACAATCAAGAATCATACTATTAGTATATAAAGAAGAATAAGATGCAGGTGCAATAACCTTAAATGTCAAACCAGTCAAATCATCCATAAAAAGAACTGGTCCAATAATCTTTGTTGAACACAATTCACCATAAACTCCATCTGCACAGGTAGAACAAGATTCACCCTTCCAGAAACCTTTCTTGTTATCTGCATAACAAGTACATTGTTCAAGCTCATTACAATAACCATTTCCACTACAAGTAGTTGAGGCATTACATTTAACCAAACTATTACACATAGCTCCTAAATAAGGAGAAACACATGCTGAACAATCTGCACCAGTCCAATAACCTTTGCCAGCTATGTTATCACAGACACAAATATTCAAATCTGTACATTGACCATGTCCAGAACAAACAGATGAAGCATTGGAAGAAATGCCACCACAAGTGAATTGAGCACAATGACTTCCGTAATATCCAGATTGACAAGAACAATGATCGAAAAAATCACATCTACCTTTTCCATAACATGCTGACGCATTTGTTGAGGCAGTTCCATAACAATCAAATTGACTACAATCATATCCAGTAGTATCCATCTAAACAGGAGCAATTATTTGGGGAGATGCAACCACCATGTCCATAACATGCTGAACCACTTGTTGAGGCAGTTCCATAACAATCAAATTGACTACAATCATTCCCGTAGTATCCATCTAAACAAGAACAATTATTTGGTGAGATGCAACCACCATGTCCAGAACATGCTGATGCATTTGTGGAGGCAGTTTCGTAACAATCAAATTGACTACAATCATTTCCGTAGTATCCATCTAAACAAGAACAATTATTTGGTGAGATGCAACCACCATGTCCAGAACATGCTGATGCATTTGTGGAGGCAGTTTCGTAACAATCAAATTCACTACAATCATTTCCATAATATCCAGCTAAGCATGAACAGTTATTTGGTGAGACACAACGACCATAACTAGAACAAACTGAACCACTTGTTGAGGCAGCTCCAAAACAATCAAACTCAGCACAGTCATTTCCGTAATGTTCGTTAGAGCATGAGCAATTATTTGGTGAGATGCAATCACCATGTCCAAAACAAACTGAACCACTTGTTGAGGCAGTTCCAAAACAATCAAACTCAGCACATTCATTTCCATAGTATCCAGAGGTGCATGAACAATTATTTGGTGCAATACAATAGCCATTTCCAGAGCAAGCTGATGAATTACTTGGTGAAATATCAAAACATTTGAAAGAACTGCAATCTGATCCACTATATCCAGCTAAGCATGAGCAGTTATTTGGTGAGAGACAGGTTCCATGAACAGAACATGCTGATGCACTTTTTGAGGCAGTTCCAAAACAATCAAATTGGCTACAATCATTTCCATAGTAATCGTTTGAGCATGAGCAATTATTTGGTGAGAGACATATTCCTTGAGAAGAACAAACTGATGAAGAAGTAAATAATGTACCAAAACATTCGTATTCACTACAATTACTACCATAGTATCCATAGGTGCATGAACAATTATTTGGAGCAATGCAACTACCATGACCAGAACAAACTGATGCATTACCTGGAGCAATGTCATAACATTTGAATAAACTACAATCAGCACCACTGTATCCAGATAAACAGGAGCAATTGTTTGGAGCAACACAACTTCCATGTCCTGAGCAAACGTTGTGGTCAGTATTCAAAATATCACTACAATTAAAAAGTTGACAATCTGCACCAAAGTAATTTGTTTCACATTTACAAGTATCTATGGCTGTACATGTTCCGTGGCCTGAGCAAACAGTTGAGTTGTCACCTGAAATTCCATTACATGTTGGATATTGACAAGTGTTTGGAGCAACACATGTGGTATATTGAGGACATGCTTTTGGATGTGTGGCCACAATACCATTACACTTTGGAGTTTGACAATTTGAACCACCCCAAAGTACACCATAATCTGTCAAGCTGCCAGGAGGAAAAAAAGTATCCTTTCCAAACCCATGGAAAGGAAAAGTTAAACAAGCACCTTTAGTATTGTTAGCGAAATAATCAGACACTTGAAGTACTAACCTTCTAAAGAATAAAGAACCATGTTCCCATCAACTTGGAGAACAAATTTGAAAGGTGGAGACTGACTAGCACACTCACCAGTTTTCATGGCTTCCCTGTGTTGATTCAAATCTGCCTTTTCCGTGTTACCGTCGTACAATTTAAGAGAACCAGTTTGTGTTAACACTAACTTATAACCATCAGTTGCTGGGCCGAAAGTAGAACTATACCGAGTCATTGTTCTGAGACCTATCTGAATGAGACTACCATCATCGTTCAAGATTAAAGTCAACTTTCCATCAGCAGATGTTAATGCTTTAGTTGCATAGAGAATTGGTGATTGTTCAGTGAGGCCTGTTTTTTCTGAAAGATCAACACAGAGGCAGCTGTTTTCACCATAGCAAATATTCCCTCCACAAGTCGAATTGTCTGTTCCAGGAATTCCATTACAAGTATATGAAGTAACCTCACTGATTATGAAAAGCAAAAGGATTACCAACACCGACACGAACAGTTTCATGTTGTGGATTTTTTTTAAAGTCGAATTTTCAAATTGAATCAAAACACTGCTTAACTTTGTCCAAAGTTTTTCCTTATTGAAAGAGAAGGTCCTATTCCAATCAAGGAAGAATTAATAATACTACATTTAAGGACTGCATCATTTCGCACATTCTGCTTGCGTATATCCCCCAATTTGTTGTTAATAAGGGTTTATTATAATTCAAGTTCTGATCCGCTGCTTTTATTAGTAACGTAGAGCTAAATGAAGACCTTAAGTAAAGAACTACAAATCGTCCACTCTATAGAAAACTATTTTTCAGTGCAGATTTGTAGCGCACCAGCTGATGTGATATGCCTTAAACAACGACCTTATGGACGAGCTTGTCAGCCCTAGTTCAGTATACTAGTACCTCTGTTTGGAAAGGTTTTTGCTAACACCACAAATTAGCAGCCTATCAAACTTTACCGTGGCTGTGCTGAGCCAACGTTAAATATTTTTTAAATTTATTGCCAAGAAATCGATTGAGTTTGTCGACTGTGCAAATAACTTAGAAAAATATTTCAAAAATATTGGATCAACATCAGCTGTTGATTCTTGGAGTGATTTCACATCTATTAACTCCAAGAATTTCACCACATCATCTCATCATGATTTAAATAATAGTATTAATAGTAATTTTTGGAATTTAATTCTTCATCATGATTTGGAAATAATTTTATTATTTGGATAAATTCAAGTTGGTACATGATCATCGGAACAACTACCAACCATCATCATTGTTATTTATCATCATTATAATAGTAATGTTTGTGGAAATAAATCTGATAATAGTAATATTTTAGTGAAATTTAATATGTTCACTAAAATCAGCATCACTGCCAGATTCACATGATAATTTGGAAAACTTTTAATCTAGTATTGTTCAGAATGGTCAATTTCATCAGGTAAAATCACTTCCGAACATTTTCCTATTGGTTATTATGATGTCAAAATGTAAATGGACTATATCTCAACATGTACTTCACCAACTTGGAAAATGTCTTTTAGTACTACTATTTAAATACATAATAAACAATATATTTATTATCAGTTTTTCATCATTTTTTGTTTTTGTCAACTTCGGAATATCTGTGGAAATGTTTTTCCCGTATTTTTGCAATGCTCCTTACAAAAAAGGAAATATTAAATTTAATACTTAGTGAAATAAAAATATTATTTATTATTCTTGTTCTAATTGATGTTTTCTACAATATTCTGTTTTATTGAATATCAGTTATTTGTATTAACCAAGAAAACATGCTCGTCTTACTACCACATATGAAAATTTTGAAATCACTTTTCTCGATAAGTAAAGAGCCAAATCCGTAACAAACTTGATATTATGATTGTTAACATAATTAATAATGACCATACGGTATGTTTCTCTAACATCCAGTGTTGTTATTGAGATATGCTTTGTTGAAGTTGAGTGAATTTGCTTAAGTAAATTACTTGGCGCATCCAATTACCCCTACAGGTAAATCAGCTTTGGGAGCATTCCATGTTTTTTGGGAGCATCACAAAAATGCGCCACAGATATTCATGATAACAAATCATGATTCATGCCAAAAGTACAAAGTCAATCATCTTGAAACATTAATAAACTTTTATTAGTACTATTGTAGATGTACCGTGCCAATTATTTCGTCTTGTTTCGTTGAAATCATGAAGATTTTGATATTTCTGCTTTTAATTAAATTTCACATCACCTACACCATATTTGATGATGTAAACTAGTCTAGTTGCATCTAAATAATCCATTGTTGCTTCTCTAATCATGCTTTATTGTTATTCAGTGTATTCAGGATTTAGAAATCTTGCGAATTATCCTGAGGTTATTCTTCATATAAATATGATTCCTCATATCATGATATGAGGAGGTATTGATATCATGATTGTTTGGAAGTGTTGTACAAATTTTGGACATTTTCTGAATCGAAATCAGGTAGAAAGAGTCAAATCTTTAACACCATATAAAATATAACTGTTTTTAATTGAAGTAAGCTAAATGATAGAGATTGTTGCCCGACAACATGATGAAAATCTGATAATAAATATGATGTTTATTATCTATTTAAATAGTAGTACTAAAAGACATGATTCAAGTTGGTGAAGTACATGTTGAGTTATGGTCCATGTACTTTTTCAAAATTCACATGTACCTATCCCTATCATAACTTGACCAAAATTGATAAGAGAAAGTTCTCCTACCTACTATTGACCATTCCGAACAATACTATATTGACAGTTTTCCAACTTGTTCAGTAGATCCAGCAGTGATGATGAATTTAGTGAAAATTTTGACATTTCACCAAAATTTAGTACTAACAATTAACTAAAAATTAATTTCCACAAATACTATTATTATATTGATGGCAAATAACATTGATGATGATTGGTGAATGATCCGATGATGATGTACCAACTTGTGATTTTCCATCATGAAAAATAAATTCCAATTTCATGATGATAATCCACCAATAAAAATTACTATTATTACTACTATATAGATCATGTTGAGATGATGATGTGAAAGTTTGGTTGTTTCATGATGTAAAACCACTCCGAAAATCATCAATGTTAAATATTTTTTAAACTTGGTTTTTGTTGGGACCCACTTTTAGAGCTGAGAGAACTCTTTTGAGGCTTGGAGTAACACTGCAGAGATACGACCTGAATTACACACAAATCAAACAGAACTTTATCACTATTAAAATAACACCATTCTTTTGAAGTTGATTATAAACAAATAAATCTACAATACTCAATTAGTCATCCTATTTTCTTTTTAAAAATACGGACAGTGCAAATTGAGGTTTTTTTAGGACCGTAGTATCATATTACAAATAAGCACCTTATTAATATTATGCATATGTAAGGATTTATTTTGGTTGAAGATTTAACATAACATTTCTTGAACTCTCAAAAGTGCTTTTTAGGCAAAATTAGGGGAATGTCATTGTGCGAACACATCAGAGAAGACGCACAATTAAGCAGTGCTTTAGATACAGGTAGTATACTAAAGTTATAGGTAGAAGCAAGGTATTGTTACTCACTCAAAGATGAACCTTAAAAAAATGAAAACATTTCTTGTTTGCTGCTTGATTTTAATAATCATTTGCACTGTCTCATC